ATATAGTCTCTTTTGTTCGTCAGGTATTTGTCTAAAAGGTATTGGTAAAATTTTTAATGATTCTAGTGACAATTACATCTAGTACAAAACTTGCTTTCGATTTCATTCCCAAGCTCTACATTTCTTTATAATTAGACCTTAATTTTTGTTGGGTCTCATATTTATAAAGATTTGTGTATCTGACCCTGTAATTCTAGAATAATTTTTAAAGTATTTCAGTGAGCCAACTCGGTACGTATCAAGAGGTAATGTTCAAATATTTGTTAGTGTTTTTCCTTCATCAAGGACTACTAGAAAATGAAACAAACTACCACAATATAAGGTTTATTGAGTTTTTCTCAAACTTTCTACGTACAATTCTGGCTTATCGTATTTGCTCAAAAAGCTTAGATTAAGTGTCAAACTGTCGACGAAATTCCAACCTGGCTATCAATCTTGATTAACTCTGCATTATTGTTAAGGCGATATTATCTAAAAAATTCAATATGCAAAATGAATAGTTCTATGATTACTTTATAATTCTGTAGAAGGGTGCAATTCTGAAGAAGAGCGTGTCTTATCTAAACCGATTTAACTACAGTTGCAAGAAATGAAATTTGTCCAAATAAGGACTAAGAACATCTGTTAATTTGGAAAATATATGTCTGGCTGAAAATATCAGTTTTTAAATCCGTTCTTCAAATGTAAACAAAAAAGCACAAAGATATTTCTAATTCGTCTGACAAAACAATTAAATTTCCGACTTGATTATGCAAAAGAGAACTCACTCATAAGCGTAGAGGCTGGGTGAATTTGAGAGGGCTGCAGTTATTCTAACCAGGCAAAATTTGTCACATTTCAGGCTTCATTCGGGCAGTTCTATCTCAGTGGAGCAATAATTTTCAGGCAAGATCCCTATCAAGCCCCCCCCCCTAAGCGCATAGCATCCTCTACGCTACCCTGGATACTAGACTCACTTAATATAAAACAAAATAGAGAGTCTCACTCCATTTTATTTTATATATAGTGAGTCTGGTACCCAGGGTACCTCTACGCCCATCTGCTCACGCCCCTTCCAAAACGCATTATCCCCCACTCAATGATCCTAAGTCTTGAAAACCTACCTAAAACAGTTGAAAAAGGTGCGGTCTAGATGTCAGAGCTCAGCGTATCTTCGATTTCAATTAAATTTGTCCGTCGGACGTACAATCGTCACCTTGTCTGCGTTTTAGTTTATCTTACTTGCCTTTAGACGCTCATCCCAGGATTGTACTGATATTAGTCTTGCAGTCATACAAGGGTTGTTGCAAGGCTGCATTTTATATTGCTACTTTGAAAGAAATGAATGAGCAGAGGCGGCATTAATCTATCATCAGAATTTTTTTGTTTCTACAAATAGCGTAATTTCGCAACAACTAAATTCAATGTTGTCTTCGAATTAGGCTTCTAAAAACATTTCCAAGGTGTTCTTGCGTAAAATTTTCCGAAGTAGACAAAAGTTAGCCTGTGCTCCAGACCCCTTACTTGAAAGTAGAGGGTCTGTGTAGCCTCTACTTTCAAGTTAGGGGTCTGGAGCAGTAGCGGCGCCACGGGGGGGGGGGGGGGGGGGGGGGGACACGTCCCCCTCAGTTCTCAGCAGAATCGATTTTGTATTTCGTCTAAATTCGATGAGAAAATGTTGGGGGAGGGGTAATATTTTGACACCGTACTTTTTGTGATGTAATCATATGATTTTCAAACTGCCAATTTTCAAACAAAAGTCTGTCATAGGCGTTCTCTTCGGATAAAATTGGCGTTCCCTGTTGGTAAAAGGGCGTTTTCTGGTGGTTAAAAGGGCGTGGCTCAATTTTTTTTTGTCCCTCCCAGAGCTTAGTGGCTGGCGCCGCCATTGGTATGGAGCACACGCTAACAAAAATTAGTTACCTCTCTAACATTTTACAAGGCACCCTTTGAATGTTATTTTTACAAGACGTGCTCCGCCCCACCCTCACACTCCATATGTCACGAGAAGGCCCAAATGTTGGTTTTGAATTAGCTGTTATCTAAATATTCAGGACAACATCGATTCAAAATGAGTTAGGAAATAAGCCCTTTTTCAGCCATGGGAAAAATTTAAATGTTTCTAAGCCAGATTATTTCTTACAGACAAGATAAATTACAACTTATCATTCTCATTGTATCTGGCCTGTTTGCAATTTATTGTAAAATATTTTAAGGAATAAGAGATTTGAAATTTACAACCACCACAAAGGTACTATCACGAGGGGCATTTCGCTACCTAAAAAGGGTACGAGTTTTTTGGGATTTCAAAATCTTTAGAATCCGTATGGGGAATTTCGGATTTCTGAACAGCTTTGACAGGGATTTCCAAGTTTCTTGAAATTTTCTCAAAAGGACCCCGGGGCTTTTAATGGATGTAAACTATTCTTAAGTATTTTGAAAATGTGTAAAGGTATCATAAGCTGATACGTAACCTTTAAATAAATGAAATCAAAGCCGAAATGATTCGACTAAATACAAATACAACGTTTTTAAAACGAAATAGAGTTCTTGGGTCATGAAAGATAAAGAGATGTCAATGCATACGCAAGTGCGCTTAGAGAAGGCACTATTTGTGAGCGCTGGACAATCAGGAAAAATGAGAGAAGGGGGGGGGGGGTTGATGCATTTGAGTTATGGTGTTGGCGTAGAATATTTAGAATACCATGGACAGCAAGAAGAATAAACAAGTACGTTTTAGAGGAAATAAAGCCAGAAATTTCATTAGAAGGCATGATTGTGAAACAAGCGCTGACTTTTTTCTGACATGCGATACGAGCTAGGGGGATGGAAAAAGGTATTATTTTAGGAAAGTCAGAGGGAACAAGAAGGCGAGGCAGGCAAAGAACAAGACGGCTGGATGTAATGAAAGAATCAACTGGGATGTCCTTGCATCAACCTGATGAAACAGCAATGAACAGATTAGAATGGACATTGTTTTTAGAGGATCGCCAAAGTCGTCAGCGTCTTCATGGTGCTTAACAACAATTTATCAACAGAGTTCTTGGGTGTGCCGTCATAAAAGCATATCTTTAGAATGTTTATATTCTAACCACATCACCTAAAAAGCATCATGAAGTTCTCTTTAAAATGCGAAATTGGTTATGTACGTAAAAAGTCTGATATTTGGTAAAAAGGATTAGAATAGAATTATGTATGTAGTGATATTTGGTAAAAAGGATTAGAATAGAATTTTGCTAGCGAATTACAAAGTTTTGAACAGCAAGGAAATTAGAGAGTTTAACAGAGGACTAGCCTGTGTCTTTTCTCAGCCACTTCGTGATATATCTAGCTCATTTCGTACATATAGAGAAAATTCATGATGCTCTTTCAGGTTATCGGATCCAAATTCAAATATTCTGAGAATAGATTTTGTGACGACATCACTGTAGCCTGTGCTTTAGACCCCAACCTTTTCATTTCCAACTCTTTCCTCAGGTTGGGGGTCTGGAGCACAGGCTACATCACTTAGGAACACTATAAACATGCAATTTAAAGCAAATCAAAAGCGATTGTACTGTTATTGTTTGTTATATTGTGTGTTTATTGTATGAAAACCTTTTGCATATCAAATGATAACGAAATTTTGCATCAAACTTTCAAACAGGGTGCTTCCCAAAATTTTAGTCTTAGTTTTGCCCCTAAATATATAACCTTTAGATTACCGCTATTTTTGATAACTGAAAAGCAGCCACGTAGCTGTGGATATTGGCTGGGGTGGGCGAACTCGAGCAAGAATCATACCTCGAAAGACCAGGCTTTTAAACAAGAAAGAATCTCATAACAGCGAATGACGTGTTTATTTTGAATATATCAAGCTTACACAGAGCTATGAAAATAGCTTTAAAAAGCAAACATTTTAAAAAAATAGTTTGCTTTTTAAATCCATTTGAAGGGGGTCCAGAGAGGGTCATGGCCCCAGGCCCCGCACTTGTTGTATGTTCTCTACACCTAAGAAATAAGATATAAATTGTAAAGAACAAGGGAAGCACAGATTTTTGTTACCCCGAGCCCGGCAGTCCCTAAAACCGCCACTGGCTAAAAGCTTTTTCGTCTGATGCTCCTCGGAGCATAAAACGTCAGAATAAGGTTCTTGTTAAAAGCTTTGCGCCAAAAACTGTTGACAGAGCTATGAGTTTAGAAGAGAACACATCAACTGCAAAATTTTAAATAAAATTTTTAGGTTTCTGTAGCCACTCAACTGAAAATTCTTCGAAAGATATCTCACGAGTTAGGATTTTTTAAAAAAATAAGCGAGGCAAAGCATGCTGGCGAGAAGGTGTGCTACGTCGCCATCTTGATGCATCATTCATCAATATACGTCATGGACACCACTGAGATTTTGTGGATCCTGTACAATATAATTCGAGAAGCTACTTTTTAATTTTCAAGCAAAAACTCGCACAGGTTTCCGATTTTTTCTCTTACACTGGCTGAGAATTACATGTTTAGAAACCTTTCAATTACTTTCCAAATTTCCTTTGTCAATTGGGTAACTTTGTGAGGTTTGATCGTGCATGTCTCCTTGGTGTCTCCATGGGGCCTTTTGCAAAAAATGGCAACCAAAATGTTCCAGCTCAGCAACCTCAGTACTAGCACCCTGCATTACAAATGAAGTGCCTCTGTTCTATTAATTTAGCAAGTGCTGGAACTATTTGGAATTAGTAAGTTATGGAACTATTTAGCTGATTTTTTAATACATCTTCCGAACTGTTACTAAGATTTTGCAAAAAATCGTATTTCAAGGAAAATTTTAGAGATTTGAATAGTTTCAGGATCACATAAAGATTTCCAGGGATTTTCGGATTTTTAAAGGATTTCTTGTGAATTAATGGATTTTTTTGGATTTTCAGATGGGGTGTATGGGATTATTTGAAGTGAAATGCCCTCGGCCATCACGTTCTCTCAATTTTCAACTCTTTTAGTTGTCAATACAAATGAGGTTCTCGCGAAAGTGAGACATGAATCTACACGCGCATGCGTAGAGCATTCCGCGCAACATTATTTGACAACAAAGTGGTAGGCCTCAGATAAACTGGATGTTGAATTTTAAAATTGTTACGCTATATTGGATAGTTTTAAACTGCATTGAGGTATTAAGTAGTTATTAAAACGTCAAAATTGCTTTTGCACAATAAGAATTGGCAGGATGACTATTCTACCAAAGAAGAAAGCACAGGATGGGAAAGCTAGCGATCCAGATTTCGAGGAAGGTAGAAGCAGGTCAAGTAGGATCCGTACCAACCGGGAGCGTTCCCGTCCAAGTTCAAGCGAAGTAAGTGTTAGTGCAGATTGCTCGGCGACCGCTTCAATCAATGCATCAACATCCAGATTTGAATACAGTAGTGAACTTGAAAAACTAGAAAGTATAGACTGTAGCTCTGTGCCCTACAAACGAACAAGGCACCGGCCAGCAGGCTCGAGCTCCGGAAAGCTAACAATGTCCGGATCAGAAGCTGGAAGAGGAACGAGAGGAAGACATAGCGATAATAACGATAACGAAGAAGGTTATAACAGCTCAGACGAACACGGAGCTTCTGAAGCAGATCCAGACATAGCTAAGGTATTGCTTGTTCAAATGTATTTTGATCTAAAATTAGGTTATCAAATCTTTACTTTAGAATCGGATGAAATGATTGTGTACCTGCATCATATTAGCAAAAAGCGATAGAGCACTGAAGAAATTGCCTATTCTGAGAAGGCTTTTTGCCAGAATTTAGATCAATATTTGGTTCAAGAAATGATTCCCTAATCACATTTCATTTGACCCGGTTTCAAACTTAAAGTAAGTTTTAAGCTAAAGTTTGATTAGTCTATTTGCAATTGAGTTCACAAAAAGACTGAATAAAATGCCCTGTAAAATGATTTTATGATATTTTTGCAAGTTCAAATAAAATCATTGTGACCTAAGGACAAAGCAATTCATGTTTTAGCCATAATCTTAATTTGTCATCTAGACAAGTGCCAATCTGCAGTGCATGGCAGAAGCAGTTGAGGTCAGTGTTGCACATCAAATTTGCTTTAGAACCATTATGAAAACCTGCTTTTGGCATGCCATTTGAAAGTAGAAGGGAGTTTTTGTGTGAGAAAAAACATGCTTGAAATAACTGTGCATATGCTGGATCAAAAACTACCATACTCAGCAGTGTAGAGTTGTTTTCCATAACCTGGAAACGGGTCTGAATTTCAACACCAACTGATTTTGATTATAGACCTCAGGTAAAGCAAGTTTATAGGTTATAGATAAGTGTAATGAGAATTGCGCATTGTTGTTTGATTTTTTGATGCTGTTCGTTCACTAATAAAACCATCCACTGCCTAACATGTCATTTCCAACTAGTACTGTGTCTTATTTTATGTGCAGAGAACACAGAGCTGGTGAGAGAGACAGTATGTGGCCTGTATAGCTCTAATCTGAACTTAACCCTTAACTAGAATTGCTTAAAAATTAACATACTTATATACAGAAATGAATATCTAAAATTAACACGAATGCTGTGAGAAAAACAAAAGATAGAAAGAAGAGTAAAGGTGATGAGTAAATTGAAAGGCATAGCAAAGATTAAGTAAACAATACAGATTAGCAAATGCTTGAAATGAGAGTGACATAGAAGATGCCTGTGCTGCAATGTGAGAATGTGATGGAATGAATGGGAAGGAAAAATTAATCTAAAGAGGCCTAAGTAGAGTCACTACAATGGTATGCAAAGGGAACGGTTTAACCTAGAAAATAATTTGTGAAGCTGGCTAGAAATAAATAAAAGAGATGTTTGTTTGAAAGAAAACATGAAGGGAATCATGTCTGAATTGCATACGAGATGCTCCCCAGAACTGCAAGCTGGAATAGATTTATTTCCAATATCAATATGTATATAGATGACATGTTAAATGTGAATCTTCTGGTTTATTTTTCCCATATGAGTATCCTTTGCACTGTTAGAAACTTTCATATTTTATATATAAGGTGAAGACCTGTCAAGTTGTTTTGAAAAGAAAGGAATGCACATAAGTTTTAGGTAGGGTTCTTCACCAATTTGTTTCCCATAGGTTGGTGGATAGAATAATGGATAGAAAGAATAGATTTGGCATTTCTTTAGCGATTGATACTAGTATTTTGGCTCAGAGAGGCCATCATCAGGAGCTATCAATTATTTGCCCAGGTTGTTAAATAAACAGCAACCTCAACCCTTCTTTTCATATCAAAAGAAATGGAAGCCATCTAGGTCTTCTGAAACATTTAATACTTTGCTTTCATGGTTCTGTTTTCATTTCCGTCTGCTTTCATTTTATTGTGTTCTCATTTTGATAAGTTTACCAAAAAGCATTTGTTCATAGTAATCCACAATTCTTACTAAAAGCTGCAAAGCTGATAGGTGTTCACATTTTTTTGCTAAAATGATGTATTACCACCTGTTTGTTTATTGAATTTTTTGTTTTGACCTGTTTTCATTTTGCTCCATTGTCCAACTGCATTTTCAAATGTATCAGTTAACATGGACCTAAATCAGACTGACTCATTTTGATCTGTTTTCATATAAAAACAGAGAGTTGAGTGAATAGGGCCTAAATTTGTGGGTCTGATACACATTAGTATTAAAAAGTTGATTTATATAAGCATTGCAATTCTCACAATAAAACAATTTTAAAGGTTTCTGCTCTATAAATTTCCAGTCAGCACTTTACATGAACTTTACTAGAATTCTCAGCAGTTTCTTTTTCTTGAAGAAAACTCTGAGATATCGGCAGAAAGTTGAATCTTGATAAGCAAGTTTCTCTGATTATCCATGAACCTGATTATTCAGAAACATTTATTAAGGGCTATGATTCTTAATGCAAGACTATGTTGTTAATACAGGTTAGCAAGTAATGAAAATTATTGCTTACTGGTCTGTCATAAAATGTTTGATGCTGTATAAGCAGAGCTGTATGTGTTATTAGGTTATAGGACAGGGCAGTTCCAAGCTGCTGCTTCCAGTTTCATACTTAATTCAATAATCAGTCAACTGTTCTATTGTAGGGTAGCAGGTACATTTTTTCAAGAAATTTGAGTTGATGTCACCTGAGTATTGCTTTATTTGTGAGTGCTCTTCCTGAATTTGTCTTTGTTCGTTCAGGCTCTATCCACAGTAATAGCATTATTTTACTCTCAGAAAGAAGAAATATTTGAAAGAGAACTTAAGGAAAGAAGAGGGTTTGTTATTAAAAAGATGGTACCAGACGGTGCATGTCTGTTCAGAGCTGTGGGTAAGAAATCTTGTGATTCTCTTCTGTATTGATTCATTTTAACTGGAATCTCTAAAAATATTTAGTATTGTCTTCAAAGTTGCAAGGTCTCTGTTTTTTGCCATAGTTTGAGATGTATCACATTTTGTAAGTGAAGGTGTTGCTTCTGTAAATCACAAATATTTGCTGCAATGTATGCAAAGATATGCTGCAATAGGCAAAACAAAAGATCACTTAATGTCAATTCATTCATCCCCGTGTATTGTTAGGTATATTTTTAAAAAGCTTCAAAAATAATTTTTGCACTTTTTAATGATAAAGGGTAGAGGACCTCCCTTCAGTGTAAAATTCATGTCTAAGACTTGCCACTCAAACACTCTTGACAATATCATTTTGTTTGGTAGTTCTCATCATCCCACTTTCATTGTTGATAAGGAAGTATTTTTTTTAAAATATGTGGCCTGTCCCTGTGGCTAAGCTTATTCAAATGCTATATGAAAATAGCAAAGTCCCTCAGTTTTTGATGCCTCTGCAAGGTCCCAGTCACACTTTTAAATCAACACTTGCTCTTTTGTTAATGCAATCAGTTCTCCATAAATTCTTCTTGTTAATAAATATCCTTATTAACAATATGCATGCAAAGTGCTGCGAATGCATCTTGTTTTTCAGCCAAAAAATTTAATTCAACTTTGTTTTAGGTTTTCAAAATGATCCTTTTTGGTGTGCATAATTTTTAATGGAATTGTTATTTTAATTTCCCTTTCATTTTACTCTAATTTCCAAATTCACAATGTGAATTTTAGACCAAACCAGAAAAGTTTCAATTCATTTTCATATGCAAAGAAAACATTGTTTTATGTGGCCTTAGTGGGTGGGTCTTGCGAAAATTTCTTATGCTTTTACTTCATGTGTAATTATTCACAGTTTGTAAGCAAGGCATTTGAGATAAAGGATAGTGTTAGTATAAAAAACAATGCTGTTAAATTTTAATGTTTAAAAATTCTTCAGAGCTTTTTTTTCAACTTGACCCATCATTGGGCAGATCTCTATTGTTGGAAAGCAGTGTCCCTTGCTGGGAAAACTTATTTTTGTTAGGGCATTCATAAGCCCACACAAATGTAAGAAAGTACCGATTTGCTTCTCCTTAGAATCATCTTGTTCTATGCACAAAAGTGTTTACAGCTGTCTTTTTGGCACAATTTAATAGACTGGAAAACAAGAATCTTCACCAATAAAAAGTTACAGTTTCAAAAAATATGCCTTCAGCTTAATACCAACGATCTGAAAACTTTTTTAGACGTTTTTTTAAGCCACAAGCCTAAACCATTTATCCTTGATTTTTAGCCAAACCTGCTGAAACCGGTCACTTGACCCAGTAAATTTTTGCTTGCCACAAATGTTATGTTTCCTTCCCAGTACTTATTTTAATTTATGCTGTCCTTCAGAAGAATTTTCTACACCAACCAATCACCAAAAGTGGATTCCATTTTCTAACCAGGATTCCTTACCCTAAATTTTCAAAGTTTCCCCGATTTGATAGTTTTTTTCATTCAGCTTTACTTAAGATGTTTGGTTTTTTTTAATTTGCCCTTACATTAACTTTCTTCATATACGCTAAGGATAAAACCATGTTGAGCTGCAATCTGCATTTTTTCCAGACAACTTAAATCCTTGACCATGTGTAGAATATCCTGCATTTGTCTAAAGGAGACCCCCTGCTAGCACAACATCCCTACATGTCAGTATTCCTGTGTCTCATTAGGTCAGTGGTTTGAGAAAGAGTTTAAAGTGTAGCCTAAGCTTATTTTGAATCAGGATTTTTGATGACCACCAGCCAAAATTTGTCATGTTTATCCCATCAAGACTTGCCTGTTTTTCTGTTTAAATCTAAGGTTATTTGATGTTAATAATTATGTTCTAACGTTTCCAACTTTGCATCATTCTTGTTGCAGCTGATCAGGTTTATGGTGATCAAGAAATGCATTCAATTGTTCGAAATCATTGCATGGATTATATGGTCAGTTTATCAAACTCTGTTTTTTCAAGGTTTTAGCTGCAAGATAGTCTCTCTGGTGTATAAAATAGCCAGACAGAGGGGATGATTAATTTACCCTTTTTCTGGGGAACAGGGTTGGTGATACATGCATAAGAGCCTTGTAAAATAACCCACCTGAAACCGACCCGCCCCTACCACCAAATGTATGCCGCCCTGTAGGTCGTGTCCTCTAACAGAATTTTCACTGAATGGTTGGAAGGACTGCAAAACACTAAGAAAATATTTGAATATTATTCCGTACTTTGTAAGATTTAAAGAGAAGGTATAAACGTTCTTATCTCTGCTTTATCTACGGACCATTCTTTGGTAGAAAACAAGTATGTTACTCACGCCGGGGTTGCAAAATTGTTAACCTTCCTCCAAACCAATCATTAGCGTCCTCAAGCCTCAGAAATAAAAAGAACCATTAAAAGATTAAAAGATGGGAAACCCCTGGAAATGTGGAACGAATTCCTAAAGGTGTACTGTTATCCGCAAGAAGTGTAGTGCAGCTTTAATGACATCTCAATATACTTTTGCCACGCAGCAACTGAATCTGCATTGAAGAATTGCCGTCTTTTTAGTTAATGAATCAACATTAGAGGAAGAATTAAGACACTCTTTCGTCATTCTTTCGAACTCGATAACATATAATTTCGATATTTTTATAGTGTATTTGTTTTGATGGTTTCTCTTTCAGATGAAAAATGCAGATTACTTTTCAAAATTTGTAACAGAAGACTTCAACTCTTACATTTGTCGAAAAAAGAATGATTATTGCCATGGCAACAACGTTGAGATGCAAGCTTTGAGTGAAATGTACAATCGGCCAATCGAAGTCTTTGTTTACAGCACTGGTGGGTTTATTTTTTTTGTTATTTCTCTTCACCAATTAGATGCTGAGGAATTTTTCTTTGATCTTTGAAACTCGATGTAAAGGTATTAGTGGTTACTGTTAGTTCTCAAGGACACCCCCACCTTTGAATAAGCCCTTCTCGAATAAGCCCCCAGCCTTAAGGAATTTTTGTGAAGTAACCCCCCCCCATCCTCGAATAATCCCCCATTGCCCCTTCAGCAATAGGGAAGAAAATTTACCTGGTTATAGTTTTGGCTCCTGCTAAATAAGCCCCCGCCTTCGAGTAACCCCCTTCCCCCTTAAATAAGCCCCCAGCCCAAAAAAAATTTTTTGCGTAATATGCCCCTAGGCCCTTATTTAAGGATCAACGCCAAGACAATGAGAGCTTGTTCGTCTATAAGTGGTTTATAATTGTTCAAACTTGACGTTATTTGATGTTACAAAGACTGGGCAGCTCCGAAACTATCAACGCATTTATCATTGTGTTCTTAATCTCATCTCAACTCAAGAATGAATGTTGGGATGAATGGCGAAGATTGCAGTAAACCACTTGTGTGTTGATCAATTAGTCTTAGTAACAATGAAATTATGTTATGGAAACCAAACTCTTACTAGCACTCGAGATATTGACGTCATAAAAACCTGAAATACTCACGTTTCTTTCGATCCACACATGGATATAAATTTTCTGCCAAATTTTGGCCACTATCCGACGTTTATATACTCAAGAGTATCGGCTGAAAAGTACTTCAGTATTTAATGCTTTTTCGTGCTATCTTTGAACATCTGTTCCTTGAATTTTTCACTTTCGTTTGAAAATCATTAAATACTCTAAAGATCAAAAATTTATTGCAGAGAGCTGATGTAATTGTGTGATTAACAGATAACTGTTGTTTTGACCTGGCTCATATCTTTTAGAACCAGTATTATATTACATTTATTCAGCAGTGATTAACCTCTTTTCATTTGGCCATATCTCAGCCAATGTTTAACACATTTGACTCATTTCGCATCTTTAGTGGTACTTTGTCATGCTTTTTCAGGAACTGTGGTCCATTTTTCATGGATTCTATAATTTTATTCTTCTGATGTCATTTGAGAAATTGATTGTGTTTTGTATTTTCATGCAGTACGATATTAGGCCGGGTTTTGATAATATAGTCGCAAAGCATGCTGGTTGCGCAAAAGCCATTTAATACCTACAGTTCAAGCGTGTTGATTCTTTCATCGCCCTTTTAATTATTGTTGTGAACATAAACTTGGTGTACTATTTTCATTCAAATCTTTTGTTTATTGAACAATATCATTGTTTTAGAGCCAATGAATACGTTCTTCTGTCAATCACATGTCAGCACGGATGAGAATCCTCCAATACGATTAAGTTACCATGGCCGTGTTCATTATAACTCGATAATCGATCCATATGCACCGGCTGTTGGCGTGGGCCTCGGATTAGCTGGCTACAAGCCTGGAGTAAGTTGTTGTTTTGATTAAAAAGGAAACGCCCCTTTGAATAGTTTCTGATTTTCATCTTCTTTTCATCAAGCAAATTTCAATATATTAATTATGTTAATTGGATATTTTTATTGATATTTAATTGCACATTTCAATGAGATTCTAATATAAATTACGATGAATTTATAAACGAGAAAGCGACGAAATGCTTTGAATGTTTTGTAGCATACGAGCTAAAATGTCTTAGAGAACTAGCGATTATTTCTAAAGTGATTTTCTGTCTGGCCTCTCCCCCGTTCAGCAGTCTTAGCATGTCAGTTTCCCATAAGAAATGCTTAATTTCTTAATTTTAAGGGGGACTGATGCAGTATTCAGGGGGCTGATGCAGCTGTTAGTATAGGCTAGAGTAACAGAGGATATGATATTGGTTATGATGATTATGATGTCGTTGATTTCATGCTTATGATTGTTATGATTATCAAATCCATTCTTATCTTGCTGGCAGTGGCTATGGTGAAAGGATATAAGTCATTTGTTATTGACTTGTTGATTATCGTTGTTTATTTAACCTAACCTGTGATTTCCCCCAGCATCTGTTACCTTGCCTATCGCTTATAAAATCACCCATCTACCTCGTGCCTTATTCTAGTGCATTCAAGTACAGTACTACACAAACTATTTCCATGAAGTCTTTGTGTATCTTTAATAATTTCAATGTTGAAATCTGTTCTACGTTGTAGGAAGTTTATCTGCAAATGCTTGCATAGCAAACCAATTTATAGAAGTGTAGTTTAGTTAGAATAAGGGATAAGTTCATGTATATGTTAATTTCCATTAATTATTGATCGTCTTGCTCTCTAGATCACAGACAGGATGCTGCTGAACTCTGTGATTCGCAGTACCGAAAATCAAGCTCTGGAAGAGGTCGGTAGTGTTTTGTTTCCCTCAGTCTCATTCAAAGAGGGTGCATGCGTTTTGTTTTGCGGCAAATGGCTAAACGGATTCTTTCCATATTAAATCTAACCGCTGTCCTGAATAAGAAAATTTAATCATCTTTGTCATCTGTTTCTCGGTTTGACAGAAAGAATTTTTAATGTTTCGAGATTTTTCCCTGATATTTTCAAAAGGACTACAGAATTAAGCAAGGTTTCTGCTATGAATCTACTCTGTCAAAATACTAAGGGTAAAATATACGAGGGTTTTCCTTTAGACTTCGCTAATCTAAGCCAATTTGAATCTTGATCACTCATTATCTTATCATCTGTGAAGTTTCAAGGCTGTGCGAATATACGTCTTCTTGACACTGATTGGTTAAAGCAAGAGCCAATCAAACTACTGTTTTTGGATGTGCAGCATGATAGAAATTCTTTCATTTTCTGTTAATTACCCAACATTTCAATGGCTGACTAAAAAAATTTGGTAACATATTAGATTGGTAAAATGTCTTACAGAAATTTAATGTATATACATATTCAACAGCCTAAAAAATATTCTACCTCAGATTATATTACTCGCTTGATTTTCTTTATTTCCAATAAAGAATTTTTATTACTGATATCAAAGAGTTGATACAATACAACACAATACGATACGATACGATACAATACGATACGTTACGATACGATACGATACGATACAATACAATACAATACAATACGATACCATGCGATGCGATACGATACGATACGATACGATACGATACGATACGATACGATACGATACGATACGATACGATACGATACGATACGATACGATACGATACGATACGATACGATACGATACGATACGATACGACAATGAAAGATACATTAAAAGATATATCCTTAAAGGAAAATGGTTTTGCTATTTTTCTGAATCATATTTGCAAAGTTAGGAGCGCTGTTTTCTGAATTTATGTAGTAGTTTTTAACTTTGTATGGATTCAGACATCGTCTGAGAAAATGTCGTATTTTATTAATAAGTAAAGATCTTTTGTAACTGGTTAAGCATAATCTCTCTTACTTCGGTCTTGCCCACACTGATGCTTTTTGCACAAAACGGCATGCACTTTTATTTTTTTGGCTTTGCGTTCACACCAAAATGATGAAAAAGAGTTGTTTATAGTTATAATAGAAAGACGGGGGCATCCAAAAATGCATTAATCACAAGCCTTACTTGACAAAAATACGGAATTTTGAAAACGCAGAATTTTGAAAATGCATTTTTGTGGACAGGGTTGTGGACGCTCTATTTCATCTGTTTGATTTCTCCAAAGGCAATGCTTGAAGATAAACTGAAAGCCACTGATTGGGAAACGACTGATGAAACGATGACGGAAATTGTCGCACGTGAATCTTATTTACAATGGTTGAAAGAAAACCAAAGAAAACATCGATCACAGGTATGGTTTATAAGGCAAATTTTTTCATGTTTGCTTTGTCGTGAGTTTTGTAATAGCAGAATGCGTTGCTCAGATTTAAGACCAGTTTATACTCTAAATTGTTTTACTAGGATTTCGGACGTTTATTAACTGGTTTTTATACCGTAGCTGCTCAGGCACTGTACACACTTCAAGTGAATACAGTATGATATCATACTACATTTTACTTGCATAAATGGAGACCCTAAGTATTAGACTTGCGTGACAAAAGTTAGAACGATGAATTCGACGTGGAAAGAAAGTTGGACCGTGTTAACGCATGAAACCAATATGATTCGGATACAAATCGGAAAGGAGGCTATTCTATTTTCAAAGTACTGGCCTCCTTGTCGATTGCTATCGGAACCAAAACAGGTTCAGCCGTCTACAAAACACCGTTCTTTTTTGTGCATATGGTTAGTAGCGTCTTGATTTCATAGTTTATTCAATGACGTCACTTTTTGCAAAAGACAAATACGATATAATTTCATATTGGCATCGTGTCAATGGAACCATAGTGCCATATGGATGCCATCGCCCGATTATCATTTTAGTCATCACAGTTGCAAGTTGAGACCAGTGGTGGCTTGCAGCGGTACTAGTGGTACCAGTCTAGTACCACTTTATTTTGAAAGCTCGAATTATTTTTGCATTGTATGATTTTCCTTTTTTTTAAGATAATTGAATAAAGGGAAGAGCAGCGGAATACACTATATCTTAATTCTGATCCTCCTATCTTAATTCTTATTGAAAGATTGGCATTGAATAAGCCCTTTATGTACACCACGGTACTAGACTTCATTCATGATCCAGTACTGCAGAAGTCTGTCCCGTTGTCATTTGTGACTCAACGTGACGTAAAACCGTTTGTCTTTCGACAATCCAACAATGAAAAAATCGTTCGCAGTACTAGATTCCGCTTTCTAGTGATAAAATGCTGCGAGGCCATTCAACCCCTGCAGCTGGCAATATCACATAACGTCAAACAAACCGAGGTATTATATGAAAACATCTGACCCACCATTAAAGCTTATTTGGCCATATTAGATATATATCAAAATTTTCCAGGGACCACGCCCATGCCCCGCTCTTTCTCTAGCTGGCTCGCTCTGCTAAAAAAAAATTTTTGCTTTCCTAGTACCATCTTATTTTCGTGCTAGCCGCCACTGGTTGAGACCCTATTGTTTGACATCTTTATCTGTAACGATAACTACTCACTAGTGGCCAGTTTCACTGTGTGTTTCACAGAGCTGTGCTAGCGTGACTTATAAAGCAAAAAGTCTCCAAGCTGTATCTCTCTGAGCCAAGAAAAGGGTAACGGCTGCGTGATGGGTAATGGAATGAAGACCTTTGTGCATGCTGAAAGACTTTTGAAGGCCATGCACTTAAAGATTTGCTTTGAATATTTCATTTTTATAATAAAAACCTTTATCTACCTAGGCCTTTCCATGTCTGAATTGGTTTAAGGAATCGTTAAAGAAAGGGTCATTCAGGATTCATTTATCAGTATCTAAAGGCCTGAGAAACAAAAAGTTTAAATAAAGTTACTCCAAATGTTTACAGACAGAAAGATTTCACAAAAGCATGATTTTCAAAAAGCACATACCATTTGTACCCTGTTCACCTTTTCACCCCTACAAACCTTAGTGTTAATCGTGAAATTGTTAGGAGCCATATATTCAATATGTTCGCATTTAAGGAGCCCAGAAGTTTCACTTGAAAAGTTTTCTGAAATTAGTATAGAAATTGTGTCAACTGAGATGCTTCAATGCCAATTCATAGAGTCAAGCAAAATACTTTTGATCTTTACAGCTTGAGGTCCTAGTGTGACTCCATTTATGCCTCCCTTTATCCTGTATGCCTTAGATGAAGCTTGACTGCTAATTGTTATGTCTTTTGATGAAACTGAAAAGGATGATGAATGGAAAATGGAATCTGAAACGAGTATTTGATAGTCATTTTGGTTTTTAACAATTGTAATTTGTCAGTAACTTTTCGATATCCCTGAACCTTGTTTATTTATACTATAGTTTCTAGATAGGTATTATTTATCCATAGATACTGAGTTTTGCGAGTCCTTACGTAAGCGAAATTTTTTAATTTTTACCCCTTCAACCCTATTCTTGACACTCATGAGAACAACCTCGTGTGTGCATGCTAACATTTACCCAGAAACAATGTCACCCCTGCAGTTTTACTCTAGAAAGTTTCCTTGTTGGAAAACATCTGGTTTTTAGTGTTTGTTCGCACAAGGGTCGTTTTTATTGGTTTTGAACCGGATTTTTTCGCCTGAAACCGGATCGTTGTCTATCTAGGCCGCCTCTGCAGAAAGTTCGTCCGCGTCAAGCTCACAAAGCAGGCGATCTCCTCCGCATGATCAACCGTCTCCTCGACCATGTGCATCAGGGTATTCCCCACGATCTCCACGTTCAAGTAAACCTACAAGTCCACGTCAGCATTCGCCAGGGTCGTCGCCAAAGCGCCCAGATGAGCAGAGTGCAAATAACAGATGCTCCCCCGCACGAAAGCAAGAAGTAGAGAACTGTGTTGGCGCAACTGGTTGGAGCGGCAGTTATCCACCAAACCACGGTAAGCTTTTTGATTTGTTATATTTTGAAAGTCTATAACAGAAAGTTTGAAGTTTGGATTGCAATCTTTATCAATGTTTCTATTTTTTCTGAGAGTGGCTTGTTTATGGGAAATGAATCTATGGCGATCTATTTCTGCCTAAAGGAGAAGTTCATTGGAAATAAATCAAATATTAGGTAAACATGAAGAAAGGGGAAGAGTCCAAAATATTCTACTCTAAAACTTCAAAGAGATGGCTTAAAAAACACAATCAATTTCTACCCATGTTGGTAGTTTAGTTTTGTGAAAATCCTTTGCAAATTTTTGTCACTAGCAAAATTTTAGACGTAAGATAACCAGCTTTGGAAAGGATTGTATTGTAGTGTATTGTAGAATATTTAATGTTAGTTTCTACAATAATGAATATACACTAATTAAGACTAACATGAAGCAATTTCAAGGATTGCATAAGACAGTTCATTTACTGCAAAATGAGCATGTGTGCTTGTTTTCAAGGATACTTGCATTTCAAAAAATCTTGACAATTTTCATTCACGTTGATTACACTCACTTTTTATAAGAACAATTTTATAAGAACACGAGCCTTGAAATTGGTCAAAGTTAAAAACAAATTAAGAACAAGCTGAGGCTGAGCTACTATAAAATGTTACCTCAAAAACAAGTATTTTTAGGCATGCGTGGGTGCTTTTTCGGTGGATATTCAAACTTGTGGGCAAATGATAATTGTCTCATTCATTTTGTCGGCAAATGAAGTCTGAACACCTTCATAGAGCGAAAAAGTTAGCAATAGCACTGCTTAGACCGGGTTACACGATCACTTTTTACCATCACTTTTCTCGATATTGGACCAACATGCTGAAAATTGATAATGTAACATACTAAAATTGTCCATTTTAGCTGCAGAATGTAATGCGCTTATCAGGTGTCAATCCTCTATCATTGGAAATTTTATTTTGAACGAAAGCAGAGTAAAATCGAGTTCATCACTTTTTTTCAAAGGCGCCGACCAATTCTTACGTCACATAATGTTTTGATTAGAAGGGAACGGCCTAGAGTTTCGAGAAGAGAAGAAAAAGACGTGAATTGTGCTCAGAAACATAATTATTAGTAGAAAACGAATATGAAAATTGATTTGAAGTAAATCGAAGAGCAGCATATTACAGAAAAATAAATGCAGTGTGATAAAATACACTCATTTTTTATATAATATAAGCACCTTTTTGCGTTCAGTTGGCTCAGACACCAACCGGATATATTGTGGTTATTTCTGTCAATTAAGTGGTAAGAATGCATCCTGTTTCAGCAGGTGAAAAAAGCCAATAAAATAAATGGCTATATTCTTACCTCAAAGATCATCAGTGAAACTTAGCCGCTGAGCCACTCCCTCCAACCCCAGGCAGTTGTTGTACTACGCTCTTTTTTATAAGAACAATTTTATAAGAACACGAGCCTCAAAACTGGTCAAAAGTAAAGAACAAATTAAGAACAAGCCGAGGCTGAGCTTCTGCAAAATGCAATTTTGAACAACGTTTTTTCTCAAAATCGAGGATTTTTAGCAATGTGTGGGTGCTTTTTCGGTGAATATTCAAATTTGTCAGCAAATTAAGCCTGTCTCACTCACTTTGTTGGCAAATGAGGCCTGAACACCTCCTTAGAGCGAAAAAGCTAGCAATAGCACTGCTTACACCCTCTCAATTTAAGAACAAATTAAGAACAATCCAGCCTCAGATTTTCGAAAAAATTGAGAACAGTCAGCCTGAACTTAAATTTACTGGTTCTTGTAAAAAAGGAGTGTACCTTCAAATTCAACAAAATGCAACACGCCATATACACCTCCGAAGGAACAGCATGCCATCTTGGGGTGCTTTATCAATGAATTTTCAAACTTGTGGGTAAATAAAAAATACCTCACTCACTTTTTTGGCCAGTGAGGCCTGAACACGCCCCCCTCCCCTCCCCCTAGAGAAGAAGCCTAGATTGCGATTGCACTGCTTATCCGTTAATAATTTAAGAACAAATTAAAAACAATCCAGCCTCAAAACTTTGAAAAAATTATTAACAGCTAGCCTGAACTTCAATTTTCTGGTCGTCATAAAAAAGTGTACTTCACTTGATGTTCCTAAGAAGGTTGTTGAGACCAGTGAACTTTTTACAGGAAACTTCAATTGTTATTTTCAGATTTTAACGAATGGGACGACGATCAAATTATCGCTGCAGTGTTGGCGAAATCGCAGAAAGAATACTATGAACAACTCTCGAATTCCGGCGGACATAGAAACAGCGACAAGAGTTGAACGACTTTCGCAAATTTAGGCCGCTTTGTTGTTGTCAGTGATTGTCACGTGTAAGTGTTCTTATATGGCAAGAGTATAGCTAGGCAATTGTATATAGATTAAACTTGAATCTTCATATTCTCTCAGATTATTTGAAATACAAATCCAAATGTATCACCAATGAACAGTTATATTATCCATAATGGTTTTTTAATGGATTAGGAATGTACTGTGTTTGTTTTCAGTCAAAATACTATCGTCTAAAATTTGTTGTTTTGTAAATTAAAGTTGTGTTTAATTAAATTTCACAGTAGAATATAATTGTCTATTGTTTACAGATCTTTTCTCTCCATGATAACCCTTTTGAAAATGATCATAGTCACAACTTAGGCCTTTTGACAACGTTTAATGTTGTTCCAGGTTACCAAAAAAAACCTTTGCTCTCCATTGTCCAACTTCAGGTTGTCTTGTAACGTGTGAGGATAAAACTATGCCAGCATAAAGTTTATATACCCAAGGCCAATGCACATTTGCTCACTTGATGCTTTAGCTGTATAAAGACACAATGTAATGCTTACTCGAGTACTGCTACAATAAATAAAAACTCCACAATCGCGCAATCTGTGCCAAAAACAAAGCCCAAGGGGCATCTAAAAGGCGTACCCTGTCACATATTAAACGTGATTAAATTTCATTTAATCAAGCTTTAATAAATTTCCTATAAAAGAAGCTCAACACATTTCCGTTTGTTGAGCACATCTCCCTGCGATTATTTTCAAATGTTCACGTCATCAGTCATTTCTGATTAAATCTGGGCTCAACTTCTACCTCTTGCGGAAGCATGTCGGGGACAAGACCTGACCTTTGGAGTCTGGAGCACAGGCTAGTCATGACGTCAAACGTGGAGTGGGTTGACTCGATTGGTTCTTCAAAATCTACCAATAAATAAATAGGCCAAACTTAACGTAAAATAGCCTAACATTTCGAATTAAACACCTGCACATGTCCAAGATTTGAATCAAACAGTCGTAGATCATGTTTTGTTAAGAATCGAATTTTTATTGCAACCTTTATGCAAAATGTTTTGTTATGACGTCATCGCTGCCAATAGAGGCTAGGGTGACCGTTCAGATTGGCAAAAGCCAAGTGGAACTCGAAAATTCGCGTAACATCACTTGACAAAATAGGCCTATTTTCATTCTATATTTTCAAATATAAAATCTTTTTTATAAGAAACAAAATTCGATGTTAATAACTCAAATATTCGTTGCTTTTTAAGACTTTCTTAATAAAAATTTCATTAACTTTAACATTCAGGGTTTAACATTTCATAACTTATGTTGGTGTAGGTTTTCACCTGTCAAGAGATTCAAAGGGGGTAAAGTGTTTTCTTTTTCTATGTCCAAAATTCAGTAATAACATAATATTTTGCTTCGAGTACTGAAATTTCTTCACTTTTTCCGATTGCTCAGTATTCGTTTGTTGTAGTGGGTTTTTTTGTCAAAAACGAGGGTAGACTTTTATCTATTCTAAATTTGATTCCGAAATGCACGTATTCTTGCTGGTAAATTCTTTACCAAGATGGTGAATTTGAGAAATTTCGGCTGGCAGCTCGAGAGAATACAATTTATGATTGAAATTCTTACTACAAGCCATCTCATCCCAAACCAGCCTTGTTAGATTTCAAATTTAAAAAGGGGGCCATTTCAAAAATAACTTTGCAAAATATATATTATAAAATAGATTGTACTGTGTACAAAAATTGCGAGGATAATCATATTCAGTTTCAATTCCAAGGTTATTTTTAAGGCAATTTCAGAGTCGAGTTAAGGCAAATCCAATATGTAAGTTGATGTTTGACCAGCTTTGTTTGTCTATCTGGTACTTCAATTCTGGAAATGGAATCTGTTTACACCGTTTTGTTGATAAAATTTCGATTTTCTGCCAAAACTCAGATTTCTACTATATGCATATAATACTGCTTTTACCAGACAAAATATGAGCATACCCTGAGTTGATAAGAAATGTTAAAAATCATTTATGATCATTTAAAAGCCACTTGTAAATATTGCTTGATGAAACGACAACCCCTCTAGAACACTTTATAAACTCTTTAGAAAAAAAGGCAGCCTGCGATTCTGATAAACGAGGGACAATTTTCGAAGTTGATGAAACGACGAAAAGGGCGCGTTACTTTGTATTAGACATGCAAAATCAGGCCTTTTCGAGATACAAGGGGTACTTTTCATCAAAAGGGGTAATCTGTTCCTGGAGTAATGAAGGGCCAGGTGCCCACCACTAGCCTGTGCTCCAGACCACTAACTTTCAAGGCTAACCAGCAAGTGACTGTCTATCAAAATCAGTGATCAAAAGTTGACAGTGATAATAAAACTGATAGAAAAAGATTTATCAGTGATAAATCTTTTTCTATCAGTTTTATCCACGTAGTTGGCGGTCTTCCGACTTTCTTTTTTGTCTTCTCAAGCTTTCATCAAGAGTTATCTTTACTGGAGTATCAAACCGTCTTCTCCTGTTGTCCTCCATGGCTCTGATTTTGTTTTTTTGTATAGTTCATCATTTTTTTATTTCTTTTGGCCATCTGAAATTCTTTGTGATTGATGGAAAAAAAATTATCACTGATCAACATATAACTGACCATGTATTTTAGTTTAGGGTGTTGACGCCTGCGTCATAGATATGTCTTTAGATTACATGATGGCGCTGCATGTTTTGTCACCACCAAAGGAAAAAAAGTTGTATTTCCTATAGTCCATTCATTTGACATGAAGGGCCGCGTGCATATTTTTTGGGCAAGAAATGCATCGTTTGGCATTCTCTGATCACTAGTCCTCCAGGCACCGCGGAGCAGGGGGTGGCACTTTTTGCAAAAAATGCCAAATATTTAGTACTCAACTACCAGTAAAGCCTCTTTTTATAAGGTTCTAGCCCCCCCCCACTTTTTTTAGACCCCCAATTTTCTCAACGCTCCGCGGTGCCTGTCCTCTTGTATTTTCTCTTGCTGACACTTATCAACCGCTCAGCCAGCGATAATTCGCACTTTCACGAACATTTTCAGTTTTTAATTTTAAAATTCACACAACATACAAGCTCAATACAAAATACATCAAAAACAATAATTACAGATATATAACAAACGATAAGCACCAAAAATTAAACTAAAAAAGAGAACATATGAAACCTGCATGCGGGGCATTCCTTGAGGAGATCTCTCAGTAGATAGACTTATCCAGGAGAGAGCACCCCTTATGTTAAATAATTCATGTTTTCAGTTATCTATGATGCGTTATGTTCACATTACCAAACTAGCCCAGGCCGAGCCCATGTTTTCAGCGTTCACATCTGAAACTGGCCTAGGCCAGGCCCAGGCTAGTTTGGCCCGGGTTAATTTGTGTAGTGTGGACGGGGCTTTAGAATGACCGCAAAGACCCCAAGACCGTGGAGCCACTCCACGCAAAGAAACCAAATCCACAGGCAGCATCTGTTCGAATTTTCGAAAAATGGCCTAAGATAAATTTTGAGAGAAGATGAGTTTTTAAATTAGGAACAATCACAATTACGAGAACATAATCTTTTTTAAAAATGTTCTCTCTATTTACGGAACTGATGATCCAACACACCACACTCTATGTCAGCTAAGATCTGAAAAGAACCGTAACTGACCATTCAAATAAAAAAGTTCCTATCTCAGAAGTAAACTAGCTTCTTATGTTTTTAATCCAGTTTTGGAAAAATTAGAAAATCGATCATAAAAAAAGTCAAGTGGACATATCCTCCACAGTCCACCCCGTGGCGCCGTCCCTGAATGACCAGGGGATTTTTCATTTTCACCCCACCCCCATTTGTCCCCAGTCAGTTGCAAACTAAGGCACGAAATCTCAAAAATGCTGCCGCCCTTGCCATAACTCCCTGTTATCTCTCGTAAAGTAAGTAAACTCACCGGTTTGTTACACAGGTGTATTTAACACGTCTAACACACTAGTGACATGTTAAACATGGTTTGGGATATGTTCCAAACCTCCAAAAAAATGCAAGGGGTCCCGTCTCGTATCCAATTAAAATACATTTATCGGCTCTATGCCTCATTCCAGCCATTGGCCCCGACTTTGAAAAGCTTCCGCATGTCAAGCCACAGTAATGTCAAAATTCAAAGCGGAGCTTTTTATGACGTCAGAACAGGGGTTCGTGACCATTTCTTCATGACTTGCAAACCGACAAACTACCCAGCTATCCAGCTATAAGGGTATCCAGCTCCTCTTAACTATCTTCTCTGGCTGAGCTGTTACTTCTTCGGTCTTTTCATAATTTCTCTTAATCATCCTAACGTTCCAGCAGTTTCAAATTCAACGCCTCGATTTTTAACTCTAAGGTGGTCAGAAACTCTAATCCCCTCCTTGCGAGAGGCAATCGAAAATATTGCGAACTGTAAACGAGGGGCAAATCACTCCAAGAAAATCTCGTACACCTTTTGTGAAAATCCTTTTGTTTTATCTGAAGATCCCTAGAAATCCTTTTGTTTTAGGGGAAATCTCGTACGCTATTTGCAAGAGTGAATTTCCCCTCGACTGTAAATGCCTCCAGTTCATTTTGTTCCATAGGCTATGAAAATTAAAAATATCTCCTCTAAATAAGAGTTTATGACACTCTTCAGCTCCATTTATTGAGCTGACATCAAAACCTGAGTGTACGCCGAAGGTTTTGGGCACAAGTTAATGGAATGCACCCTGACCATCAATACAACAGCTTCTTGTTATTTACATCGATGTGCACTCTAAAGCAAAGGTGACACTTTCTTTCTTTCTCCAACGCATGAGTTCTCCCCTCAAATTTTTGTTAAAAATCAATAATCACTGTTTTCTGAGAATCGTCGAACTGTGTATTCTGAGCGGCATAGTAATTAATTAAGTTTTAGTCTGGGAGATGCATTTTTAGCCATTCTAGAAGGCTTGATTTCAATACTTTTTTGCTCGTCGCACCCAACCATGGTAGGTCCTCCTATGTCACTTAACTTTATTCTTAGCTGCCCAGATTCAATTTTGATAGAATCGCCCATAAGAAGTGCCGTAAATAGTAAATAGACTATGGCTACCATTAGTTAAAAATCTGAGAAGCCCTAAACAAAAATTTGCTCTATTTTATTTTACTCTGAAGCTGGTATTCTGGATATGAAAAACGAATTCAAGGGCCCATCAGCCGGTAGGTACACATCAGTGTAATTGAATAGAATGTCTTTTGATTATTATTTTATGTTTTGCCTACCGTGATTTCTCTTCTAGAAACACATGCTTTTATATAACCACGATATATAGATAGGGCGCAAAAATCCACTTGGCCACCCCAGGGAAAACTTAGCCACCCCGCCACTGGAGCCCCAAGGTCTAACACCCCTGGCTAGAAGCATGCCCACATGTTTTCCTTATCTGAGAGCCCTCCAGCACACCTATTTCAACATCGACATTAACAAACCAGGTTCTGAGGCTCAACGTTTTTTATAATTATCCCAGCGCTAGATCCAAAAATTGATAGTGATAGTGATAGATCCAAAATTTAAGAATCTCCGCGGATAAATTCCTGAAATTAAATGGGGTCTACCCTTTGAAAACTGACTCATGCTGCTAGATGATTGGGTATTGATGCCCTCTTACTCATGGGCTCCGACAAAGGTTGAAAAGGGGGGCACGGGAAAATTTAACACCCATAACAAAATGTTATTGTTTTGCAAAAAAGTGGGGGGCCCCCCGGCTCCCCCTTCGTCGGAGGCCTTTCTACTTCGGTCATTGACGCAAATGAGAATTTGCGGTTCTCCATTACATTTTGTGGTACACTCTTTGTAGGAACAACGACGCTCGGCTCGGGTTGCTTAAAATAACAACATCATACGAGCATATTATGTTCTTCAGTTCAGATCTTAGAAGATAAAAAGCAGCGTTTCTTCGAAAATTTACTCGCATGGTTTGAAAACAGTTAGGGGTTTATCACTCTTTCCGAACAGCGTAAGAGATTTTTTGAAACAATAAGATTTTTTTAGGATTTTTCATGAATTTTTCTTGGAAACAGAAATGTTTTTGCCAAAGGCGTACGAGATTTTCATGGAGTGATATGCCCCTCGTAGTTTATATAGTAAGTGGTGATAAAAATCAATTTTGAAATGAAAACAGCATTAATGCGCGTCAAATCATCCATATCACAAAAACAGTAAGTCTCGACCGAAATTAACTGGTTCTTGTAAAAAAACTGTATTTAATGCATTTTCCTTTTCATCTTGAAGGAAATTCCTTGCATTAAGAGGGTTTATGCTATGCTGCAAAGAGAAAAGGTTTATGCTGTGCTACGACCATTGGGGTTGTCGGCCTGCGGCTAGCCCCTGCGGCTAACCCCTGCGGCTAGCCTCTGCGGTCGCCTTTCTTTTAGCGCGTCAATGGTTTCATTTGATTATGTAAATACGTATTCAAAGTTGCCATCAGCGATGTACGTCGTTGTACTAGGAAGAAGATGAGATCCTTGGATCGGTAGAGGAACAAACAAGACTTGTTGATGCTTTTCTGGGAACAAACAGGTATTTATCATTATGGAATGCAAAGACAATTTGGCAGGCTGCCTCAGTATGCAGGTTTTTGACAATAAAGTGGATGGTCAGTGCCTAGGACCTGGCCTGACTGGCTTATTCAAATTCCTATCTATTGTTTTTTTCCTGGTTGGATGTATTGGAAATGCAGCATTTTTGTTCGTTACTGCAAGGAGTTATCAAGAACTAAACTCGACCGATCTTTTTTTGGTCGGACTTTCTGGTCTTGACCTCATCGCATCAATTTTCTTGCCCCTGGTATATTTTCTAGAAATTTCAGATTCTCTTCATCATGGTTCAAACGGCGCTTGCCAGTTCATGACATTGATGCACGAAATTTCAATCGTGCTCACTGTTTATGTTCTTTTATTTACAATCCACGGTTTCTATCGAAAGTTCGTTTTGAACAGATCAGAAGAGAGCAAGAAAACAAGATTCGTTGGCCTATTTACCTTCGGCACTTTCCTTGTGGTAATTCCAGCAGTGCCTATTGTGATGGACACACGTTTGGAGAATGGCAAATGCCACGTTGAGGTATTGACGTTCACTAGTGTGGTGATCTACGATGTCGTTATTTTCATCATCCAAGTCATACTCCCTCTTACTGTTATCACCTATCTTTTCGCACGACTTGGGGTACAATTGCATTACAATCGATTCAGATCTGAGGTGGATGCAATGGAAAACGCGCGCAATAAACGAAAGACACTCGTTCTTTTGGTGATCACGTGTACGTTTTATCTCCTTTTCTTGCCATACATGTTTATGAATCTGTGGTTCCTCCTCGACTCAGGACGAAAACTGGCATCCAAACACTCCTGCTACATTTACGATATTTTCCACCTCATAATTAGTGGGAAATGTGTTGTTAATCCATTAATTTATCTTGTCCTGGATGAGAATTTCAGATACAACCTTAAACGTATCATCAGCAGCTGTAGAATTGGGAGAAGACATCATTTCATTAATGTGAAATATTCTGAACATCGGCGGGAAGAGTGCCTGATTGACGAAACTGATGCTGTTGCACAGGGTGGTATGGACTGTGAAATGAATGACTGGGAGCCAGCAAAAAGAACAAGCTCACCACTGCCCCCAGACCCCCAACTGGAGCTTAATGAAACAGATCATGATTATGAAGAAGACAATGGCATGGGGGAAGACAGTGTTGCTATTTTACGTCCATGGAAGAATCTTAGGTCAACTTCGACTTTGTAGAAGGCCACCACATGAAGGGTATTTTTATATGTGTTGTTGCGTTTCTCTTGTATCGTTGGTTCTAGAATAAAATAGGTGAATCAAGATAGTCTAACTTGTGTGAAGCACATATCCAGGAAATCAAGAATGTGTTAGCTAATAATCGTATATTTAAAGATGACTAATTGTCATCAGTAAAAATCAGCAGCTTTTTGTTTTTATACACTCTTTTTTATAAGAACCAGACAATTTTTGCCAAGGCTGGATGTTCTTTTTTGATAATTTGAAGCTCAGATGTTCTTAATTAACAAAAACAAGCAAGTTTGCAGACAAAAGACAAAATTTACTGACAGAAGGGTTGAAACTGTGTTTAAGCCGACAATATAGCAAAAGCTGGGGGTGTGTGTGCCCCCTCCCACACCCCTCCAATTTCTGTCTCTGAAAGACCAATTAATTTGCCCTGTTAACATCTGAAGAAATTTCTACAACATCTTGGTTTTATCTTCTAATTTATCACCTGAAGCTGGACATGTTCTTAAAATGCTTTTATTTTTTGCAAATGAGCTTCTACGTTCTTATAGAAAATTCTTACAAAAAAGGAGTGTATATTTATGTCAGGCATTTTTATTCCAAATATTGAGCCATGAATGGAAATTGAATGTTCCAGTGACTTTTGCTTCAGGATTATTGAACTAATACAGAATGTTTAGACTATCTTGGTCATCTAAACTGCACATTTAAGGGGCAGATTTTAATGAAATAAGGTGAAAACTATTGTGTTTTGCTAAAGGTTATTTAGTTGTTTGTGTTGGTAAGGCTTTTTTGTCGTAATTTTTTGGGCTCTAAGGCTCATTGCAGTACGCTTGTTGTGTACAAGAGTATTGGAAAATGAGATACAAATAATGTGGAATTGGTAGACCTGGTTGCAATAAATTTGGAATCGTTTTGGATTTATATTGTTACGGGCAAAAACTCCTGAGTATTCGGGAAAATTCTTGCCATCTGGCTTGATGTTAGAAGATACTTTTTTTGGTATATTGTCCAATTGGTGTTAAAATACTAGTGTCTCCTTGCTAATCACAAATTATTTACTACCAACCACTTGGCTCTTTGAAGAAAATGGGTTGTAATCATTAAATCCCTTGCAAGAGTTCCATGTATGACCCATCTAAAAACAAATCTGAGAAGGAGCTTCTTGGCCTTGTTTCCTTGCAGCCAGCATATAGCTCTACTCTGGAATGTTTCTTGGAGTAATGTTAGGTTTGAAACCATGTGAATGCTTTTTAGATACAGATGATAATGAAATTTAAAGAAATATGTCAAGTGCAGAAATTTTTATGCATGTGAAACAATTATAGAACAACAACATTCGTGGAAAAGCCACGAGAGTAGACAGATCTTCAATTCCTGTTCTTGTTGTAAGCTTGGTAAGTTTTTTAAAGTTTTTCATGTTTTTTAATCAAGGATTCAAATCATTTTTGGGAATCAGTGAGATGCTTCTATAGCCTTCGGAGATAATTTAATGGTATTAAAGGAAGGTGAACATAATGCATTGCAACCAGCCTCTCTTCTCTCTACAGACTTGAATCCAGCTACCAAAATATTTTCCTCAAGATTCTAGATTTTTTCAGACTTTTGTCAATCCTTGCATTTGAAAGAAAGAATGGAAGATAAAACAGAGCTCTAAAGTGATGGCATCACAAAAACTGCTTTTGTAGAACTTTTGACTTATGATCAGAAAACAGCCTGTGGACCTGAAACAGCCTTGTGGAAGGCCCCCATAAGGGGTGACACCAGCTCAAACTGTAGTAATTTTGCTGACATATGGTCAAAAGATCACAGGCTTTTTCCCCATCAATTCACTGTAATATGTTCTCTGTTCATAATAGGAACCAAGCCAAAAAAGTAGTAGGCCTTTAGGGAAACTTTAATCTTTAGTTGGCCATACCTTGCCGGGTTATTAGCATACTTGACTGATTTTCCTTATTTGTAAGTATTTCATTGTATTCTTTAAGTCAGGTTATGTCACTTTTGCTGTTTCTGAAAAGTAGGGGACACCTGCTCCCTGTGCCCCAAGGTCCCTATGTCTATTAACATTACATTAGAAAAAGGCGCTTCACATTTATTGATATTTGCTCTTCTTTAATGTCATACATTTAATCATTTCTTTTAATGATGTGTAGCTATAGTACTAAACCAAATGAGAGTTAGCTGTTTCAAAATTTGTATCTTTAATAAATGGTAACAACCTAGTGTTCAGCGTAGATCTCATGTAGTATTGAGTATTTAATAGTATGTAATCAGTTTATGGTTTACTTTGCTTGATTTCCTCGAATTTGCTCTCAATTTACGGTAATTAACCACAGGCTTCTAGGCTCTAGGGGAGGTGGAGAACAAAACAAGAAATTCTAGGCCCTGCCCTTTTTGCTGTCAGCAAGCGCCTCTTTACCAATGGAGAACGACAAATGACTAGTAGAGATCCCCAAAACTAAATTTTGGTTACGCCAAGGCAGTTTTAAAAACATCATAGGATAACATCATAAAATTCGTTACCAAAATATTGCCCCTCCCTCGAAAGTTCTGCCATTGAACGAAATACCAAATCAATCATGCAAAGAACAACAGGGGATAAGCTTCCCACTCCCCACTACGTAAGTCAATGTTTCTCGTTGTGTTTGCTTCGAATTTTTCATTTTTACGTCATCTCTTTAAGAAAGCTGTTGTTTAATTATATTTAATTATCTGTCAGTCTGTTTTTCTTCGATGATCAACTCAATTCTCCTAAATTGGAATTCTATTGATTTTTTATCAAAGAAACAAGCGCATAAACTTGATAAAACTCGTAAATTTTAAAGATGCACTTTTCAATCAAAACGAGGTCCAAGCAGTGGTTAATCCTACTCGCAAACGTTTACACGAGTTTTCAAGCTTTCGATCAAAATAAAAAGATCATATGATGCGGAAAACTTGATGCATACTTGTTCATCAAAACCAAACCTTTAAATTTGAAAAAAATCCGAAATTTCGAAGATGAATATTTTCATTAAAAACCATCTTGAAATACTGCTAAATGTTCCCAGAAAGCGATTCAGTCCATTTTATTTTTTTAGTTCAAAGTAAAATGGTCACAAAAATTGGAAATCTGGATGCAAAATTTTTCATCAAAAACCAAGTCTATACACTTCAAAAAATTCGAATTTTTGAAGGCAAATTTTTTTATTGAAACTCATCTTGAAATAGTGCTAAATGTTCCCAGAAAGCGATTCAATCTATTTTATTTCTTTAGTTCAAAGTAAAATGGTCACAAATATTGGAAAACTGGATGCAAAATTTTTCATCGAAAACCAAGTCTATACACTTGAAAAAATTCGAATTTTTGAAGGCAAATTTTTTTATTGAAACTCATCTTGAAATAGTGCTAAATGTTCCCAGAAAGCGATTCAGTCCATTTTATTTTTTTAGTTCAAAGTAAAATGGTCACAAATATTGGAAAACTGGATGCAAAATTTTTCATCGAAAACCAAGTCTATACACTTGAAAAAATTCGAATTTTTGAAGGCAAATTTTTTTATTGAAACTCATCTTGAAATAGTGCTAAATGTTCCCAGAAAGCTATTCAATCTATTTTATTTCTTTAGTTCAAAGTAAAATGGTCACAAATATTGGAAAACTGGATGCAAAATTTTTCATCGAAAACCAAGTCTATACACTTGAAAAAATTCGAATTTTTGAAGGCAAATTTTTTTATTGAAACTCATCTTGAAATAGTGCTAAATGTTCCCAGAAAGCGATTCAGTCCATTTTATTTTTTTAGTTCAAAGTAAAATGGTCACAAATATTGGAAAACTGGATGCAAAATTTTTCATCGAAAACCAAGTCTATACACTTGAAAAAATTCGAATTTTTGAAGGCAAATTTTTTTATTGAAACTCATCTTGAAATAGTGCTAAATGTTCCCAGAAAGCGATTCAGTCCATTTTATTTCTTTAGAACAAAGTGAAATGGTCACAAAAATTGGAAAAGTGGATGCAAAATTTTTCATCAAAAACCAAGTCTATACACTTGAAAAAAATTCGAATTTTTAAAGGCAAATTTTTTTATTGAAACTCATTTTGAAGTAGTGCTAAATGTTCCCAGAAAGCGATTCAGTCCATTTTATTTTTTTAGTTTAAAGTAAAATGGTCACAAAAATTGGAAATCTGGATGCAAAATTTTTCATCAAAAACCAAGTCTATAGACTTCAAAAAATTCGAATTTTTAAAGGCAAATTTTTTTATTGAAACTCATCCTGAAATAGTGCTAAATGTTCCCAGAAAGCGATTCAATCTATTTTATTTCTTTAGTACAAAGTAAAATGGTCACAAAAATTGGAAATCTGGATGCAAAATTTTTCATCAAAAACCAAGTCTATACACTTTAAAAAATTCGAATTTTTGAAGGCAAATTTTTTTATTGAAACGCATCCTGAAATAGTGCTAAATGTTCCCAGAAAGCGATTCAATCTATTTTATTTCTTTAGTTCAAAGTAAAATGGTCACAAATATTGGAAAACTGGATGCAAAATTTTTCATCGAAAACCAAGTCTATACACTTGAAAAAATTCGAATTTTTGAAGGCAAATTTTTTTATTGAAACTCATCTTGAAATAGTGCTAAATGTTCCCAGAAAGCGATTCAGTCCATTTTATTTCTTTAGTTCAAAGTAAAATGGTCCCAAATATTGGAAAACTGGATGCAAAATTTTTCATCGAAAACCAAGTCTATACACTTGAAAAAAATTCGTATTTTTGAAGGCAAATTTTTTTATTGAAACTCATTTTGAAGTAGTGCTAAATGTTCCCAGAAAGCGGTTCAGTCCATTTTATTTCTTTAGTTCAAAGTAAAATGGTGACAAATATTGGAAAACTGGATGCAAAATTTTTCATCGAAAACCAAGTCTATACACTTGAAAAAAATTCGTATTTTTGAAGGCAAATTTTTTTATTGAAACTCATTTTGAAGTAGTGCTAAATGTTCCCAGAAAGCGATTCAGTCCATTTTATTTCTTTAGTTCAAAGTAAAATGGTGACAAATATTGGAAAACTGGATGCAAAATTTTTCATCGAAAACCAAGTCTATACACTTGAAAAAAATTCGTATTTTTGAAGGCAAATTTTTTTATTGAAACTCATTTTGAAGTAGTGCTAAATGTTCCCAGAAAGCGATTCAATCTATTTTATTTCTTTAGATCAATTTAAAATGGTCACAAAAGTTGGAAAACTGGATGCAAAATTTTTCATCGAAAACCAAGTCTATACACTTGAAAAAAATTCGTATTGTTGAAGGCAAATTTTTTTATTGAAACGCATCCTGAAATAGTGCTAAATGTTCCCAGAAAGCGATTCAGTCCATTTTATTTCTTTAGTTCAAAGTAAAATGGTCCCAAATATTGGAAAACTGGATGCAAAATTTTTCATCAAAAACCAAGTCTATACACTTGAAGAAAATTCGTATTTTTGAAGGCAATTTTTTTTTATTGAAACTCATTTTGAAGTAGTGCTAAATGTTCCCAGAAAGCGATTCAGTCCATTTTATTTCTTTAGTTCAAAGTAAAATGGTCCCAAATATTGGAAAACTGGATGCAAAATTTTCATTAAAAACCAAGTCTATACACTTGAAGAAAATTCGTATTTTTGAAGGCAAATTTTTTTATTGAAACTCATTTTGAAGTAGTGCTAAATGTTCCCAGAAAGCTATTCAGTCCATTTTATTTCTTTAGTTCAAAGTAAAATGGTCACAAAAATTGGAAATCTGGATGCAAAATTTTTCATCAAAAACCAAGTCTATACACTTGAAAAAATTCGAATTTTTGAAGGCAAATTTTTTTATTGAAACGCATCCTGAAATAGTGCTAAATGTTCCCAGAAAGCGATTCAGTCCATTTTATTTCTTTAGTTCAAAGTAAAATGGTCACAAAAATTGGAAAACTGGATGCAAAATTTTTCATCAAAAACCAAGTCTATACACTTGAAAAAATTCGAATTTTTGAAGGCAAATTTTTTCATTGAAAATCATCCTGAAATAGCGCTAAATGTTCCCAGGAAGCGTTGCAATCTATTTTTCTTCTTTAGATCAAAGTAAAGTGGTCACAAAAATTGGAAAACTGGATGCAAAATTTTTTATCAAAAGCCAAGTCTATACTCTTGAAAAAATTGAATTTTTGAAGGCAAATTTTTTCATTGAAAATCATTTTTAAATAGCGCTAAATGTTCCCAGGAAGCGTTTCAATCTATTTTACTTTTTTAAATCAAAGTAAAATGGTCACAAAAGTTGGAAAACTGGTTCCACAATTTTTCATCAAAAACAAAGTCCATACACTTGAAAAAAGCGAAATTTTGAAGGCAAATCTTTTCATTGAAAATCATCCTAAAATGGTGCTAAATGTTATCAAGAAGCGTTTGAATCTGTTTTGCTTCTTTAGATCAAAGTTGAAAGACAAGAGAATGTGGAAAACTGGATGTATGACCAAGCCTATACATTTGAGAAAAATTATAACTTTTGAAAGCAACTTTTTCTTCTAAAAGCAGCTCCAAATCCTGCTATTTGTACCTTGAAAACATTTAACGTGTTTTCATCAGCAGGGCATAAAAACCTGGTTGCATTTATTTTCATCAAAAATCAAGCAAAAACACTTCAAAAATCACAGCTTTTGAAGCAAAATCTCTTTTTTAAAAGCAGCCTGAAAAAGCGTTGATTGTTCCAGGTATAGCATAAAACATGTTTTGCAGCTAGGGGTCGTTGTAAGATGAACATTAAATTTGATTTTTTAAAGGAATCAAATCTGTGAAAGTATATCTTTCTCTCAAATCCAATTAGATGTTTATGATGTGACATTTCATAGATTCCAATCAATCGATTACTACACTAACGTTCAAAAAGTATTGGGACACACTTCGAAGACGGAATTAGTTTCGCTGACGGTTTCGCAGGCTTTTCGACCTGTGTACGCTAATTAACGCGTATTTCGAACTCTCTACACAACACCAGGTGCTTGCTAACGTATAGCTTGCAAAAAGAAACCTAGATACAAATTAGGAAAAAGAAATCAAGTTTGAGAGCTAAAAATACTCCTAAAGCCCTGGCAAAACAAATAAAACATCGGCATAGAACACATCCAACATTGTTGCGTAAAACATGTTTCATTCGTTTCGTCACCATGCTTTACGATGCTTTACGATGTTTTACGATGTTTTACGATGTTACACGATGTTTTACGATGTTTATGATTGTTAATGATCTTTTGCAAAATTTGATTTCCATCAAACATTTCGTAGAACATCTCTTTTGTTCTCATGTTTGATCAACAATGTTGCGTTAATTGGGCCACCCCTTAAAATATTTGTTTTACTTTCGCAAGCCTAGTAGATCAAAATTCGGCAAATACAACGCAGTAACTATAAGGAGCAGCGCTTGACCATCACAGATGTTTTAAAAGTTGTTTGATTTGTTTGGCCAGGTCATAAAGCAATGTCCAACAATGTTGGTACAAAATGTTTGACAATGTTCCACGGATGTTTTATTCGTTTGGCCGGGCCTTAAGATTAATCTCTCTTCCGATGTGTGAGATCGGGTATAAAATCAGGAGAGCAAGCGCGTTTTGTAGATTTCAAGGTCCAAAACTATAAAAAAGGTTGTAAAATTTCAATTATATATGTTCCATAAAACGACTTAACGTTAATATACTATCAATTTTAAAAATGAGACTTGAAATTAGAATTCAAAAACTCGCATTACCTAACTTGACAAAAAGCTAAGGCTATCTTACTAGAGTAAAATTAACATTCATAACCAAAGATTGATAGCTAGAATTAGTAGATTAAGGGTTCTCGTCAGGATCCTACGAGTTACGATTTTTTAAAACTGGCATTAAAAAAAACAAAAGGTGTCACAATAACAAACACGTCCTGACAAAAAATTGAATCTAACATGGCAATATTTTATCCTCTACTTGGGAAGGCTTTAAATTCAGTTGCATGTAATCCAGACCATGTGACAAAACGCATATATATATCTAAGTACCTCATACTTCATAACTACTGCATTCTTAATATCAAATAAAATGAAAAGCATTTAGTTAAGTTGCAGAACACGTAGAAATAAATACCTTTTCAAATTTCTTTCAACTTTTCCTAAAACAAGGTTCAGAATACACCTGAACAACATCACTTAAAATAACACCCACCCATTATACTCAATGAATATTTCCTTGAACTTTATGAAAAGATAATCACCTTACGAACTCATTCCAACATTTATTTTGTTTAACAAATATCCGTTTAACATCTTTTGGAATATTTTCCCAAACATCGACCAAGAGGGAAAAATTGATGACGTCATGAGCCATAAGGTCTTTTACAAAATCGGTAAGATTTGTTCGCGAATGGTTCAGAAGTATACTTAAGTCTTAAGGATAACTATTGTTTTGTTTTGGTTCATAGAGCTTGTAGCCAAAACCAAATTGCCGTGATTTCATAGAGAAAGTAAATTAACGTAACTGGCTTTATCCCATCCAATATTGATTGGAGTAGAGTGCTTTCTTATAATGAGCATTCAGATAAGGTGATGAAAAATGTGAACAATCATAGAATAATCTTTTCATAGCACTATACCACTATACCACTAATATCTTATACTTTGCTTAAGAATAATTTTCAAAACTAACAAATGTTTTCGGACCTTTTTTGGCAACCATTTTCGGCAACTAATAACTTTTTATATCGATTACCACATCTTACAAACATCACGATAACTTATCTTTAGCATACAAATGATGTGAAACGAAAGAAAAGTGCTATCATTGATGCATTTTTAAAATTGCAACGAATATCTATATTGTGGCTTCAATTATTATTAAAACAGCATTAATCGTGGGAAAAATTCACGACTTGATCGATCAATTTAGAAAATCCTATAATTTAAAATGACTAAACAAATACCAAATTACTTTGGCGGATAGCTGAAAACGCAAAGTAGCGTGTCAGAGTTATTCATGATCATTCATAATGGTACAAACGATCAGCAACTTTATACGGTACTGCCACTGAACGAATCCTTTACCACAGAATAGGAATTATTTCCTATTCTGTACCTCTACTGTGAAACCTCTCCTTTACTTTAATGCCCAAATGCATGCTGGGAAATTAGGCATTACACTCGGTCTCCTCCTCAGACTTCCCGTTCGCCTCAGTCTTTCCCTTAGACTTATCATCAGTTGGGCCCGGGACAGGTCCGCAACAGGTCTGCTGTGCACAATTCTTGTCTGCTCCGCATTCTAAGATGCAGCCATCTGGCGATTCTGGGTCTTCTTCAAACTCTGGCTGTATTGTTGTTGAATGTATTCCTTCATTGTGGAAGAATTCCTTCAGGTCGTTTGCAATTGCCATGTAGTCGTGGATATTTTGACAGCGCACGTGAGCAGAAGCTGCCAGATAAAAACAGATTAACTAAGAATTATGGTTGTCACAATGTTGTAAATTGGACAATTTGACTGTGGTTTAAAATTAATCTCCAATTATTTATCTGTGTCTTTCCTTCAATAGAGGTTAAACGGTTCATACCAGTTAAAGGGCAAAACTCAATAGTGGAATCATTTTTAAATTGGAAAATTTAACTGTGATTTAAAATTAATCTCCAATTACTTATCTGTGCCCTTCCTTCAAGAGAGGTTAAACGGTCCATACCATTTATAGTGCAAAACTCAATAGAAAATCAACATCAGGACGACCCACTGTCAAAAAGTATCAACTTATATTCTTTCACGTAATTTTACTCCACAATTTAAAGCCACATATTCCTGACCATATCCCTTCAAGTTAAGCTGAACATTCATTCATTCTTTAATCAACTCATTCATTCATTCATTCATTCATTCATCAACTCGATTCGCATGATCATTTTTATAACGAACGAGTTTTGCCCATAAGCCAATCTTCTTTAAACTGAACCTAAAATGGATTCATCCTAAAGAATAATTTCACTCTGAAATCAAAACGAACAATTTCCGAGCCACAAAGTGCCAAAAAGCATGCTTCCAATTCAGTTTTGGTTGAAAAGCTGGTAACTAATTATCGCTGATATATTTTTGAAAATGCATGAGTATCAAATATCCGGAGCTTTGTTAAGCACAATATCAAGGCTCGTTATTTTAAAGACTCATTGCTAACAATGAGCCATTGCGCTACGCAAGCATCCCATAATGCATTTTTAGAATGTCTGAAATCAATTTTGGTTAATCCGTACAAGTTTACTGCCATTGTTTGGATCGTCGCCACGCTCGCAAAGGCCCATTGTTAGCAATGAAACTTCAAGGCTGCGTTTACACGATGCCGGATAACTTTTGATCCGGAAAGAAAGTTATACGGATAGGCTTTCCGTTTACACGAGTACTGGGCTATCCGTATCAAAATTGATTCGGTAAGCCGTATAACTTTTGATCTATCTAGCTAGACGATCTCAAAGTTATCCGGCATCGTGTAGACGGGCTATTCGGATAAGTTTTGTTACGGATTCATAGCGAGGCGGTGATTTTGACACAACTAAGCTAACATTTTAGCGCCAAGCTTCGCTATTCATAATAGAGCTCACATCACTCGGTGGCATATTATTTTCAGTTGTTGATTAGAGCACTTCAAGGACCCAACACATCAGGAGAATTCTTAAAAAAATCATCTAGAAAGAAAAGTTTGCGTAAGTTTCGGCAAAGGTCTTGACAAAAAACTCGGAGGGATAATTTTATCAATCGAGCCAGAAGAATGGATTTCGAATGAGCAAGGGGAGTTTCACCAATCTTTGTCTTGAACTGAATCCATTCATTTTGAAAAATCTGCTGTATCCGTACTCGTGTAAATGGGAAGTTTGTCTCACAGACCCAGTCTGAAAACCTTCAACCGACACTTCGAATTGACCACTACAGTCCTCCGATTTACACAGGGCTCACGTCACCACGGGGGGGGGGGGGGCGGGGCGGAGTTGCCATGGCTGGTTGCAGGTGTATCCCTTGAACCTAAGCCTTTATTTATGGCTGACATAAGTACTTTTTATTGCATCGTGGCATCGATTTTTATAGCATCGTGGCTAAGCTTCGATGTCCTAATTTTGAAGAATGTTAAGTGTAGTGATTTTACATCTGAAGTAACTAACAAACTACGAATTCAGTCGGATGATAGTGTGCATATCGAAATTTATATCTGACTTATCTCAGCAGAAAGCTCAGATTCTAAGCTACCAAAGAGTGTCTCTATCAAAATTGATAAACATTTATTCTACCCTTCCGTAGTTGTATTTGCCTATAAAAGACGGACCAGAGCAACAAAAAAATTTTGAGACATTCTTGTGCTTACAGGACATCTTTTCTAGTCATGTGCAAATTTTTGAGCCATTCAATTGATTCCTTGGGTATAAAATAGCTTTTTCATACCTGTGTGTAGAGGAATTGTGAGTCCGGAGAAAAGGCGATTTTACTGATGACCACAGTGTAATCCGGGTCCAGCATATATGGGATACATGGGCCTACCATGGGATTGTAACTAGTTATTGCAAAAGAGACATGCAACCACATCGGCTTAACAGGTCAAGAGATTCTCAGACCCAAAATAAAACTTTGATAAAGAACTTATGAGAACCTTTGTTTACATGGGATCTCTTCCATTTTAAAAATGTCTGTTAGTTTCAAATGTGGTATCATTGTGTGCCTTGAAAGTTTGACTAGTAGAATGTGAAGAAATTGGAATTTGGATGTTTTCATTCTGAAAATGTTTACCATAATCTTAATTATAATAAAGTTTCAAACCCTGTATAGTTTTTATTTTCTTTTATGGCCTTTTCAACTTTTCGCAGGGCAAAATTTTTTCAATGCAGCCACTCACCTCCCCCAACAAAAAGTATGGAGTGACACCCCTGCCAGGAAGGCCTGAATTCATTGAGCAGTCCTGCTACTTTAGCCTTCCCTTGCACATTATGATGAATACTGCACACAGATTGCTCAACTCAGGTTCTTATGACACCTGATAAACAACTACTAATTCCTAAAACAAGGTTAATTGTGGTTGGTGATAATGCTCTAATCGCCTTTAGAAGCAATACTGTAATACTACAATGCCCTGGAGACAAATGAGATCATATAGAAAGAGACAGAGGGTCTTGAAGAGGTCATCTATAAAGAAGTGACAAATTTCTGATAAAGGGCCACAGCTTATTCAACTCAATAAATTATATTAGCTGTTTTTTGGGACGGGTACTTAGCAGAGGTGGTATTTGAAAGGAAAATAACTTCTTTTCAAACTCAGTCAAATATAAAGTTTTTGAAAACTAAAGCTTTAGATACAGGTTTTGTATTTATTTTCACCTCTCATTTTGAAATCAATGAATTCTCTTTCTTTTTTCAAAGGCGATGTGTCACAGTTAAGGGTTGACTTTGGTTCTAAGGTAAGGAAAATTTAGGAAACTTTTGATTCATTGACATGCATTCTGCTCTCTGTTAAAATTTAAATAGCTTTGTAGGTGATGGTAGGTTTGAACCTACAACAACCATGGGGATCTGTTGTGAAAAACAGCAAAATAATAACTTACCAATTATCTTATTTCCAGACAGCTGCCATATATGGAATTCATGAATGCTCAACACACCATCGATTTGACCAACTAGCTTCTCTTGAATTTCCTTGATTTTCAAATGTGTTGGAACTGTTTGCATTAGAATCATTGATGATTCTTTCAGCAAAGGGATTGATGTCTTTAGTATAATGATCACCATTAGCATACTCATGACTGGATCAATATACTGGGTCCAAGAACCTGATGCATACTTTATAATCAATGCATTGATGATAACAATCACAGAACCAAGGGCATCACCAAGCACATGAAGATAAACTCCACGCATGTTGAGCTGGTCAGCCTGTTTAGGCTCCTTCGCTTTCTTCTGGTTCTCATTTGACCTTTGAAGAACTAAGGTCTCTTCTCCTAAGAAAAGAAACAAAATAGCAATTAGAAAAAGCTTAATTTAAGAATTAACCAAATAGAGAACATGAATACTTCCAATAGCAGTGCCATGGGAGTAGGACCTAGGGGGACAAGTCAGGATCAATTTCATATATTTGAAATATACCAAATATATTTGGTCTAAATTCAATGAGAAAATGCTTGGGGAGGGAATATATTTTGGCAACAAATTTTTTGTTATACAATCCTATGATTTTGAAGCTGCCTTTACATAGCTAAAAGTTAGTCATGGGCAACCCCTATAAGTAAACTGGTGTTCCTTTTCAGAAAAGTGCATTTTCTGACAGTAAAAGTGCATTTTTCCCCACCAGAGTCTAGTGGCTGACGTCACAAAAGTGTTCTGTAGAAAGTAATGGAAAATACTAAGTAGTGGAAAGATATTGACAGCAACAAGAGATATAATCCAGGGCAATAGCTAAGGGGGTATTGCACCCCCAAGATTATGGAAATTATATGTTTCCAATGAATCATGTTTGCTCTTATTAATCTCAAACAATGGTTTCCTCAATTCCTCAATGAATATACTCTTACTTGGCACAACTGATATCTGTATACCAAATAATGATAAAGAAGAAACAGGTACCAGCAATTCCATTGACTTTAATCATCATGGAGATAATAACAGTTTGATAAGCTATATTCATCAGATTTTCAAAGATTAAACTCTATTCAACTTGAAAGTTCTGCAGCAAATGAAAATAAAGCCTAGTAATAGGTGGCTTGGGATATATGACAAATACAGGCAATTTTTCACAGGCATAGAAGAGATTAAATCTTGAGTAGGGCATAGTATGGGTCTTGCCCCAATATTGTTTACTACATTGAGATAAATTTACCTATATACACTCATTTTTTTATAAGAAACTGGCTATAAGAAACGAGTACTGGACAGTCAGAAAAATTTAGGAAACTTCAGTATTCGAAGCAAAAAAATTACGAAACTATTAAATCGTGATAAAACTGAGAACAACGTCATTTTGTAAAATCCAAGAACAGAATTGCCCTGTTGGCTTAGAACTTAAGACACAAGGGATAAAAATATACTTCCCACATCTAAATACAGCATCGGAACGGAAGCGAATCTCTTGACGTGATAAAAAAGGTCACAAACATTTCATAACATCATTCATGACAACATAATTAAGAAACTCTTAAGAAACAATGAGTATTGAAATTTCCAGAACATCAAGAAACTGGAGTACTCAACATCGACCTTTGTTTGTAAAAAAAATGAGTGTAGGCCTGAAATTCAATAAAATTTGCCTGATTGGGGGGGGGGGACCCAAACACCTGTCCCTATGATTCTAATTTCCCCCTTACCTCTCTCACCAACTTCAGTTTTATACTCTCCAGGTTCATCATCATCAAGAACCAATGGGCAAGTGACATCAACCTTTGTTTTAACAATTTCTGAAGTGCTACTTTGCTGCAAAAGATTGTCCTTTTCTGGATTCTTTACTGTGCTTAAAGCTAGCTCCCTGGAAACAACTTTCACTTCTTCCAAAGCAGGCTTCTTGTCGCCTTGGTGACTGTGCCCATGTCCACCACCACCACCGTGTGAATGGCCATGCCCGTGTTGATGAAAGAGAAATAATCCTACAATATTTACAACAAGGCCAATAGATCCTACGATCAAGACTAAATCGGCGTTTTCCACTTCTTCTGGTATTACCAACCGTTTCATGGACTCAACGAAAATAGAGAAACACAAGGCAACCAAAAATACAGCATTCACCAATGCTCCAAGAACTTCTGACCTTACATAGCCAAACGTGTATTTATGTGTCCTTTTACCGAGACTTGAGTATCTCAGTGCAAGAAAACCAACAATAAGCGAAGCAACATCAGACAACATATGAAATGAATCAGCAACTAAAGCCATAGAGTTCGTTAGATACCCAACGACGATTTCCACTAAAAAGAAACTTGATGTCAAAAGCATCATAGAGACAAAGCTAGTCCGTCGGCTGAGGTTGCAGGATTTCATGTTTGCTCTTTGGAGAATTAAACACGATAAGTTGATATCAGAATTGTCCTTCCAGATTGAAAATCTTTCTCTTTTGCAGCAAGTAGAACTTTTGATTTCCGCTCAAATGCGATATGTGAGTGAAATTCCTGACTTGTGTTTCAGTAAATCAGCGCCTCTCCATGTACTTAAAGATCAGAGTTTAGACAGCAAGATAGCACCCGACGGTGCAGTTGAAGTAAAGCCGAGCCCTTTTAACCAAAACATCAAGTTATATCCACCTTCGCCTTTTCGTGGCTACAATAATAGACCTCTTTTCTCACAGGATCAGATCTTTATTTTTCCTATTTCCATTCAAAAACGCATGCGCTTTCATTTCTTATGCATAGTAATTGTCATCGTTCTGAAGGATATCAAGTGGGGGATAGCCCCTGCGATAGCCTTTCAATTTCAACCCCTGGTTCTTTCATTGCTACGAGATAAAACTTTTCCAGTTATTTTTCACCAGCTTTTTTAGAGAAGGGAGCAAACAGCATTCATTTGGGGGTTTCAATAAAATATATATCGAAAACCATGGATTAAAGAAGACTAGAGTGTATAATATTTAAGAGGGCAATTCGCTAAATTAACTATTAAAATCAGCTCAAATTGTTTGCAAAGATAACTTGTGAATTGCAACAAATACCTTGAAAGTAAAACAGCGTTAGCAGAAATTTTGCCACAACGGGGCTGGAGGGGGGGGGGCTAGAAAGTACACTTTTTTCACATTACTGCCCTCTCTAGTTTAAATCAGTGGCATGGACTCCTTCTTTTTTGCAAAAATTTTTGGAAAGTTTACTCTAACGGATCCTAATTACTGGCAGCTCTTCTTGACTGGGAACCCTTTCTGTTCTATCTTTCGTAATTATCTTCAAACTAGATATATCTCCATTTTGTAGCAATTGGTATCTTCCCTGAATCAGACTATTTATGAATAATAGATGGAAATAAGCAAGTAGTCTATGTTCTAAAAGATGCGTTTCCCGGCGTTCTAAGGGTCATGGCCTCCAAAAATTTTGGTCATGCCCTTTTCAGCCCTGCGTTTTTTGCCCAGTTCAGAGAGATCATTGCGCACAGAATTGGATGCATGTTGCACAACAACGTTCACTTTTGGTCATTTCATACTTTAGCAAAAAATGTTAATTTTGGTATACGAAATCAAGGGTTTGGGGCGAGAAAAATCCCTCAACCCCAAGTGTTTTAGACCAAACCCAGCCCCCAGTATTCTAGACCAAACCCCTCTAATTAAAATACCATTTTTGTACGAAATGCTGGCAATGAAATAGACGAAAAAAGATGTTCATCACATAAGTTCTGCTTTAGGAGCATGACATAATAAATTAATCCCTATTCAATTCAATTGCACGCAACTGATAACAGTATTTGAAAGCCGTGTGCAATAAGATTCGGACGGTGTGCAAGAAACAAAGACTCGATGGTTCTGTGTGCAGTGAAGCGCAAAAATATACTAACAATTGTTATCACATGAGAAAAGCACACCTTCCTCAGGTGATATGCACCTGTTTTATGTTTACTTTAGCTCTAACTGGAAGAAAGATGAAAAAACAGATTTCACCTCAAACTAGTTCAAACTGCCTATTAGCAAAGTAAACTGTTTCAAGGGCAGGAAGACCTTCTCAAATTCCCTTCTTGACTGCGTTGCGTCGACAAATAACCCTTGAACTGAGAAAGATTTGTCAAATCTTGTTACAAATGAACTTCTCATAAGCCTATTAAGGGGATGGAATGCAAAGAGGTTTAAGGGGTACTCCCCCTCCATCTCTACTTTTATCAAAATATGATTTGCACGGACAGCTGAGCAAATTACTGATTGAAGGAGCTAAAAGGTTCTGGGAGGCTAAACATGCTAAAAACCAAATGCAGAGCGATTTTTGTATAGTTTCAAGCACATTTAGAAAATTATTAGGGGCTAAAACCCTAATATCGTGGTATCTGCTGCTTAATCTTTACGCAGAAATTTTAGAGTTTTCTAAAGTTGATTGAAAATGCATTGGTAGGGGGTAAAAAAAATGTTTAAATATCTATCCCACTAATAATAAACACTATTAGAATTTAGATAATGGATAAGCAGATTTTTGATACTGGATTATTAATCAAGTAAAAAATGCCAAGCTAAAATGTGCCCTTGAGGATATAGTGATTGATACGTAATACAGTATATATGGTTTTGTTATGGCTGCCCCTCTTATATCGCAAAGAAAAAAAACCCAACTGTCTCCAAAGGAAATATTGTAGTTTTTTCATATTTATGTATTCGTGAAAATCTACCGACAAAAATGGTGATACTCAAATGATACAAATTTTTCCACTATAGCCCTAAACAGTGGCGGCTCCAGCCTGGGATAAGTGGGGGGACAAAAGGGGTGTCAGGTACCATGCCCTTTGGACCACGTCCTTGTTTCCCTGTTGGAAACGTTTTCTTCCGGAGGAAACACCTCATTTAAATGTCACATGTCTCATGCCATTTAAATGTGACGATCTAGATAATGTACATAACCCGCCCCCAAAGTTTTTTCATCAGATTTAAGCCTTGGCCAAACGATTCAATTTTTCGCTCGATCTTTCTCTCGACATTTGATCTCAAAATCGAGCTAAGTCGAGTATGGGTGGCCAAACTTTTCGATCTTTCCCTCGATTTTTCATTTGACTTTTCACTCACGCCAGCAAAATGAAGGCAAAGAAACGCAAATCGGTTGCCGTATTTATTTTGCGTGCAAATATCCTTTTACAATCTCTTGACGAACTCGAGCGCCATAAGACCCTGTTCGTCCGTTAATAAATTGACATGTGAAGAGAAAACGATCTGCAAATAAAAATGTTATTGCTCGATAATTTCATCTCAAAAAGCTATTATCAATCATCAATAACGTATAAAAGTTAAAAAGACATTATTAATAAACTTTATACAAGAATTACGTAGTTTCACAGTCAAATAGTTTATGAGGATCTGAAGCTCTCGACTCCGGTATACAGACAACTTTTAGATAAAGTCAAGCTTAATAGGAAAGTAAAGGATTTTCCAATCTTCAAAAGTTGGAATAAATGGAGAAATTATAAAAAGATAGGATTTTGATTCGAATATCGGTCTTTGAATGTAATTTTTATTTTTCCTTCAAGATTAATATGTACATAGGTAGGGAGATTTTTCGATACAACCAAATTCAACTACACTCTTAGTTACAAGAGAACAATTTATTATCTCAAGTTCCGATATTGTTGAGCTTAAGTATATTCTTAAAGAATTCCTATTTTTTGAAATCTGACATAGTTTCAGGGGAACATCTCCCGTTCTTGACGAAAAACCACCCTTTTTGAAAAACGAGATGTCAGTTTTGCGATTCCCATTTATGAAAATTGCAAAACAAGTAACTGCTGAACAACGAGGCCAAATATGCGAACTGAGGCTAAGCAATACTCTTAGAATATTCTTAAAAATTTGATGATTTTGAGCCTGAATATACTTACAAACAATATTTTTATAAAAAGGGTGCATTCACATTTCATCAATGGCAGGCACAATAAATTTAAAATCATATTGAAAACACTTTAAATGGACCCCTGACGACCTGTAGATAACCCAAACTTGATTACGCTAGATGTAGTTTTATGGTAATTGTTTTCAATTTGCAACTTGCCCAAGCACTTCTGAAGTATGAACAAAAATAGGTACAATGAATTAGCGACTTTGTACAAGAAATGAATTATTTGTACGACGTTTTGAGTATATCTCGTCATCAGGTAGAACTGATGATGTTCATTGACCATACATCTATCAACCTGCAGTAGTGTACCGAAGTGATGACGTCATTAAATACCTATTTTTTAGAATTTCTTAAATTTGGCCACATAATCTGAAATAACAGTATAAAATGCCTCTCAACATGCAAAGTTAGTTAGATATGTTCAAAATTGGGCAAGATATGGCCAATGAAAGATTTCAAGTTTGCTAACGGATCACTGTTGTTCTGGTCTGGTTCATACAGTTATGAACCAAGACCAAATTACAGAGGTTTGATGGGACAAGAGCCTGTGCTAATGTGGCCATATCTCAGCCAGTTCTTAATGCCTTTAACTGTTTTTGCATATTTAGAGGTATTTCATGATGCTCTGATTCAGGTTCTGGGATCAAAATTCACAAATTCTAAAAATATATTTTTTATATGACGTTATCACTTCAGTACTCTATTGACGGTTGATAGATGTATGGTGATAATGAATAAACGTCATCATTTATACAGTAGTGATGCCTTGTCTCAAAAATGGGTCAGGGGCTGCGTCCTTACAGACAGACTTATTCCTTAATTCCTCGTCAAGCTTAAACACGCTTATACGTACAACGTGGTTAACCAAAGAAAAACAGTCTGTAGGTGTTAGACACATAGGCTCTTTTTGCTAGGATTTACTTTAGTGATGTAGAAAACACTAAGAGCTTTCCAAAGATATCTCAAGTTCCATGAACGAGATTTATAATCGACCAGCTTTTGACATTTTGAGAGGAAGCTGGGCCCCCGAGCGCCCTAGCAGTGGCGTAGCTCGACCTTCTAGACTAGGGGGGGGGGGCTGGAGGACCACGAGTAGTAAAATTTATCAACGAAGAAATAGAAACAGAGAAATATAGGTGCTTTTTAACCTACCGACATCGATTTTACCGACAAACCAGGGAATTTTTACACCAACTAAAAATTTACAGAGAAACTTATGAAAAATTGGGGGTGTCAGACCTCTACATGGCCCTAGCCCAGTAACCCTGGAGTCAGGCCTCATTATGGTTCTCCACTTCAGCATTCGCCGCTTATTTAGGGCTGTTGTTGCTGTTGCTGTTGCTGTTGTTGTTGTTGTTGTGCCTTCTCCTCCAATGAATACGTGTCTATGGTTGTCGTTGTTTCGTTTACTTTGCAACACGTCATGTCTGCACAATTGTCACCCGTGCAAACGATCATGCATTTGGAGCCAGTCGGCTCGCTGGGGTTGTCAAACTCAAGTTGGATTGTAGTTGAGTGAATGCCTTCCTTGTGGAAAAACTTCTTTATCTCATTCGACCTTGACATGTAGTCTTCTATGTCGCGGAATTTGACGTGTATCGATGCTGTAAGAATCAAACAATTAATAATGTATCGTCTTTTGAGCCAAAAAAACATGGCAATCAACGACCGTATTAAACGAAAGAAATTTGAACACAACACCCAAACACCGCCTTCATTTCATTGTTTTTTCAGAAAAGATTTCAGAGCTGAACGGCTTTGTCCCAAGCAAAAGTTTAATATATTAAATTTTATTTGATACATTAAATTGAATTCATTGATAAATCCTGAAATCAACCTGAAATTTTTGTTTACATGCTGCTAATATGATATCGTAATAATCAAGAACAATATGGTTATCAGGAAACAGCATTGATTCAGAGAATGTTGGTCGTTGGGAAACTAGCATCACATTTCTTTTCTAATACCTTTCAAGGGTGCTTCTTACAACAACAAAAACCCCTAAAATGTGCTCAAAATAGTGTCTCAATTAAAAAAAAAAAGAGAGAAGAAGGAAAACAGGATGATTTTTGTAATATCAAATAGCACTAAACAAAATGGATACACACAATCCTCTTTGATTAAAAGGACTTACTGTAAACTAAAATTTCTTCTAATACATCTTGCTCAAAGTCAACAGAAATTCAAATTGAACTATCACATGTTAAATGTGCTTTTATGCTCTCATTTTCATTTTCGTTTATGTTTTTGAAGCTACATGCCTGGTTGAAGGTCACTGATCTGAATTCGCATGGTACCTAAAGATGATATTATGTTGTCTTTTAAAAACTTAGTAAGGATTCATACCTATAATCTTGTCACCAGAAAGCTGCCATACATGAAACTCGTGGACTCCCTGAATTCCAGGGATCGTCTGCAATAACCTTGTTTTGATATCTTCCGCGTTAAGATGCGTTGGAACAGTCTGCATAAGAATCAGTGACGTTTCTTTCAAAAGTGGAATCGACGTTTTTAATATGATGAGAACCATGACTATACTCATTGCAGGATCAACATAAAGTGTCCACGTGCCATGTGCTAATAGAATAATCAATGCACTTATCATCACAATTACAGAGCCAAGGGCATCTCCCAAAATATGCAGGTAGACTCCGTTAATGTTCAGTTGACTAGCTGATTTCATGACCGGTCTCGGAGTTCGTATCTCGTCATCAGTATCTGGAAAGAAACAAATTTTCTTAAGAGCGTTTGTGTGTCTACAGCGATAAAGAAATTTAAAAAGTGTTGTGAACCTTGCTTTCGTCTCGTTAGAGTTCTGACAGAAAATTCTCCAGACTTTTGACTTGATTTTATGATTTATAAAATAAAAGATGTTAATTTTACTTCGGTACTCAAAAAATACGCCCTCCTTCTCCTCAACTCCTCCCATTCTCTGCGACTCACAACACGTGTTCATTTTTCACTAGGGACTTTGGATGGGTGAAGTCTCTAAAGCTTTTCAGTTTGAAGAGGTGATTCTAATTTTGCCAAGGATGGATCATTGATGCTAACTATAAATGAAAAACGACAGATAAAGTAAAAATTTCCCCAACATTTAAGGGTTTTACAGGGTTTTTGTCAATCATCGCGGTCTTATCTGGAATAAAGAGATAACAAATTAACTGCCTCATAAACCGCCATTAATACTTTCGTGCATTGGTGGCCCTTGTTTCACAATCGTGAGTTTTGTGCATTTTACACTACATCCAAATAACCACAATTGTTATGCTATGAGCCAATGTTTCTTTAAGCTCAAGCGAATTTTGGCTTTAGACAATTGCTTGCTTATCTCTTTTATGAAAAGGAAATCCAACGTATATTAGCAGACATAGAGGCTTGATCTTTCTAAACATCAAAGCATTAATAGCTCTGTCTAAACATCTTTGAAATGTTTAAAAGTTTGGTTCCTTGCTTGAGGAAAGATAAAGACCTTAAATTGACTTTAAATGCAACAATGAATTGCTGTTGCACACATAATTTAAAGCATATATCGACCAGTAATTGCAAGCAAAAGTGACCGCGTTATATAATTGTATTCTCACCTGTGACAGAATGGGAATAGCTTTCATATCCAACACCAGAACACTCTGTTGAGCCAAGCGACTTTTCTGGATCATCCACATTTTTATTGCTATTAGCTGTATCTTCACCCTCTTTGACATCTTTCCCATTCCCATGGCTATGTCCATGTCCCCCATGACTGTGTCCATGTCCCCCGTGACTATGACCATGCCCTCCATGGCTGTGTCCATGTTGGATACCTTGCTGATGGAAAAGGAAGACTCCAAAAGCATTTACTATCAGTCCAATTGCACCAACAGAGAAAACAAGAAGTGGGTCCTCTATACCTTCAACCATAACAAGTCGTTTCATTGCTTCGATGAAAATAGAGAAACATAACGCTACAAGAAATACGGCATTGACGAGCGCTCCAATTACCTCTGCTCTTACATATCCAAATGTATACCTATCCTTTGGTGCTTCGATATTTGAATACCTAAGCGCTAGATAGCCTACTATAAGAGACGCAACGTCTGATAACATGTGAAATGAATCAGCAATCAGCGCCATTGAATTTGTGATATACCCTACCACTATTTCTGTCAAGAAGAATGCTGAAAGCAAAAATGTCATCGATATGAAGGCAGTCTTTCTGCTAAGTAAGCAAGGTATGTACCTATTAATACAGTCCACGACGCCCATGTTTTTCTTTGTTGCGAAACGCAAAATGCGATGTCCTTATATATAGCAAGCTCTAGTAAACTCCTGTATATTTCCAATATGGTAAAGGAAGATGGCAACCTTTAATTGCAAAATTTGCCGATCAACAAGTTGGATTTCCCAAAACAGCGCATATCCTGGGTTTAAACTCTTGATTGTCAGAAATCTCTTCCAAATCAGCAGCAAAAATTCCAATTCAATGAAATACGAAACTTCGATAAATATAAAAAAAATTGTATGCTAACGGACCCATACACTGATTCAAGAAGGCAATTCCTTGCATCCCCTTGGATTACACGCATCGCTTGACAGTATTCAAGATAAGATTCGGGTCAGAGACCACGGCAAGCAATTAGCAAAAATTCCTGTACCTGCCAAAGTTAGTTACAATGAAACCTGTATATATCGAATACCTGCGAGACTAGAGTTTAAGTCCCTTGCATTGGAGAGTTCGTTACCTAAAGTCTGCTTCTTCAAGTCTTTGGGAGAAAATAGGGGTGAAGTTGCTCGTCCATCATTTAAAGTGTTAATCATCATTTGAAAAAGATCTTACTCTGCAAAATTTTCCTCAATCTTAATCTTGTTTGAGTGTGCTTTTAGTAGCTGTTTGGGAATGCTTTTGCTGAAACACTCATGATAACCTTTTTAAAAATCAAGTTTTGAGTTTCTGCTTCTTACTCTAGAAATCCAGTTTAGATCTTCGGCGAAAGGCACTCGAGGTTTCTAACCACAGAAAACTACCAGAGGCCATAGCTAAACTTGTTGAAGAAATTGTCATTGCCCGCAGAAAGAGAGGCCGATTATCTCCGTACTTCTAAATATTTTATTAACAAAAGTTTTGTTAACTAACTTGAAGGTTTAAAGCACGGAATCTGATTATGACAGCCTGTTGAAATCTTTGAAACAGAGATCTTCAAATAAAGAAAACACGCCTTTTTGATATGATTAAGTACTTGATTATAATTCCATTTTACATAGAAGATGGATGAAACAAAATTATTATATATCTAGACGTCCTGATGCTTTTCTAAACTTCTTTTAAAAACTTTAGTAACATCTCTAAACGCTGAAGAAAACTAAAAACTTTTAAAAATTAAAACTACTTAACTAGGATTATCTAATAATAAAATGTCGAACCGATGTAACGCTTCGCAACAGAAATTCTTTTAAGATTAAACTAAAAACTTAAAGACAAAATGTGTGTAACATTGTGTAACGTTGTATAAAAATGTGTAACAAATAGTAACGATGCATAAAATGTGTAACAATTTGATTAGAAACAGACAACGATGAATTGTATAACAAAAAACCAAAAATCTGTTTGGTTATCTAAAGTGCACTTGTCTATTAGCCAGAAGGTAATGGCCTTAAAATTTGTCAAGTAAACTTTTCCGATGTTTGATAAAATTGTATTAAGAAAGCCAACTGTTCTAACAATTAATTTTATATAACAGTTAACAGTCTAACAGTTAACAGGAAGCTAATTCTTGCTGGTTCACAGACTAATAGACAGTGCTTAAAGACAACCAAAAAAACTTGATTTCAAAACTAAAACGGTACAAGAATTACTAACAGACGCAATTTTTTTGGAATTTTTGGCTGGGATGAATACCTTTCTAACATGCCCTTTGCAATCTTAATATTCATATGCATGTATGTAGCTTGAGTTGACTAAAACACAAATCGACTTATCTAAAGAAATTTGAAATTTAGGAGGATGCTCGTTTTGGTGCATCAATAGGGTATTTATACATGAGGTATGAAGATGGCCTGTCAACTGAGAACATAGAAATCTTATCTCAATTTTCTTTGGACCGGAAAATGGAATTGCTTTTTCCTCTGTTCTGCAACACATTTTCATGTCATGACAACTTAAATTCGTTTAAGACTTACAGTAAATACAGGCGATGTTAGACTAGATATCATCCCAAATTCGTTTTAATGCTTAACGACAGTGACGACATTGATAACAATTAAACGGGATTGAAAGGAACAATCGCTTACATAATCCACGCGAAAATATATGTAAATGAAAAGAAAATGAACGATCATGAATGAAAATAGAATAATTTTATTAATAAAACTCAACTTAAATAACTATGAACGTTTAAACGCACTTAAAGAAATCGAGCAAGCAACCAGGCTTTCTGCTCAAAATTTAGGACGAACAAGAAGCAAGGGAACCCTTTTGGAAAGCTGACAAGGACCAATTTATTTCGCTTGAGATAAGTAAGGGAATATATAATATGCAGGACTTACAACGGGGAAATGTCTGTATTTTCAGTTGCAGGTTATTGAAGTGACATTCAGATGCCTGAATCACATTCCTCGACGGAAGACGTATTTTCAATGCTTCTTGTTTATCAAGCCAAGGCCGAGCAAGGACAACAATGACAGGCAAATAAGAAGCAATTTGATGTTTCATAGCAACATAAAATAAGTTTTCCTACGCACATTTGATGCTCAAAGAATACGACTTGAGACATTCGCCTGCCATTATAGTTCATGGGGGGAAGGATCAAGGAAAGATCCACGTGTATATACAAAGGACTTCATACGAAGAATATTTTAAGCTTGAACGCTTTGGTGACGATAAAGTTCTCTATGCAAGCTTACCCGTTGCAATGCTACAAAGATTGGAGGGCGATTCTTTCTGTTAATCTAAATGATTTGGCTGAGGAATTAGCTGAGGCTTTAATTCTATAGCTTTGATTGCATTCACCCTTCTACGGGAAAATTGAGTTTTTTGTGGAAGTAAAATGTGGTGAGTTTGAAGCAGCAATATTGACAATAGTTGGGTACGCTTGCTAGAGAAATTTGATTAAATAAATAATGTTTATATTGATAGATTAATAAAAAAGATAGATATTCATTGATGTTTACAGTAGTAAATACTTTCGAGACACGGTATTGATATTTCTGATATCACTTTGAAAGTTGATAATTTGAAATTAATAGAAAAAGATTAATCATTACCCTCGTTAGTGGACAATTCTTAAAATATCATCTGCGAAGCACACTTTTGTAGCAACTAGCTAAACTTGCTCTGGGTATTAAAATATCCTTGAATATTTTCAAAGACCGAAAAGAAAAGAAGGAAGAATGTATGATTCGATCTTTAAGTTAAGAAAACCATTTTAGAGTTTTTCTGCAAAATGAGGGATAAAATAATTCTATTGCCAGGAATATTTACATGAATTGAAGCATTTTAGAACCGAACAAGGCCGTGGCCTAAGAAGGGCTTGTGCCTCTCCTTCTGATTCTCCTCCTTACTTAAAACTTTAATCTCTAACGTCGGGTAAAAACGAATATCTGTCAGATATGAACAGAAACAAAGCGCACGTGCTACAAAAGTGTGCTGCATTGCAAAGTATACAAAGAATTCAAACAGAACAGAATGAAGGCACTCCAGAAACTTACGGTATGACCAGCTACCAAAATTTTCAGAGCAGCACACATTATTAGGGAAATTTAATAAACGATTTATCGCTAAGAAAAAAAATTCAGAAACTAAAGCTTCTTTAACGATGAGTAGTTTCTTTGGTAAAATTACAACTAAACACCCTGTATGTCTTAAAGGCAATTCCTTTGTGTTAACAAACCCTAGTTTATGATAGCTGGTCGTAAAACCGTAAGCTGGGTCCCTACGATTTTAGTATATTATATCTAAGAACAACAGTAATTACGACACAGGATATTATTTTCTAAACAAAATCTTTTCCCTGTTTCGAGACAGAAAATTTCTCTGTAAATTGGCGCCTCATATTAGCCCAAGGTTTTAGGGAAAATTAAGTAGCATTTATTGATGAGTAAAATTGAGTTTTCTCTCTTACCGATTTCTATTGACAGAATATAAAACAAATATTTTTTCTGTTTGATAGCGATGTTTTGCTTTTGGAATACACAGTTTTATTGATGTTCATGGATTGTTACCAAATCAAAATTCGCTTATTTTAACTTTCAATTCCATTAAGTTCGGATCAGAAAATTTATATCAAAGCTATTTATAATTTTTCATCATCAATTCGTTGTTTCGCAAGTTATTTTAAAATCGACCTTGTATACTTAATTGAAACGTTTTAGATCAGGGCGCCAATCGAGACTTATATAGTTAATAAATATTATTAGGTATACCAGTTTAAAACGCAATTTATATTTGGTTTGTCGAGAGCAAATGAAGAATTTAGATAAACATTTTAAATCTGTTTATTGATATTTCTGATACATACCTCTGCTTACAAATACACAGCAGCATGCTTAGGCCTCATGGGTCATCGTAGTGTTTGTAATTGTGTTTACACTTACATTTGGAATTGTAGGCCCATTGCAAACAGTGCATGGATTCGCCTGGATTATTCGTCCAGTGCCATCACGTTTCATTATTACTCTCTTCAATTTGCGATCAGCTGGTTCTAACATCACAATGTTCTAAAATTTCGTTAAAGCAAGTCAATTGATCGTGATGAAATAAGTGTGTTTGGTTTTAATAGACTATTAGGTTCTTATGCAACTTCAGATATTCTCGGTCACAAAATAAGGTGCTGAAATAGTGACACAATTTAAAACGAAGGATTATCTAACTTTATCATTAACAAAATACAACACATTGCTCTCTCTGAAGTCCGATTTAGCGACTTCCTAATTGCATCAATATTGAAAAGAAACCTGTTTATAATATGCTGAATTGTTATTAGGTTACTTCGCATGATATCAAAGTATATAATACTGGATTGTATTACATGGTAAAATATCATGTTTTACGCGATACCGTAATAAGTTTCATGTGAGAATTTGATACTGAATCACACAAAGTGGTAGGTAATTCGCACCATAGTATTTTTGCAATATTTCATACATAAAATGTACTGCTACACGTAGGAGTATCAAGGGAGAAATACTTGCATGTAATATGAGGCATTTGAACGCACCTCTGCCTGTCCAGCGTGGTTCACATATGGTTCTTCTCCAATTAAGCTTCCCTCATAAACAGGAACACACTGAACTGGCGAGCAGTTGCTTCCATTTGAGATCGTGTATTCTGGGCTTTCAGGGGGCGTCAAAGGCAGAACAGTTCCCGACGTTTTTCTGGCAACTTTGAATAAATCACCAACGTTGCCTAAAACAAAATTAACCATCTCTCTTTAATTCTTCGAAATATTCTTTCACGAATAAACTTGTTTTTAGAGCTACTGAATGAGCGCTTTACAGTCGTCAACGTTATTACAAGACAATATCGCCTCTACCATTCATTTCGTTTTCTTTTTGAACACATAATGACACCTTATTCTGCAATAATTTAATATACTTTGTTAGTTATAGGTACTTACACGTGGAAAAAGGAAAAAAGCTCCACAATGTGTATTTGTAGCTTTATATATCAAGGTTATTTTCAATAATTTTGTATCTGAGGTTTATGTAGTTGTCTTAACGCATTTCAACAGAAGATGGAAAAATTAAAACTCGTTAGATCAAAATTTATGAAATTTACGGTTGTTACGATTGTCTGAGAATCAGGAAAAACTTGTTAATCAAGAGTACAGCTAAAATGCTTCCGATTTCTGCTGTGTCCTGCATTTTCTTGGAAAGAAATTGAGATGGAGGAGCTGGAAAGGCGATACTAACCAACCGGGTAGTTTGTAGAAACAACTGGAGCAGTGACGGGGCTCGTTGTGTACTGAACCTGGCCTTGAGGATAGGCTTGCAGTTGGTATTGGTTTGATGGCAAATAATTTGCTTGCGTGTAGGACGACATTTGGTTGGTTGGGACGACAGACACGATCTGAGGTGTCGGAGGCTGGAAGTACCAAGAACCATCTTGAGAAACGGAGTAATAAACCGGCTGCTGCACGCCAGGCACAACTGACTGCCATAGTTGCTCAGGGCGGCCTTTGAAGAGGGAGGAACGCTTCTGGCGGACTCTTGCCGGCCCGACTACAATCTCTTTGCCTTCGTATTCAACGTTGCCGAGAAGTTTCACCTGCAAGTCAACAATAAGATATTTCATGTCCAGGGTAGAGAATTAGCAAGTTACAATGCTTGTTAAATAAATCTAGGGTTGGTAATGAAAATTGCATTGTTACGGTTGTTACGAAACCACATGGCAATCTATAAATCAAGAAGAAATAGGGTCACATCGCCCTGATTGATTAGGCCTATAGGACAAATTGAATTTTGGGAAAATTAGTTTGGAGAACAATTTATGAAATAGAACTACGAAAAAAGCCATTTCTAATCTAGCAAACCTAAAAAAGCAAAGTTTTAGAGGAGTGACCAAGCTCTGAACTTAAGCACAACTTTAGTAAAGCGTCTTCCATTATGATTTTTCATTAGAAAAGAGAAATAGCTGGCAGCTGATAGCTTGAAAAGTTATCTAGGAAAGATGAAACATGATTTTTGGACCACCATGTTTTTTTGGTCAACTAACTTCAAAATCAAAACAAGTATTTATCTGCTCTTGTGGATATAAAGATTTTAGAAAACTTAGAAGTGTGTTTTTTCCAGATTAATGACCCCTTCACAAAACACTATACTTTTTTCAGCGTGTACAAAGTTTCGCAAGCCACCAAGAAGAGAGAAGCTAAATCCCTATTTCATGGTGCACAGATTCTGAAGAATATAGAAAAAGGTTTCTTTTATCCGAAAAACAGAATCCTATTCTAAGTGTATCAAAATTGCTTCAAAATTATATACCTTCTCTGCAACAGTTTGGCTGTCAAATGTGATGAATGCATAGCCCTTTGAAGTTCCTATCAGGAAAAAAATGATTATTAGAACATTATTTCAAAAATTTGAAAGCAATTTAAATTTAATTCTTAAAATATTTATTTGTATCTCTACTTATATTTCCTTGCATGAATATTCTTAGTCCGAAATTATTTTAGGGACAGCAACAATTGACTGCATAAAATTTCCTGCAATGTCTAAATATCCTAGACTATGTACAACATTTTACGATATAAGTTGCATATAAATCTAAATATTTTTATACTACATACCACTTTTGTCTTTGACAATTTTGCTTTCATGCACCATCCCATACTCCTCAAAAAAAATCTTCAAATCGTCTTCACTTGCTTCACGTGGAAATCCTTTCACAAAAACACGATTAGGAATATCGGTTTCTCCAGGATTTGCCTTGTGGACAGAATGTGGATCATTGCCTGGGTTGACTGCAATGTTATTTACAGCGTTTTTCAAGGTTGTCATGTCCATTTTGCGCTAAACGTTGACTCAAATACCGAACTGAACAAAAAAAATTGAACTGAAGCGAAACTGTCCAAAAATGTCTTTTAAACGCGAGGCGTGCTGTCGCAATGCGAGCAATCGATTTGATTGGCTTATGCGCTTGTCACGTGATTTAAACACGCTTACAGAAAGGAACTGCAAGGGAGACTGGAGCAAAGCGCGAAACACGTGATGCAAAACGATTTTATTTTATTTTTACAATAATCTTTTTTGGCGCTTTTTTTAAAATTGTAGATTTTGCTATTTTTTTAGGCAAATACCATTAAAATTAAACAACAAAAACATTAAAATCAAACAACAATTTACAAGACTTAAAAGTTCAGGAATATTTGTCAACTTTATTTCTGAATTATTTTGAAACAGCCCTTGCGAAGAATTGGCAACAAAATTTTGGGAGGGAACAAGGGATGCCGAAGTTACGAAATTGAACAAACAGCAACTTAACTTATAAACAGGTTTTACAAGCTTCTTCTGCATTTCAGAGAGATCGATTTTAAATTTTGTAAACATTTTATACATACCTTACCAGCTGCTTTCACACGACATTGTGTATTTATCCGCCCTGAAATTGAATAGTTTTAATTAATTATGTGGATGGAAAGAAACCATAAACAAGGCAAAACTCAGTTTTAAATCTTCAGTCCTTTCGCTTGCATAATCCAAATGGATTTTGCTCGATATTTTAATATTTATCGTGACGTAAACATTTTAGGTTTAACGTCAACAGCAACCAACAGTCGTTTAAAATAAAACTGTTTTGGCAAACGGTAAAAACTGGGCGGAGTGATTTAGATTTTGAAAAATGGTTTCTGAAACACCAATGGATTCTAGAAGCAAAGAGGTTTCTTTGTTACCTTCGTTGTACCTGCTATTTTATTGTCTGTGGGACAAGAAAATGTCTCTTGCAACTATCGAAAGTATTTTAACCAGTTTTTAAGTAACTGGCAGCGAATTATTTGCAAAATTTAAGAAATTCATTGTGCATCAGCCAGAAATGCCTGATTGCAATTTAATATAATAAACAAAATTATTAATACACCTGTTCATGGGTTTCTGCAATTTTCGCACCAAAAGGTATTTATTTTATTCTTGCAATATATGCATTTTAAGCATTTAGAAGAATCTAAAAAAATAGATCAAGGGAAAATGTGATTTCTTTTATGGTATTTGTTTTTAATGTCAAACGGTGACAAGTGATTAAAAAAATGCCAAACAGAAACACCTGATTAAAAAAATGCCAAACAGAAACAGGTGAACCCACAAACACGTGCTGCAAAACAAACAAACAACAATTAAAATTATGTTTTTATGAAAATAGAAATTTAATGAAATAATTTCGAATTTTCGAAAGAAACCAACAAAAGACAAAGAAACCAATAGAAAGCATTAAAGGACTTAGGGTGTCGCAAAACGTGCCTCAGGTTGCCCCCCAAACCTGATCAACCGGGATACCAATCTCCTGCGAAAATATCATAAACCATCTTAAAAAACTTTACGTTTTCCAGAAAAAGGATGTTTTTGTTCCTAAAAGCAAAACAACGACGAGTGTCTGTTGTCCCTTGAATTTTCTAAACCCAGAACCAGTTTCAGGCATTCTGGCCTACCTTTAGATGAAACCATGTTTGAAGTCTCCCATGGCTGCACAAACCCTGAAAATCCACTGCATTAAATGGTTGCCTTTAAAGACCATTGTAATTCCTGGTTTCTAAATTTGTATTGTTTCAATGATTTCTTAATTAAGAGGAGTGCAAAAAACAAGCAAATGATGGAACTTCCTTTTCAAACAAACATTAATTAACGTAATGGAAAATAAAAGAGATAAACGAGAATTTTCTGGAAAATTTCGGAACCAGATTTTGAGCTATTTTTGAACAATCACATCTTTAATATGCGACTGTTCTGGAGTTAAAACGAAGCGCAACTCTAGTGTATAAATTTCCTTTTTGGAAAAAATTTTCCCAGAAACTGAACAAAAATCCAAGACAATATTGGACAAGGCAGCACTTGGATCGTTTTAGCAAGCACAAGAGAAAAGAAAAAGACAAAGCTTCAAGAGTGGTCAACAGCCCTCTAATTTCATTCAAGAACACGTATTTGGTAGAAGACATTTCGAATAAGATACTTTGAAAACAATAATCAATAAACCGAAAAATTAACCGGTAATTCACTGATAAATGGCGAAAGATAATAAGACAGATCCGTGGTTCACGAACGGGAATCGATAGAAAGAACTTGTGGCATGTGCTGATTTTATTTGTCTCTAAGATACAAGTCATAATTTGAGGAGTATAAGAATATAAAAACACATCCCTCTTCAAAACGCATCTCGCTCAGATGACTAGCGTTTAAAATTGAATTTCTAAAACATAAATGTTTCGTATCCGTCATGCTTTTGGGAGATTAGGGCTAACTTGGGGTTACGATAATCCAGAAAAAATTTAGGAAAGAGTAAATATCAAACAATTTTTATCACTCTTCTCTCACATACATTGCACAGTTTTGCACCAGAGTAGAAACACGTGAGAAACATTCACGTGGGAATTTTTTGCACGAAAACAGCGTTATTTTTACGAAAACAGCGTTATTTTGGGCTAAGATGAGGGCAGTTAATCAGAGAAATTCGCATACATGAACTAATTGAATGGGTCAAAACTGGGTTTGAAAAATGTTCAACCAAGGATACTAACATTGTGGCGAAATGGTGACAACCAGTGTCGCCTGACGAATCAAGAAACGGCCCTCTCATTACGTGGCGATATTCATTGACAATAATAATAATCATAACATGGATTATTCGAATCCTGCCGTCATTGTTGCAGTTCTCCCCCAGTCATACATCGAGATACATTTCTCAAAATAATTCCAGACTTTAACGCAATAAAATGGTAAATCAATTTACTACCAAATATGAGTTATCTAATAATAAGAACTCAACGAAATCAATTATTTCATGTCACCAAGTTATAGGATTTTATCGCGAACGAAGCTCGAGCCTCCATATTTCAGTAATTCGCGAGAAGCACAGCTCTGTTACACGAAGCATTTCTAGCCAAAAACCCTGCGTCGTGGCTTTGATAAGCATGTTGGCATTTTATTCCGTCTCTTAAAACCAGGACTTAAAAGTATCAAAAATAACAATAGATTTTGTAAAAACACGAAATGTAAATTTGAAGCCGTAAATTTCTCATCGCATAAAATAATGATCACCGAGTAAAAAGATTAATATTGAACTCCGGGGGGTGGAAAGCAAACTGTGATAAGAACCCTACCCCCAACTTCTACTTGGAAGGCTACACCTACTCAGCAAGTAGCAGATTCATTTTGATATATATGTAATCTTTAAGAATCTTACGTAAATAATTTTATCAACATAGATTCCGGGAAACTTAAGGACTGTTTTAAATATAAAAATTTCATTTCGCTGGTGTTCATTTTGTCGGAGTCTAAGGACGACTCCAATTCCTTGGAAGCGAGAAGTCGCCGCGTCTCTCCTCATTTGGAATAAACCCATCATCAATGCCAAGATTCTGTCCACGACCTTTCCCAACCCACATATCTTGGTGGGGCTTTCCCATGTAAGATGCCGTGTTTCTATCCTTGCCGCGTGATTGTCCGCCAGAACCGTGCTCCTGTCGCCCTTTCCCCCCACCAGGTCGATACAGAGACCTGCCCTGGGGTCTGCCACCACTACGAGGCATTAAAGCCATGGGGTTGCCAGGGCCTCGTCCAAAAGATTGTTGGACACCTCGCATTCCTGCAAAAGAGACGAATTTACACAATGACTTACACAGTGACCCAAGAAGCCTTCTGCTGAGTCGAGTTCTCGTGTTGCTAAGTCTAAAACTTAAGTAGTCCGACTAAATTTTTGAAGCGTTGTTAGAGAAACTTTCCAAAATTTCAAGTAATTTCATTAACCTTATATTTGATAGCCTTGAAAATAACACAAATATAATAAAAATCTTCGGTTTACAAATAAATATCTGCACTGTAAAAGTGCTCACCCTTTGTACATTAAATAAAAAGAAAATAGCTCGATATTTCCCCTCTCTCTTCCTAATTCCTCCTCCCTTTCCCTTGTAAGGGCTTAGCTATAGGCTCTTGAGCCTTTCTCTAACATTACCAACTAGACAAAAATTAAAGGCATAAAAACTTAAACAACGACTAGAACAAAAATTATGAGGGATTATGATTGAACTTGTTTGTGACAAGAATTGTCATTACAGTCATCAATCGTGGGACTTTTAATATTTTGGGCCACGGAAGCCGTTAATATGAAATAAAAGGGTTGGGGATACCTACCGTCATAATCCATTGGCCAAGGGGAAAACAATGGTGTAGGTAAGAGGCCACGACCACGATTTACTGCTTTGCCTCGGAGCATTCCCCTTCTCCCGGAACGTGAATCACTTGGAAGATCAACGCTGCTCCTTCCTCCAACAACAATATCCGGGTTGTCTCTATTGTAACCAAGTCCGGACTTATTTCCTGACCAATGAGCAACCGGGACGCCAGCAACCTGTGAGAATCGAATGTATGTATGAATGTTTACTAGTTCTACACATCAAAGCTTTGTCGACCCGCCAAAACTACCGTAATCAAAGTTCTGTATATAAGACAACAAGAAATCTGCAACAAACTTATTAACCATTTCCTAAATATTCAAATATGTATAGTGCTTTAAAAAAACTAAAGTATCTTTTCTATTAGGTTTTGAAGTTTGGCCAATAAAGCACTTTAAATGTGAGAACCACTCTGTTAATGTATGGGAACATTTTAATCTGTTGTAGAAAATCACAGAATCTTTTATGCCAGTCTACCATAATCACTCTAAAAAGCTCAACAATTTTCTTGGGCCATACTCCATACTGAAAATATCACATACTGAAAACTGAAAAAATTGAATCGAAAATTGAAAAATTGAAAAGACTTTTCCAGGAATCCTAACTTTCTGTTATTATTAATTATGTCTGAAATATTATCATTAAAGATTGGAAGTTTTAAAATTAAATAAGGAAACTGCAAAATAAGACACAAAATGTGTGGGTGGTTAAGGTTCGCAAAACCAAAGAATAAAAGTGACAAGCATAAAATAAATTCGAAATATAACCAAAAAATTTTTTCGAAACATTTAATCGAAGTCCAGAAAACATTACGGTTCCACGGCTGTGAGCCGGGGAAAGGTTATCCAATGGTGCAGTAGTTTTGAGAAAGGCCAATACACAACTTGACAAGAGAATGCAAAATGAAAAGAATTTACTGTTGTGCCTGGAACTTTCTTCTGACAAAGTATAAAGGAACAATTATTCAAAATATCAAAGGTACATTTTGCGGGAGGCAAAAGGTAAATTTTGAGAAAGGCAAATAGGAATAATTTTCATCCGGAGGAAGGGTAAGGTGTTTTCTGAACTCTGTATCTAGGGGAAGTTGAAAGAAGTCTCTTTTTAGAGGGTGAGTTTGTAACGCGATAAAAAAGTTTGACAGGGAACAAAAAACTGATTTTTAGTGATATGATACAGCAGATTCCAAGGAAAATAAATATTGTCATCCATTAAACACCAAGATTGTTCAACCAATCAACTGTGCTTCCCTCATTTTTTCTAAGAAAATATTCAAAATGCTTCTCAGAAATAAAGGAAGTCGACTTGAGGAGAAATCTCGAATGCATAAAAATCTAAAGGCTGCCAATACCTCCAAAGTGCCACCACTTGCCAAAACTGGCCTCTTGCTGCTGGCTCCGCGACCCTTTGCGCTCTTGCTTTGATAGTTTGCTCCCGCAGGACGGAAATCGTTTACCCCATATGGGGCAGCAGGCATCAATGATGCAGGTGGGGTGCCAAAAGGGGTGGCTGACGTCACCGGCTTCAAACCAGTGATTTTGTACTGGTCCCCTAGGCCCTCAGTAATGCACCATCGAAGACGTTCGAGTTTCTCGGCAAGCTTCGGCTGAAAAAGAGTCATTTCCCTGTTCAAAATCGTTCAAGCAAGTGAAAGTCAATAGAATAATCCACGCCCGGCTTTAAAAAACCATGCTTATCGAGCAGTTTATGAAACCATACAGTAAGTTAGTCTTGGTACCTCTTTCGATTTATACTCAACTAGTTTAAGCAAATATTCATGGTGCTGTGATTATGAACCCCACCTGTATCGATCCTCAGAGGTTGTTAAAAGAAAAAGTGATGTTGACAATGTTGCTGAAAGGATCCACGACGAATTAAGACTTACCACTAAAAAACACCACTGTTACTATTGTGTTTTCCTTAGCCATCTCAGCTCCTAACATTTCCAGTTTCGATTTTTAACAAATGACTCATTATATCACTTTCAATTGGGACCTTCAACTTTCTTTTCAATTCAAACTTGGCCAGGCAAATTAACACCGTATTTTTGTGACTGTACATACGTTTGTCTAATGGAGAAACGTAACTCCTGCCCTTAAGAACGTAAATATTTCTGGCTCAGGTGCTTTGGTATTTAAGGTAAAATTATCATTTTCTGACAAAACAAAACTGTGGCCAGAACCCTTGAGAAAAACCCGGGCCTAAAATGTGTGCATTGTCGCGCAAACCCTGTACTTAGCGTTGGCATACACGTCTTTTTTCTAAAGAACTTAAAGAACCTGAGCCTTGCAATTTTTCTTAGATGTTACTTAGTTTTTAGGGCAGTGAGCCTCGTGTTTCTTATTTCACTGTTTCTTAAAATAAGACGCGCACTTCACGCATACAAATCTGAACGCACCTTTCCCTCGCATAGTTCTGTTGTTGCCACATTCATAGACGATTGCAGCCATTTACTGTGGAACAATTTCCCATCAAAAAACAGCCAGGGGCAACAGAATTCCCACGGCACAGGCGAGCCACAAGCATCATTTGCAACTATGGCGACTTCAACGCCACTCATGAAGACGGAGGCCAGCTGCATTGCCCTGTAAAAGAAGGGTGTGGTGATACACTTCATAATTAAAACTATCCACTAGTCTAGATACACTTGAAGGCACCATGTCCCGATGCATTTGATGGCCATCTAAATTCCCATTGGTTGTACTATACAAAAGGCCTATTGCTACGTATCCAATCGGCAACGTAAGACTTGATTCTCATTGTTTTCTCGACCAAAATGCGCCGCCAAGTCTTTTCTTAACCCTGCACGGTTGAATGACACTCTAAAAATTATCATGAAGGAATACATAGCCATATGTATTATCAAATTCACTTCTCTACCGAGGGTGATTCTCAAATCTGGAAAAGCTTTGTTGAGGCATGGCTTGAAAAATCTTTGGGAATTTGTGTCAGGTTCATGTTAAGCTTAAATTTCTGGGATATATAATACGGAGCCGGCATAACATGCGGGTAGGCGAGGGGAAGGTGATTCCTTTGCTCGTTCAGCGAGGCACTTGTATGCCCTTTTTTTTCTTACAAACACCCAGGGCGTTAATTACTTTTCAAATAATCGGAATTTAAACAAGACAGTTTTCTATCACAAAATTGGAAGATTAATCTGAGTTGAGAAAATGTTACGTGCCTATTCCTGTTGGCTTTTATTGAAGAAAAATATTGGGTCAATAAATGATTAAATATTTAAAAAATAAAGCAATTAGTAGCCGGGAGTCACGAGGAAGTTTAAACAAAAATGTTCCCCGTTATTCGTCTTAGAGCAAAATATTAATATTCGTCTTCAAAATAAGACCGTTTAAAATGTTATTCTATGCTATTAAAAGTTCCAGCCAATTTAAGCAAGAAGTGATATTATTGTATCACTTACTGTTCTAACACCAAAGAAATTGATTGCAATGGCATAGATTTTTCTTTAATCGCGATTTTCGTCAAAACATTTCATGGTTTTCACACGTTAATGACCTTCAAAGCAGGTTTCGAAAAGGCAAGCCCCCTTCCCCCCTGAGCAAGTCAGGAGATTTAACAATGGTCATACGCATCTAGCAGATATTTTTATTTTTCTTCTCTTTATTCAAACACTTTTCAGCAGCAAAATTAAAAATTTCTAAAAACTACACATCTTATACTGTATATGATGTAATACTGTATTTCTTTCAAGTGGTACTGTATATTTAATATGACATTTCATGTTATACCGGGTTCCTATTAAGTTGTATACCTGATGTTATCCAACTGGTTTTGATAAATTACATTAACAACAACCATTTACTGATGTCAATTGGAAGAAAATCTTTCAATGGTATTATTTGCTTGAAACAAGCTTCATTCATTTCCGTTTCCTTATTTCTCAAGCAAGAGGAGTTTTGGGTATAAAAACTCCGAGGACCTTCCATCCTAAAGTGAGATGGTTAATTAAAAACGCAAGACAGTTGATTGCTAGGCATCGCTCGCGGCTTATACGATGTTATGAACGATAATCATAAAAATTATTTCTTTACCTGACGTCGATTTGGTTCAGTTTAAGATGTGCCAGATTCATTGAGTTGCCTTCAGTTGTGAGATGCGAAGACAATGCCTGTGCTAGAAAGGCATCAATGTCTTGTCTCGAGAGAATGGACTTGCCACCTTCTTGTTGTATTAAATATCTAAAAAAGTAAAGAATGCCGCCAAATATCAACCTGGAAGTCTAATAACAGCATAAATTAAATAAATAAAATGGGGCGTGTCAATGAAGGGGGTGTGTCAATGAAGGGGTGTTTCTTTCTGTAAGGGGTGTGGAAGAGGAGAAGGGAGTGGAGAAGGAATGGAGAAGGGAAAGGAAAAGGGAGGGGAGAAGTGAAAAGGGAAGGGAGAGAGAAAATGAGAGGGAAAGGGAGAGAGGAAGTTAAAGGAAAATGGAGGGGGGAAGTGAGAGGGCTAGCGGGAGGGAAAAAACAAGGAGAAGACTAGTTAAAGGAGGGAAAGGGGAAGCATAGGCAGAAAGAGAGACCTGGAAAGTAGCAGGGAGGGAGACCGGGAAAGGGGCAGAGAGAAATTGAGGGTTCAGGCTAGTACCATAGACTTTTGTGTGACAGAGATTTTTTACGAAACTGTGTGTTAGATTGAATTACTGATTATTTTTTCGACAGACCTTTGGTTGGTTGATGACAGAAAATAGATATCGAGTATCCTGGAAATGACCATCGAAATTTAGATTTTCAACAAAAGTCAGTTTAGAGACAATATGGACCTAGAATAAATTTGACCATTAAACGTCGAATAGGATTTTTGCAAAAAAGGACAACTTCCAACAGCAGAAATCTTAAAACAACGGACAATAAACCCTTCCCTGAGGTTTCTTTTCTGCACAACGGATACCACTTTGTTCCTTTTCAAATAATTAGATCTTCAATACACCTCTCATCTCCAACAAAAGAGGAAACTGGCTTAGCATTCTATCAGATGCAACTTCTCGTAAGTCCTGTGTAACAGAAACTTCAAACACTTGTCCTATGCACGTCCATACAGTAATTTTCCTTAAAAATCTATGCTTCGGACTAAGGCCCTGTTTACATGAAAGTTCAGAAATCTGAATCGGATCCAAAAGAGTACGCATAGACCTTGCGTTTACAAGGGAACTGGTGGATCTGTATACTTTTTGATCCGCTTCCAAAACACTTTTGGGATCGCTTTCAGAGGTGATCCCGTATGGATTCAACCTGGAAAGGATTTCTTGCAAACAGATGGTAAATTAAAGCCTGAAAGACGTGTTTTTGTATGCATACAAACGTGTTTTTGTTACAAATGTAAACAAAAATGGTTACAAAACTCACCTTAGAACGCAACACAAAAGGAGCATTCGTTGAGGCACCATTGCAACATTCGACATATTTTGCGTGTCACTTTTCAGGCAGGTTAAAAACGCTTTCATCCTGGTCGTATTATCCTGTGCCTGTCTTCCCAGCCATAAGTTTTTGACCGGGGGTATATCCCAAGGCATACTGACCGGTTCAACCAGATCCGGTTTATCTAGTTGGTTGCCCCGGTAAACACAATATTCCTTGACATATCGATATGTCGGGTTTTCTATTTCTCGTTCATCTGGTGTTTCCCCTTTTTTCTCTTCATAAACCTTCTGGTCATACAGAATGCCATAAATGAGCTGTCTTACAGGTCGGTAGAGTAAAGGTATCGGCAGTCGCATTGTTGCGTTCTCCTCGTCTATAGCTGTATCGATAAAAACTTCTCCTTTTGTAAGAATCTGTAAGATTTCAGCGGCCATCTCGCCACCCTGATGTCGTTTGCGCGCAATAGCAATAACTTCTTCAGTGATATCCGGTAGAAATGGCTTCATAACATCATAACGGCCTTCTACACAACAACAAAAATATGTTTTGAAGAACGTGACAAAAATTATTGCTGATATTACAGTTTGGACAAAAGGATGAGAATTAAAGCGAAGGTTACATATTTGTCAACGTTCATACTTTCTAGTTTTGGAACATTATCAGTTTGGCTTAGAAAGCCTTCCAATGGACAATTCTTAAAAGAATTTGTATGCAAATCTAATGTAGCTTTAGGAGAAGATTTTCAAATATTCTTGAGGTCTTTATGTTGTCAAAACATGAAAAGCTCAAGAATACTCGAAACTTATAAGCTGGAGCATGGCTTGAATTCTGGAGAAGTGTAATTTTCAGGTGGTTTGCAGGTGACGTTTATTTGCGCAAGTAAACGAAAAGAACACCTGTTTTTATTTTGATTTGAGAAAAAAGATTAGCTCATAATACGAAAGGAAGTGTGGACATCAAAAAAATGAAGACCGTCATTTTACGCCGCAAAATTCAACTAAGTTTACACTTTCAGCTTTTTTATAAAGATTTGAAATGTAATTTGGTAACTTCGAACAATTTCAGTAACAGTAGCATTTGGATAAAAGTAATTTTTCGAAGTGAAAGTGAAAGAAAAGGCCCAAAACAAGAATTAAATGGATTTTTGATGAATTCCTTCTCAGTCAAAGTACGAGAAGAATATATACTTTGAAATGCAATTGGAGAATTGGAATTCTATAAAGCAGCAGAAATCTTTCTCTTGTGGAAAATATTTTTGTTTGAAGGCAGCTGGCCATTCTGGCCCCTAACTCTCCGTGTGGTGACTCATGAGCCTTTATGTGTCGGCACACAGTGTTGAAAGACAAATGTGTTAACCATTTTATGAACTAAGCCACAGCACAGTGGTGACACAGAATTGAAGCGTAAATACAACAAAATATTTTCCACAAAAAACTACAAAAAAGACTATATACAGTATATATTTGTCTGTCAATTTTTCTGGAAAAAGAATCTTTTTGAGGGGGATGAAAACTTCTCTGTGTTGGTTTTTAGTGTATTTTTACAGAATATATATGAAAAAGGATAAACTATCAAAACCTAGCATTTTGCCTATAGTTTATTTTAAAGTGTTACACATGTATAACAGAAAATATCTTTGAAAATGTTCATCATAAAGCTTTGTTTGTATTATATGCAAATTGATTTTGTGGTCTCACCAAATTAATGCTCAATAAAAAGAAGATGTTAAATGGTGTAACGAAGGTGCAACATGTGATCATGTTTTTGCTTTCTTTATAATACTTATAGATACAATTATCTTCATAAATCTATTAAACCTTTCTTAATATATCAGACGGTTGTAACATGAGTCCTGGATTGCACAGTGTAAGATGATAATGTGATTGGGCTGGTATTATCATACTACTAGCTACAAACCGCTAGATCATAGTAAAAAACCTAACACAAATACCTTGAACTTCTTCACTGGGAGCATCTTCACCAGGAACTTCTTCACCAGGAACTTCTTCACCAAGAACTTCTTCACCAGGAACTTCTTCACCAGGAACCATTTTACTAGCAACTTCTTCACCAGGAACTTCACTTTGCACATTTTCATTTGGTACATCTGCATTTGGTACATCTGCATTTGGTACATCTGCATTTGGTACATCTGCATTTGGTACATCTGCATTTGGTACATCTGCATTTGGTACATCTTCATTTGGTACATCTGCATTTGGTACATCTGCATTTGGTACATCTTTATTTGGTACATCTTCACTGGGCACATCTTCACTGGGCACATCCTCACTGGATGCACCTTCACCTGGCACATCATCACTTGGCATGTCTTTCCTTGGCACGTCTTCACTTGGTACCTCTTCAGATGATATATCAACTCCCATTCCCTCTTTTTCTTCTTCTGTTACTCCATTGACAGCAGGTTTCTCCTCAGTGGCTTCCTAAAAACAAAATTTTGTGAAGTCCTCATAAAATCTAAAGACAGCTGATCACAATTGTAAAGACACATACAGTAAAAGACCAAATTCAAGGCTTCTTGGATTATTGATATTGAGTCAATCTTACATATACTTTTAATCACCATTTGCCAGCTTCACCCATTTAATAAAAGAAAATAGTTAAGAAACAAACATTTTCTTGTAGGATCTGAAGATTCTGCTCTGCTTTTGCTTTGGGAAATAGAGACCGATTTAATTTTGGATTGATGGAAAACTTGAAATTAGCACAATAATTAATATCAACTGAAATTTTAATATAGCCAAAACCTTACATGAGCTAAATTTCAGTTTCCTACATACAAGTTTTACAAACTAACAAAACTTTAAAAAATGGAAACGAGTCTGAGAAAGCAAAAAATTGTGCAGTTTTAAGAATAATTTTGGATATAAAAACATTCTTACTACTTCATTCTTTTCTTTTCCCTTTGAAGGTTCTTCTTCTTGATTTATTTCTTTCTCGTCTTTTGCCTTTTCTTCCTCTTCTTGGCCATTTTCTTTGCTTTCAACACCTTCCTTCCCATCTTCCGTTTCTTTAGCTGATTCCTATATCAAACAGTTTTAACATCAAATAAAAATATCTCCACAAATTGAAAATATATATAATATTTTCAACAATAAATCCTTTAACTGTTACTTTTATTATATACAAAATTAAACTGTTTATTACAAAATTAAACATCTTGACTGAAGAAAATCAAAGAAAACTTGTGATGATTTTACTTGTTGCTGATTTGACAACTGAACTTTTTGAAATTGCTGCCATCTTCTTTGGTAGCTGTTTTCAATTCTTTTAGAGTCTGAGACTTCCCCTTGGGTCTCTTGTGAGGGCGGTCCAAAGCTGTGTACTGGAAAACCATCTATGTTGAGACAACTATCATGGTCTTTAGCTGAAAAAATGACAACAAAATGTGATAACAAGATGATCTTTTAATGAGACAATTTTTACTAACACCTATATGCTGTAAATAAATACAGTACTTCTCCCATTTATCTGAGGAAAAAATTTCAAGTCCTGGCAAAGAAACTAAGTTAACCCGTTTCTTTACTACATGAGTGCATGAAGACAAAAAGCAAGGAACGAAGGCCCTGTTTACATGATGCTGCTTTTTGTTTCAAATCCCCTGGTTTCATACTAGATTGGCCTTATTTTTAAACGAAACCTGCAGTATAGCAATCTGGGTATTACAATATTCTTGTGTAAACAGCGCCCTGAATAAAAAATCACATGAAAATGTTGACATGTGAACTGGCAAAAATTTTGTCTCAGATGGTGAAACTAAATACAATATGGAATGAAAATGTTGTCATTCAAACAGGGCCTTAGAATGTTTCCTGTAAAGGTGGTAACTCATTGCCTTGATAAGGTGTGATATAAACTGCACTTCTTGGGGGAACAAGGCAGGTGCTAAGGTGTGTGCATGTGATTGCATGCTTTTCTGAGGATGGCCTGAACGTATGAGATTTCAAAGAGACTGACTTACAAGTTTTGTGATCTTTCTGTTTCAAAGTTGATTTAAAGTAATCTATTGCTTCTTTTAACTTTAAAGTTGCTTCCCCCAAATCGTAACCAGAATCTTTAAAAACTTCTTTTGCAAGTTCATCAATGTCATCTACATCTTTGTCTTTCAAAAAGTCTGCCAACCCCTTGATAACTATTTCAACAGGTGGTGGTGCACTTTGATATGATATATTGCCTTTTAGCTAGGAAACAAAATCAGATCAGTGATTAAATGTTTAACTCATTTTAATTTAAGTAACTAACATTTTCATTTTACTTCAGGATGCAGAAAAGGATGGTTCCAAGCTGCGACTATAAGCTGCATGCTTAATGCTGTAATCACGCAGTTATATGCAGTTGGACTCTGTTAAGTTGTGTCCTGAATTTTACTAGAGCAGACTGATTATCAATTATTATTGGATTTCCCCCATCTTATTGAAGTCGAAAGCTGTTTCCTGGATAAGACAGAAACAGGCACTTTATATTCTGAAAATAGTGGAGGGTTTAGAAAAAGATGGTGGGGGGGGGGGGGTTAAAATCAAACAAAAACAATGATGGTTCATTTCTTAATATTTTGTATTTATTGAAAAAAAGGAAGCAGGGGCTAAAGGGGTGCCTATCTTAAGCCATTCCTTACATTTCGTGGAGGCATGAGTTACAGGCTTTTGTTTATCATTTAAATTATTGCATTAAACATTGGAGTTGATATCAGAGTTACTTTGTACTTTCACATTAATGTAGGAAGTAGGAAGCAAATGCATGTCTTTATAATTTTATAGTATAAACATAATTCTAGAGAAGACTATGTTATTTGTGAAAAGGCTTGTAAAGATGAAACCTGTAGTTTGGCTGTCTTCAACACCAAAATATAATTCTACAGTACATAAATATAATCGTTAAAACTTAATAGTTTTGTTTATGCTTATAAAATATATATATATATAATCAAACCTTTTGCATACAAATGTTTGGTGATACAAAATCTAAAAATAGGCTTTAAAAAACTGTTAAATGTTTACTTATTCAAAGCCATTCCAAAATCATTGAAACCCTCACAATAAAAACTCAAGGGTGGTTTAAGCTTTATCTCCAAAGAGAAACAAGTTGGTTTTGGTTTCAATTAATTTTATAACCGTTTTTCAACTACAAACAAGCAAAATATTGCATACATTTCTTCAACAGAATATTATATAAACAGCTTTGGTTTTTGCTTTAATGCATATTTCACAATTTGGTATCAAGTTGGCCCATATATATGGCTCCTGAATAGAGCCAAAAAAACTCTCAGCAGCGTCCTTCAAAAATATTTTTAAAAAATCAATTAACTCTTAATCTACAAATCTTTAACATTCCACAAATAGATTCAACAAGAACGATCATTTTGAAACAGAACAATAACTTTCAAACATATTTACTTCAGTACTTCCAAATTTTGTTTGTCAACAAGAGCCAGCCAAAATTTATTAAAACCTACCTCTTCACTTTTTAATGGGTGGTCTGGACCTAAGAAGCTCCAATGGAACGTCGCTAGATAGCCTTCTGGAATAATGTTGTTTCCTAAAAGTGCTGCGAATACTGGTAGGGTATCAGAACTTAGGCCCAGTTCTTCCATGACTTTCCCAAAGTCGATACGAGATGATTTTGCTGTGTATCGTCCGATTTTTAAATGATCCGGGGAGAAACAGTTCGATATCCTTTGAAGAAGATAATGTGAATTCTGTGCAATAATTCCTGTACATTTTTGCGATCGATAATAGCTTGTAATATCGTGATGAAGGTCGCCAACCGATGAACAAACTATCACATTGCAACTCTTCAATGCCAATCTCAAAGCTGTGTTGAAGCAGGCTGGTGTAACCGCTAAACTACGAGCTGGCGTGGCCCGATTGCTAACTACTTTTGACATTAACTGTTTAACTGTTTCTCTCTGGTTCGTATGCCGCTGCTTCCAATCGTTAAACCTGGTTGCACCCACGGAGCCATCGAAAAATACAACTAATTCAATACTTGACTGACGAAAACATCGTACAAATCTCTCCAAATTGCTTAGCATCTCATTCCACTGTCCACCACAAACCCAGTCGGTCGCTACTGGGTAAACATATTTTCTACAACTATCGGCATGTACGACAAAAATCTGAGGCTCCTTTTTAGACGTTTTAGTTTCCTCTGTGTTTTCATTCTTCGTTGATTTCAGGTCGACATTTTTATCAATGCAGTGCCCTAATTTCGATTCGATGTACTTCTGTAGCCCTTCCAAACCCATTTTGATTCTAAGATTATCGTGCTTTCTTAACAAATAACGAGTAGAGAAATCCTCTGCTAAAAAGTCAGATCACCATTAGCATCATTCCAGTGGTTGATGTTGAAAGATCAGCTCATGAACTGCTCCATTCCTGACTTTTTAACAACGACCACCAGTCAGAATTTCGGCCATTGGCGGGATGGTAATCCACTTCGAGGACACGCACGAGGTTCGAAAGGCCTGGTTGATTAACTGAGGGGACTGGGAATTAGCGGAGGTCTTTCAACAATGAAGGGAACCAGAGAAAACAAACCATTCATGTTGATCAGAATAAAATGTTGTGGTTCTGTTTGTAAAATGGAACCTGTCAGAGCCGATGCATTGGAGGGTGCGTCGCACCCCTATAAGGCTGTCTGTCGGAAAATCTGAATGCTTGTCGGAAAATTTTAGCCTTTAGGATTCTTCAAAGTCACAAGTCACAGCCCAACGACTGGCTGATTATATCCTTCTTAGCTTTCCATATTTTATTATTAGCAATTTTACTTTTAATCGATTATTTTGTGTTGCATTGACTGAAAATAGCCAAAGTAAGTCAAAGTTGGTCCTTGCGGAATAATTTAGTGGTCCTTTGCCTTGCCTAGTCACTTCACCAAGAAGGCAACTGCACCTTGAAAAAATCTATCTGCATCTAAAATTTAGCAAATTGACCTATACATAGCAAATGGGAAATGACAAATGAGACGCATGCGTAGTATCAAAATTGCCATTGAAGTAGATATGTCGTCGGAAATATTATGATATCCACCCCCCCCCCTATTATATATCACTACTGGTGTCGGCCCTGGAACCTGTACAAATAATAATGGCTTTGGCGACCGGCTACAGTGATCATTCTAATTCTAAACTCTCAAGAATCGAATGTGTACCTTCTATGGCACTCAAAATGAACAAGTTTATTAAAATAAACTGAAATGTGAGAATAAACATTTTTTTTATTTTTATGCAATTAAAAGTGTTAATAAGGATATAACACGAATATTACATGAATGTATATGCAATTAAGATCCAGAATGACACAATCGATGCGATCTCTTCTATTGTCAAAGAAATTGTTGCCTTGACATCACAAGAAGGACTCGGAATTTTTTTCTCAAAAGGCTTTTGGACTATGACTCTTCAATATGTTGATACTATATGTTGATACATTCTTGAGCTATGCTCTCGAGTACATAGGATATCCTACCCTACAAATGTAGAATGATGTGGAACCAGGCACTGCAGAGCAGAGGGGGGCTGGGGGTGCTTTACCACTTCTTGCACAAAATGCCAAATACCAGTAAAGCCTCTTTTTATACGATTTTAGCTCCCCCCACTTTTTTAGACCCCCCACTTTTTCAACGCTCCGCGGTGCCTGAGTAGAACAGACTTCAACCAGCCCTTCAAATAAGCACCATCGCATTTATTTGGAAAGGTTTGGATCAATTAAGCAATTTCTCTATTTAGAATCATAGGCAATTGCAAAAACATATGTGTATTTTAATTCATTGTAGAAATGCCATGATTTTTTACAAGAAAGCAGTCATCGACGTTTATACATTTTTGTAAACCAGGAACGAAGGAGCACATTTTATGGCAGATAAATTGGCCAGCTTGAGTGGTAATGTTTAACCATTATCCTTAATGCCACACCCTTATTATCATGCTTCAGCAAAAAGTGAGGGGGCTACAGTCCCCAGCCCTTGGTTCCGGTGTGCCTGTAAGGGACAATGATTAGGATGAGGACGAGGATGTCGACTGAATAGTTAGTAATTCACTAGATGATAGATTAGAAGTTGCCTATTTTGTGTAAATAAAGGAAAGGTCACAATAGCAAACTGCTCGACGGACTCGGATCGATGGAATTCTTGCGAAGAGTCGAAAAGCCTGTTCTGTTCTTTTATGCCAGATGCTATCTGTTCAAATTAAGTTTGGAATGGTTCTGTGTAATATGAAGTTTTCAATTGTCTTATTTTCCTCCTTAGAAGTTTTTCTAAGTTTCTGATAAATGCCTGCGCAAATTTTGATTGTTTCTACACTAGAAAAATACAGCATATCAAAAAAGCCATTGAAAAGTCACAGAATCATGATTGTAAGGCAAGAGAATTTGTTTACATTCTAGTAAATATTGATACATAGTAATTTTTGCTACTGTCATCTAGAACTCTGAAATGAAGAACGTATTGGGTAAATAAAACGGATTAGGCCATCAGTGACATTTCAAAGACATTTAAAAGCAATAGATTTCTAAAGACTTTTTAATCCTTTCTCTTTAAGACTTCTAAAGACTTTTTAGCAACATCTTTTTGGTAGAATCAACTACTAAATACGATTATCGATCTTTCTACTATACGCAATATAAATATCCTGTTCCAGGTTGACATATTACAAATACACTCATTTTTTTATACGAAACAAAGGTCGATGTTGAGTACTCCAGTTTCTTAATGTTGTGGAAATTTCAATACTCACTGTTTTTTAAGAGTTTTTTAATTATGATGTCAGGAATGATGGTATGAAATGTTCGTGACTTTTTTTCACGTCAAGAGATTCGCTTCCGTTCTGACGCTGTACGACGTGGAAAATATTTGTATCCCTTTTGTCATAATTTCTAGGCCATCAGGGCAATCATGTTCTTGGATTTTACAAAATTTCATTGTTCTCAGATTTAATAGCTTCTTAATTTTTTTGCTTCGAGTACTGAAGTTTCTTAATTTTTTCTGAATGTCCAGTACTCGTTTCTTATAGCCAGTTTCTTATAAAAAATGAGTGTATTAAATTTAGTTAGCAAATAAATCATGTACTAGAATGAAATAAATCAGTTTGATAGTTAAAAACACGACGTTTTTAGCATGTATTCGTTATTATTTTCATTGGCTTGGGATGAAATAGCCACACGCAACGTACCTTGTACAAATATATTTACTACATTCGAGAGAAATTGAAAATCTAAGCAAATTGATGTTCCCAAAAAATTTTAAATGACCTTACACAGAATATGCATTCAATTCATCTCCCTGCTGCACAGAGAGTCATGATGGGTGTCTATACCGTTTGGAACCTGCTAGAGTTTGTTAGGCCCCCTTGGCTCCTGTACATAACTGTACACTGAACTAAGTGTGAAGGGGAGGCTAGTCTCATTTGGAAAATGTTGCTAATAGCAACACACCTGTCACTACAACAATATAATTTCTATAGCAGTTTAGTTAATTTAACAACGAGACGTTACCAGACAGACAAAATATTAGCTCAACAAGTAGCCCAAAAATGCCACGGGATCCTTATCCTTTTCCAAGATATGAAAATGACACAGAATTTGCTGGACAGAAAGAAACATCACAGGTACCTGCATCTTGTTAGAAGTTTTCTTTGAAAGGGTCGTCGTGTAATCATAACCCAATATGTATGGATTTCCTAATGATCATAGATGTTATTGTGATGCAGTGAAAACCCTATTCCTTTAGTGTTTAATAAGCCAATTAAACGTCTCGTATCTTATGTTCCATTACTGTCTTATAAACAGCTTGTGGTTTGAAGGAATCGTTCCTCATTTCTCCCATGCCAAATGTCTGTTGTCACGAAACCACAACACAGTTTTAGCACATAACTACAGACAGTTTCACATGTAGGAGGCTTTTACAGTACCGTGTAAGGTATTTTGCAACTGTTGCAGACAATTTTTAACCTGAATTGTTTTGTTATCTTTCAGGTGATTCGACATAAGCCAAACAAAGCTACAAAACTTCATAGTCACGTACCAGATGATCGTGCGTGGGATAGACTTTATCAAACGCAAACTCTAGCAAGTACCAGAAGAAAAGTTTTCCACCACGACCCACAGGTAAAATTGTAGTCTTACTCTAATAAACTAAGTATTTATTTTTGAATAAAACTTTGAGAAATTGCAACACATTTAATCGAAAATTGACAAATACGTCTCACATCAGACAAAGTGAGGGTTAAATTTTGAATGAGGGGGCTAAATCTCAATTTTCTTACAAATCCTTACAGAGTAGCAAAGAGATTTTTCAAGAGATCTGTTGCTTTTAGGGGACATAACCCCCTACCCCCTCAGTAATTCTCCCTGTATCACATTAAGAAAAGCTTTATATTTCATACCAATCAAAAGATGAAATATTCCAGAAAACTTTCTTTGAAATTTTGTATGATATAAAAAACAACCTGGCCAGTTAAAAGAGCTGTCAGTACTATAAGACATGAATCAAGAACAACTGAATCAACCTTTTTTCATTACCAAATCAACAAAGTTCCTTTTTTTATAAATTTGTTATATGATAATGAGATTTGCAGTCCTGCAGAAGTTCGGTTCAAGATTTATTTTAGCTTTTAAATTAATAAAATTTTTGAGATATTGATTGCTTGTGATGAAATTCCTGCAACCAAACTTGTTACAAACAAGGCAACTGTTCTCCAATTTTACTCTTTTAAACAATATGTCATTTTGCTATTTTTATTTTTAGGCTCCTAACGATGCTCTAGATTTTGTAATTAAATCAAAATATGATCACCACAATGAATTCCTGAGATCAAAGGCAGAAACTTTTTTCCAACCTGAAACACTTGGAATCCCCCTTGGGTGAGTTTTGAAGCCTTTTGTGTTGACAGAAAAGTAAAGCAACATAAGTTTCAATTGTATCTCTAAGCAAATGAATTAGTAAACAACATCATTTGATCATTTACTGAATAAGTTTGTTTGTGAAACATGTAATTGTCATCATTCAAACAACTGTGAAATGCTTTGTAAAAAAACAACAATAAATCACTATGCAGCTGAGGAGTGTTGACATATTTTCATTTCCCTCCTTCTTGTATCAATTTGACACAATACACCATAACTGCATTAAAATGCACACAATTGGCTTTACAAAACCTTCATTTTGCTGGAACCTCACTCTTTTTCAACATGAAAACTGTTGAAAAATTAAACAAAACCAACCTCACAAACCACAAAAGAATAAAATTATGGAGTTTTCATTTATCTTCAAATAAGCTGGATTAGATTTACTCTTTTCATTGCAAGCCACTTACTTAATCTGCTTCATTCTTTTGCTTCATCTCTTGTCTTAAACATGTTACGAACCAAACCCAACAACCTGTTATATGGCCTGTAAGCCTCTAAAAATGAGGGACAAGTTGGCCTTTTGTGTTTCCAAAGCATTTGCCTGATTTTCAGCAATATCATGCCATTGTTGCTTTTTGATCCATATGTCTTTATCATTTTTACAGGGGGCAACAGTCCAAGCCCTTCTGGCCCAAGAAGTGTAGTGCAAGGAGCCCTTTCCAATGCCCAGAAAGGAGTTGAATTCTATTTTTGCTTTTTGCAAAAATCTGACCCCCCCCCCCCTGTTCTTTTAAATGTATTTTCGGAAAATACCTTCCCACAGTCTTTGAGTCAAAGTGGTTACAGAATAAAGCGCTTTTAAAATTTCCACAGTCAAGCGGCCTTTTTCACAATGACAAGGGTAATTATTTTTTAATGGGAGCTCCCTACCCACATTGAAAACTTTGCTTCTTGCACGGACAAGTTTATTTTAAAAATTTGCGACTGCTCACCTGAAATAGTGCATATGTAGAAAATTGCAGTGTTGATAATGTAAAATGTTATTAACTAGGGATTTTACGCGGCCAAAATGCAAAAAGACGCGGAATGAAAATTGCATTGTTCCTGCTATATCATCATACGTTACGCGAGGCTGCGTCGGTCTAAACTCTAAACTGTGAACATTTTAAGAGGCTGTAGATAGTATATAACGGGTTTTGCTTGTCACAAAAGCTTGTACTCAGTGAGAAACTGACAATGTATGTTTGGTTTCGATGACAGCCCTCCCTCCAACTTGCATTCAGAGGCACCCTATTTTATTCTATTATATTATATTATATTCTATTCTATTCTATTCTATTCTATTCTATTCTATTCTATTCTATTCTATTCTATTCTAAAGTTTTTAAATCACGCGGAAACTTCGCCGCTTTTGTCTCTAATTTTTCGCAACTGCACATAACGGTATGTAAGCCATTTGCTATTGAACGAACTTTGAACACTTATATTTATGTTGAAAAGACCACAAACATTTTTAATTCATGCAAAAAATAATTCATTAATGATGTTTCTACTATAGCCGTCAGCTTAAAAACAAACCGCCACCTCCGCCACCAGTTATTGAGCCCGAAGATATAGTCCTGCGAAAGTCGATTGGAACGAAGAAAGAAAACATTAACAGCATTAACGGTGCTATCGGTGAGTGAGTCTTTTAGTTGCGTAGAGGCCTGGGGATGATATACGTCATTCTGCTTGTCTGATAGTCAAGATCTTTCAGTTTTAAATTCACGTATTACAAAGACACAAGTTGCGTGAAAAAAACTAACAACAACAAGTTTGCCGAACAAATGTATTAAATATTATCTTGTTTTAATTAATGCAACCTTTGGGAGTTTCCATACTATGGTGAATTGAAAACAGGTGCAAGAGGTATGAAAGGGATGTCACGCCCTCAGCCTTTACAGATAACAGTCGTGGATACAGTTGTTTTCAAAATAAAACAAGTCTGTTGCAACTGTTTCGTGCGTTTTAATAGCAGTGATGTAAAAATCGAAGGTGTGTTGCACAGTTTCAACACTTTATTTACAAAACTGCAGTTTCATGTATATACCGATCAATATCATAATTTCTTAAATTATTACACAGCAAGTCACCACAGCGCTGCAACAAACGGAGGCTACTCAAGAAAGGATGATGGAGGATTCTACACGTGCTAATCGAAATTCAAAACACTGTGATTCTGGCAAACTGAATAGCCTTAAGGCTAATCATAAATTAACCAGGATGGCATCATAGTTATAACATTTTATGATTTAATGTTGTAAAAAGGAAGTGATATAAACTTTTCCTATTTTTATACAAAAGTACGATTTTCTTTAAAGATTTTTAGATAAAATACAAGTGGCAAAGCTTTCATCGCTGTTACCTCTTTCACATCCACACCCTTTCATGCTCTTCAAAAATCACGAACAAGTTGAAAAAGTTTTTCCACAGCCCCCCCCCCCCCTCTCCTTAGAATGCTGCTAGGATTTCAATATTGTATTTTGCTACTTGTTTTGCACATAAAAGGGACCTTGACTGAGAAAATCACAGGGGAGGAGAAAAGAATTAAAAAGCAGCGTCAATAACTCAGGGGTTAGTCAAATTAAACACAATCTACGTGTGGCAAGGTTTTTGGGCTGAGATGCGTTTTGATAACCGAATGGAATCAGCGTCCCAAAAGCTATTGGTTTCCTGATAAAGTAAAATAAGCTTCATATACGCTTTTATGGTTACAGTTAACCGGTAAGTATAACTGATCAATGATTAGGTCACTGATTACATCACGTATTATGAGTGCTTGGCAATGATTGGTTGATCATGTTGATAAGGTATGATAGGGACTGATTAATGTAGGAATGGCTGATGTGCTCATTGCTATCTGAAAGTTTCAAGACAGACACGACTTTTTTGACGAAGTCGCAGACATGTAAGACAACCTTGCAAGTATATAGAGAGTCTTTGAACCTTTGACCAAAAGCAGAAAGAGCTAAACCGAAACAAAACTATTAAATATCACAAACTGGAAAGTATATCACAACAGAGGGAAACATCATCTATTCTCATCCCTTTCTTTTTTAGCCGAAGAAGTTTTTAACAATACTGATTCAACCAATGGCAATAATGAATTATATTCCATGATTTTATCGCACATTCGTGTTAATTTTCAATTTTATTGTATGACAAGATTACTTCAAGCCTATATCTAATTGTTTCACTCAAAAATTATAGTAGATAAAATACGCAAATTGGAACTTTAACTTAAAATTCTCATTGTTTACATAAATCATGAAAATGAAGAACGATATCAAATTTGAAAAATAAAACGGCAAGATGTATAAACGCTATTTGCTATCACATCTGTTAACGTCTAATGGTTTATAGAGCAAGCAACTTAAGGGAAATTGATTCAAAGGTTAACGGAAAGAAATTTTATTGGAAAAAACTGAATGTTAAAAAAGCCAGATTGGTGTGTAAAATTGAATCAATATAGGGATTAAAAAAGTAAAAATTCCGCATGTGAGATTCCTTGCCAATTCAACCGCAATATGAATAAAATGTTTTGAGAATAACTTTATATCGGACCAGATATTTTGATAAATATAAATTCTGCCGACTAGCTTTATCAGCGCACTGCAAGGCTTCATTTATTTTAACTTGCTTAATTATTAAACGACATCGACCCTGTCAAATAAACAAATGCAAAGGAGACAACTTTCTACACTAGCCCCACTCCCTCCCCAACGGAAATCTCCCTCTCTACCAAACGGAAACCCCTTCACGGAAACCACCCAATCCAAAGAAATGTCTTAAAAACTGAAGAAATTCAATAAAAGGTCCAGCTTCACCTATTTCCAGATGATTCCAGAAAGGATGGACATGTGGAATTTGTCAGACTTTGTAATCTTTGAGGATAAACATTATTTTTTACCAAGTATTTGTTATGATTCCAATCAAAGGCAATAAATTGCTTAGTATTCAGTTTGTACATTGTTTAACATGCAACGTCCTTCAGAATTTTAAATTATTTTTGAGATTTATCTCACTCAGACTTTTGAGTAGAACAGCTAAAAAACGTTGGAATTGCTGTCGATTTTAACAAAAAACCGAAACCGATAAAAACATAAATAATTAATTAGACAAAATACAAATTTTACGAAAACACAATGATAAAACAATAGTATATTAAACCTATGTTGACAGAATCTTCAATTTGATCAAGTTTATCCGAGGCAAGCTCTCTACTTTGTTGATGAGGAAAAATCCTCTTTTGACTTCATTGATGCTTTGATAATTTAAAAAAAGACTGAATTTGATAACAGATGTTTTACGTTGTTTAAAATTAAAATTCCAAATATTGTATACAATAATTAGGGCTACCAAAAGAGCAGTAGTTGCTCATTTGTACTCCATAGCGTCTAGGCCTAGAAATACTATCTGACTCGCCGAACTGTACACAAAACTCCTAACTTACAACAATGATACGACCGTCTGCCATTTTTCTAGCAAAGCATGTTGAATTACTATCAGCGTAAAAATTTCGATAAAGGGAACCTTATGGCCAGCTATACAAAAACATTCTTTTCTGGCACGATGAGTGTAGAAGACTGGAAACTGGTCGAAATTCAATTTTTATTGGGACATTTACTTCGGCTCGTGTTCAATTTGATGTAAACTTTGCTACATCGTCCTATATTGGAAAGGGCGTAATGCAACTTGTCAAAGTTTTATATCGTTCATCAGTGAAAAACCCGAGACAACCTAATGTTGGTCAACAGCCATAAAAACAAATAAAGACATAAAAGAAGGGGGAACTTTCCACGTTTTTAAATACTGTTGTCTGAAATAAGAGGCTCCAAGACTAATAAGCAGAGCTGGCTTTGAAAAAAGCAAATATAATAAACATTTTCAAAGCCATTTTAAATTCTGTACCCACAACCAAAAGGTTGTTTGCTTAAAAATAGGGTAATTTCTGTTTGTAGCCTCAAAAAGGAAACGAGGTTGAAAATTCTGCACAGTAAAAACGAGACTACCTTTACAATTAACTAACTAATTACAAGAATTTGCTAAGTGATGATTACCTGAGCATATTTATATTATAGTTGTTCTGATTTCAAGCAATGTCTGTCTTTCGTCTGTCCACGTTCGTCTGTCAGAAACTGGCTCAAAGAACATCTACAAATTTACAATATATACGAGAATCCATATGCCCCTTTCTTTCTAAATGCTGCACTGAAATCGCTTTTTCTCCAATGCTTAGAATAAAGTCGAATGATACAAAAACAACTTATCGATTTTGAGCTGTAAATTCTTCGCCTCAAAGCTTCACTACCTGATGCTGGAAAACTCGGGCCTTCTTCTCCATCTAGTGTAAAATTGCTGAAAAGAAAAATATGATATATAAGTTTTATAGCTCTCGTCAAAAATCTACGGTTTCGTTCTGTCATAGATGCCGCTCTGCATCAATGTTATGTGCAGTGCCATAAGGCATCGAACACTTTATGACAGACCGGTACTTATTTAGTTATACATAGCGTTTATGACAATGAAGTTTTGATCCAATACTGGGGAAAAGGATGGAACTTTCTTGTATTTTTACGGAAAAGCATTAAAATACAAAAGTAGCGATTAACTTGACGGTCTTCAAAAAGAATTACTTCATGTTTACCACGAGAAAACTGATAACAGACTGGGAAAAAATTCAATTTACCTTAAGGTATAATTTGAAATGTTTGGCATCCATGTTTTGTAGTGTATTACAATAATCCTGAAAAAAGATTTTGAAAAAAATTAAAAAATTAGTTTCAATAACGACGGTTTAAAATAACCGAGAAATGAAAAATAGCAAACAGCGTCAAAATCTTTACAACGAACACTTTCCAACAACGTACACCTCCATACAACATATAACTTTTTACAACAGACACGTCTTCACCACGGACACCTCTATACAACGGACCCCTATTTACAACGGACACTGTCTTCAATGGACAATAGATCTGGTCCTAGATCTTCGGTATGGAGGCTTAAGTTATAAGATTCAAACTCATGAATTTCATTTACCATAGCTGCTTCCTCTGGGCACTGCAATTGAGGCAGATACGATGCGTGTAAATACTGGATCACTTCTTGGCCCTAGATTGCAAGAAAAACAATCAACTAGAAACTTGGCACTCAGGAAAATATTGATTGGAAAAAATTTTAAAAATTCTTAAAGATTTGGAATTTTTTAATTAATTTTACAATTTGTTGATAATTAATACTCACTCTTTTTACAAGTATCATTTTCAAAACTTGAGCTATTTCTTGAAGAACCTGGAATGATACAATGAAAGGAGTAAATTAATAAAAAGTCACTCGGGCGACAGTACAGGTGTAAAATAAAAGTGTAATTTTGCATGGAAAAAATTTTTATGTGGAAATATGAAAGAAGGAAAAATAGTGTTGCAGTACGCACCAGAAAGCATTGTCCATCATTCAAGTCAAAAACAGGTTTTAAAGGAGCCACCAGACAAGCTGGAAGAATATTCTCATAGGTGAATTCCTTGAATCCCATCCAGTTCATCTCATCCCCTAGATGGAACAAAAAAGTGACAGACTAGTCCAGTGGTAAGGTGTCAGCCCGCTGGATAGTTCAATTACCGTTTAAAATCAAGAGAGCTGCCATCTGCTGATAATTCAACATGTCAAATCGATAACAGAGCTGTAGTCATATCGCGATTAAGAACGCCTGCATTGCATAATGAGCGAAGCCTATTTTTCAAGGCCTACAGTGATTGCAAAAAATAAATCAACGATGCAAAAATCCAGTTTCAAATTTGATCATGCAAGGCCTTAACTACTTCCTCAAGTTATCAACGCTGCTGCTGAATATTTTGTTATGTGATGTGTCCCAGGTTTTGTCAGTGATGACAAAATCGAATCAATTTAAAAGTCTGCCTAAACGTAATTTGAAAAACAAACCAACTACTAAGATAGCCTCATTATTGCAGTAAAACAGAACGTCCATACTTTGGCAGGACTATAATTCGACCCAATGTAAATGAACTATAAAAAAGCCTTCACAATAAAACAGATTCATCTTATGAAAATTGAAACAGCAAAATTACAAAATATCCAAACTTACCAAACAAATCTATAAATTTACCCAAAATGACAAAACAATTCTTTTGACCCTTCAAAGCAAAGACAAGACATCAACAGAAGATATAGTAAAATGATAAGAAAAATTAATTGAAAGAATTTCCAATCATAGTCTCGTTCGTCCCTTTAGAATAGCCAAAAAAAATCTACATTGAAAAACTTACTTGTAAAAGTATGCATTTGTATTATGATGTTTCATTGTTTCAAAAAGCTTTTTGTTCACATTTTGAAATCCTCATGTTTTTTATTCAAAAATCGAAGACTGTTAAAAAAAATTCCACTAAAAGCAACGATCTAAAGACATAAGCTTTCTTGTTGGTGGTATCAATCCAGAACAATAACTGGAAGTCGTAACGAATCAACTAAATTTCAATGCCCCTTTGTGGAAAGCAAGTCACTTGAACACATAATATTTCAATGATTAAATTTATAGAGCCTCCTTGTATCTTAAAAGATCTCGATGAAAATGTTTTCTTTTATTACACAGACCTCTGCGCGATAAGTATCAAGATACAGTTGTCTTATCTATAGCATACTAAATAAAGAATGAACATAGAAACAGTTAAAAATGAAAACAAAATATTGTAGCACGCCTTGGCTCACCTGTGGGTCTGGAATTTCTGCAGCACCTTGGACAACACTGTATAAAATAGTTTTGATGCTATCCGCACCTGAACCAAAATAAAAATGATATTAATATCAACAAAACATGGTACAATGTATTGAAACCAGGGCTTGAGTAATCTTGTCATTATTCTGCTATCAATCACTGATCCTTTCGAATCCCATTGGCCAAGAACAATTTTTTGACCAATCATACTTGTTCGAATCACAACGGTCACGTGTAACTTGCCAATCAGTTATCCTTCATCGAAACATACTGGTAAACAGAAACCTGTCAATCTCAACTGTCCTCATTCGAATCTCATTGGCCACGATTAACATGTCAATCAATCATCATTCTTCGAAGGTCACTGGTAAACAAAACCTGTCAATCAACTATCCTCATTCGAATCTCATTGGTCAAGAGTAACTTGTTAATCAATTGACTGGATAAATGAAGATGGCTGCAACATTTCAGGCGTTGCTAAACACAAAATTCTTTCAATATCGTAAATTTAGATATAACTTCTCAAGCTAACCCTAAAATGTTTCAAGTACCACTATCAAGACTGATACTGATATGAACACAAAACGGTTGATAATAACTAAAGCAATTATTAAGCGAGCAAATTAACAAACCTAATAAACTTACCACAATTTACTATAACTTCTACAACACCATTATTCACAATTGTGCATAAAAACAAATAATAGCTCCTTCGCAGAATCTGCCGCTCTTTCACTGCCTGCAAGAAATAAATCATGAGCATGGTAACAAAACAAAAGAAAACATGTTAGCTTTTTAAAATGAAAATCTGAATGAAACTCTCTGGCCATTGCTCATCATAAAGCACTTTTTGAAGGCAAGCACTGGAATTGAATAGGACAATTTGAAACAAATAGTGGCCTAGCATTGCAAAATAAGCAACAAGATATCGACAGGGTCTTATATCTTTCATGATTCAGCTTTTGCCCAACAATTAACTGCGGTTAGCAACTCAAAGTATACATTATCTGACAAGCTGTGAACGTCCACTGAAATTTTTGTCACGAAGTCATTATATCACGATGTAATAAAGTTTGAAATCATTATATGAAATAACCGAGTCGAAGCAACACAGCAAAAACATGTGAGTGACAGTGATCGGCCTGAATTCTGTTTGGTGCGAGTCAACATAGATTCAGTTTTCAAATCAAAATAGGAATATATTTTATAGAAAAAAAGGGGTTATCACTTCTAGTGATCCACAGTATCAGATATGCATAAAAAGTAATCGCTTCGAAGATGATATAAAGGTAAGTTTTGGGCCAAATATTGAATATACGACGATATTTCGAGAGCCACTGAAATATAGCAAACAAATATTTAGTGCTGTTATAACATTGTGCTACCGAAAGTTTTACGTGTGATGAGGACAGGAATGATTTCACAATCGAAATGATTTCATATCAGTGTTAAAGAATGTTAGGTAAATGAATATGGAGGCGATAGGACCTACCTGCATATCAGCTTCGTCAATTGGCGAATTTAGAATCGAGAAAATTGTGTTGACTACTGGTAGGAATATTTCACACAGAAATGGAGAAATTTGCGTCTGTGTAATAGAAAAAAGATCATGAATACAAAAGGTGACTTAAAGAGTGACTTATAACACAAAAGCAAAATGCTAGTGCAGATTCCATTCCTCTAATTCGTATATTGATAGAATTGCTTGTTTGTAATGGGACTGGATGCATACGAATAACGAGGGACGAGTACGCCGGGATCTTTTGGTTTCCCAAAACTTATCTTTGAACATTTGGTAGAAATGTAAAAACTGGAATATGTGTATAAACGGAAAGCCTGGGAAATCCCACAAAAAATACTGTAAACAAGCATTTAAATCATTATGTACTAAAATTTTTATTGGTGCACAGGTTTACGACCAAATCGTAACACAATCATCAATTATCTATTCGACGTAGGTTCTAGATTTTAAACCTTGGGAATTTTGGACTAGCTCTGGCAAACTGACTGTAAAGCTGTTAGCGTATATTTATTCAGAGGCGGGTCTTTTCTTTGTCTATAATACTAAAACCTTTATTGACGACAAAACCCGGGAAAAGCTCTGCAACAGTTAAGGTATATTACAAAATTCTCTAAAGATGCAATACTCCTGATGAAAGCTTAACGAATACAAGCAACAACATAAAGTGAGCTTTTAATATTTCAAATGGAAATGGAGGTAACGAACCTTAAACCTGGCAATCAGCTGATTGATTAATGGTATAAACTCTTGGATATCCCGCACTTCGCAGTCTTTGAGTAAATGAGTGACTGCGATTGGTAGATAGGGAAGAAGCTCATCGCCAAGACATATAATCATTCGATGAAGATACTGTCTCACACCAGCGTGGATTACGTCTCTGTGATAAGGCGTTGTGAGCGACTGTAGAAATATTGGCAATGCCTGAAAATCGATTGAGTTTCACATTTAATCTGTGCAAATGATACTTGATTGAGCATGAAATAAAAAGCATTGAGGCAGAACCAATTTGCACTCTAAAAACTGGCAACGAACAATCTGAGCCCACTAAGGATAACAATCCCATTTTTAGGATCCTGATAGTGTTGCTGGAAACGGAAGACGTTGAAGGACCACATCCTATATCATTGCCTATTAAGCATAGTTTGAAAAACATTTTCTGTTTTTCAAAAGCAATACACCTTTTAATGTAGACAGGAGTAGGCAAGAAGCACAATTCTAAACTTGGAGGAGGAATACCAACTCATTGGAAGTAATACTTGTGGTACTTCATCAGATGCCAATAAGTCAGCATTCCCCCCCCCCCCTGTTTTAGTTTTAGGCCATTGAACAGAACTTTCATTAGCCCTATATGGTTTCATTGGCTGAAAAATAATTCCTAACGACGTGATTTGTGTTCTGTGAACTTGGTTTTGAAGATTCGAGGATAAGCTGAACTAAACAATAAACTTAATGATTCCCTTCGTCACCTCTTTGAAGCATTCTGCACACCCACTTGCTTTCAGTGACAGCTGGCTTGAAAATGCTTTGCTTGCTCGACTAAGAAAGGACAGAAAAACATTTCTATGAGGATAGAACACAGCATATTACAAGTAGTGGTGCGCGAATCTGCGAAACTTGCATCGCAATCAAAAAGCTCCGGCTAAAGATTTTGATGCAGTAATAAATTAGCCATGGTTATTTAGATAGATTTACCTTCTTGGAAAACTACAAATTCTTGGGGAAATGAGAAGAACGATAACAGTGCGCTTGAAACGTTCACTAAGATGAATTCTTGGAACGAAGTCACTAGCAAGCTCAATATATAGACAATACTTTTTTAGACATAACAACATAAGTACGAATACAAAAATACTATTTGTTGTAGAGAACAGGTCGGTTCTGCATTGCCACTTAACTTTTTCTCGCGCAATCTTTAATTTCATGTAATTCTTTTTGCTAAGGGGTTCTTCAAAGGAACAGAAGACTGAAGTCAATACCTTGTAAAACCCATCAACGTGTGGAGTTCTTGAGCGCTGTTCAGTAGAGCAAGTTCGTCATTTCTCAAACTGTCCAACTACAAGAAAATAAATATAATCGCAGACCATTTACAGCATTTTCTATCAAAGCAAAATACTGTCTGATCTTCTATATAACGTTCTTTGCCGGATAACAGATTTCAAATATCTACTTTATATTAAAATGAAAACCTGAAGAAATCAACCTACCATGGATAAAACTTTGGTAAATCTCAAAATGACAGGTGACAGGAGGCACTGCATCATCGCATTCATGTTCTGCAAAGCAAGCACAACATAAAAGCAAGCACAACATGAACGCAAGCACAACATAAAAGCAAGCACAACATAAAAGCAAGCACAACATGAACGCAAGCACAACATAAAAGCAAGCACAACATAAAAGCAAGCACAACATAAAAGCGGATTTCGTACATCTTTAATAGTCAAATAACATTCAAATAAATTCTTGGCATTATAACACAACAGGAACAAGAAATGAAGAACAATCTCTAAAGCATCGTAGTTTCAGGTTTAGATTAATTTCACAAGTTTCGGATAATTTAAAAATTTAAGTGCAGGAAGAGTATTAAAGTGCTACAAGTAAAAAATAAACAAAATAAAATGAGGTTTGGGTTTGCTACTTGAATTCGCTTCAGAAACATTTCACAACGTCTTCGAGTTATTGAACCTTTTGTGTAGGGATTGGTTTAGGTAAATTAGAGCTCAAAAATGTAACACACCAGGGTGCAGAAATTGATTAAAATATTACGAGTTACATACTTCAGGTGAAGCACCACTGCAGATAATCAAGGTTGCTGCCAGTTCATATAAATAATTCTGCAAGAAAAAAATGAGCCATTCCATTATATCAAGGATTACATGACGAATATACGTCACATGGACAGGGCAGAAAAATACGTAACACAACTAGCTATATAGTGCATCATAACTTATGACCAAGCTAAGTGAACAGCGTTTTGGTTGGAGGTCACTTGCAAAAAGTAAGATGATGTAAAAAGAATAAACAAAAAGGTACAATTAACGATGAACATGACTGCTGAAGACATTATTTATACTGCCTACAATGTGACAACATAATGGCATTTGCAGAACAGTAAATTGTACTCCTAAACAGTTGGATTTAGAGATAAAAGGATTAAATGCAAATAGAACGAACCAGGTCATCACCATTGAGCTGTGATTTACTTTTGTAGCTATCATCCTGACAAAAAACAAAATAACTTTTGGGGTATTTGCGACCTCAAATGCAAAGGCTTCTGCAAATCAAACTCTGATTTCAAAAGGACAAAAAAAATGACAAAAATCAGGTTCAATTGAAAAAGCTGATGAAAAAGTTTCTTGACAAAGCCCATGAAACAATATGTTGCCATCAAATTGTCACGTGAGAGGTCATTTGAGATGGCCATGAAATCTTTTGGACTCCAAATTTTCATATATCTTTCAAAGCTTGTTTGAAAAATTCCCACAGAGTTCTGCACGACAACTATACACTTAATGTTCAATTATATACACAAACCCTGAGCTTTTACTTGAGAATCTTTTTTACAATTGCTTAAAAGCCTATCTAGATCACTCTCTCTATGCTCCTTTGAAGATTCCTTCGAACAATCTCCTGAAATCTGAAGCTCAATCCCTCGCGTTATCCCACGAGATTTTCCAGTTCCTCTACTTTTACGTGATCTCCTTGCAAGAACACTCAAATTATTTTTTAAAACTTCCCACCTTTCCCAAAAAGCTACAAGTACTGTGTAGGTATAATATATACCTGGCTGTTAACCAACAAATCCTGCAGTCTTTGCAAAATATTGTCCACATACGGTTGTATTTGTGACCTAAAATAAGACGAGAAGCAATTTTATACATGATCCCCTCTAAAAAACACAAAACGTAAGTATTAACAATAACAAACGGAGTTACAATTAAATAATTCTTAACTCAACATCAATTAATAATTTGAAACAAAATAATGAGCACTCACTTGAGGACTTTCGTGAAACGCATCAAGAGATAGCTTGTGCGGCTGCAGATTTTTGTAGAAGGATTTCTCAAACCTCTCTCGTCGAGAAATGCTTCCTAAAAACAAATATTGTTTCAATTAAAGAAGAGGTTGATGAAAAGAAAATAGGAAGAAAGAAGTGTGAAGAAAAAAGGGAGATGTCGAAAAGAGATAGAAGAAAGAAGGAAGAAGAAGAATTAAAGGGAAGAAGAAATATAAGATAAGGAAAAAGAAAAAGAGAGTGTGAAGAAAAAAGGAAGATGAAGAAGAAGACGAAGAAGAAAAAGAAGCAAAAAGAGAAGATGAAGAAGAAAAAAGGAAGAAAAAAGAGAATAAGAATATTTCTGTTAACTTTGGCTTACCAGGGCTTCTGGAATGTACTGCGTTTGGGCATAGAAGAACCTCTCGTATCTCGTGACGGTTTCAAAATACTGAAATAAAAGAAGCCACATGCATTAGAAGATGGCGTTAAGCAGGGGCTGTTCATTTTCTTGCGTCATGACAAAACAGAAGATTGCAGCCACATAAAAATCAGACTCATGTTCCCAAAACAGAAAGCTTTGTCAGAAAGTATATAACTATCAATATAGTTTTAGAAAACAACAACAAAGTTTTTACTATTTTTTAACTATGAAATTCAAGGTGAAAAATGATTATATTCAATTAGCTTTGTGAAGCGAGTATGATCTTCAAATTTTTTTGGATTAGCATAATTAATTATATTTATATCAATCAACAATATTTATTGAAATTAAATGAAGGAAAAATTAGTCGTGTTTACCTGAAGTTTGACGGCTATATGTTGGGCCCAGGAAACTTTGCTTGTTATAAGCTGCAAGAGAAAGCACTTTAATAGATACAAAAGGTGCAACCACATTAGAATACGTTATTCGAAAAGTCTATTGACTGGGATCTCGAATTTACGTAAACGAAAGATTTGCCAAATAAAAGACCCCACTGCCACGAAGTTTTCAAAAAAAGTGAAAAGGAACTCTGTTTTGCAATACTGGATGCTGGAACAACTTTATTTTGGCCTTAGAAGCAAGAATAAGGATACAAATAGCATTAAAATTAGGTAAAACGTAAGTTGCCACTGTTGCACGAAAAGTATAAATGCACACAAAAACAAACCGATATCATCATTTCTTGGAGCTTGCTAAACTTTTGACTGTCATTGAACAGATCCTGACCCTATGGGAAAGAATCTTCATCAATATCGAGTAAATGAGGTGATGAAAGTATGAGGAAAATCCTTTCAGCTGTGAAATTATGATAGCTAATTGATTCATATTTTGCTAAAATATCTTTTTCCTATTGTATAAAAGACATTAAATATACAGTGAACGGTGGACTAAGGTTAACCAAAAACCAGATGACCTAAAGAGGTTACGTAAGTAGGTGACCTAAGGATGCGACGTTAGGAGGATGCCGTAAAGAGGTGACGCAAGGAGTGAGGCGACAGAAGGAAAGCTAAAGAGAAAGGCAACAGGTATTCTCTCCATGACTGCATAAGGCAAAAATTTAATGGTTTTGTATTTTTTTCCTTTGACATAAAACAAATCGCTATTTCAAAACAACCTTATAGCAATCGAAAATTAGAATGGTTGTCCGCCCTTCCCCCACCACCATTCCCCCTTCCCAAATCCTCCCTTCCCAGCTCCCCCTTCCCCACCCTAACCCCTGCGATGCATAGCATAATAGGGTTTTGAGTGGTGTTTGAGCAACAGCCGGAAAAAGCCTGTGAATCTAACTGGGATTATGAACTTACTAATGCTTTTAAACAAAGAGAATAACAAATACATCATAGCATAATTATCATAAACTAGCATATTAGGTTCCAGGTCTATTACAGATCCTTATAAAGAGAGTACATACCGGTATTGCTTCACCAAGTAGATAAACAAGGTGCACTGCGAGCTCTAGATCAAGTAATGGAACTTTATCTGCATTTCTAAAGAGAAAAACCCAAGTAAAAGACCAATAGAAACAGTAGGTTAACAGAGGTTTAGGTGAGATGGGCAAGCAAATAGGTCAAAATGCAAAAGATTTTGCAACGATTTCTTGTTGTAATTCTAAATTCGTAATTCAAATTTTGTTGCATGTTATGGGTATTCAAGAACATATCATTTCTATTTCATAATCACAATCAGTATTCGCGGTAATAAACTTCAAAAGAAAAGGCGTCGTGCATTCGCGCTCTCCTTAGCATTCAACTGAATCATACTTGGGCATGCTTCATTCATACCGCGTATGAAGCAGAGACTCTTCCTGCTTGTGCTAGAACTGTTGCCTCTGGCCTAATGACCGGCTCCCGAGATGTCTACGTAACCGAGAAATTCCAGCATCACATTTATGTGATGTGCCACCTTAATATTTGAGCACCACCTTAATTTTATAAAACCACATGGACACTTCTACGTTGCCTTAACGTTTTACGTCATATAAACATTATTTCCATATTAGACTTCTTTATTTCTTCGTATAATTTCGACAATTGGAGATTTATTGGGCATAAAAAAACAAATAAACACATCAAAACAAACATATTAACAAAAAGCTTCTTACTGAAGAGTCCTTTGGACATATTCATGTAAAGTTGAGACGACCAAATCACCATCCTGAAAAAGAAATATAGATTAAGAAAGTGGATCCAATCCTAAACACATGACACTGAGAAGAATTCAGGTAAATAAGTTCATGATGTTCCGCAACATATCAACCGACAATCCTTAATGAATTCTACATTATCAAACCAGTTCAGATTTGATAACGTCACTCGAATCTAGGTTTCCCTTATGACGTACGCGAAAGTAGTACGTCAAGAGCACTCAGGGGGCTCCAGCCTTTAAGCCAATATCCACTCATATCTTGTCCAACCCTGTTGATTAGGTAATAACAGATCATTCGCTTTACTGCAACTCCCTCAACAAAAATCTATTTTCGATAACCACAATGCATCATGGCATGGCTTCTAAACAATGCTGAAATTGCATTCAATACTATATAACGTTATACTCACTAGTTTCCCGATGTTATCCAATAAAACTTTCATTTGTTTGCGAAAATCTTGAAACATTGCTTCATCCTCTTCCTAAAATAAAAAATTATAAAGATATTTTATCAAGCCAAACTTCACAAGTTTGAACTAATATAAGGATGTTTTTATGAAATATTAAAATAGAATTAGATAAAGTTGTTGAGAGTTAGATAAAAACATCATTAAATGAAAGGGTGATGACGTACAAATGATTATTGAGCTACTTACCTCGCATGAAAACAGAGAAAAGAAAATTCGAAAGAATTTTCCAAAAGCATCATCAAGCAATCACATTAAAAATGTTTTTAAGTCCTGTTGATCACATTAAGTCAATCACATTAAAAAATGTGAAGACCTTTCCTGCGATAACTGGACAGCATCATTAAAGTGCTCTAGCATTATAACATAACAATGGGTTTGTCTCAGACCAAGGTCGAGAAAACACAATTATAAATTCTTGCAATGACAAACCTCATTTTCAAAATCATAATCATCATCAAACTTCATTTTTTTGATCACAATGAATAGAAGTTTCTAGAAAACAATAATATTATATTTAGCTCATACACAAATGATCAGTAATCGTAAAATATCATAAAATATTTTCCCAAGACACTAGAATTATTTTATTATTATGAATATGAATAAACAAATGAGCGATTTCTTCTGGGTAATGTAAAAATGTTTTAACTATTGAAATATTCAGAAACGTTCATTGAGCATGTAAACAAAAGCATTCTTCAAAAAAAGAATGCTTTGCAGGGCATTCAAAAACCCTGAATTGACGTTTTTACTTAAAAGCCTTCCTCTGTAGAAGGTTTTTTCTTTGAAAGTAGACAAAATCCGGATCAAGAAAATATACAAAGATATAAAAGTAGAATATAGGGTCACATGTGATATTGTTTGATCGAAGGAGTCCTTTAAAGTTTCAAATTCTGCACATAGCAGAGACGAAACCTATTTCAGCCTTTTCTTGCACAAGAAGAAGAGCAACTCATCAGTGAAGGCAAAAAGGGTTCACGCCATTGCAAAACATAACAGAAAATGCTACAGAATCTAAAAACTCACCCTTAAATATTCTATGTGGGGGCCTTGCATAACTTTCATCTGAATGGAAAAAAGCGTATCGAATTAACAAAGGGTAATGAAGTGGTTGACATTACATTAAATAGATATTACCTTAGCAAATCAAAGATTATTGCCGTTCGGATGATAGAAGGCTATCTGTCATTGTGAATGGGTTTCGCCAATTTTGTAAATACATTCTCCAGTTCTGGAGATTCTCGTATTAGCTGTTCTGCAAAAATTTTTACTACTTATTAACTAGTAAATACACTAACACTGTTCTCTAGATTCATTCTGTGAAAGCTTAAACTATGAAAAAAATTTGCAACTTTTCAATCAATATAATTTTACAGTATTTTACAGTTTTCAACCACTTTTATATAACATTTTCAAGACAAGGTTTTTAGCCAATTGCAGAGCAGTGTATATTGCCCATTGCTCTGTTAACAAAATGTGAAAGAAAAATCCATCGACCAAGCCATGTCTTATTCAATGCAAGGAGTACAATATGTAGATGCTGCCTTTAATTTGAATATTCTTTATACTCTATTTGAAGGAGTTCATCATTGGCAGAATAACGCGTGTTATGAGGGTGCCAGGCACACGAGTTCTAATGTAGTCAGACTATTTTATGTAGCATTCCAGCTTGTTATTAGTTCAAAAGGGATCCAATCCTCCCAGTTCAGTCTGGAGTGATTCACTGATAGCATTTATTTCAAGTATTGCTTTGTTCCTGTCATCTTTCATTTAATTTCAAACCTGTTTTAAGAGACCCAGATAGGAATGCGCAAATTCACTGACAGTCTCCGATATGTCATCGTCTTCATGACTCAAAAATCTGCAACAAAACACGAGAAAAAATAAATGACGTTTGAGGGCACGGACTAAAATACAAGCAAAGTTAGGTTGGAAGGGAAAAATGAATTGAAACAAAACGTGAAGAAGATAAAAAAACAAACAAGAAAAGAGACTTACAGAAATAAATAAGAAACCCGGCATCAAACAACGAAATTGGAATAGGATAAAAATTACATGATCTTATATATCTTATACAGATTTTAACTTAGTTACGTTTAAATTTCTTGAAGTTTCTTTTACAGGGATTGATTTGGGAATTTTATTAATTACAGACGCCCTCTAGAAAGCAGCTTTGGCTGAGGGGGTTACTGAGCCTAAAAAATCCAAAATGGAAAAAGAATTAAATATTAATGCAAAAAGGGCGAATTTTAAAAAAATTGAACACGATCAAGACATCAAAGTAATACAGCAAGAAAGAGTCGCAGCTTAGAATAAACCTGTTTTTCACAGTTAAACATGCATAGTTCTGCCTAATCACAGCATCGAGCACACTATGGCAGACCGGTGATGAACAGCAATTATCCGTACCTTAACATATATGGTATTTTTCTTTCAATTGCTTTCAAGATAATCGCAGATTGCCCCATTTCACCATTCACTTCCCCATTTACTTTTGGATACCTGGAAAATTGAAGATCGTCTCAGCGTCAAAGAAGAAAGAATCTTCCTTAAACGGCGAAAGAAGAATCATATTCATTGAAAAACTTTAAATTTTAATTAGGTTTAATCAAAAGAAATCTGATAGAGATTCTGATAGTTCAAATGCGCAAGTCGGTATTTCAATGAATGTTTTCACCAGTCAGTTCCCAACAGATTTTTTACTGTGAAAAATTTTTTTGAACTTTTTTATACTAGTGACTGCAAAATTTTACTTTTACAAATTCATGAGGATTGGGTTTCAGAAATTTAAGTATATTACAAAAGGATAGAATCTAAAAACCAAGTTAACTAGAAGTTGCCAAAAAATATTGAATTTTCCAATTTCTCTATTGATTTTATTAGAACATAGAAAAACATACTCAAAATGCCAGAGAAAGCTACTAGTAAATTTAAACAGCAGGTCAAATATTGGCCAAACATGTCTAGAATACTGACGTCAGTCCATAATAGCAAACATTCTACAATATAGCCCTAATAGGGGCTCTGACAACAGTATTTGAATCGGTATTAAAATATATAGCATTCACGAGTCATTCATAGGAAAGAAAAGACTTACTTTGACCAGCTTGTAATTAACTGTATACCCATGCCATTGATCAGCTTGGCAACCTTTGCTACGAAATCCAAGTCTTCTCCCTTTAAGAAATATCAGCGTGTGTTTACACAGACGCTTGGTGGTCGCATAAAAGCCTCAATCTAAGAGTAGCACCTTAGGAATATCATAAACTACACACTACAATGTGTATGGATTCATCTATTTGGCATTGAGTACTATACAAAAGAAATGTTAACAACAATCTACGTTTATATGCTTTGATGGAGATCCACCAAAGAGAAATTAAGCTTTATTTTTTCGGTGGAGCAATAGTCATTTCATCGATGAAACTTCTACTACAAATCAAGCTTTCCCTTATAACGAACCTCACAAAGAAGCGCCTAGGCTTCCAAAGTACAATCAAGGGCCGTCGGAAGTGATGTTTGGGGGGGGGGGAGAAGTCCTTCGCTCTTCTGGCAGTCAAACAGACCCTTTGCAACCCTGTATCCTCGCACAGCTAAATCGTGTGCTAACGATGAGATTCATTTGGCAACTGGTTAGCAATTTCATCGCTTTGTAAACAAGAAATGAAGATGAAAAATCATTACATAGTCAAACTTTTAACATATACCTCATTCGGTGAAAGCACTCCAACATTTTCCAAAGCGTTTGTTAGGGATTCTATCAGTCGCGTTTTCGCTGTCGGTTCCATTCCTAGAATGACATGTTGCTTTAGATTGAAAGTAACCTATTATTTATATAAAGAACGGCAAATACTGTTTAACAGTTGGTTAGTGCTCGATGCCATAGTAGAGGATGAGCTGTACATGTATAGAACAGGACAGTTCTGAGATGCTACTCCGATTTTCACGGATATTGTGATCAGGCAACTGTAGCATAAATAGATGATTCAAGAATCCAGCAGATATAGTACAATATGTTGCGAAAGTGATAGCGAATATGCTTATCTGCTTCAAATGAAATGAGGTTCAAATTATCTGCTTTCTAAAAGTACCAAGAAGACGCATTTTCAAAAAGAAAAGCGGGCATTATGTTTGATGAAATCTTTTTTAGTTCAAAGAGTCTTTAAGTGATTAATATGGTTTATAATGAAATCAAATTTTATAGAACTATGTCGAATTCTAAAATAATCACACGATTCTTATGAGATTTTGGATGGATATTCACAATTAATATTGATGCATTATAAAAAGGATAAAATTCAGCAAGAACTGTTTCTGAACAAACCTTTGCTTATAATTTCAAAGAAACATTCGCAAGCTGATTCTCGGCGCAATTCGTCTTTCAAATATCGGAGAATCGTACTGAAGAAAGACATGTTTAATGACGTCAAAACACTAACTATAAAAATGGCTTGATATCAGCATGTTTGCTTTTTTCAAAGCCATTTTCAAATTCTGTACCGCAAAAAAATTGTTGATATCAGCATAAAGAACTAAAAAGGGTTGTGTTTCTGGTGCATCTCAAACACGTAACGAAACAATTTCAAATTAAGTTTTGGACATCCCAGTGACACCCACGAACAAAACTCTAAAAGCCTGTTACACCCATATGGTAAAATATTATAAAATTAGCATTAAGTCTTCTAGATTTTGGGTGCCTTTCTTTCAGACTGATGATACTTGGCAATGATAGCCTCGTACAAATAACTTAACAACGTATAATAACTTAGGCATAATTATTTAACAAAATAATTAATAATTATTTAGCAAAGTTCAGCAGCTCACAATCTTTGAGCAAAAGCATTTCTTTGAAATATCAACTTTTCAAAAATGCTAAAAATATACACAGAAATATCTTCCACTGTTTTCTTTCATCGGCTACAACACAACAAATAGCTTTTCAGCCAAGATGAGCTTACCCTACGAATTTTTCGTTGGCAATGAGATCGATGTCAATCCAAGAAATGTAAGCACCAATCACTTGCAAACACAGACAGGTCAGCTCTGCATTTGAACCTTCGTAAAGTTTCTAAAACAAAAAAACCAACTCAATGATTTACAAATGACATACTACAACACAAAGATTTCCGTGGTTGCAAAAAAGTTTTGAATAATGGGAATGCAATTATGTTGTTATGAACATACCAAAAGGTTGTACCATGAGTCAACCAATTCAGGAACACAGTGCACTCTCATTGCATCTTTAATATTGGTATTGCGCTCCATTTCCTTAAATGCAAAGAAAAAAGTTTTATCTCCAAAACAAAGAATGCTCTCTATATTTTAAAAAGCAACGGATATAGCAATTTAGCGTAGGTGATCATCTAAAGAATCAATGCAATCACAATAACTAATCACTCCAATCATTCTAGACATAATGGAACGTTATCCAAGACACGAATTAAATGCTACCTTGCACAGTTTCTTAACTGAAATACAATGCAGTAACAAACTTTACAGGTTTGACACATTTACAAAACAAAAAAACTTCTATAGCATGGGTTTCTGTTTTATAATCATTGACAAATGACCTTTTCTTAAACTTTTACCTCTCCATTTTCCTATATCTTTCGTCAAAGATTCAAAAGCATTGTTTTCAGAAACAGAAAATACTGTTTACATGATTAAGCCAATGCAAGCACCATATAGAGCTTCTAAATTTGGTGGATATGGTGCAAAACGCTCAGGACTTTTAAAATCAAATTAGAAAAAAATAATTACCACAGATGGTGACTGGATATGTCTTGAAACAACTTCTTCATCAATTGCTAAAAGAATTCTAAAATACATCTCAGCTGCCTTTTCCCCATACCCGAACAAAGCTATGACATCTTTGAAGAATGAAAGCCACTGAAAAGGAAAATGAATTTATCTAATCAAGAAAGATTAACTAACATTTATGCTAAAAGTTTATACTGCTATGAAAACGGTCGATTAATTATTTTTGCTTGATAACTTTGTCTTTAGTTGGTGATTCGAGCTGTAGTCACATCATTTATTTCATTAAACTAATAACATGGTCTAAATCTATGTGTACATTATGAACATGCTTTCACATGGTACATCAAAAAGCAAAGTTTGCTGAATTTCTGAAAAATCTAGAAATATATTGATCTTTCATGAATTATAGAAAAGGGTTTAAAGAAAGTGATGTCTCTTCTTCTTGAGGTTACATCTTATCATAACATGACAATACTTTTGTGGAATATAGGTAAGCTAGCAGGCCTGGTCATAAGATTTTAGCAGGGGACCTGTAAACAGCCCTCCTAGTAATCTCAGGTGAGCTGTTTGTAGATAAATATGAATAGATATTAGGGAAAAAATTTATTTCAAAGTGAGCAATTCGCTGTTCATAGCAATTTAGGAGAACAAACTGTAGCTCCCTTCCAGCATCTGAGGGGAGCCTGCAGGAAAGCAAGAGCAATGGCTCTCCTAAATGACCAGGCCTGCCAGCTTTCCATATGATTTGGTATTACAACAACAAAAACCATTGAAAATACAAAGAAAATAATAAATTTTATAGTCAATCATTATTTGACAGCAAGATACATGACTCAATACAGAGTTCCTTCACATACTGTAAAGCTTCAATTTACCCATTTGCAATAAGGTGTTGTAATGCATCACATGCTTAACCAATAAATTAATCACACATTGCTCAGATTATTTCTAGGAATAGATGAGACAAAACTTTTGGACTACCCTAAGATATTTTACATGTATTTTAGTGTGCAAGAAACTTGGATCGGCATTAAATATTAAAATTTTCTTAATTTGGCATCCAAATTTTGGCATTTTAGTACTGAAAGTTTCTTCGTTGATTTCTTATTTTTGGTACCTAAAATTGCCTGATTGTTTCAAAGTTGAGCATTTTTAGAAGAAAAAAGATGCAGATTGCAGTGAAAAAATCCAAGCAGATCAAAATCCAAATTACACTATCTTTTTCAAAGAAAATCAATAAAATAAAAAGTTTTGGACTCTTGTATGTAATTGAAATTTTTACAGTTTTGTGATTTTTTAGCCTAGGACTGAAGTTTCATGAATTTTTTAGCATCCTAGTACTAGTTTCTTATAAACCTGTTTCTTATAGATAAATAACAAATATCTCAATATTTTACACTAACAAAATACATGAACAAACCTTGGAAGGATATTCTTGAACAAAAAATAATGCAAATATCTGGGCTGTCTTCTTTCTGATAAAAAGCTTTTGATCTGATGTGCAACACTGAAAATAAAGAGGATTAAACTTCAATTAGCTGTTAACAAAATATAAAAAAAACAGTTCATATAAAAATTGGTTTGATTGAGATTCTATAATTCTGGGCTCTGTTCTGTTATTAAGTTGCATCAAAATTCTTCATTATTCTTTATTCTGATTCCCTTTTGGTTTCATAATTTTTCCACAACTTACGCTTTATATCTGTTAATATAGAACAAAAACCAAGAGGTATAAAAATGGTTACAAACGAATGAAACATGGAACTGGATCGTCAAGATTTATAACATATATTTTTTTTCTCATCTCCCGAAAATAACAACTGATTCTGTTAATGACATCATCCAGATTTCCCAAAAGTCCATCTACCTTGAACTTCAAAGCGGGAGGCCATTGAGAAGAAAATGTTTTGTTTCCATGGTGAAAACTGTTGTGGCTCCCTGGCCCCCTAACCCCCTAGGGAAAGTCCTTACTAATAAGGTGACTATACTAAAAATTCATATAATGGCACTTAATTGAAAAAGCTTAATATTTACAACTATAACTATTAGCTAAAATAAACAATTATTAAATGGCTATTATTTTTAGAGCTTTTTCCAGAACCTTTAAATTTTTAGTCCTTCAGACAAACTCTCAAAGAGTAAATATATCAATTTTTGGTTACCTTTTTAAGCCACTCCATGCAATTTATCTTCACTATTTGAATCTGGTCAGACTTCAGCTGTGAATACCTGAAAAAACAATTAATAAAAAAGAAATATTAGTGAATTAACATCTTCACCTCTTGTTACACATGTAATTATCATATTCATTACTCTTACTCTTATAGAAATGGGAACTGCTTCTGTAGCTATTATGCTAATGGTCACAGAGCTTTGGGTCTTCTGTTGGTGCCATAAATGCCACTACAACAGATGCCTCAGGGAGTAGAGACCTTATACCTCATTCTTATATCCAGGACTGCCAAGAGGGGCAAGGGGGCAAATTGCCCCAGGACCCAGAGGTCTAGTGCCCTCATAAATTAATGAATTCCATTTTAAGAATGGAAAGCGAAAATATGCCTAAAATAGTTGTAAATGCTGAGAAATGACTGCAAGAAATATTCTGAGCTGCACGTTGAGCTAATCAAAACAGTGCATTCACAAAAACTTCTTGTACACTCTGCTGGTAAGGGGCCTTGTCCTTTGGTTTTTCCCCCAGAATATCTTGGCAGCCCTGATTTTATGACATACCACACATTACAAGAAAAGGAATGTTACTCAAGGATGCAACAAAGGTCTTTCAGGACAACAATGTGCACTTCAAAAACAGATCCTACAGAGATGCCTGACAGAGATGACAATCAAATGATGACCTCACAGAGTACACAGATAATTGTTTCTACTGTGGATTTGTTATAGTATTATCACAGCTCAATTCTTACCTCACTTTAACATGATGTTCTAAAACTTGCAGAAGGAAGAATTTCACCTTTTCATCACTAAAAAACAAAATTTTGTCACAGCATAACGGATTGTTGGCAGTAACAAAGGATTTAAAAGCAATTTGTACAGCTTTTGTTAGTATGTTATTGCAACAAATAATACAATTGGTATTATGTTGAAGCAAAACAGACAAGCCAGGCTATGTGGGTGGATATTGAAAGCTAGGAAATGGACAGAATGTTAAGCAATTTCGACTAGCTCTACAAAGAGCAGAAAGTTGTGTAGCCAAAGTTGTGGTCTGTTGGTAAAAGGTCTATTTGAAAGACATTTATAAAAACAGTATAATCTTGTTATAAGGTACTTTTGTGTAAGGTAACATCAAAAGAAAACAAGCTGTTATAATGATCTTTCATGCACTCCAAGAAAGATTAAATACTCAATACAAATATGCTTCATTTATAAAGTTTATGCACATCACAGAGGTAATATAGAAAATCATTGCCAGACTAAAGCAAAATGTTGTATCCTTATCAACACTTTAACTGCATGGACGACATACTCGCTTTGTATCTTCTAAGTCACTTGCTTGGGTCGAAAAAGATGATTGGAAGTGTTTTCATTGATGAAATATTTATTCCTCACAACTTATAACTTTGTGTGAGCAATCAAACACATGTGGGTTTGGGTTTTGCATGAGTTCTGACGCGATTGCAAGTGATTGCTAACTTCAATAAAAAAGACCTGAAAATGTGTGATATTGATGGAGTTTTTTCTTTTTCACAACCTGATTTACTGATGTCACGAATAATCAGTTAGAACTGCCAAATTATTTCCAGGGTGGAAAGCAGATGTGTGTAAAATGTTAAAGAAGCATGATTGTATGCTTTTCCCATAATTACTTAGTAAGAGTGTCCATTAATGAAGGTTTCAGCATTGGTTTTCATTGCAACTGACTAATGCTGTTATGGAGAAAGAAAAACTACTGGCTTAAAGGTATCACCTGTGTGCATCATCCGCAAAAACATCAGAAGACATTTGCAAGGTGGGTACCCAATAGGTCCCCCTGATTCCTGCCCCCTTTTAAACACGATGCCCGATACACAACCATCAATTTTCAAATCTTAGTGTTGATGATCCTGATTCCTGCTGACAAAAATTTTTCAATTCCTGATCCACAACTCTAAAAAATATGATGACCCCTATCTCTCAGAAAAACATATGGGTTACATTCTTTTAAGCCTTCATCAACATTATTAAGTTGCTCAAAATAAGCAAGAAGCTAACCTGTATGCATCTTTTGCAAGAGCATCAGAAGACAGTTGCAAGCCTTCATCTGCATTTTTCAGCTGCTCAAAATAAGCTAGAAGCTGCAAAGAAAATATTTCAATTATAGAAACATTTGGAAAAACTTTAATTATAGAAATATAGAAAAAATACAAAGTTTTACAAAGATACTTTCCATTCTTGGTTTTTTCCTATCAGAAGTCAAAAGTTTAAATGGTGGAAAATTTTCAGATAACATGACCAGATAAACAACTGTTATGTCCAGAGTCAAAAGCAGATTCTTAACAAAGCACAGGCAAAATAAAGGATGAAAATTATTGCAAAACTTTACAGTTGTGTCCCTTTATATACAAGGATTTCTGACTTGTGAATTATGTATATAAACAAAAAATACATTTACTTGCGATTTAAATCTACTTTACTAGATACTAATAAATGATTTCCACAGAACATTCTCCTTCAACAAAAATATCTTATAAAACAGTAGTCTGTGATTCTGCTGAACATTCAATTCAAGCATCATGTTAAATCCAGATCATTGACTTTCACAGCAGGTAAATAATCATAAATATTTTGAACATAACTTATCAAAAAAATAATTCTTTCGCGTCAGTAATTTCGATATCTAATGCAAACAGTAAGTATGATTTTTTGCTAAAGTTAATATTATTCCAATATAAGTTATTGTAACATTTTTTAATTGTATCTATTCAATTCATTGGAGTTTGACGATTGTGACCTGCACATAGGAGATGAAAATACCGGATAGGTTCTTGACATTATGGATAAATTGAATTGACCTTTACACTGATACCATAAAAGAAAAAATGAAAATCACGTACATATTCTTGATTCGTCTTTCCATCGCTCACAGCTAAAGCATACAGCGCTCTCTCGTCCATTTTTTTCTTTTCTTTTTCACCAGACTGAATACGTCACATCAAAACAATATTAACGACGACTTTTCAACACTCTTTTGGCCTAGCCAATTACAAACTCGTGAAATTACGGATCTAGTTTGTTACCAGTCATCTTAATGACCCTAAGTTAGATGATTGTTCAGGATTGCTTCATTCTCTAAGACATTTGATGGTTACAAAAGCGTTTTAATCATATTTTAAAGTTTTCTTCACCAAGTTTCACCACACGTGTTGATGCTTGCATCACCAAATTTGCATTAATATCACAGGGAGTCGAAAGGTGAACTAATTTTGTGACGTCGCATTGTAAATCAAAATCTGACACCTAAAATATAAATTGTTAAAAAAATGCAAAAGTTTTCACAAAGCATAAAAATCTCAAGCAACTCTCAAAAAATTCTCTAAAAACCTTATAGTCTTCAAATAAATATGAGAACTTAACACGGCACGAAGTTTCGACAGTGTTGTCAATCCTAAATATGAGTTAAGCTTTCCTTCGTTTCAGGAAATGACTTTTCAATGGCTAACTCCAAGTCAAGTTGAAAAGCTTTCCCGTCACAGTCAGGATTTGTTCTTATTTGTTCAAGCTTGATTTCTGTCAAGAAGACAGACAAGTACACCGTAATAATTGTATCAACCAATCAATTTCTTGAGAGCAAGCCCATCTCTAAAATAAACCTCTCCGTTTAATGCTTTCAAAATCAAACGAAAACTGACCAAATGATCACACTGTTTTTTCAGCTTTTTGCCTCAGAGCAACTTTGCTGTTTGCAACATTGCATTTTATTTTTCATCCAGATTTTAAGGTCACAAATTTAAATGTCTAATTATTTTAGCGTGCCTAATGATTCCTCTCCTAAAGAATATCAAGTTTTCATTAAGTCCAATACTTGATAATCCCGATCTCAAATAGGCCCCCTCGCTAGTTTATATTATTCAATAAACTTACCCTGTCGCATAGACCCCCTTTCACAATCGAGCCTAAGTGTAAGCGACATCCCCTGATCAGGCAAAGCACATTTCATGTTCCATTACGGCAGTTCTAAATCAATGAAGTAATGATATTCGGACAAGATCCATACTTCATACTAAGCCACCATAACATACTCCATACTAAGCCACTTTTAGCATCAAAAACACCAATGCAATCAAGCCCCCTTTAGAATAACCCAACCCTGAAGCTCATTCGAATTATCATAGTAGCAAAAGTAGAAAAACTATAGAGAAATCAACATGAACATGAAATAACGTGTGAAAGTAAAATCAAAAAATGCAATGATAACATGCAACATTTAGTTACATTGGCAAGAAAACTTTTGATAAGTAATAAAGCTTGAAACAAATTATTATCTTATTAAAGCAATCAATGACTTCTTGCGGCCAATGGCACTAACAACATAAAGCCTTGGGTGTCCTTATTGATGGCTTTTCATTCTCAAGTCACCTCTTTTTCCATCTTTTTGTGCTTCTTTCTGTGCCTCTTTCATTTTAATCCCTTTTTGAGGAAAATTCAATATTTTCTACTCTTTACTTTTCCCTGTTCTTCTTCCTTTACTCTTCCTTCTCTCCTTTTAAGTTAATTGTTTATTTACTAATGTTGCCTTTTAGCCATTTTTCTTGTTTTTCTTTCTGTGCTTCATCCTTTTTTATTTGTTTTCAATGAAAATCCACCCTACCTTGTAATTCACTTTAGTTACATTTTTACTTTTTTTTCTTAAAATGAATCCCCGATTTTCCTTTTTGATTTCTTTAAAAGTTCTCTTCATCTATTCCTCATTCTTTTTGTTTTTGCTTTTTCCACTTTTTTTTTTCTCCCACTTTCTTTTACTTTCTTTCACTTTCTTCCACTTTCTTCCATTTTTATCTTTCTACTTCTTCATTCTCTCTCATTTTTCTTCTTCTTCCTTCTCTTCCTATTACCTCCACTTTCTTTAAATTTTTTCCAATTTGTTCCATTTTCTTCCACTTTCTTCTTTCTACTTCTTCATTCTCTCTCTTTCTCCTTTACTTCCCCCTCTTCCTATTTTTCCAACTTTCTTTTACATTCTTCCATTTTCTTCTTCCTCTTTCTTCCTCTTTCTTCCTCTTTCTTCCTCTTTCTTCCTCTTTCTTCCTCTTTCTTCCTCTTTCTTCCTCTGTTTTCGTCTTAATATCTCCATATTCTTGTTTCAAACTTCCTTCTTCATCTGTTCCTACTGCATAATCCCGAATACATTGATAATTCTTTCTAGTATGTGAGTTTCATTTCTGAATAGAAAATCCCACCGCGCTTTTGAAGTAACTGGTACCAAGACATGTATTTGGTTGTCCAGTAGCTATGCGGTGGTGGAGGAAACAATCCATTCAAATTTGACCAATGACAAGCTTTGTACCACCAGGCTCCAACCGAATTTATCGCACAATTTGTAAAAGGGTGAAAGTCATGATCGCGATCAAATGTTGTAAAACGCATTCCATTGTGATTAATGAGTGAATCAGCACCGTCACCACTGTACTCTCCCACATTTAAACGATAACCATCTGACTCAGCAGAAATGCTAAAGTCTTTATACTCCGCATAAAATAATCGATTCCCGAAGTTAACATGCTTGAATTCAACACGTAAGGTCGCCCCCCGTCCCGGCAATGCTAGTTGATGGATTTTTTCCAGACCAAGCCAAAAATTTCTGGACATATCACCAAAGCCATTTCTGTATGCATTCCAGTTTCGGTAGAAACTTATTGAAGCATCGACGCGTCGTTGAAAAACAATCCACCATTTGTTCGACGTGTTGAGGTCACAGAATATCATACCTTTGTTGCTGCCTCGATTGGGATAGACTCCACTGCTTCGAATGCCAGATTCATGTAGAATTTTACAATCTAGAAAATAGAAGTATTATGGCAAGCTCTTGCGAAGAATGATCGTGAGACAGCATTGCTCTAACTGTCAAATGAAATGTATTCAGATGGTCAAAAGCTCGAGTAACCAAAGTTGGCATTTACAGAAAAAGGTTTAATTCCAATTAAGGCAAAATTCAAATTAAATAAAATACAAATTATTCAACTTGATGTGCATTAAAATAAACAATTTATGTTATAATAATTTGAGACATATTTTTATACTCAGTCTAAAGAAGTTAATTTTACAAGAACAAGATTGTAAAGACGATGCCAATAGGTGCATGATAGACACGGCTACCCATTGATCTAAACAAAAAACAATACGGTAGCGCCCAAGGCTTTACCAAAATCCAGTTAAGGTCGTTTATTCGAGATATATATATAGACAGCTTGAAGTTGATGCCTTACCGCAATAAAATAAAGCCTTACTGTAAACGATTTTACTGACGGTATGAAATGCTTTCAAGTTGATCAACGCCAGAACATGAATTGCAAAAGTGCGTAACATAGGATGAAAATCAATAAGATTATTCGTTAACATATGGTATAATATTTTTATATCACTTTCAGCATTCTTTCCCTTTTCCACCTCTTTATAAATAGATACGTTTTAGGTAGGAAAGTGAGAGAGGCGTGTGGAAATCCTTCTTTAAAAAAATAAGCCCAAAGTGTAACTAGTTCTATGAAAATATGCCAAAACATCATTTTTCTTATAACATCTGCTGCCAGCAAACATAGTCCCCTTTTTGAAGCTGAAATCACCATTCTCCTGGATACCACTAGTAAATAAGATAAGAGCTGAAAAGGATTCTTGTTCCACTACCATATTAAAGAGACGGTCAATTTTTGAAGCAGCTACCTGATAATAAGCATTCGTAGCCAGGGCATGAACACGTGTCTTTGCAAGTGTAACCATAACGACATGGATTCAGCTCTTGACAAACCTCTCCGATCTAAAGGACGAGAAAGACGAGTTGTTATCTAGAGTTCTTATTAAACCCTTAACATAGTGTTAGCAAGACGCATGCTGATGTTTTCATTGAAATAACAGTAGTGTCCAAAATAGCTACCCATCACTCGAATAGACGCTCCATCTGGTACACACCCAGATGCTCAGATTTGTATACCTTTCTATGTTCTTTATATACATGTCATTTCTATTTCTATACATTTCTTGGGGATAAGAGAAAAAGATTTTACGGGATAGCAAGACAATGAACACTAAAAGGCAAAAAGAGAGCAAGTACTTTGCTCGTAACTACGATGGGATATAATAAGACGTAGGTAAAAAGTTGCTTACTGCGATATTTACGACTTCATCGAAGAATGTTTGCTTGCTAGCTTTTAAATTGAGTACTTGAGGGTTTATTACAGTACATCTAGCCTGATAATCAGCTTATCATTTCAAAGGAATAAGACTTTTTCCTTTAGAATAATGGGTTGGTTATCAGGCTACAATGCATCTGGCTTTGCTTACCAGCGTGTCACTGCTGTTTGTAGACCTAAAAGTCCAACCAGTCTTTTCCACCAATAAATGTCCACTCGACAACGCATTGTATGACTGGCTATTCAATTGGCATGATGTACCATCGTCTTTTGTGTTCACAGTTTTGCAAAGTGGATTCAACAAACATTTCTCTTCACATTTATCAACACCTGTACTAGCAAAGGTCGCTATGACGGATCCTTGAAGAGCAACATTTGTCTTGATGATGTTGAATTTTCCGTATTCTAAACAGAGTAAACGTAAGATTGTGGCATCAACTGCCAGAAAAGTGCACAGAAATGCAACGGTTCTTGCCATCTTTGCAATTAGAGGTCGAAGAGATCGGTACATCAAAAGAGTCGCAAAAGCGAAGAAGGCCGTTTTTATCTTCTTGATGACAGGCAAAGGAATTGTTTTAATTGAAGACGGACAGGTAGCGATACTAGTTGGCTGAGAATCAACAAGCAGGCTACCTGTAATATAGCATTGATTTCTGTATACCTTCTTGTCTATTAAAGAAAGATTAATCTTTATTTCATTCATTGTTCTAGTACCTTGCTCCTGCATTTGAACATACAATCCAGGCAAGTAGTACTTCTCAATAGTGCAATACGAACACAAGCTTTTCAAATAATCATGTCCAATAGGGTTGTAGTATGTAACTGAAAATGAATAGGGAAATAAGAATTTTAGAGCACCTTGGCGACGCCGTTTCCGTCAATAAACCCGCTTTCTTTTACAAACTCGCTTTCTTTAATTGACCCATAAACTCAGCCAAATTTTTTATCAGCCATCTCCCTTTCTCCTTTCAAACCATGTTGGTTTTCACAAAATGACATTGAGGATTTCTACTTTGTCATATTTTGTCATATTTGCCTAAGTTATAAACACTGTTTCAGATGTAAAAGATGAATGGAAGAAGCATTACTTGGGAAATTCAAATACAGAAACAAGATTCATGCTAATAGACACTCTAATTCTAAGTCATGTTGGCTGGTGTGTTAGCTTCTCTGACAGTAAACGTATTGATTACAATTATGTCTACCCTTCACTGACATCACCTTTTTCTCGCTACAGAAAATTTGCCATTCACTTGAAAATCAAGACTCAAATATTGGGAAAGTATAATTCGCCTATTTCCACAAAGTCTTTCAACCAAAAGTCTTAAAATGATCTCTAAAGGACGAATAAAAAAAATTCTTTTTCGAATACGACAAATCATAGATCTCTAATTTTTTTATAGATTTAACCATGGACATTGCTTTCAGGGGACCAGATATATAATCCCAGTTCCCCTGAGACATGCACGTAATACCATTCTCTGGGTACCAGAGCCACATAAATTCAAGGGGAAACAAAAGATTGGAGTGGAGAAGCGGAGGAGCGTCTCCTCCGCTCCTCTGCTTGGAATTCTATTCACGTGCTCGAAGTTTTGTTGCTCTGGTAACCAGTGCAGAAATACCATAAACTTCTTCAGTGCTCACCCCGTTCAGGTCTCTTTGCCACATTCAGACACCTCATACTTCCTCCTAAGGTCTTGTAAACTTTAGAACGCTCTACTCTCCTCCTACTTCCCGGACACTTGTACCCTGTCTTTATTAGGAACAAAAATCTTATAGGACAAGGTAGTTAGGACATCAGGATGCTTTTCGATTGTGGGAATATTTGGAGATGATTTCAATTACAAGAGCTTGTGTTTTGGCAGCATTCAGTGAAAGTTTATCATCTATCTATCACATACGCAATTCGTTTATTTGAAAAGAGTGCGGATAGAAAGTTTCTTGCCTTTCATCTAGTTCTTTAGCTTGATTGGTTAATTGTAAAGGTTATTTTGGATTTCAATATGGTTCTTGGATAAAAGGCAAATAGAGGTGTCATATGCATACACGGTAACACGTTCCTTATGCAATGCGTATAGTAAATTATTTATGAAGATAAGAAACAGCAATGGACCAAGGCATGAGCCTTAAGTGAACCCATAATTCATGCAAATAAACTACAAAATCATGCGATGAAGGACAAGTAGCCCCTCTTTACCACACAAACAAGCTCTATTAAAGTTATTTTTCGAATACCTGGTTTGGAGGCAAAATCTTGACATGTTGACAATTCATATTTGCAAATATGCAATTGTGGTTTCTGAGAATCACTGTATTCCTTGAGACCACTGCACTGCAATGTTTGGTTTAAGAATGTCAGCAGGCAATTGCTATCTTAGTTTCTGAACTGCATTTTTGCCGATCTTAAGGGTGTGGCAAGATTATTTGACCAACTCTTAGGACCCCGATACTCTTTAACGCATTATTGGTGGTGGCCCTGCGGGGACATCGAAGAATAGGCCATACAAAGAATCAAACAGATACGTTGCATTCATGGTTTTTAATCTGCATTTTAAACTACTGAACAAGTAATTCTATAAATAAAATCTATGCGTAAATGATGGTTTTTGGATGCTATTCATCAATGAGTATGTGGCAATTAATTCATAGTTCTGGGGACTGAGGTGAAATTTCTCACAAAGGAATTGAAGCCTTTTTAACTGTAAAATTGATAAAGCAAACTCTGATATTAGAGTTTTGACTTGAAAAATGCAATTAGCTCCTACCAAAATTTATACAAAATTAAATGGAGTTGCATTCTTTAGGTTTTTGTGAATATCAAGGACTATATCCCCATAAATATTAACAACTGCCCCTTGTTCGCTTAAAGATACCCCCATAAATATAACATTATCAACCAACTAATCTGCAAAATTATTCCATTTGAATGAATTTAAAGGTCTATTCTGCATTTACTAAGCAACAAAATTAAGATAGAGGATCGAAGAAACAAAAATAATTGCAAAATATTGAGGAATATACTAATAAACATATGTCTAAACACACATCTCCCATGCAGTGTGGTGAAAAAGAGAAAGCTAGATAAGAAGATTTTGTCGGGTCAGAAACGGAATTGTCGCATCATTTCCAATTGATACTTACTATCTGTTTGAAAATAGAGATCGCAGTCAGTTTTAAGGATACAACTATTATGCTCGCCAGTTCTGGTGTCAATATCTCAACACACTTGATACTGACAAAACGGGTAGGGTACAGCAAAACGGCTAACATGGTACTTTGTGTTTCAAGATCTGGGTATCAACCTGATACAAAGGTTTGATTTCCCCTCTCTGAAATAATAATTTCTGCAGCATTTTGTATTCCAAGGATTGTCTTTTATTTAAGCAAATCATTTGCAATCAAGGCGGATTCATTGTAAGCAAAAGTAATGGAGAGAAAGAAGGGGGGAGGGGGAAAGGTGGAGGGAAGGGGAGGGAAGGGGAGGGGAGAGGAGGGGAAATGGGAGTGCAGGATGCATCCATCATAAACTGCTTCTGGAACTGCTTTACGTCTATCTATTTTACGTCGCTACATTGCATACATTACCCAAAACTTTCTGCATCAACAAGTGAAATGTCAGAAGTGAATGCACGATATTCCTACAAAAGACAGTTATTTAAAAATACCAGTCATAAAATACATGCTCTCAGTTTCCCCAAACTATGTAAATATTTTAACTGCCTTTTCAAGGAAAAGCGAAAATAATTGCGAAAAATGTTGTTTTTTACAAGCTTGCTTGAAAGCAATACAAGATTTATTCAGCTGTGAAGGATCGTAACAAAGTAAACATCCGTTAAAGGAAAAGCCAAACGTTTAAATTGACTAAGATACTGTATAGGTAATTTCGATAAAAGTCTCTGAAATGAAGAAACATCGAACATTTTCCAAAGGGCACACCATCAATAAAATGAACAACCTCGAATTCAACATTGTGAGACGGAGGCTTCGAATGATTCGACACGTGATGTCATCGAACTGGAGCACTGCTACCGCCTTTAGTCTGTTTGCTTTGGGTCGCTGTTGCTTGGTTTGACATTAATAGTTTACTTTTTGACACTTGCGATCTTTGAGGAAACGGCTTAAAATTTATAGGATACAATGCTTTCCTGTCAACCCTAAAATAGGACGAATCCAAGAAACTGTCGTTTGAATCTAAATCTCCTCCAGCAACTTTGTGTTTTAACTGGTCTTGTGAAGGTTTAGTTCTTAGCGTTTCAACTTGCTGCGTCTCAGTCGCGTTTATGACTTTACTATACGATAATGTTGTTGCACCTCCAGGATCAACTCTTTCTTCCTTTCTTATTCCAACCTCAGATATTACTGAACTAGAATTCCCAGCAATTTGACTACGATTTGCACTGTTCGCTCTGGCAATTTTCGATGTAAACGGATACCTGTCAACTCGTTTTTTCCTTCGATCTTTTTCAAAGTTAGGCAGGTCAATAAACAAATGATTTATTGCCTTTGACCTCATCTCGTCCTTTGGCCTTGTCGTCTGACTCGTGAAGCCATTGAAAACCAGCATATTCTTTTTCTGCAGCTTACGCATGCGCATGTATTGTTTTTGCAAATGATTGATATCCAAATTCTCCTTTTCTCTTCGCTTCTCAGCTGCTGCCCTCTGTTGACTAAACTCTTTTTGACTGTCTGGGTCCGTATCAACAGCACCAGGGCTTGCTGCAGCAATATCATTTTTGGATGGGGTTTTCTCCAAATCTGCCGACGCCGCCTTGGCCAGACTTTCGGTGCTAGAAATTGGAAGAAAACCGAGGCAGCCTACAACACCATTGTCAGCCTCGCTATCATTTCCATCTTCATCACTGATGACATCGGGCTGGACTGCTGAAAATGACAAAAGTTATAATTGGGCGAGAGGAGAAAAACTGGGCGTGGCAGCTTTGAAGGAATCTTCCTCTTAGATAAGAAAACATAAAACAAGTCAAAGAAAATGGGAAAGAAAACCACGGAGGGAGAAGAGTAGCGGAAGAAGTGAGAAGCAAAAGGAGAAAAGGGGGAGGGGTAAGCGAAAGAAGGAAAGAAGAGACAAGAAAGCGACGAAAGAATGGAATGAGGAAAAAGAAGAAAGTATGGTGGAAAGGAAAGCGAGAGGAAGGCAAGAGTAGATCGGGGCAAATCAGCTGAAATTCAAGTTTACGATATATAGGCCCTAAAGACGGATATCTGTTTGACTCTAACGCAATGAGTAGAAGAACTTGTCGCGCAGTAGGTTAAAACTAAAATAAAAGAAAACGTTATATTTTAGACAGTTAAGATTTTTTCAGCAAAAGAGTATGTATCTCTTGTATGTCATTGCACAAATGTTGTGACATAACAAAGTCTTCTACAGACAGCTAATAGCTTTGGTCTTGAAGGCATGGCGCGCCAGTCTTAACGAACTGAATAATCTCAATTTAACCTTATATTGAAAATCCAGCAGACTTAGAAATGTCAGCTAACCAACCAAAGCGTGTGAAAACATTCGAATAACCATTTGTGAAGATAACAAAATCAATGGGACAGCCGGTTGCCCCAAGATCATTTGATACAGTGTATCAGCGCGGCGTCATACATAAATTACTAACCTAGCTTTCCACTGCTCTTTTCGTTTGAATTATCCTTTCCAAAGGTCGAAAACGGGTGTATGTCATATGTGAATTTCTCGCGAAGCTCAACGATTTTCCGATAAGGAAATGGAGCCAAAGTGAACACCGTCTAAAAATCGAAGCAGTTTGGAGTAGTGCACCTCGACGAAGTTTTATATGCCGTAAAAGAGTAAGATGTTATTGTCATTTTACAATGAATTCACTCCAAGGGAAGGGGATCTTAGAAGCTTTAATTACTTAAACGAATTTAAGTCGTACAGAAAAATTATAAATATAACAAATTATCAGAAAAATCAATAATTTGCTATTTCTACAAAAGGCATAGCAGTTAAAGTTTCTTAATAATTTCAGCATGATATAAAGTTAGCCTTGTTAGTATGTTACTTTAATAAGGATAGTTTAAAGGTAGTTTTATGTCCTGAGTTGGCAATCCTGCTCCAAAAACCTTGAGACCTAGCTTAAAATCAAATGAACATAGTGGCAAATAATGGACATACCTCCATTAGCTTTGGTCCGCTAATGAACTCTTCATCCATCATTTTAGACAACAGAGAGCCCATTTTCAAGTAAAAATCAGCAGCCGTTTTAGTACTATCCAAGTAGCTAAGAGGACAAAGATAATTTGTTAAAATAAAATATACATAATCGTATAGAACAAGTTTAGTTTAAACCAGTTTTGTAGAGCTTCACGTGTGCGACAGAAATGGCACGGAAATCTGGCAATACATTTCATAATATGAAATTTACTAAGATTAGGGTTTAGGAATAATATCTATCTTACTTTGACAGATGTTATTTAATTATGACACCTTCCCCTTGTTCATTATAGACCATAGATTTCATCATTTTATCGAATGATGACGATCGCATTTAAAAAGAAAGTCCTACATGAATTCTAGCATAAAAATATTTTGACTATAGTAGTATAAGTGACAATTGATAATTCAAGATTTGGGACATTTGATGAAAGATCGTGGCAGCTGGCACTACAGAGTCAGATTGGTCCGGGTAACCAGCCCGACCGGATATGGGTAATCAGTCCATGAAAGTCAAATGTCCCTCAGGAAAGACCGACTGTCAAGAAATTGCGCAAAAATTGAGTTTATAATGAAACTTGTTCACCTGAATAAAATTCAAATTTCTTTATATACTTACTCGGCTAATATCGCCCAAATTGCAAGCGCTACTCTTAACAGCACCTCAGAGCCTTCAAGCAAGACAGCGTCCCATATTCGCAAAACAGTTTCACGAGGCAAACAAGTGGCAAATAAAGTGAGAAACCACTGCATTGTGAATACGTTGACCAATGGCGGCTCATAACTGCTATTGCCTGGAAACTGGCTTTGTACTGCAATGGATTCTCTTTGCAGATTGTCTAGATGTTTAGCCAGCTGTGGCAATTTGATTGACATTAGTTCTCTAAGCACGGCCATGTCAGCTGACAATGCCCTTAGGTTATTTGCGAAGTAATTCCTGGGCAGTATGAAGTCAACCAAATAAATCATCACCTAGAATTTTAACGAATTTTTTATAAGAAAGTGAGTGAACAGGCTACACAATGTGGCCTGACCAGTACAAACTAACAGGCTTCTTGGAATTAGACAGACTGATAGAATAAAAACTCAACCATTATGTTTCTTGTCTAGACACGAAATGTAAGTAAAATCGACTTAGCTATTCTACCAAAGGCAAACCTATCAGCTAAAACATATTTCAACCTTTTTTGTTAAGCAGGTCACATTATCTAAACCGCATTTTCACCCAGCTCACAAAGAAGCTATCTATAGAAACACTGGGTCAAATTATTTCAAAGTAATTTGACTGCAAAGACGGCCTCCTTTCCATACCTTCAAAGCCTCTTCTTCGTTTCCCTCAACGACTTGAAGAATCAATGCTGCGATGACATTAAAACCTTGACAATAACCAACGGACTTATTCCAGCGAGCATAGGCCAACAGAACTCGTTTAAGGCTTGCTCGTTCCCCTTCAGTATCTGATTCAAAAAACCAACTACACCCAGTTCTGTGTAGGTCCTGCAGAAAGAGAGAATGGCTTAGAAAAGAAAAACAATGAACCATTAGGTGGGCAAAAAGCAACAGCAACGACAAGTACACGTCGATCTAGCTTATGACGAAATGGATGTTACGTAGTCATTTCAATGTCATTGATAACACTTTCACCAAACGTGGATTTTTGTAAGAGGATTTTTCTTAGACCTTAAAATACGCGGCACTATATCTATCAAGTTCGTAAAAAATAAGAGAGGGTTTCACATCCATTACACCCCCAGTTAGCCACGCTCATGACTCCGACATTAATGACAGCGTTAAAAAACTTTCATCAAACATGATTTATTTTGTAAAAGTAATATTCTTAAACCTTAAAATACGGGCATTATATCCATCCAACTCGCAAAGGCGGGGGGGGGGGATTTCACATCCATTACACCCCCCCAGCTAGCCAAGCTCCTGATTTCGATATTTATGATAGCGGAAAGAAACTTTCAGCTTATTGATAATTCCAAATAAAACTAATTAAATAAAAAGGAAATTTCTCTGCCAATTTTTAAGCCAAACATTTTTGCAATTGTTTTTATTATCAAATATATCAAATAATATTTTTGACCGCTTCGCAAACATTTTATCAAGGATTTGCCCTAACTGGCCATTTGGTCACTTTTAAATCCCATCAAAATTTATGTTGATATACACGCCTATTTTTGGCAAAATGTTTAGCAGATGGAAACATCACTATGGCAATTCGCCATTTACGGCTAAACATGCCGCTTCAATATTATGTGTGATAAACCTGCCATGCCATTTAAATTGTTTCTAGTCCTTGAAAAGTTGTTTGACAATTTAAAAGGGCAAATCAGCCCATGAGATAATGTTACAAGGAAAATCTGCACATCAATTTAGTTTAATGAGATATCGCTGACATAAAACGTCTGGAAAAGACCATTATTGTTCCGACTTCGTCCATCATACAATATCAGGCTGCAGATCATTCGGAATATGTTCCCAGAAAGTCTTCAGAATTGGCAAAAAAAATTAACCAAAACGAATATATTATACCAAATTTAAAAAATAAAGTTCAAATAAAAAACAAATAAACGTCTTCGCAATATCATTGACACAGAAATTTGTCGAATCTTTTCTGGTCTTTCTGACAATTATTAAGTTATCGATTTTTAGAAAGGGGTTACGACATTTTTGTTGGCTAAGAGCAGGGGTGGACAGTCAATTTTTTTTGAGGGGGGGGAGGGGGGTTGCAGGCCTATTATTTTAATAAGATGACGTCATAGTTCCCCATTGTTTTAGGATCAAAGAATATTGCCCTCCAAAGTATTGAGGGGACGACCGCCCCCTCTTCCCCAGGGTCTCCACCACTGGTTTGGAGTTTGAATACATTAAAAATAAACCCTTTTGGATAAGGTACTTTCCGTCTTGTTCTTTTTAGACCTTATTCTGACACATTACACTCTGAGGGGTGTCATACGAAAAACCTTAAGGTGTGATGTGAATTGTTTGCTTTTTTAAAGCCACTTGCGCATTACGACGAATATACGGTGATATGATTGTATTTTGAAACTTACTTGGATGTATCGGTTAGAATTTTTCAAATTTGCAAAAACTATGAGAATTCTTATATAAAAGCTACATTGTGCAAACACGTGTAATCACCTTTACAATTTGTGTATCCAGCTCATCGTCTTCCGGGTTCCTTCTATCGTTGAAGCAGTTCCGTCGCACTTTATTCCAGTTTTGATCTTTTACACAATATTCAGCCAGAGACACCCATGTCTGGTTGAAAAGAAAAAACACATTGATTAACATTTCTTAACTGATGTACGGGAAGATCCATAATTACTATAGATCAGTGGGTTATGGGTGGGGGTCATAAAAGCTACTAGATTGTGTACATAGGAGGGTGAGGTAAAAGGGAAAACTAAGTAGGATGGCAATTTCATAGCAAGCTACAGTTTAACTGAATAAACAAGGGCTCAAAACCATCTGGGAACCATCAGCTATGGTAAAGAGCACCCTTTGACTACCAATTAAGGGACCATGCAGCCCTCTCCTTCATCCCACTCATAGAAAGGATATATTAAGTACGTCATACAGGGAGGAGGGGATAGTCAGCTGCAAAACATATGACCTTGTAAACAAGAGTCTTTTAAGCCTTTTCCATAATGAAAAATGCTGCTTTTAAACCAAAGTATCTTAATGTAAAGAATACAACAGTTAAAAAACCTTGTCAAGTACTTAATTGACATTCTTTTATTGATGCACAAAGATCTCATTAGGTTATTCATTGCATCTTGCATTTGGAGCAGAACTATTCTGCATCAATATGGATTTTACTACACCACTAGAGGCTTTTTAGATTTTGCAACTTGGACTCAAGAAAGGTCAACTGAACTTGGGACATTTCTGCTTCAACTTTTAGCAGCTACACAAAAGTAGGTACTGAATGGTATTTAGCAGTTAGTTATAAAATCAGCAACATACCCTCTTTCTCCATTGAGGAGGTATGCCATCAGACAGTCTAACAACAGATTTGAATGCGTCATGCCACTGAAAAAATAAGCATACATATGCTGATTATGCAAACTTAAAAAATACAACCTTGCTATGACACAAGGTAGCAAGTAGGCTCCAAGGTTCTAAGAGGTGACACCACTATGAGCTAATTGGCATCAAGCTTTTTTTAAAAACAAAAGATTTGCAAAATAATCTTATAGAAACCCAATATAACTTTTTATCTTTGAATTAATGATTGATGCCCAGAGGGTTAGGTTCTACAGCTACAAAATTGACTCTCAAGTGAGCGACAGTCCTTAGAATATAAAGATATATGAATTCAAACAGCTACCCCCAAGTGGCGAAAGAGCTCTGGTAACCTTCTTGTAATTAAAGATTGGCAATAATTTGTATTTTTTTCATTGCTGTTGTTATTGCTATATCTCAAACTCAAGGCAGTAAATTTAAAATCTAGACATGTAGTTTGATCAATTAAGTCTACAAAATAATATTTAGTGCAAAACTTAAAAAAAAGAAATAGATAACTATATATTTCAAAGGAGGAAAGAATTTAAAAAAGGAAAGCATATCTCAGCAAAAGTATACATTCTAAATCAGTTCAGCATTTATTTGCAGATTATATGAAAATGCTATTTGCAGATTATATGCAGATTATATGAAAATGAATGCTGAAACACAAAACTACTTTGAGGTCACCTGTCTAAACCCTTTCTTTCCTGGACTTGGAATGAATGAGAATCTTATTCTTGTATCAACTCCTAAAATGAATGTTAATGAAATCTAAATGTGAACAATTTTTTTATGTTACAGGATTTGAAAATGGCTTTGAAAAAAGCAAACATCTTACAACATATTGGCTAAAAGCTTTTTCGTCTGACACTCCTCAGATCATAAAGGTTGTTAAAGAAAGTGGATAGTGGAATGGAAAATGTAGCAGCAGACAAGCCTGTGGGGCGCTGTAATAAAGCGTCTATATGCTATCAAAATGTTAACAAATATATAGATGGTAAATATGTCAGCGATATATATTAATGTCTCTACCTCGGTCTTTATAACTGCATTTTGATTATTCAGTACTATAAAAAGCATCAATACAAGAATCTTTAATTTCACTTTTTAACTTACTTCTTTTTAGAGAAACTGCTTGTAAGATAGCAGTTAGCATATCAAAATTCTGTTGCAACTTGTGTGCATTTCTGTCTCTCTGTTTTAACAATCTAACAAGTTTTGATGACATCATGTTAGTACTCCTCCTCATTTCCTTGACAAGAAGTGCAAGTTCTTCTAAATCTAAACCAGAAATAAAGGCATACTTGAACAAGTGAAGCTATATTTTACCAAAAATGATGCAAGAAAAACCTTTTATGTTCCCCAAACTGATGAATTAGAATCTAGCAAGCTTGCAGCTTAGGATCCCCAAGAACTTGTGTTCCATGAATGACAAAACATTACCTCTAGTGTCAAGATAATACTGTCCTAAAATGATTAATTTCCATTTTTAATGTTGTAAATGACGTACTGTGAGAGGAATAGAGGCCTGTGAATCCTTGTTTGGCTTACTTTTGCACCAGGATCACAGATTTTTGATCATATTATAAAACAGATTATTGGATACTAAGATTCTGCAAATGACTGACTTTGTCAATTATGTGGAGTGCAGAGGAAGCAAAGCAGGCAATTTAGCAAGCAGATTCTTGATTCAAATAATGGTGGTTGATTATTTTCATAGAAAATGACAATGAATCAAAGACAAAAAAATGAAACAGCCAAGACGTGAGTGACCTAATTCACATCCATCTTAGGTTCATGTCAGTACCTCATGTAAACTTCGGTCACCTAAAGTCAAAAATAAATTTTGTTTTGTTTCTAGGATAAAACTGCAATTATAAAAAACAGGTGCTAATTTTATCTTAGAAGACAAATATTCTTTTACAGTTGGAGGAGAAGAATTAAAAATGTTTTCTGTTTTGAGAAATGGTTTTGTAAGTGAAAGCATATTTCAAACATTCTCATCTTTAAGAAACTGACATGACCTTTTTATCCACTTTTTAAAATCTTTTTTAATTGAGGTTCTGAAAAGCTAATAATGTCAGCCCTAAACAATGTTGTTTCTATGCTGACATCCTTTTCAAATACTGACCCAGCCATGCAAAACAGTCTGAGAAGACTGTGTTCATTGTCACATTTGCCTTAAGAGAAAAAAGTTTCAAGGAACATCTAATGGCTGTTACAAGGCATTTTGTAAAAAATTGCTTTGATAGAAGGAGTTTGGTAGTTTGACAAAATCTTTAAAGATCTTTCTAACATTAAATTTTGGAGCCAAGGGATATGATTTTCTGATTTCATCATCATCAACAATTTACACAAATACAGGTTGCAATCAAAAACATTTGCTTTAAGCATAGATGAGTACATTTTAAACTTGATTCCTTACACAAAAAAGGAAATAACATCTTATGGTTTTACTTTTTTTCACTTATATGATGAAGTGAAAGACGGAAACTTTGTGAAAAGATTTCCAGAAGCCCCAGGTCCACATCAGTTATTAGCTGCCAGCACTCTAATATGTGTTAACAACTAGAATCTTGCTTGCTTGCTTGCTTTTAGACATAACAATAAAAACTCTGCCACCTGCATTTAACTCATGCTGACCTGTTACTTAATAAAATAAGATAGTCACAATGTAGCTGTTATCTGTGATAAAAATCTCATTAAATCATCAGATATATAATGTGCTCAAAAATAACAAAGCAGACCAATCAATTCCCAAAATCATTAGCATATTGAAGCTGGTGATGTGGTAAAGTTTTCTCCACACAAAATATTGAACACTTTGCTAATTGAAAAATAAAAAAAACAGGTAGCATAATTACATAGGCAAATAATCAAAAGTCACTTCGAACTAATAACAAATAAAATTGATGACAGCTGTAATTTCCTATTGCCATCACTTGCTTTTTTAATGTGCTAAAAATTTCAAGATGAATGCATCAGGCAACCTACAAACAGGTTTAGCCACAATTTTGTATATAAGAAAATGTTAACAATCAAATAAAAAGATGGATTCATAATCAACCAAGAATCTCTCTTTATTCTCTTAGGCTATAATTATCATATCAATATGTGCTGAAAGTGAGGAACTATTCTTATGGTTACAATCAAAGTAATTTTAAATGAAATTGAATTTTTTCAAAGAAACTAAATATCTGTCCTTAGTTAATTGCAAAAAGGGGCATCCTTGAAAAATATTGGTGATGCTGCACACATCAAAGACAAAGTTCTGCTAAGCATCAACAACATCAGAAAGCATTAGGATTGTTTTGAGTATATTGAGTTTATAAATTGTGATTTAGCTGAAGATTCTGTAGAGTAATTCTTTTTCACGTGGATAATACAGAATTGAAGATTTTCTAAGCACGATACCTTTTGTTTCCAAGTATGACTTGTCCAGCCTCACTCTTGTCTCATCGTTATCTAGGCTTGAGGCGAAACAAAATGTGCTGCTTGTTGTTGAACATTCTGTAATGTTGTCACTGTCGATTGACTTGCAAGTCTCACGAGTGGAATATCGCTCGTATATTTCAAACAGAAGACCGTCGACTGCTGATCTTTTCCTGCTTTGATTATCACCATCAACATCACTGTTTGTACTTGAAGTCGAGTTGCTCGATCCAACAGAAGTTAACTTTAGCTTTTGTCTTGCCCTTACTAGTCTAAGGGCATCGTCTTTCTTAAGAATGTCTTCATCAGAGTCAGCATCAGGAAAATTGTTGCTTTCTGGTATCAAGTTTTGTTCGTCCACAACGAACGGTGAGTCCAGGCCATCTTCAACGACAGACCAACCAGGCTGGGAACTCTCTACAGAATCGAAACTTCTTTGGTTAGAAGACTCGTCATCTGCATCACTTTCATTTTGACTGCTCTTTTTGTTACTTAGACTTGAAAAATCGTTACTAAGATTAATGGAAACGAACAAATCATCATCTGCAGCAGGAGTACCTGCCATTGTCGTCCGCCATTGATCACCTTGTGTATAAGAGAAATGTCATACGCCTGCAGCATGTGCAGGCAACAGTGACGTCCATGTCAAATGGCAAATGCATTCAAATATAACGATATAATCCAACATAATAATCGCATTTCTTTCGCAGGTTTCATGAATTGAAAACTATGTGATAAAGATATTATTTTCTAACGATCTGTAGCAAAGTAAGTTCTAAAAATCTTGCCTTTCTAGCATTCCCACCTCTTTGGTAAACCCGCCTACATCCTAGCAATTTCTTCTTCATATTTCGTTGCATCGAAAACTTCCTCTCAATTATAATAATAGTGTTTAACGAGAAAATACAATGTACATATCCATAAAAACATGCAATGAGGGTTGACAACGAGCTCAAGAAAAAATAAGAAATTGCAAAATTTCAATTTAAAAAAGAGTCCAAAAGTTTTAATTTTATTGATTTTTCTTTGTTTTTATTGTTTTTCTTTTGTTGATTTGCGTTTTTATTCTTCCATAAATGCTTAATTTTAAAACAAAAAAGCAACTATAGGTCCTGGAAATAAGAAACCAAAGAAGAAACTTTTCGTACTAACACCCCAAAATTTGGATGCCAAATCAAGTAAATTTTAGTACTTCGGGTGCTGATCCAAGATGCTTATAAAATAAGAAAACATATACCCATTTTGATTGATTGATACACAATAACGATACACTTTGCTTTAACTTCAATAATTTGTAACTTTTAGCATCGTTTTATTAGTTCTTGTATCTATCCTTTAAAAAAGGGGAACTGATTTAATTGTACGTATATAAGGTTGCTTTTCTTTAATGTTCTTATTTTAATTTTTGATTTAATAATTGAATTTTGAACAACTTACTTAAATGAAGTAAAGTGTAATTAATTAATTTGCTGAAATCCTGTTTTGGCGATGTTTCGAATATCATGCAAACATCCCCAAACAAGATGACACATAAGCTGAAATCATAAGAGCAGTCCAAATAATAACATGAGACGTTGAATGGTTGTTGGTTAGTACCCAATGATTATTCTCGCCTCCACAGCACGACCAACTGTACAAACAAGCAGACGAATTTGACCAGCTTACAACAAGAGCACATTTTGTTCTAGACCAATCAATGGGTTTGTTTACAAATTTTCATTAGCCAATCACCGGCCTCCATTTCGAGCTTGATTTTTGAATGTTTCAAACCAAAACACAGTTGCTGTGGAGAAAAACCTACCCCCATACTTTTGCCCGGGAAAAAAATTTACGTTCTTTAACCTAGAAGATTTTTCAAACTTAGTTTCTAGAGTATTTGTTTCGTACAAATCTCGGAGCCCTAAGCAGAAACACAAACGGTGTCTAAAATATCTGCACTGAAACATCACCTATTTCCCACCAGAGACCTACCTCCAAAAATGGCCAGCCCCTAATTTACTTTATATGAAGCTTTCGTTAATTAAACAAGGAAACATTTTAAGATTTAAGTTACCTGATAGTTTGCGCAAGCAAATCACCCAGCTATCACTTGAGAATAATGCATTTTCTTAAAAAAACTAGGCTTTATAATTGCCTATTCCCTCCTCTACACTACCGCACGGGATGCCTAGGCCCTTTCTGAACATTCCTCCTGAGCATCACAGTCAATGAAACTCAAACCACTTTTGTGAAGCCATTAGACATCAGTCTATAGTTTGAAGCCAAAAAGGCCAAAATATTGGCAATACTTTCAATTCAATTTTTGAGGGATATCATCTTTTTAAAAAGTAACAAAGACCCACTTTTTCTAGACAGTCTCAAAGCCTTGAAACCTTACTGATACCTGCTAAAAGGTTTTTAGAACAAGGCACGATAACTTTAGAAATATCTTTGCTAAATCAAATTTGGTTGTTTGAGAACCAATAGGATCAAATTGACCTTGAATTTTGTGGCAAGTGATACATTTTCAGCCTTTGGTCGTTTCAAAGCTATTTTCAGCCGAACGTCCTTTCAAGGCATTTGAGGCACGCTACTGCCAATAGCGAAAATTTTGTTAACTCACTCCCCTCACGAAAGTATCTGGAAAGTTTCGAATTTACAATTTATAGATTTTTGATTGCAAAACTGTTTTCTGAATTTCCTTGAATTTTTCTATAAGTTTCTTTGGCCTTTGAACTATTTATTTGTCTAAAAGAAATTATTTTATCCATGTGTAAATAAATGTTGTGAGGGTTTTTGTCACCTGACATTTGACATCCGTTGATTTGCGTGAGGCAAGTAGGGCAAAGGTTTCTTATTTTAAGAAAAACATATAACAGATGAAAAGAGCAGAAGTTTTGCAACAGTTTGATGACTTGTTTCATTTTGTAGGGGTTTCTCAAAAAATTATTATCACTAAATTAAAGAGTCGTTATCATCAGCCTGAATTTGTTTTTGTCCGAAAAGGAATTCGATTGTTGAACTGTCCTGATACTTTCGTGAGGGGAGTGTTTGCATTCAAGGAGATGAAGTGTGGTTTTGACAAAACTGCAGCATTGGTTTTCCGTGCACTGGATTGAACATTGCCGCAATGAATTGATGAACTTAGAAATTTCGAAAAATTCGAAAAGATAGGCTTTCGAAAAGATGGACTTGGAGGCTTTCGAAAAATTCTATATGGATTGAGTTCTCTTGTAACATACACACAATGGTCTCCGTTGAAGTACAAACAATTTGGACCAAGATGTTTGACCTATTCTTTCATAACATAAGGAAATGAGCAGTTCATTAATAACACAGAGGGAAATGAGCAGTCTCAGACACCCAAGCATAAAGTTAAGTATCTGTGAGTTTACATAGAATTCTTACAAGGTTGTGCAAAGAAAGGCTTATTTTATTGCAAGTACAGGTACTTGTAGGTACAGTGTACATGGCCCATAAAACATAGTAAATTTTTACAAGTTTACTCCTTCTTGAGACAGATAGTTTTTGAAAAAAGAGAAATTCAAAGTGTTTTCTTTCAGTTGGGATAAATACATGCATGTATAGATGTCACCGACCGATTAGAAAACAAGCATAGCATTTGGTAACATTCTAGCAGTTCTGAAACGTTCTTACAAAGCAGAAATATAATTTAGAACTATGGTCATAAAGCCACAGAATTCATTTACAGAGGCAAGTCTTGCTGGAATAAATCGGTACGAGAACAAATTTTAATTCAAGGTCAATTTGATCCTATTGGTTCTCAAACAACCAAATTTGATTTAGCAAAGATATTTCTAAAGTTATCATGCCTTGTTCTAAAAACCTTTTAGCAGGTATCAGTAAGGTTTCAAGGCTTTGAGACTGTCTAGAAAAAGTGGGTCTTTGTTACTTTTTAAAAAGATGATATCCCTCAAAAATTGAATTGAAACTATTGCCAATATTTTGGCCTTTTTGGCTTCAAACTATAGACTGATGTCTAATGGCTTCACAAAAGTGGTTTGAGTTTCATTGACTGTGATGCTCAGGAGGAATGTTCAGAAAGGGCCTAGGCATCCCGTGCGGTAGTGTAGAGGAGGGAATAGGCAATTATAAAGCCTAGTTTTTTTAAGAAAATGCATTATTCTCAAGTGATAGCTGGGTGATTTGCTTGCGCAAACTATCAGGTAACTTAAATCTTAAAATGTTTCCTTGTTTAATTAACGAAAGCTTCATATAAAGTAAATTAGGGGCTGGCCATTTTTGGAGGTAGGTCTCTGGTGGGAAATAGGTGATGTTTCAGTGCAGATATTTTAGACACCGTTTGTGTTTCTGCTTAGGGCTCCGAGATTGTACGAAACAAATACTCTAGAAACTAAGTTTGAAAAATCTTCTAGGTTAAAGAACGTAAATTTTTTTCCCGGGCAAAAGTATGGGGGTAGGTTTTTCTCCACAGCAACTGTGTTTTGGTTTGAAACATTCAAAAATCAAGCTCGAAATGGAGGCCGGTGATTGGCTAATGACATTTTGTAAACAAACCCGTTGATTGGTCCAGAACAAAATGTGCTCTTGTTCCAGCTTACAGGCTTTTTTAATATAATTGGGAGACTACACGTCATGAATTAAAATTGTTAAAACCAAATAAAGGCAAAATACGATCGAAGATTCAATTCTGATCTAATGACCTTATGGTTGTTATCGTACCCAAGTCGGTTAGAATTATTTTTAATTTTATCTAGAGTTGGAGGTAAAGATACTCTGCCATGAATTGAACAAAACAAACCAATGGCAATACGTATAAAACATACAGAAAAGATCTTTTGGCCTTGCAGTGCCATCCACCCTTTGCCATAGTTACACCTGCGAGCAGTCAAGTCCTTTACATCTTGGGGGTGTTGCAAAGAGTGTGAACCCCATTTACCCCTCGCTGAACTCTCCTTATGGAAGGGATCAGAGTTTCGCAATGCATGTAATCATATATGATCAGACACATAGTTTCTCATCATTTCCCATGTTTTGGATGGCTCATCACAAAGTTCGCCATACTTTTCTCATCATCTTAGGCCTAAATTGTGGCCTAATCAAATAAGAACAAGTGTATCTAATGAGAAATTGAAACTAAATACAAAAGATAAATACAGAGACAACAAGACAATAAAGGGAAAAAATTCAAACTAATATAAGGAATAAAATACTTATAACAAAAATATATAACAAAATAGACGAGACAACATGTTAACAACACACAACACAGAGTGAAAAACAAAAATTGCAGCGCTACTTCATGTTAATCCGAGTATAATAGTGCGCTTGCGCAAAATTAGGGCATTTCAATATGGCCGACAGTGAAAGCCCACAGACAGGGTTTAGCTCTTTCAAAAAGAGAAAGAAAATCATTGTTAATCGGAAAAGGAAGAATGAAAGCTCGGAAAGCGACGAAGATGATGTTTCGGCTGTCAAAAAGGTTGAACGAGTGGGAAGAAAATATAAAGTTCTTGGAAATAGCAGTTATCCTGGAAAAGTTGGCCTAAATCCGGATAAAGCAAAAGCGCCATCTTCAAACAGGGACAGTGACTCAGAAGACCAAAATGTAGAAAACGGAAACGACAGCGTGCGAAGTAAAAAAAGTATTTCTGTAACTTATGATTCTTCAAGGACAGGTAAACGAGAAGGCCCTGACGACATGGGTGCTACATCATTTTTAGAAATTGAAACACAGTTTGATCGTGATGCACAGGCAGTCTATGAAAAACAACTCAAGGTAAATAAAGAAAAGAAAGGCGAAGAAGATGATAAGTTATATAAAGGTCAATCTGGGTATGCAAAGTATTATGAAAAAAGAGATACTGCTCAAGGAAATGCTGCAAGTGGGATGGTTAGGTTGGTAGTCATGTTTTTGATGTAATTATATATATCGTTTCTTCTGAGCGTTTATAAATTACAATGGATAATTAAATGTTAGAATTCTGCAAGCTCTTTTAAGAAAGAAAAATAAATGAACGAAACCTTTTCACTGGATAAATTTATATAAAACAAAACAACAGGAAGACTTTACTGCTGAACAATAGAGGTGTTACTGTTTGCAACAGCATGTCAATCAAGTAAACAAATAGGTGTCCATTGTTTCTGGGACAGTGTAAATGAAACGGTGCAATGTAAATATCATCATCGTAATTCCAACAATAAATCAAAGCTGGGTATCTCTGTTGTAAGCTACATTCCACACTGGGTCTAAAAGTCTATTGCAATAGATTTTATTATTTCACTTCTGAATATATGCCAAAAAGCCACTGACTGTTTCAATAATCTCAAGAATTCAAGCAAAAATATTTGAATGGTTACAATGATATGATAATTTCTGTCAAGATTTTTTAGAAATAGACTCTGTTTAATCTCCAAGATAGTGATAGACAGAATTATTTTCTCTGTGTTTTTAATGTGAATCCTAACCTTAGTTGCTAAATTGATATATCTTTATTCAAGGCAAGGACCAATTAGAGCACCACTAAATATTAGATCAACTGTTAGATGGGACTACCAGCCTGATATCTGTAAAGACTATAAAGAGACTGGCTATTGTGGTTTTGGAGACAGCTGTAAATTCTTGCATGATCGTTCGGATTACAAACATGGATGGCAGCTAGAAAGAGAGTATCAGTCTGGTGAATACAACACAAATGATCCTCATGCTTATGAAATCGATAGTGATGACGAAGAACTTCCTTTTGCTTGTCTGATTTGTAGGGAAAGCTTTAAGGACCCGATTGTTACAAAATGTAAACACTATTTCTGTGAAAAATGTGCATTGCAGCATTTCAAGAAGAGTTCAAGGTGCTTTGTATGTGGTGAACAAACCGCTGGAGTTTTTAATACAGCTAAAGATATCATTAAAAGAACAAAAGAAACAAAAAAGAAAGATATGATAAAGAATAAAGAAGATGACTGATGTGTCGTACATTGCAAACACAACATCAAAAGTCAGTATAAACATCTGTTGGCAGAACATAAAAGGAATTTTGTCAAATTGAAATAAATTTTGTCAAATATCTTTTATTAGAAATTGCATTGTATATTGTTTAGCTTGTAGATATTTTTCAACAGAATTATAGGGAAAGAAAAGAAGAAGTCATAAAAAACCAACTTTATTTTTCTTATTTATGGCTCAACTGGAAAATGAAATAAAATATTCTTTATGCATTTAAAAATTAATCTTACAAGCTGGGGAAAAATAAACTAGTTTAGATAACTGTGAATCAAACTGTCCACTAAATACATTTGAACAAAGGAAAACAAACTTTCAAAACTATATTGATTGAAGAGCTTATAGTAAATCCTCAAATTAGCCCCCTGGGGGCTTATTCTTTTTTTTATATTTTTGGATGGGGCTATCTGAGGAGGAGGGCTTATACGAGGGGGGACTTATAAAATTATTGTAGACATTAAGAAGACATTATTAAAAGACCTCCTTTTTTAGTAGAAATTTCTTTATGAGCATTTAATTAATTACTACCAAAAGTATGAATTTGTTGTGGTAATTCAATAAAATGCCATAGGCAACCTCAGATGGCAACAACCATCAAATGGAGGGGTCCAATCGAGAATTTACAGTAGCAGTAGAGGCTTATTGAGGGGGGGCTTATTGACAATTTGTAGTTTTAGGGTGGGGGCTTATTCGAGGGGAGGGGGCTTTTTTGAGGAGGGCAATTCAAGGATTTACAGTATTAATTGTATCCTGAAGATGCAAAAATGACCTAATTATAATTATTTTCTGAAAATTTTTAGCATATATTATGATTAACAGATTCAAATTCCTAACTACAACCCACTGTTTAAACATCAGCTAAGGGTGCTCATCTTTTGAGAGCAACCCTCAAACTATTATCAGTGAGATGAGAAACAGCAAAATACTCCTGCTTTTATATTAAAGCCTGGCTTATTCTAATCATTAAGTTAACAATAATAGAAAAAAGGCTGCTTGCAACTGAACATTTATGAATCTATAGTCCAAGCTCTTGTAAGGCAACATTTGATGGATTGTGGATCTCTCCAGCAGAGCTTGATCACAATGAAAGATTCAGTACAGTTTTTTTGTAGTTTTACTTGATGTACTAATACTTTAAATCCAAGATGGTGTTAATACAAATACTTGTTTCCAAGTTTCAATCAAAAACATTTTTACTGAAAAATTGGGAACATCACAATCTAGTACCAGCATAGCTACTCTCAAAGCCAAGTCACTTAATGTGGCTTATGAACTGTTAGTTGAAATAAACAGAGATATCAAACTCTAGGGATTAAAGCTTGAATAAAAAAAGTTCCTGTCCTTTAAAAACAAGCATTAAATCCCAGTAAGAATCATGCACTTTGAAAGACCCACAATTTCCTATGTTTGCACATACCTAAACATAACATCAAAAACGTGTTAAGCACTACTACATGAAGCTGCAAAAAGCTTGTTGTTTAGCATTACATTCAAGGAGCTAAGCTTTGACACAGAATTACATTATGCAACATAGCATCTCATGATTCATGCAACATAGCATTCTCCTCTATGCTTTGCTCAATGATTCATGAGAGATTCCCTGCAGATTAACTGAAAACATCTACAATGTTAAAAAGGAATGTTCAAAAGTTTATTATCAATTATATGATTTTCAATAATGCTAGAATAATGTCCAAATATTAACATCATTATGAATTAGACTTGATATTTGGCGTTGATATTTGATTATTTGGATGATCATGATTCCATTATTAGCTGTTCTGATGAGCATTCATCTCAGAATGTAAACATCAAGATAGAAAATTTCTAGAGTATACGAAACATATCCAGCATCTAGAGATCTTGAAGCTCACTAATTGCTTGTGAAAGAAAATCACGCATTTTGGTAGAATTTTCAATTTGCCGCTCTGCTAAACTACTCATTGCATCTTTGAATGCTAACACTCGTTCATTGTGAAACTTCTTTATCTGAAACAAAGAAAGATTGGGAAAATAGAAAAGTGTCATATAATTTCAAATACTTTTGTTGATCAACATGATTTAGGAGCTAAAACAGCCATTTTCTTGTTAAAAAACCTTCAACACTTCCCCCAAAAGATTAACAATTGTTGGGTTGGAGAAGACTTTTTTGATACTGAGCAAGGGATTTTTCAAATAGGCACAAAAATCCTGAATTTCAAAGTACCTAGAGTTTGGATTTTATAGAGAAAATAAAATTCCAGTTCTATCTTGAATGAAATTCACCCTTTTGTTGTATGTAACAGGATGTTTTTAAAACCATCTTAGCAGTGCCCTGTTCTCAACAACAAAAGTGAGTACAACTCTGCCCACATGCAGGCGTTCTCCAGAAAGGCCCTTGATTGAGCATGAGCACCTGAAGCACACCTTAAAAGAACCATGGAAGGCAATTTAATGAGCTGTTGATATTCTAAAATGCATCATTTTGGTTAGGACTCGAAACCTTTGACTATATAGAAAACTCAAACGTTTGAAATAATGTGTGTAGGTTTTGCCTGAGACCTGTACATATGGTGCTGTCCACAAATAAATACCACACAATATACCAAACTTAGGGCCCAGGGGTGTGTTGCTATGGGAGCTCAAACCCCATTACTGATGCTAAAAAGGAGCTAATTTCTATTTTTGCTACTATTTCTGCAACATTTTACATTTCTTTCAAAGATGCTCTCAAGGCAATTTTATTTACAGTTTTGAAAAAGCATCCTTTAAGTCTCTTAGGAGCTCATTCCATGGAGCACCTTCATTGTGCTTAGAGCAAGGCCTGCACATGGCATCAAGCACTTTATGTCAGATTTTTATTAAAATGAAGTTCATCTCGTTCATTTCAATTTATTCAATTCATGCCATAAAATTAAATGGGCCTTGAAACGATGTTGAAATTTGATTAGCAAGATGTTGAAATACCTCATCTCTGGTATGTTCTGTTGTCTCCTCATATACCTTTTCAGCTTCATTTTTCGCTATCTGGAGCTGTAAGAAAAATTAATTAAAGAATTCAATTCCACATTATGAAAGCTTTCTAGTTCATGATGAATCATCAATATACAAATAACAGACTTGTCATCCCATTTGCTAAAATTTGCTCTCTCAAATCTCTTGAGATATTATAATTTAGGGTGTATCTTTCATGATTTGCAACACACTCTGCTAAACATTTAAACAAAAGCAGTCTCAGTAGTGTATCAAATAAATACCTAGTTTTACACTAAGTGCAAGGTCTGCATCACATTGGGGTCCACATCCTTTTGGACCCAAGAAAACGCCCGTTTTCAAAGAGATTTTTTGTCATTGGGCCTCTGAGTTGGAACTATTTTTATCTAATGATGGTGAAAATGAAGTTAGTTCAAGAACCGATGACGATGACAATGATCCCATAGAAAAGTATAGACTCCCATAGAAAAATTTCAAACTGCTCTTGGTGAAAGAACACTAACAGGGCTTCTAAAAACGGTTCTCATCTTGAAAACTGTCCCCTTTTAAGCAAATTCTCCAACCCTTTACACTCCATGACAGAACTTTCTGTTTGATATTTTGGGGGTGGATTCACATTACATTTGATGTGTCAACAATTAAAAATTCTGACAAACTATCACACTACACTTTAGGAAATTCACACTGGAGCTGGAATAGGAAAAATTTCCCATGCTGTAACAAATACACAGGACATTCAGGCCTATTTAATGAAACAATGGAACTTTAAACTCCTAAATTTTTTCCTTACCTGTCTCTTTTGTGACCATATTCTTTTATTGAGAGCAAAATATTTAATCAAAATATGAAATATTTCTTACTCCCTAAGTTGCAGATAATCTTTGATGAGCTAAGTGTACCACTCAATTAAAAACTCTACATTACCTGTTCTAGATTCTTTGGTTTTGCTTTATCCAATGCTTTGCTGGCATTTTCAAATTCAACCAATTTGCAAGTTCGTCTTAACAATGTTTCCTGAAAAATCAGGTTCATGCAAAATACAAAAGAGGACCAGCAACTTCAGTTACATCTACATTACACAATAAACAATTCAAAACACTTCCTTAAATTCATTTTGGTTTTTGATTGCTCCAAATTACTGAAAAAGCCAGGTAAGAAAATTATTGCCTTATTCTTTGCCTTAAACATTAAATGCCAGAAATTTTGGAGAAATAAATTTTGGAAAAATATTTTCAGACAAAAATATTTTGGACATCTTTTCAAAAAATTTTACATGGAAAAAAACAATTTATCACTCTTATTACATTTCTAACAGCGTTTGCACATCATTAATTAGAAACTAAAGTCCATACTTCACTTAATTTAACAAAAAGGCACATTTTTAGCAACATTAAAATATTCCTTATTATTTTAATGTTCCATGCCAAAACCATATTTAAAGAAATGAATACAAAATGGGATAATTTTCTATGAAATTTTTATTTACATTTTTTAAATTTGTCTTGTCAAAGGGTAAACCACAGCATAATAAATTCAATTTGACCTTAAGTGCCATAGCATCTACCAAGGTGCAGAAAAACTAATAAAACTGAGATTCTTTAACTAAATAAAACTGACCTTTGCAGAATCAAGATATCGTGAATAAAGGTCAAGCGTAAACCCAAAGGTATCCTCCTGAATCTCGGTTGTCTTATCCAATGATTTCTGTTAAAAATATCAAAAGAGTTATTCAGTAAATAATGACATCAAAATATCTTAAACTCAATCAGTTCATTTTGGAATTCTAGCATAACTAGGCAAAGTTGCCTTCTATGGCTGAGGTATTTCTAATGAAAGAGAACTTGAGCTTGAAAGCCAAACAGGACTTAGCATGAAGTGAGCAGGTAAATGTTGCAAAAATTAATAATTGAACATCTTTATGATATTTTTTGCTATAAACAGGGTTTCTTATTTTGTTTATCATTTCTTGCTGTTTCCAATTTTTCAGGGACTCTAGCCACTCAGAGCAATTATTTGGCAAATTTTTGGGAAATTTTCCACCTATCCTGTTTATTCTAGATCTGCTGTCTGTTCCAGAACTGAGAGTAGAAATAAAACCAGCCAAAATCGGCATATCCTGTTAGATATGACCCTGAAAAAGCACTGAACTAAATAACTAGTCAACAGTCAACAGAAAAGATCTGTTACCAAAGCAAGGAAGCGGCCTTAGAAAGATGAAGCTTCAACAATAAATGAAATGGATGAAATTAAAGCAGATACCTTGTACTCGTCAATGTAGCCAGCAAATTTTACCATGTGCCTATGGAAATGCAAAAATTTGCATAATATTTACATATTTTAAAATAATCATCATCAGAACTGTCAAATTTCCGTTTTGGAAATGAGTGAGCTTCGTGCAAAGGTGGGGAACGTGTTAAAATGTTATAGGATCTCAAGGTCAGGGGAAGATTCAGAATCAATCCTCACTGACTCATGTACAAAAGTCAGAGGCCCAGGGGTGCGGCCCCTAAAAATATGTTAAAAATAATACATTTCACAACATACTTAAGTTGAGGATTGCACAAAATACCGGGATAGCATACTTAAAGCACTATTCATCCAAAACTCTTCAGTGTATAAACGTTGGATAATGACCGAAAGTAAGCGGAAAATTTATATCCAGGTGTAACGTGGATCGAATGTAACGTGAGAAGAAGAAAGACCCGCTTGATTGGTTACATTACTTTTACCAATCTGCGACCGCCAAACTCTCACCTAGCATACAAAAGATTTCCATCTGACACTCCTCAGGGTATAAAACATCAGAATCAGGGTCAGACTAACTTTAATATGCTGTAAAATGTTTGCTAAGCAATTTTCAAATTTCGATTAGCCATAGGAGTTGTTCAGAAGATGTTTCCTTCACCACGCCCTCCAAAATACGGAAACGCCCACTTCGAGTAAACACCCTTTAAGACATCCCTTTTGCAGGATGCAATTCTCTCGGTAAAATTATTACATGCTTCCAAATCTTCTTTCGGGTTGTAAAAAGGGAGATGATTCTCCGCCTGTTCTGTCCCGTTTCATGAGGGCAAGAAACAATTTTACTGAACAAGCCCTCCGATAAACTTGTAGGGATTTGCTGGCATCGTTCTATATTCTGTTGCTAGATGAGATAATTTTAGGAAATTATTTCCTTGTTAGTAAAAAGGGTTATTGCGATTGTTTAGAAAAAAACTGAAGAATTTAAATAAACCAAGAACTTTATAGTAGAATGCGTGAGAATTTGGCTTTGATGAGTCTAAAAGACCAAAATGCACGTCTCACGCAAAATACATCACAGATAGGGTACACAACTCAAATATTCAGGGAAGAATTATAGAAACATTAAATTTGCTTTCTCGACATTTCGGAGGCCCTGGGGCAAAACTGAAAATAGAGGCCCCTTGCGAGTGGAGCAAGCAGAAAATTGTTTAACTTACAGGCCAATAAACTCAACCTTTTTAATTTGAATTTGCTTAACAAACAACTTTCCATCTATAAAAAGCTAGTATATTAAATATTGAGCTCCAGACGGAGTTTAAAGAACCAACCATGATCATTACAATGTCATTAAATAAAGGCATCTACCCTAGCTGCTTTTTTTACTGCAGGGCATAAAGTGAAGTCAAAACAATGATAAATTGTTGTCATCAATAAACAGTTTTTCATATGTGATTTGAAAAAAATTCCAATTTTTACGATAGGCCTATGTTCTTCCTGTGTTCTTTTGTGAATTGTTTAAAATTTAGCTTCTTACATGATAACATGACACCTTGCAAAGATTCAAACCTATTGATTCGTACTTCGATCTGAAAGATCTCTCGTCTCGCGGCGTCACAAACTTCTTTGGTCTACCAACTCTTGGAAAATTTATCACAGTTCTTGTGCGAAAAAACTTTTTGTACACAGCGAAAGCTGCACTCTTTGAGCAGCCCAAAATTGATGAAATTTCTCGATAACTTTTGCCGTTATTTTTGTAGAAACAATCTCCAACCGCTTCTCATAGGATAATTCTTTATTTTTGAAAACTCCCATGTTTGTTTTTGCAGGCCTCAAATGTTTACAGTTGATATTCTTAGAATTTTTGGCGTACATGAAAGAATTCGAAACATAGGAAGCAATGTTTGAAAGTTTGGTGGAAACATCTGTTTGCAGGAATAGGATCCTGATATCCTAATATGATCCCGAATATAAGCTTAGGGCTTATGTTTGGGGAGACTATATTCGGAATGCAGATAATAGCAGAAGAAATGCAAAAACAGTTTTATCAACCTTAACTGTAAAGATCGGTTATGTTCGGTATCACGTAATGTTCTTTTCATACAGATTCTTTTATATAGGTTTTCAATTCGAAATTCGAATTTTAGTCGAATGTTCTCGTCGACGTTAAACACGGACCAAAATTCAATTCGATTAAATATTTCCCCATTAAAGTAGAACCTCTATATAACACTGAAACTTATATAGGCATAAACTACTGCCTCTCGTAAGGAGATGTTTGTTATGTGTATATGATTTTAAATGAGCGGTTAACAAAGAAAATACTCAATTAGCAGCATTTCACTTTTCGTGGCATTTTTGCAGGAAGAAAGTTGGGACAAAAGTATTTCTCAGCCATTTGGATATGTCAACTAAAAATGGAGGTTCACAGTAGGCAGAACGTAGGCATAACAAAAAGTTCATTTCAAAAAAAAGTTTATTTCAGTTTATGTGCGGATAACTGATAGCATGCATGCATCCCTGAAATTTGAATCATGCAATATTATTGGATGATGAAATTTGTTCTTGCGCATATATTTTATCTAAAAAACAGCTGATCGAGGGGCAATTCACTCTTGCAAATAGCGTACGAGATTTTCCCTAAAACAAAAGGATTTCCAGGGATTTTTAGATAAAACAATAGGATTTTCACAAAACGTGTACGAGATTTTCTTTGGAGTGATTTGCCCATCGCAGATGATGATAAGAAAGTGGTAGTCGGATTCTTTAAAACTTTTAATAAAAGTTTTTGCAAACCTAGAATAATTTGTAATTTTGTTTTGTCCTTATAAATTACTTTGTAAAAAAGCACTTAAATCTAGTATTTCATCTCTTAACTAATATTTTCTCTGCCAACAACAATTTTGATTCGTTTTCGATTGAAATAAACGCGTGCAGCAGGAAATGCCTGGAGATCCCCACTTTTACCAGATAATACTCTATATAAATACATAGATACATGTACCGTAATGCCTCGAACAAGCGCCCCCTCAAATAAGCGCCCCCTCGAAAAAGCGCCCACCCTAGAGGTGAAATTATTGAATAAGTGCCCCCCACGAATAAGCGCCCACCCCTCGAATAAGCGCCCATCCTTCAACCTTCAGAAACGGGCGCTTATTCGAATTTTTGATGACAACAATTCACCAAGAAAGATTTAATGACCAACACTGTTTGTTTTAGTTTTCATTCTCATTTTTTGCCTTTCCATCATAATAACATGCTTCAATTGAAAACAAATTCATTTTTTTAGTCACTTCCAAATCTATTTTTTGAATAAGCGCTTCCCTCGATAAAGCGCCCCCTTGAATAAGTGCTTATTCGAGGCATTACGGTATATATAGATTCAATTTCGTTTTGTATCACCAAAGTATAGACCAATTGAGTAATTATGCATAAATCATTTTTCGTAACTGCCAACTGGGTGAATAAAAGACTTTCTCAGATCAATAAAACATTCCAAAATGTTAACTAATGCAAACAAAACATATTTTTGCTTACGTGCTCAGGTCATTTTCAGTTTCGTCTTGTGCGGCTGTCGAACGTAAAACTGACGTGAAATTGGAAATTTGATGTGCAAAGCCTGCAGTAAAAAAGCACGGACATGGTGTAAGCTGGACCAAGAACTAATCTTTGTGCATTTGCAGATAAACAGAAGAAATAAAGTAAGAAAAATGTCCAGACTGAACTTACGCTGTTCTGCAAGGTTCGTCTTTTTGTAGCACTAAAGTAAAGAAATATTAAAGTAAATATGTAAAAGTGACTATGTTCAAATTCTATTGTAAAATCAATCTTCGTTGTGATTAAAAAAGAGATAGAAGGAGATCTGACATTTTGTTGAGTTCAACTATGTGTCTTGTGACAAGTGAGGCTGAATTTCCCGCTTTTTGAAGCGGTTCATTTGACTGATTTCGTAGGATTTTGCATGGCTGTTTGTATGTGAAAAGTCTTATCTCTCAGCCTACAATCTGGCAGGAGAGCAGATGGGATGAAATAATCGAATGTTTACATACAGATTCTATCCCACTTTTCAGCTGTATATGGAGAAAATCATCCCACCTTCCAGCATGTGTGCTGAGATATGCAACGAAATTTGATGGAGTGTATATGAATATTTCATCCAATCTTCCAGCTTCATTCCACCTTCTAGCGTTTATATGGAGAAAATTCATCCTGCCCAAGTGAGATTCCACCTCTCACGCAGTGAGATCTCATCTAACCGGGCTAGCTCGTTTATCACATATACGCGTAACGAGAAATACAAAGGACTCTATATGAGGGTGGGATCTCACTTCTCAGCTTACAAGCTGGAAACTGGAATGATTTTCGCCATATAGTTAGGCCCTTAACTTATCAAATTCTTTAGTCCTCACATCTATTGATTTATTACGATTTTCGCCATATAGTTAGGCCCTTAACTTATCAAATTCTTTATTGAGATGTTCAGCAAATCTGGTTTTACTACACTACTCTGGGGAAAAGGTGGAGCGGAGGGCAAAGAGAGATTGGAAGAAAGGAACTTCTTTTTAATACAAAAAACAATTCAAGCAATTTAAAGAAGGATTGAAAATTCAATGGAAAATTAAAAATTTTACAAATGATGAAGAAACTAAAAACTATAAATATTTCTAATTAAAATAAAACAATTTTTAAAAATTCGTGGAAGAAAATTGGGATTTGCATTGAAATAAATGATGAATATAAAAAAATCATGAATACCTTTAGAATTTAAAAGAACATTTTAAACATTCGAGGAAGCAAGCAAAAGTTTAGAAGTATTGAAAATATTCTTCTTGATTCAGCAAACCGCAAAAATGTATAAAGACCCTTTCACGGCTCCGGAGGGTAAACAAATCTTGTAACTAGTGAATTCCCCACTTCTATGAATAAAGGGTAGTCTTCGCCAATTGGTCCTTAAATCTTGACTTAAGTACTTATCCTGGGTATCAGTGCATCAGTGAGCGGTTGCAGAGAAGGAAATGTCTATGAGAGGCCTTGATTTTAAGTTCACTACCTACTATTGATCACATAGAATGAAATACAGGACAATTGTATGTATGCATTGATGCATCTTACCTCGTTGCAGTTTTTGGTAGCAAACGCCAAATGATCAGCTGTCGTTCTTATGCTTTGAAATTCATCATCAATGTCCTACGAAAAGAAAAATGTGTTTAATGGCTTTGTTGCCTATATAAATTCCTAAGGACCAGACGATATCTGTGATGATCGTATTTATATAATCATACAATATTGAAATCAAATTAGTCAGCGTTCCATTTCTTTAGTGAGTATGGCAAGGGAAACAACAAAGCTTTTGCTGACTTGGTTTTCTAGAAACATCCTCCTGTTTTTAGATAGCCCATCTTATCTGTGCACAAATAGCATGAACTCCCCAATAGCTTGAATCTTCACAAAAATTAACTTTGTTACTTGCATACGGTGAAGATACAGTACCTCGAAGAGACAGTACCTCGTAATGAGTAACTTACTTTATGGTTATGAAAACGCGCATCATCCAGCGCACCTTTCAAAGATGTAAATAATCCTTTCTTTACATTCGCTCTCACTGGTGCCTGCGATGGATAAAAACAAAATTGTAAATGGCAATACGAAAACTTGCATCAAGATATAACTGTTTCTTCACATTCATTTCATATTTTGTCTATTTCATCATCATTGCATACTTTGCTTTCTTTATTGTAACCGCTCTTTCCGAATCAGTTTAATGACTAACGTTTCAGCTCTACCTCCGTCTTACCCTCGTTTTCATTCCTTTGCGGTATCTACCTTTCGTACATGACTTAGTTGTTTTAATTACATGTTCTCGCCACTCTACACCCTAATACATGTGTACAATTGTGTCTATATGGCATCTGGGCAACAGACTGATAAACTAAACAGTTATCTTAAATATTGATCTTGGTATAGAAAGATTTTTCATGGATGTAAGAATCCAAATACTAACTAATTTATTACAACTCTTAGTCATATTTCTGTCACTTGTAGCACTCCGTCATACTGATATCAAAATACGTTGCCATCAAAGTGCAATCATAGCAACTTGGAAATGAAGATTTGTCTCAAAAACTCGTGGTAAATTACCTTATCTTTGGTTAGAAACTCTTTTAATGTTTCATCCCCATTTAACTTCTTTTCTGCAATTACCAGTTGCAAGTACCTAGAGCGGAAAACAACTCAACTGAACACAATAATATAGACAAATGTACAATGCCTGCCAAGAGAACTTGGAACACCCAGCAATTTACGCTGCATTTGATATCTTTCATTCCTTTCATGAAAGAAAATGCTACTTCCGCCCCCTTCCCCCTAAAACAATGTTGATGATTTAGAGAAATATCATAAAAGAAGCGCAAAAGAAAGTGCTTCCTACAATCCCAACCCGTTTGATAGTAAACAAACATTGTTCTGTAGGGGAGAGGGGGATTATTGATTTTGACCGTGGAAATTGATGTCAGTGTTCCAAGACTTTTGGCAGGCATTGTAGTAGCTATGCCTCTTTGCACAGGAAAATGAGGCAGAATATAACGGAGAATCATGGGGTTGATGTTGACCAGGTTTGTGCAACATGAGAGGTGTGCGCAACATGAATCTTGGAAGGGAACCTTAACCATGGGAGCAAAGAGATAGGAACAACCCCTTGAAAGAAGAGGAGCATGAACAAAAAAAGCAGCTTTTAACAAAACCAGGATGCCATCAATGATACATTCATTTGTGAAAACTGCAACAAGCGTTCAAGAATTTGATTGTTTACCAATGTCAGGAGTCAATAGAACTAAGACATTATTCAACGCTTATACAATAATCTTTCAGATCAAAAATTGTCCACTAGAACAGTCTGACTGTGTCCTATCAAAAGACCTGATTTGATCGAAAATAAATATGCTCACTCCCGATTACTGTAAATTTCAGCCTTAAACTCATAAAATGAAAATAAATTGCGCCAAAACTATGATGACCGAAAACGGAGAGAACAATCCAGATTTTATCGTTCACAATGATAATAGGTAACACACAACAGTAACAAACATTTCAAAAGGGGTTCAAATAGGTGTCAATAAGAAACCTTCATGATATGTAATGGGGTGTAAATGCTTGTCAATATCCATTTGCCCTGCTTCAAGGCCCTAATTTGATATAGTATACATTCTCCTTCTTGCAAATTCTGCCATGCAGATAAGATTAGTTTCCACATGCAACTGAATATAAAATATCTGCTAAAATTCATTTGACAGAAAGCACTTACTTTTGCAAAGCTTTGCAATCTTTTGTGAAATCATCCCCAATCATCGTTTTTGACTCTTTCCCTGAACAAAACAAAAACCGAACATATGGTCGAGATGGCATTGATGAATTCCATATTTTTCCAAAAATACATCTGGTTAAAGTCGCACCAAAATTTGCTTGAAAAGTTTTGGCAGTAAGCCGAGTGTGATTATAAAGGGAATTTAATTGAAAAGCTTTCAAGAATTCTGGTCTATATTTTATGAATGTAAACAGTACTGGGACTTCAAGCAGAGTAACTATGAGTGGAGTGGCTATACAGGAATTCGACTGTATGCTTAGACTGGCATAACTGGATAAGTACACAACATTAAAACCTTAAGAAAACATAGGCATAAACAACCCAAATCATAAACATAAATCATAAACAAGACTCATCTCTTTTAATTTCAACTCCCCTAGCCTTCAACCCCCAACAATATTGAAACATTTTCAGTTAGACCTGTACTGCCAGAATCCCACATTATATGCTGTTGGCATCAACATAATCCCTGGTAAAAAAGCCTTAAGAGGCCCTGATACTGAAACCACTGACACTAGGAACAGATACACCAAACAAGTATTTTAGGTTTATTAAAAGCTTACACAATAAAGTTTAATGAAATAGACAACAAATTCATATTAACCTAACTGCTTTTTCGTTTTTGCCTCTGCACCTGATGGTGTAATAACTGGCTTGGGTGGCAAAACTGGCACCTTTGGATAATAACAATTAGAAATTTATTATAAAAACTAAACAATGCAACTTCTAGAATGATAAATAAAGAGGTTTGATTAATCCACAATAGACTGAAAGTCAGTGACTGTCAACAAAACAATTCATCAAAATCTTTAATTTCAAAAAAATTGCCTAAAAGTAGAAAAAATGAATGATTTTCTGTCTATCATATGAGTAATGTCTCTATTTTGAAAAGATGCCTAGTTGTAAAGCTATACACCAAATAACACAGGTTCTTAAAAATGCTGTGTTACTTCAGCAAACATAGAACTAGACAATAAATATCTGGAAACTCATGGAACTAAACAAATACTGTCTTTATTTGGAAATTACAACAAATTGCTTCTTGAGCTCATTCACAACCTTTTTTTGTCACATCAGTAAAATTTTTTGTCACATTGGTAAAAGGTGGTATTGTAGATATATGATATAAAGTTTAAAAATTGACCAAAGATCAATCTAGGATAAATTTTTTGTCTTAGTTGCATCAATGGTTCAATGACTTACAAAATTCACCCACCAAGAAAACTTACATGCAGACAAAATTTATGGTGCTTGATTCAAATCTGATGTCAAAAATTTAGCCTAAAAATGTATAAAGCATTTTCAAAATGAGAATTTAAATTGAATTAAGTGAAAATGAAACTCACCACAACTGACAAAATATCATTGTGTGCAGCAAGACAATGACTGAGGTATTCAAAATCCTCATATTGTCGCAGTACAACAACGCCTTTCTCTGAATCATCTTCTTCCTTCTAAGAAAAGAGGAAATTATAAACTGCTGTATAATGTTAAGATTGTCAATTTATAACTGCTATGATTCAGTTTACTGTCAGTAAAATCCAAGAACAATAACTAGATTATCACTTTAGGATTATATGATGTAACCTTTTATCAATAAGTCTCTGTTCAAATTGTTCAATATGCCATCTGTTTTACTATCATTTTTCCAAAAAAATTCAAATGTTATTCAAAATAGAATGATGTAAAAACAATGACTGTCCATATTGCTTTGCAATACTGTAAGTCCTTGATTAAGCACCTGAAAGCTGAATTTTAAAGCTTAATGGCTGGCCACTTATTAATTTATTTAAAGGGTGCTTAAATAGAGCAGATACTAATCTAACAGAACGATTATCAAAATGCTGCAACCTTGCAAGAAGATCAAACTTCATTTTTCTTTCACAGCTGTATAAAATATCTTAGAAAAACAATATTAGGCCCATGGAAATTGTGAGATTGTTAGGGGTGCATATTATTTTGCTAACAGGGCCACTGAGTTAAGAGGGCACTTTAATTTCAAGGGGTTATTTGATGGAGTGGCATATTTAACTATTTCATTTCAAGAGGTACCTACTTGAGGGAGTGCATAATCAAGGAGGTCCTTATGAAGGGATGAACAATACCAATTGTCCTTTCTTTGTATTCACTTTGCATATTTCCTTTTCTTCATTTTGAACTCATATTCATTTTACACATTTTTCAAATATTACTTATTTCATAACGAATCATGTTAAGGCAAAGCAAAATTATGTAAAAAGTGAACAGAAAACTGAAAATTAGTGCAATGGGAATGATTTTTATAAATACCAGCTTAGATTCACTATGATATTTTTGTCTACAAAGGGATTTCTATTTTTATTTGGCTATCATTTGTTGATTTGCATTGGTTTTGCTCACAGTTTCTCCACATATCATCGGAAGTTTCTTAAAACCTACCATTTAGACAGCTTATTGAAGTATGATGATCTAGTGGCCAGTTTTAAAAATTTATATCCCTGGTGTGGTTGACAAAGAAGTGAAACATGTTGTAAAAAGGTGCCAACAATCTTTAGATTTGCTTTGTGTAAAAGAATCTTAGGCTCAAGCTACAATTTAGATTGGCTATACAGTATTAATGTTCATCATTTTTGGGACGTGTTTTATAGCCAGGTTTGGAAGTCAAATGATCAACTGAACTTAGAAAAGTTTGGTATTTGATATTTACTTGATCTATTGTCTAGGTAATTTCCTTTTATATTGTTCATAAAAATGTGTGGGTTTGGTAAATATGCCAATTCGCAATTGCCTATCAGGGGAATGCAAACCAACTTACGGTTTTGGTCTGGATTGTGAATGTAACAGCCTCTCCATCTTTTGATGCATCTAAAACATCAACATCATAATTGATGAATGGCTTTTCTTGCTCTGTGTCTGCATTTGTAGTTCCATCGTTTTCTGTGTTGTTTTCCTAAAATAAGAAAAAAATTCAAAAGTGGAATCCAACAAGGATATATGAGATAAATGTTTCAAAGAGTGGCAGACACCTGGGGGGCTGAGAAAGGTAGTTGCCCCTAATACTTTGGAAGACAATGGTCTGTTGTTCTAAAACAATGGGAAAATGCGACATCATCTTTTCAAAACAATAGGTTTACCCCAACAATATTTGACCAAATGTCTGCCCCTGGTTTCACAGATCACTGTGACTGAACTGCTGCTGTTGTTCAGATAGAGAATGTTTCCTTCTGAAGAATATTTCCAAAACAACTTCAAGAGACAAGTATTGAAAATGATGTGTTTACCTCATGCTACAAAGCACTGCCTTTTACCTTCATTTTTCCTTCTCAATCATTCTATCACATTCTCACATGCTACAGGTCAAGGGACCAATGGTGCATAAACTGTAACCCACTACAATAGCTCTTACTTGTTTCACCTAACCATTTTAAGCTTCTAAATTTTCAATCATATCAAGGTGATTTTCAATTTTTGTTTGTAAACCTAAGCTGTGTGAAGTTATTTAGGGAGACAAAAAATTCACAACAATAATATGAGTCCAATAATGTGACTGACAAACCAAGCTTCGATTTAGGAAAGTTGCTGACCAAGTAGAGTCCCCATCTCTCTATATTATTCCAGGGACAGGAATCGCAAGGTGTGGTCACATCAAGAGAAAAGATCAGAGCGCCCTACTCAATAAGCATACCTTCCCAGTGTCCTGAACTACCTTCAGAGGTTGGTAGTAACAAATGAAAGTACAAAGCAAATAAAATAATTTAGGTTTTCTTCAGGAACATCTGATGGGGTGTAGCTATAACCTAGATAGTTAATGGTGAAGCATTTGTAAGTAGATTAAATAGTCACAGTATTTTCTTCTTTTTGCGTTCCATATGCAATACCACAGTCAGGAATATCAAGGTACCTGATTCCTCAAATAAGCCCCCACCTATGAATAAGCTTCCCCTTAAAAAAGCCCCCATCCTAAAGCAATGTTTGTGAAATAAGCACCCATCCACCCACAAGTACGCCCCATAAGCAGAGGTATTGCCCTGTCAGCAATAGGTTCACCCCAATACATCTGACTTTTTTTAGCATATCAGTCTCAAATGGAGAAAGAAAAGAATTCATTGTTATTAACTTTCTCTATTTCCTGATAGACACACCATTCATACATCATCCATTTAAAATATTGATTGCTCATATGCATTATTTGCTACAAGCTCTGATAAAATATCTGAATGTAGGTTCATTTACAAAAGCGGAGATCCAAACACCACTCTTTGTAAAGGGGAAAGTAAACAATGAAGTACTGTGGTGTTCATGATGTCATGTGACGAAGCATAGCAGTTACGAAAATTCTTATGTTCCAATTAAAACTTAGGTTTTTTTACAACTTTGTTAATTTCGCATAACTTTTTATTTTGTTTTAATTGTATCATAGATGCGGGACTATAATAGAAGGAGAGGGCTAGGGAACGTTGGACTCACAAATCGAACAAGTTAGTAGTCGAGGAATTTACCTGGAAAACGTTTGCATACAAATATGACTTTTGGTAAAATAATTGCACTTTTCGGTTAGAAATTATGCAACAACTAAATTTTGAAAACTAAAAAGGCCTGCAGTCGATTGGACTCGAAACAAGCTGTTCTCACCTCAGCTGTACTGAAACAGAATGTGCAGGAAGGTGGGCCTAACAAAAACAAAATTGGCTGAAAGAGGCCCAAATAAGTTTGTTTAGTGCGAATATGGAGATGAAGCATAATTCTTACCATAACTGAAAAATTCAAATACACAGCAAATGATTTATCGCGGGCGAGATCTTGCAAAACTATTGGAGAATTATCCAAGCCCAGTCTAGTTCCTCATCTGGCGAAGTCCAACCAACGGCCAAGAGCATTGCCGAATCGAGCAGTGGTAAATTACGGACCAGAAAATATGAACCTGGAACGCCCTGGTTAACGAAAAGGAACTCCAAATCTTATTACGAGAACCCTTCTTGGGTCCCAGCTTTTCCTAACCCTGCAAATTAACATGTTTCAATGCTTGCTTGGTATTTTTGATAAAAATCTTGCCAGAATCCACCTTCTTTTTTCATGGCACAACAAATATCCGTCGACAGGCAAAACCCCTCCAGGGCTATTTTTAACGGTACCAGTAGCACTCTCCCTGGTTAAACCTTACAAACTAAAAAACTGGTGTCGTTTGCCGAGACTTTGGCAGGAGTTGTAGATGAACTCAAATATCTAGATATCCTTCAAATTTGCCTAAACAACTTAACATTTCACGTGCAGCAAGACCACTCCTCAAAAATTACACTTTTAACACTTTTTCAATACATGAGATCTTATGCAGTGGTTTGGGACTAGATATCTTGGTATTTAATGTTTCTTATAGGCTCCTTAAATACCATGTCATAAAATGCTATTTTTCAGTAACTCGAAGAACCAAGCTGAACATGGAACGAATTCTTGTTTCAATAATTTATGTCAATAAAAGGGAAAAAGGCAATTATCGGTCGGAAAATAGAGTTTCAATTTTATCTTTACAATTTTTTAAACATTTGTCAGTTTGAGTTAATCAGTATTATGGTTTTTTAAATTTTTTATCATATTATGGGTCAGTTTCTTAGAAAATGTTTATAAAATATTAGTGCAGTCTGGCAAAACGAATGTTGGTTAGAGCAAAACACCGGGATAAGGAACTGAAAGGGCGCCAACAGATGCTCAAGGTGCCTAACTTTGGGGTAAGTAAAACAGCGAGGAATGCTGGCTGTGTGTAACAGAAAATAACAGGCGCGGATCTAGCCAAAATTTTGACCGGTGTCGGGGTGCTTTACCCCGTTACACCCCTGTGTGTTATTGGCATATAGATATTGCTTAAAGTTGCGAATGAAGTTAGCAAAATGTGATCTTTAATTACAACATATGTGAACGTCACCATACCCTACAGCCAACCATACACTTTTGTCTAGTTACAACCATTCTGAATGGAAAGAGCGCAGTATGGTGCTCAGTTAATTTTTCCACCCTTCCTTCAGTACCAAAGTATTTGCATTTGTCATAGGTCAAATAAACGAATATGGTTAGTAATTAGCCTTGTTTTTAAAACAGAATAATTCATTAGTCTGCTAGTTAAAATCTCTTTTATACTCTTTACAGGCATAGTATTGCGGAAAGTTTGAAAAAGCCAACCAGGTTTATAGAAACATTTTGCTTTGCGTAACTGATCTTTGTTTAATACTTTCAGGTATTTTTTGTCTTGGTTTAACTATCATAAAGTTCGACTTGCTCGTGTTAAGTGTCAAACGATTTGCAATAGACCAGTGAGAAGTTTTGGACAATTCAGCGTTAACAACTTTCTCGACTTCAATGTTTTTTGAATAAAAAAGACTAGTATCATCTGCAGATAGACAAAACTATGATGTTTGATGAATTTGCTAGATAATATATGCATAAGAGAAAAAGAAGTGGCCCAAGAACACTACCCTGTGGCACGCCATGTTGAACAGGCATCTTGTCAGAAAATTCACCAACTACAGAGACACATTAAATTCTATCGTTAAAATAAGATTGAAACTAATTTAAGGGATTTTCTCTAATCTATAGCATTCCAGGTTCTAAGTAGAATCTTATTATTAACTGTACCGAAAGCTTTTGCAAATCCAGAAAGATACCACATGAGAAAATTTTCTTTTCAATGGCATTTATAAGATTTGTGCATTGATCAAGTAAGGCAAAAAAAGTTTATTTATTCCTTTGGAATCAAAATTGATGAGGATAAAGGATTTTTCCTTTGAAGATAATTTAGAATAGTCTCTTGTTTGAAACGTCAAATTTAGGGTCTTGGCATGGTACCTGCTACTAAAGAAATGTTATCATTATACTTCTTATGTGTTTTGTTGGTAAGTTCCTTTATACCTTCCCATATCTTTTTAGAGTTTGCTTTAAAGGCTTAAAAGTAGGATTTGTAACAGTTATTTTTACTTATTCTGATAATATGGATTGAAGAATTTCTCTAATATTAATATTGTTGATACCAGAACGGTCTTTCAATTTCAAAACATTTTCATACGGTTTATTTTTTTTGGATATAGATTTCAGTATATCTTTTGCATTTTTTGCACTGCTTCTGTCTTTTTTTAGATACGGGCTTCAGCAGGTCATGTTTGTCAATAACCTTTAGAATAGTTTCTTGAAAGCAGATGTATTTATAATCAAGGTTATTGTGCAAAAGTTCTATAGAATTGAAACTTATTTTACTAATTTCATAAATGAATTTCGATTCGTTGAAGTTTCGGAAATCATGATGTCATGAATGATGTTATGAAATGTCATGACCCTTTTTATCAAGTCAAAAGACTCGCTTCCTTGCTGATGCTGTATTTAGATGTGGGAAGTATAATTCTATCCCTTGCGTCGTAAGCTAGGCCGACAGGGCTATAATTTTTTCTGATTGTCTAGTACTCGTTTCTTATAGCCAGTTTCTTATAAAAAAATGAGTGTATATTCAGGAAGGGGCGTTGTCCAACCCACGTGAGCACCAGCCTCATAACACGATTCAGAATAACAGACGCAGTGAACAGAGGCCGCATGGGGAAAGATGGCGCCCGATCATATTTCCAAAGTTAGTAACATGACATCCATGACATCATAGTAAAATCTGGCTGTAAAATTTTGGCTGAAAGTTCTTGCAGTAAGTTGTAGCATTTTCTAGTTTGTTTTAATGAGATTCGCCACTTGATTAAAAAATTTCAGTAGGTCTGTCCTACAAATGAAAAGAGTGAGTGCAATTTTATCAAAACATGTGCTTGACGATCATCTAAGTTAGAAGATCCACTTCTAAGTTAGAAGATCTCCAAACCCCAGAAAAATCATCATTTATTGAAGAAGGTTTCTGTCAGTATGCCTTAGCCCCATTCCACTCAGTAGAGCTCGACTGTTGTCGTCATGTTTTTGATGTAGTTCTTAGGTTCTGAAAATTTCATTTGGTGTTTCTTTTTCTGATTGATTATTTCATAGCTGTAAAGTTTGTGTTCCCAGATGCGTGAGATCTTTTGTCCTACTAAGCTTTATTGTTTCTGTTGTACTTTCAATCATATTCTGTCCCTGAATGTGCATTTAAGTAATTTCTACAGACCTTTCCAACGTCTAGACAGAGACAGACCTTCAAGGAGAAAGACAATTTGAAATTAAAAGGAAAAGTAAAATAAGATAGAATAAAGGACATAAGAAGCTCCTACACTTCAAGATCCTCTTGTATTCAATTATTTCAATTTTTTCTTGTGCTTTTTGCAAGTTGCCAAGTGTAGAAGTCTTTTTAACGAAATATGCCTTTCTTCTTCAGGTTTGATCCCCCGCCCAAAGTCAAAGCAAGAAGTTGCCACTGCCAAATTGAGTTGTGTTCTATAAATATAATGCACAATTAGTGTGAATGTGAATTGCATAATGTTTGGATTATTATCAAGACTCTATCACAATGCTTGTGATTTTGTTGTTGGAGTTACAATAAATGATGAAGCCTTACCTGCCAGGCCGATAGCTAATTCTTTAAATCATTCTGATGCAGAAAAGCCAAAAGAAACAAGTGATACTGCAACAAATGCCGAAACCATTAGAAAAGAAGATGCTCCTAATATCACTGAAGCTAAAGCCACTGAAAATGATATATCCTTGAGTAAAGCATTTGATGGTGTTGTCACAGCCTTGTACAGTGGGAGAGGTCTAATAGATGATCATATTTATTTTTCCCAAGAGACTGTTGTTGGTAATATTAAGTTGCAAATTGGTACAAAAGTGTCTGTTGAGGCATCCAGAACCAATGAACAAGGTGGCTGGGTTGCAACAAAGTTGCAAGTATTTAATGAATGGAACACAGAACAAGAAGAAGTAGAATCTGTGACTGAGATAAATGGAATTATCACATACTTCAAAAATGTTTCAGGACTTATCAACAATAAACACTCATTTTCTAGAGCCTCGTGTCTGAATAATTATTATCCCATGGTTAATGATTTTGTGTTGTGTAAAATAAGAAACGCAAATGGCCTGGAGAATGAGGTAGTGGCAGTAGAACCTCTGAGAGAGAAGCAATTTGTTGGAGTGGTAACAAGTATCATGAATAGATATGGCTTTATTGACGATGACATTTATTTTCCATTTGGGGCCTGCCGAGGCTACACTCCAAAGTTGAGTCATTGGGTACTTGTGACTGCTATTGAGTCAAACCAGAGACGTTCACAGTGGAGGGCAATGAGAGTAGAAAAGTGCACAGAAGATATGAAGTAAGGAATGTAATTCGTCTAGACAAATCATTTTAGTTTGTAAAATACAGGTGCTCTGAGTGTCTTTCAGACTGCTCAGTGTGATACCCACCATTGCATTTGTAGGAGTATGGCCAGCAACCTACATTTCTGGAGGGATTTTGTTGAAATTTTGGTCCCTTTTCTTCCAATTCAATGTTGATATCAAAGATGGCTTACATTTTGATGTTTACTTGAAAACTAATTTGTCATCATCATCATATCTTTCATCATTGTCTCATGTTGAAAAATTTACAGAATGTGAGGTATCTTTAAGCAGTTACTTTTTGTGAATATTCAAACATCAGTTCAAGCTTATATTAATGGATGTGGGCTTTTCAGGAAAAAGTTTGGTGGATCTTCAAGCGAGCTAAAGGACTCTGCTTCAGGTGCATATATGAGAGGACGAGGTTATGGATACTATCAGCGACCTAGAGCCAGCAATGTCAGGTAATTCAACTTGTTTCTTATTTGGTAATAAGACATCTATGTGTCAAATGGTATAGAGCACCTGTAGTGACACAGCACTTCCAAAAATGATATGTATTATGAGGGATTGGTAGATCAGGCTCAGGAGTAAACTGACAGACAGGTAAATTTTCCCTTTAGAAAGGCCAGGTAAAATGAGATCTTTCACTTTAAGCTATGCTTGTCTCAGTTCCACACTAAAATGAACAACCTTTAGTGGTGTCATCAAGTTACAAATAATCTTGAAAAACCTGGATGCTAATACAGGTTGTTACTTCTTGCTGGTCTCCTTCTCTTAGGAAATATTGTCTTGCATACTTTTTACTACCATTTTCTTCATTTTCAGAAATGGCAGGGAACAAAACATGGTGCTACCAGGCCAGAGACCTACCAGGTACAAAAAATTTATTTCTTACAAGAGTTGTAGAATAATGTTGACTGCCTAAAGTAATATTTTAGCAAAACCTGATTTTATTAGATTTATTGTCAACAAAAAACTATTAAATCTGTTTTTGTTGCAGGAAGAAAAAGATGTTTCTCCCAAAACATTTGAAAAGCTACGAAGTTCCTCTTGACATAAAAGACTGCATTTTAAGTGGAAAACAGTTAGAGGATGTTGTTCCAGATGTTGTTTTGGTATGTATAACACTAGAAAATATTGTTGTGAAGTCAAATTGACACTTGCTCATAGTGTTATGGGCTGACCTTGTCTTTTCATCAGAGCTAACAAAGCCAAATTCTAATTTTACAGCACATTTCTAGGGATATCTTAAATTTGTTTGATTCTACTTACATGCTTAGAAAACATAACTATTAAAAAAATTGAACATTAAATCAATTGCAAGGCATCAAGATGTAGATTTTATATATTTTCTCAAATTGACTGAGCTTGGATCAACTTTTTCACATATTGTATGACATTTTTGATAGAAGTTTTCTTGTTTGATGCATCTCTTTTGATGACTTGGAAGATATTCAAACAAGTATTTTTGTTATAAACTCAGTTTGTTATGATGCTTACTTTAACATATCATTTAGAAAAAGACCATGCCAAATGCCAAATCTCCATGAAAGAGAAACATCTCATGCTCTGCATCACAGGGAATTCCTTCATTATTTGCTAAAATATAATAACTTCCAAATAGTCAAAGTATTTCATTACATCTTCTGTTTATAATCTTAGAGAAAAGTCGATTGTTTCGGAATTTTTTCTACAGCCACTTTCAATGGAGAATCATAGACCAAAGTTAGATGCATTATTATTTGCTGAAGAAATTGAAATGGAAGAAGAAATGCGAGAGTTTGATTTAGAGAAGGTAAGGCTGAAGAATAGTCTTTGATTGAAGGAGGCAGAAGCGTATCTTTTCTAGTATCTAAAGCCCTTTTTACCCTTTTTTGGAACAGGGTTCTTGATTTATTAAAGACACTGAGTCATTGTAGATAAGCATCCTCTTTGGAATGGGGTCAACTACTTCTCGTGTGATCACTCTAGTTTCATGCGATTTGTCGATCATTATTTACAAATAGTCATTGGGAAACCTGTTAGAATTAAGTACGAGACACCTTCAAATGATCAGTTTCAAATCCACCAACTTGCATAGAGAAATTTGCACATTTGGATATATCCAATCTTGGATTGTTGCTCATTGCCTTGTAATCCAAAAAACCAGAAAACCATGTTTCCAAAAATATAGCTAAAATATCTCGTGTCCTGTGTTTCCTTTTGCTTTTTAGATTGTATTCAGTAGCTAGCTCCTAAGATTGGTAAATGAATGGAAACTTTGTATTCATTTATGTTCTGCCATAACTCAATTAAAGCTATGGGCGATGAGCAGTAAATTACGAAGTTTCATATCCATATGTGGATGGATGTAAACACTCGGAAAATAGACACTTTTCTCCTTATTCAAGACTTCATTATCTGATAAAACCACACCAGCAAAAATTGTGTTCTCGTTGCACTATCATCCTTGTATTTTTATAACTAGCTCAAGAGTTTCCAAATGAACATTTATTTGGAAAATCTGTGTATTAAACATTTGCTATACACACTCAGACTCAAAGTATTATATAGAAAATTTAAGTTTGAATTTAAAAACCTCAACAGTAAATTCTTAATGTTGCGTTTGTTTTAGGTAACCCTTCGTCAAATGGGAGAATATCTGGTTTTGGCCGTCCCTGGCCTAGCTGAAGGCAGACCATCTGTGCTTATTGGTGATAAAATACTTCTTGATATAACTGGTATGTGCCCAAAATGTTTTTGAACTTTAAGTTAATGTTCAAGGGCTTATGAACAAATCACCGTTGTCATAACAAATTGTAGTGGCAAGATTTAGAGTATACTAGAATCTAGAAAAAGATTTCATAAAACTTTTAGTAGGCGCCAATATGTAAACGGAAAGTCCTTCTGCATTTCTGCATGCATTTCCATGGAGTCTATACGCTTGTTTTCGTAGATTAAAAATAGTGCTTAAAAAAACTGCCTTATTGTTGTGCAGCGCAACTTTATGAGACAGTCAAATCGAGACTTATTCATTCAAGCCAACATAACACTACTGGGAACTGTCATACCCCCAAACTAGGCTAGACTTGTATTAAGGAATAGTATGCAACTTACCCAATATTGGAAAAATTAGATGCGAATATTCCGAATAATCTTTGTTTATCTTTATAAGAATAAGGGTATTTTCCTGACCCACGCATATCCCGATTTGGATCGCAACCTATGAACTTCATCTCAAGCTCGTTTTGCTACTTTGCAAATTGATGCAAATTCACATTGTTATATGTTATATCTTAAATATATCTTTCATAGATTCTCCTCTTAACTCGCCAAGATATGAAGGCTGTGTTCACGAGGTAATGTGGAGCTGATTGTGTTTTTGATGTGAGCATTATACACGCACACCATAAAGATTCTCTCAGTTGCTTTAGAATAAATAATTTGAGTACAGAATTGACAAAAGTAGCCAGTTCGCCATTTTGATCATTATTCTCGAAGTCCTATATTACCGACCACTTATATTGAACGCTTAATATTTTGATGGGGACCTGTTGAAGTGTTTGGTTAGTTTGAAGAGTAAGGAAGACTTTATGCTGCAAAATGCAACTGATTTCAGCTCGTTTGATTTATACAAACCTACGAAGCTCAGTATGCAAAAAGTATATTTTTAAAAGGATATTTCTGGTTACTTTTTTTCTCTATCTGACAATTCTGTTTGAGGTAGCATGCAAAGTGGAAGTTACTTTTCTTGTCCCCAGGAAGCAGTTTTCGAAATTTCAACCTTTCTCTTATCAATCAAATATTTTGCCAACCCAGCAACATTTTTCTGTACTAAGATTTAATAAAAAGTACGTACATTTTGTTTCATCGTCAAAATATCCCTTTCCTATACTCTGCTGTCATTTATTCCCTAGTAACTTCCCTAGTAGTAATTTTCCCAATAGTTGGATAGTTTACCTCTGAAACCCCTTTTTATTCGAATCATATTGCTCCATGTGTCCATGTTTCAAAGCTGAAATTATTAAAATAATGAAAACTAGAACATTAAATAACAAAGTGTTGTGATGCCATTTCTTGTAGACATTTATGTGGAGCATTGAGAGTATTGGCTTTTTGTTTAGGTGCGAGCAGAAGACGTTTTGTTGAAGTTCAGTCAAAGTTTTCACGACATATATCGAAGTGAAGACTGCGATGTCCAGTTTTTCTTCAACAGGTAAAACTGCATTACATATTTTCTTTTATCAGTTCGTTTACTGAGTGTTCGGTAGGTACGGTAGCATCTTGTAATCGCCTAAATCAAAGATGAATTTCTATGTTTCCTGTAGAACAACCATAAGAAGATGTCATCAAGCAGTGGAATATGGAGCTGAGCTCGGCAAAGAAGGTTTGTTTATCGTCTTTGCGCCATGACTGGCCTATTTTTTATAAGGCTAAGTAGTTTGATAAATTTCTTTTGTATAAACCTCTACGATTTACGATTGTGGCATCTCTTTGTTGTTATCACGTAAACACTACAGCGTTCTCTTAAACAGAAGAAGAATGATTTCTTGCTCTTAACTTGAACATTTTTGTCTTATTTTTCAGTTCTATTTCCAACTGTTTTGAATAAAAAGCCCCCGCTGACACAAAATGTTCGATCACGAAGGCAAACAGGTATATTTGTGACGATTAGCCTTATGTCTTAAACCTATGTCATCTAAACTTTCACAAGAAAGGCTGTACAAGTACAATCTTAACATTTTAGAAGAAGTAAGAAAACATAATCTTTCCTTTGCAACACAACAATAAGATAACACAACACTTTTGTTTAGCAGAAAATTTTTATTTTCTGCAACAGGTTTCCAGATTTGACCAGTAAGGTGGGGTAAAATAGTGCCTCCCCAATAAGCGACTTCAACTCCAATGCGTTTGCCCCTACCCCTTAAGCGAGTAGCCCAATAACTGCCACTGGACTAATTTATATAGACATCTTGCCGTCTGACTATGCAAGGAAGCATAAAAATTTGTATTTAATGAAGCATGTTTTGTAAAAAATGCCAAAAGCCTCTCCCCTCTGTAGCTTTCTTGCAGTTATGCCATATGCTTTTGTCGAGACCCGTATAACAAGCCATCATGTATATACCCATTTTATAGAACTGGTTTTTTACAACAAACATTTGAATCAAAGACAGCAGGCAGCAGTCAGACGAATAGTTGCAGCTCAAGGTAGACCAACTCCTTACCTTCTTTTTGGTCCACCTGGTACCGGAAAGACGGTGACGCTTGTTGAGGCCATTCTTCAGATCAACAAGACGCTGCGCTTCTCCCGTATACTTGCCTGTGCCCCTTCCAACAGTGCATCAGATCTAATCGTAAGTAAAGATCGAGATACTTTAAAGTAAAGTATTGAATAATTTGTACAGTGATAAATTTAGTTTTTTAGCGAGTAAATGAAACTGTTGTATTAAGTGGGTTTTTTGATTGAATAGCTTATATAAGATTCTAATTATTTTGTGATAATTTGTGGTACATACAACTTTAACTGAGTATGATTTATGGTAATACCCTTTTTTAAGTTCATCAATACCCAAGGGATGCACCCCTATCCCTTAATTAGGCATAGACCCACTTTGGATGTATGTCATTTCCCAGGTCTCTACACAAATTTGATAACATTTCAAATGCAAAATTGTGTATTCCCTGTTTTCTAGTAATTCAGAGAAAATCGTTTGTTTGTGGTTGTACCCTCGACTCTCCAAACAAGGAACCTCCTCTTGACAGTCACGGAAACAATAAATAGATTCCATGTTTGCCTTCCTATCTTCTGACAATGCAGAAATTGCGGTCACTGTTGTCTGAATTGCATTTTTTAATTTACACATTTGCTATATTTTTTTTCTGGGATAGGGGAAAAGATTGATTTAAGAGAAAGTGAGCGGATTATTGAACTCTGCATATTTCGGCTGATCCAAGCTTTTCAAATACCTTATCGAGCTTGATTTAGTTGAATGAATTTCGAGTTTCGATCTTTTTCTAGGCCCAGCGGCTAGTAGAGAGCAAGCAATTTTCGAAGGGTGAGCTGATTCGTTTGAATGCGTTTCAACGAAGTCAGGAAATCCCTGAATTGATTGAAGATTACTGCACGAATGACACGGATGATATCATGCTCACGTGCCGTTATCGTGTGATCGTGTGCACCTGTTCCATGGCCGGGATTTTATACTGTGCTGGCTTGCAATCTGGCCACTTCACGCATGTTTTTGTTGATGAAGTATGTAATCATTTTCGTATTCCAATTGAAGAGTTAGATCTATCTTAAAGTAGGATCGATATAGTGATGGGGCAACCTCAAAAGTCACGTGCTCGCGTTTCTGATTGCCCTGTTTCGATCCACATCTGGGTATATATATTCCTAGCGTTAAGTTTTTAGATCTATGTTCTGACGTTTTATACTATGAAGAGTCGATCTATATACAAACAAAAACGCCGCCATTGTGTAGACAGAAGGAGTTCGTTTTCTCTCTTGGACTCAAGTGGTATTTTTCTTTAGGCTCGCGGCACTGATTGGTCAACTATACCGGTCTTGTGCTTGCGTTTTTCTGATTGGCCTATTTTGATCCACAACTGGGTATATTTTTTTTCATCGTGTTTTTTCGGCAAAAAAATTGTTCACTCTGAAGAGTGTCAGACGAAAAGCTTTTGCAACATGTTTCAAAATTCTCATTTTTTCAAAGCCATTTTTGAATTCTGTACCACGAAAAGATTGCTTATAAGACGAATAGCAAGGACTTGACTTTATTCTGTTTTCTAAAAAGATTCTTCTTAGTAACAAATCTGTCACGAAATTTTTTCATTGCCATTTCATGACGATGCTCTTTCCTTTTTAATGAGAAATAAATATCATCAATTTCATTGACCTTAAGAATCTTTATATTATAATATTCTATTTTTCTCCGTAGGCAGGACAATGTACCGAACCAGAGTGTCTAGTGGCAGCTGGTATGTTGGCTGGGAATGAAGATGGACAGGTTCTTTGAAACATTTCTTCCCATGATTTCTGTTCCGAATATTTTGTGACAAATGGTTATTTTGAGATTTGCTCAGAACAGTGGGGGGTTTAAGTGGGTGCAAGGAGGTCCACGGCCCTAAGCCCCTCACTTTTCACAGCCAGAAGGGTACCGCACCTAAGGGAAAGTGTAGGTAAATTGAAAATAATATGTCTGGCCCCGAGCCCCGCAGTAGCTAAAACCGCTGCTGACTCAGAACGATGAAAATATATTTTTAGAATTTTTGACTTTTGATCACACAATCTATAATGACACCATGAATACCTTTAAATGTAGAAAATCGATTAAACATTTTAGAAGTTAAGTGAGATATTGCCAATGAGTGAGACTGGAAGTTGGCTAACGGATTACTGTTATTTTAGCTTTGTTCATAAAGTTGTGAACAGAGACAAAGTTAAAAAGGTTTGATGGGGAAAGAGCCTATGCTAATGTGGCCAATTCTCAGCTAGTTGCTAAGACATTTAACTGATCTTGCAAAATAATAGGTAATCCATGATAAGTGATTCAAATTCAAGTGTTTTTAAAGCACATTTTTGTGATGTCATTACATAAAGAACTCTTTAGGTCCACGTTGTTTCTAGATGGTCTTGGCTGGTGACCCTTTTCAGTTAGGCCCAGTTTTGCAATCCGGCATATCCCTTCGGTTTGGCCTTGGAACATCGATGTTGGAAAGGCTGATCTCGAGGTCACTGTATGCGCGAAACGAAATAGAGTTTGCTGACGATGGCTGCTATAATCCTTTACTCGTCACAAAGCTTGTCAATAATTACAGGTATTTGTCCTAATTTTGAGCGTTTGGAATATCATACACGCTCCCTGTAGATCGATTTTGTCTTAGCTGAGGCAAGGCAAAGCTAAACATTTTCACCTATTTCGTGGTGTTTAATAAAAGGGCTAGGTAGAGTTTCCCATCTGCTGCATTTTATATAGGCCACATTTTACTTGAGTCTAACTCCGAAGTGATAGGTAAACACGAGACAGTAATTGACAGTAAGAAGAGCCCCCAACTCTCACCTCACAACTTCTTGGCACCCAAAGGATGATAGATGTTACGATGCAAAGTCATATTGTTAGAGTTTGGGGGGGGGGAAGGGTTGTAATAGTGACGAGTGTTCTTTGAGTAGTTTTGCTTTTCTTTGCCAGGTCCCACGAGTCGCTGCTAAACCTTTCGTCCACGTTGTTCTATCACGGTGAGCTGCGGCCGTTTGCCAAACCAGAACTGATCAACTCGTTTATTGATGCTGATTTTCTTCCCAATAAAAAGTTCCCACTAATTTTCCATGGGGTCCGGGTAAGTTACTTTATGAGGAAGTTGCTTGTTGTTGTAACTATAAATATCACCTGATATAGCAGTGCTTGATGGACAAAGTACAGAGCAATTGATATCTTAGGGGTCTAATACAAAGAAGAAATGTTCACTGTTTGCTGTTTCATGTTTTCACACCAATCAGACAGACGCCAAAGAAAACAGTCCACTCATAATCTTAGTGACAATTTATGGACTTAGATACCTGAACGCCTCACAATACTTGAAAATCAACCAAGTGTTGTGCATAATGACCTTAAGCTTCTAAGTTCGTAAGAATGGTAGACCATCATCACCCTCTCCCTGTTAAAAACAGAAGATAGATATTTTGGAAACAAAACCCTTTTTTCTTCAATGTTAACAGTGTCATCTATCCAAAGCCCGTTTCATCGTCCAAAATGAAAAATGTGGTTTCTATTAATGATTACTTTTATTTTATAATTTTATCACTGATAGACTCGGACCAGATTTCCTTGTGTCTTAGCTTATGTTTTCCAACACTTTTCCGCATACAAATGGTCCGACCGCAAGCTGGTACAGCGATTCAGGCCCCCTAAACTTTCCTTTGTTTGTTACAATCACCAGCATTCATTTCTTCACTTTACATTCTAAATTTATGCTCTTTAGAACGTTAGGATTTTGCACTCTTTCAATAACACGCTTATTGAATACAGTCTGTTCGTACTATTACCAATAGGGAGAAGACATGAGAGAAGGGAACAGTCCTTCGTGGTTCAACCCAGCTGAAGTCTTAAAAGTAATGAAGTATGTTCAACATGTAATCAGCCAGCCTGGCAAAGACGTTTCCCTTGATGAAATTGGTATAATAACGCCATACAGAAAACAGGTAAAACGCAAGTAGGAATTCGCTGCAATCGGCTTTTAACAGTACCCCACAAATAAAGTTTACATAAAAAAGAATCTCAAGGCCCAAGTGTGACATTGGCATGACATGGCATCATCATAGAGCGATATTTATTCATCAAAATATTTTATCAAAGCCTTAGATAACGAGATTGTATATTTAACAAATATCTTAACTGATTTTCATTAAAGATTAAAGCTTTTGCCTCATCATTCATTGCGGATTTTGCCTTCGTACATTGGTAGAAAAAATACGAGCAATAGCATTGTCATCGCAAAAGCAGAATATATCAATGCTTCTTAATAAACGTACGTTTGGAGTAACATGAAAATTTTTGCCTTGTTAAAAAGCTTTTTTTTATTTTACGTCTAAGGTCGAAAAGATCAGGCTAGTTTTGGAGAGTGTCAATTTACAAGGAATTAAAGTTGGGTCCGTGGAAGAATTTCAAGGGCAAGAGAGGCAAATTATCATTATTTCAACGGTTTGTTTTTCTTTGCTTTCAAATATTGCTTTCAAAGTCTTCACTTGATTGCCGTTGCTTTCCACTAAATTCTCTTTTTAAAGACCTGTTTTTCAAAGATCACCATTTCCTCTCAACCTTACCCAGTTGTGGCTGGTTCGATTGCCTCCTTTGTACGGGAAGATCTCCGTCATTTTAAGTCGAATACATATTGGTATCAAGGATGCTATGGTTTCCCTGCGTTCTCTGTAATTTAAAGAACTGTACCTATTTGTGAGTGGGACGGCTTTGGTCTTTGATTTGATAACGTGATCGAGTAGCTCAGTTAGTAAAGCAACAACGCACAGGTTGCTGCTCGTGGGTTCGAGTCCTGCATTTGTCGTTAGCTTACGTTTTCTCATGGTAACCACCCGGTTTTATGAGCATTGAATTTCGGGATATTAGGGGAGGGGAGGAGGGGACAGGATCTTCTTGGATAGTACAGGGTCTTGAAAAGCTATAATTTATCAGTGTTTTGTAGTTTGCTTATGTCTCCTGTTAATTATTTGAATCAGTTTGCAAAAATCCTACTGACGCTTGTGTACTTAGATATGTCCGACAGGATTCTAAGTACACAAGAATTTTTTCTCCACTTTGTTAATTATGACAATTTGTTTATTCTAGGTCCGTTCAAACGAGTCGTTTGTAACCTTTGATCAAAGACACGCTCTAGGCTTCCTCAGCAATCCAAAGAGATTCAATGTAGCGATCACAAGGGCACAAGCATTGTTAATCGTCATTGGAAATCCACATATTCTCTGCCGGGTACGTAGGCCTACCAGCATATCGTTGAACTTTGTTGATCTTTTTATCACCGTGTATTGTGGTAAATTCTGTTGTAGCTTTTATAGTTGTTTTCCACCTCGTACATTTCCTCCTCCATTACATTGTTCATTGGCATTATTTTCTGTGTCAATCGAAATAGGATCAGATGCACAAATGCATCTTATGAAGGAATCAACATTGTACGGAGAGGGTAAGGGGGTAGAGAATTAAGAAACAGCGTTGAAAGCCCGTGGTAATTGAACCGTGAAGTTGTCAACTTTCTAACGTGAATATTGTGGTGTTTTTTGGCAAGAATTGCAGCTTTGTATGCTCATGTTTACAATGCTTATTTTCCTTGTCCCTTTCTGCAGGACCCATACTGGTGCTCATTGGTTCAGTACAGCGTGGCGAATTCTGCATTCACTGGTTGTGAGCTCCCTTCCTTGGTTGACCCTAATATAAAGGTATCTAAATTTCATTGTTCTACTGACGAAATCCTAATGCTTCGTTTTAATAAGGCATATGTCATGGTGAAGGAACAGGACCCTTTTGTCTTAGACACCAAAGTGTGTACAGCTCTGCCTGTACGGCATCGAACACTTTATAACAGGTCGGTAAGCTTCTGTCTTACTGTAAAAACTAGGGCGTATTTAAAGTTTAATGTGAATTTTAATGAAAGTACAGTTAAGTCATCGTCTGAATATTTGTTCAAAATATTTTTGTCAAGTGCAGTAAAGAACAGTATTGCTATTCCAATGTCAAACCTTGGGAAAGTGTCTTGAAGTCGTAGAGAAGTATTAAGCATTAAGGTGATTTGATATTAACACAATAATTTTTTTATGCAGGATAGTTTCGATACAGCTCTTACAATGCTAGGTGTTGCTCCGAATAATACAGATGAAGTACCGGATAGTGCAAACGTGACCGGGGAAAAAGTAGTACCGGATTCGTTAGATGAAAACCGGGATGATCCGACTGCTTCAAGGTATAATCGGAGTGGCCTAAAATTTGATAATGAATCTGAAGATTCTTGGACATGACAAGAAGCTGGAAGACCTGCTAGTGTATTATTAACTGTGAGTGAATTTTGTGGATGTCTTGGTGACAAGGCAATAAACATAGAACCAAAATACCGATAAACATAAAGAACATTAAAAGGTTGACAAGTTTTGTACAGAAATGGTAAGTTATGCTATTTCAAAACGCATAGGTTTTTGTTAGTTATTAAAAATCGTTCTGTTTTTGAGCTCTCGTTTGGTTTATAAACGCAAGCTAGATTTTTCTAAATATGAAGATATAAGTTTTTTACTCTAAGTTTTTTAGCCTCTAAGTTTTTAAAAGAATTTTTTAGGTCTTCATAATATCATTTAACCCCCTAGACAAGAGTTATTTTTCAGGCTTTAGTTGAATATAAAATTTATGGCTACTGGTTTGTAGCAGTTTGTATGTTGGTTGATACGCGTTCCAGTCTGAAGTTGAGAAAATGAAATTTGAAGGTCAGAGAGTTCCATTTTAGGCATTCACGATGTGCGATTTCCATGATTCTCCTTATGATAAATTTGGTGATAGGTATAAACACCCAGCCATTGTTGTTTTCTCTACCCTATTTTGCCCCCTAAATACCCCTACCCTTCAACTATTTCTCAGATATCTACTGAAAACAAAAATCTCATTCTAAACTTTCTAAGAAGTTTGCAAACATTTATCAACCAAAAATACCCCGTGTCTGTAGGTATTTCATATTCGTTAAGAATGCCAAAACGTTTTAGAAATAAATAGTTCTACAGTAATATTCTACAGTAAGTGCAAGGTTTGAAATTTTTGAGGGATTTTTTTATCTTGAGGATGGTTTCGTTCGAACTCAATGTATTTGAGATTCGATATTTAGATGTATATATAAAACTAGGTTAATTAAAAATAAATCTATTTAGTTCATTATGAAATAAATGTTATGTTATATGAAGAGTTCTTGTAGACATAGAATTGGGTTTAGTATGGTTCATACGCAAATGTTGAACTTTAATTGTTATGTTAATGTTTCCAATTTTCAGAAGAATTTTTTTGTGTTTAGTCTGGTGAAAACTTATTACCCTTGTATTGGTGATGGAGTTATGGGTTGAAAGATGGGATGAATGCGAGAATGTTGTGAAAACGAGTGAAGATAGGTTGCGGGAGGGGGGGGGGGGGATGGATAAAATGGTGAAAAGCCAATTGGTGAAAAGATAATAAACCTCTAAAAATGATTAACTTCCGGATGACTAAGGAAAGTGGAGCAATTTGCTAGGCGTGCTGAAATCCCCTTTTCGTGCTGCTATCAGAAAGAAAGAAAAGATGGTGCCGAAACCGATGTTGACAAAGTTTTTACCCCCATCACAATTGAAGTATACCCATACCCGATGTTATTTGCCCAAAACTGCTTCAACAAAAGTAAACAACAATATTGCCCTGAAGTTAACGTTTTTCCACCTCCTATTGCCACTTCGTCCTGCAAATGTCCCTGTATCGCAGAAACTACAACAAACCCTCAAGGGTACATAAATTCTAAAAGCAAATTTCGCCCGAATAGAGTTTGAATGATCGACTGATGTGCTTGTTCAAATTTATTGCCGCGAATTTCAATTTATTCGTTCAACGATGTACATGGACGCCATGATAACTAGGCTCTATTTGCCTACAGCAGCAATTCCTCGGGGGAAATAGACAACAAAAAGGGTAGCAGAATGACATTTCATATTGCAAATACAAGCAATTATGTTTACATTAATAACTTCCATGGTGATCTATATACACATGATGCGACGAAAATTCACAAACTTCGTTTACAAACTACAACATTCATTGCAGACGTACAGTCATTCCCCTAAAGCTGCCTTTGGCAATGTCTTCAAGGACACGGTCAAGAGTAGCGGGGACTGGCTACTAGAAGCGGACAAAGTTGAGTAGAATTCAATATACAGATTCTAATCGCTATTTATCGCTAGAGGGTAATTCTGCCGCTTGCATAAATCACATATATGAAAGACTGTTTAAAAACAAATACAAAATTCCAATTTTTTTTAACAGCAAAACTCTTAAAACATGAAAAGGGGTTTCCAGTATCTTTTTTAGAACGAAAATCATATATGTGATTTTATGAAGTATTTCACAATGTTGGCCTAGACAGGCATGTAAGGTAGGAAGATGCTTTCATTTCATTGCACGTCTGCATTTAAAATAGAGCTAACGACATAATAGAAAGTACATACAATAGTTTGATAATATTTTCTGAGCAGGGATAACACTAGTTCACTAACCTTCCCTTCTTCAAAATTTTAAAAGCAAGCAAAATCTTTTTCCATCGAGTTACACATGTATCGCGCTCTTGAACCTACAATACTTCTTCAAAAATGGCCACCAAAACTTTGTTGCGTCCTTCGGGGTTCGAAATACTTGAGGATACAGTCCATATGGCACTGATGTAATTCCACAGGGATGTAAATATCACAAAGGCATTACACAATGCCGCAATACACGTTTACTTGCAGGAATACCATATTGAGAAAAAATGCCGCCCGGGGGATTTATGCACAAGCTGCAATTTCTTTTCAAATTTTGAGATGCAGAATTTCTGTTAGAAGTAATTCATACCACCAAACAATATTCCAGCATCTTTGAAAGAATCTTTCATACTAGCTTTTATTTTAGCGAAATAAAGATTTCAACTTTACCAACCATGCAAAATAATGCATAATCGGACCTTTATATTAACAATTTAGCATCAAGAAAGTGCCATCTTTCGCTGTCTTTATCGGTAAAGGATACAATTTCGCTATGCTTGACACCGAACTTACCGAATCAAACTATTCTCGTTATATTCGGTCTGTTATTGCGACTAGAAATTTATGTTAAGGGTTACACAATTTAGTAACAACTTAAGCTCGTGTTTTTTATCTGCCGCCATTTTCGTGCAGTATAGTAGCATTTTGAAATTATATCAGCTAGAGTCAAAAACAAATCGGTTGCCTCACTACTTCCAAGGACGCGAAGATGATCTTCCAGAGTTTTGTGTTGTTGTCGTCCTTACCGAGGCCTTTGAAGCGACTGTCGATCGGCTGGAGACTCGAGAACTCATCCGGCCTGTGGTTAAAAGATTTTCGGCATCAAAAATATGCATCAATCTGATTTTGGGACAGTGCAATCAGCCAATCTAAGAATATATTCTTAGAAAACTTTTTTTATCCGACATAAACTAAAATATTATTAAACTAGCATGGTAATATTTTTCTCTCTTCTTAAAAACGAGTTGCAAAGCAAAGCAAACAGATTTGTTGATACTAAACTGCAAAGAAATTTCAACTTATTTCAATTGAAGAGTAGAATGTAAAAAATTCTTACAAAAAGATCTGAAAGTACATATTTTGCGCAAAATAATTCAAAGTAACAATATGTTCTGAAAAACATTTGACAGTGGACTTACTTGAATCTTCCTTCAGCAATTCTTCATCGAGCAAATCTTCAATCTTTTCGATTTCTTTGTAAAATTAAGAATATTTTTAAAATTCTTCATCTGTATACTTCCCAAATAAGGTTTACAATACTGTGTCACCCCAAGTAGATAACCCTTTATTCTACCCCTACTCTTCGAATGAACGCATCCTTGATAAGAATGAAAATTGAATAAAACTACCCCTTTTTTAGACGCCTTCTTGATAACAGATCACAGTGATCTTACTATACATATCATTCATCGCAGGAAAGAAATTATGGGAAAAAATCATTTTTCGTTGCTTTAAAGGCACTTTGTTCCGACGCATTTCACTTGGCATTTAAATTTCCTATTGGTTAGACTACACAATAGACCTATTGTTATGTTACGTATCTGATCGGCAACGTAAGGCTAATTTGCGATGTTTCTCGATCATAAACGCACTTCAAAGCCTTTTGTTATCTCTGAACAGTTGAATGATGGGACATAGCGCCTTTAAAGAATTAGGTGTCCGTTATAGAATTCCAAAAGTGCTAACACAGGATCTCTATTTTGTTGTGCTGATTTCACAAAACATTTTTTAGGAATTTGGACCACGTCAACTGAAAGATCACTATGGACATTGGTTTTAAAATCTATGAACCAGTCGAAAGCAATCCGTCAGAAAATTCACTTCTTTCACTTTCAATATCCTAATCAATTTCTCATTCCCAAAGGTATTCCATGTTGTTCTTTCAGGCTACCGAAAATTCTCGAATTGCCCTCCCCCCTCGAAAACCCCCCCTCGAATAAGCACCCAACCTAGAGCTACAACTTGTCAATAAGCCCCCCTCTCGGATAAGCCCCCACTGCTACCGTAAACTCTCGAACTGGGCCCCTCAATTTACTGATTCTTGCCATCTGAGGTTGCCTTTGGCGTTTTATTGAATTACCACAAAAACTTTTGATAATAATTAAGTTAATGCTCATAAAATTTTTCTTTTCTTATAAAGTCGAACTTTCGTATTCTATTTAGATGGAACGGCTAGTAAACTTTTTACTGTGCCTTTGTTGAAGAAAAACTTCATAAAGTAATCATTAAGTTTTGTAATCTTGTAAAAATTAGGAAGACAACTACTGTTTCTTAGAATGACAAAATTCTCTACGAAAAGTTTTCAAAAAGACTTTCTCCTTTTCAAACAAAAATTCGCTAAAATCGTGAGCTTATATACTGGAAAGGATACTCTCACTCGTAAACCAGGCCAAGTGCCTTTCTTCGTTTTGTTCCGGACTTTTAGGCTTCGGTTTGGCCTTCCGGTTCGGTGGTGGCGTTGGTAAGCAAGAGGCTGGTAGTGGCCCGGTCGTGAAACAGCCCGGAAACTTTTTCGATATCACCTTCATGCCTACGAGAAATACCAAGATTTAATCTCTGAGAGAAAGGAATTAGATGATCAATACATAATCCAAGGAGGCTCCGTTAAGCGGTAATCCATAGTCATAACAAATGTTGCTTGAGAACGTTAATGAAGGAGGGCGGAGTAAAAAATCTTTTCATCAAGTATCACTCCAAGATTGAAATGATTGATTCTAATTTGGATTTTTATACAATTTACACATAAATTAAAATTTTATACAATTCTTTGCCTTTTGTCTCACACTACTCGGAGTAAAAAACGTCAGAATACACAACTGAAAAATGATGTTAGGCAATTTATACCCTGTCCTGGATCGAAATACACTTTCTAAACTCGCATTTTCGATCCTTTTTTAGCGTTTTATATCCTGCGTAGCGTTAGATCGGGACTTTTAGCATGTATAATAATTTTTTGATTCTCTCAAAGACTTTATCATTAAATTTTGTACCATCAAAAAATTTGTTTGTTTGTGGTATGATATAAAAACATGGCAATTAGAAAACATTCATAGAATCAAACATAAATGAATATTCGGGTACATACAAAAGCGTCATACAAAAACGTATCCTTTGACAAAAGTTAACAGTCCCGATGATTTCAACTTGCATGATCAGATAGGTACTTTTTTCCTGTATTCTAATATTTTTCACTTCAGGGCTCCATTATCGGCAATATAACTCTCTTATTCCTGGCTTTATATCAATTAGAAAGAAATTATGGTATTCCTTCCAACCATCCCCCCACTTGTTGAGCTGCCATCTAAGTTTATTTTCACAACTGTCCATTTTTAATTGAAAAATAAAAAGTAATTCACTTACCACCTGATAGTAGGAAGACATTATCGACATCTCTCTGCACGAAAATCGTCGCGACATTTGTGGCTATTCGCTCGTCTTCGTCATAAACTACTATGATTTTGCCAGTTTTATTTCTCTATCAAACCGTTAAGGAGATAGCTTTAGAAATATGATAGCAACAAATCATTCATAGGCAATACAATCGTGCATTCATAAGCAATACTTAGGATTCGACTCTCTGTGTGACTGCAGAATATGATAAAAAAGCTTATCATTTATTCATAATGTTTGAATAAATATTCCCACAGTACTATTGAGCAGCAAAAATATCTTTGTATGTTAATAAGATAAATTTTGACTGAATTGAAATTTGACTGTTTTCTGAAATAAACACGGTAATAAAACCTTTTAAAAGATTATCCTGTGTCTGGAAACCGTAAAACACGGACTCGGAAAGGATACAAATTCAAGGATTTCTTTAGTGAAGTAATTGACGGACCTTGATAACATCGCTGAAGGATAGCTCTTTGCTAAAAGAAAGCAGACAAGCTACGTTTTAGTGACAAATCAGGTTGGAAAACGCTATGCAAAGACGGGCTAGGTGCGAAATGTTTATCTAAGCAAAAATGGGGATCGGGCGGAAATTTTTTTCCAAAATTGCTGCAAGCAGCCTGAAAAAGTTGTTGTGAAATTATAGAAAAAAAATTAACAAGTTTGTAATGTCGCAGACGTTAATGGAAAATTTTAACTTTTAACCGCTATTATATGGTTTCAAATATCTACGTTGTACTTTAAGATTTCTACAATGATAGCGTTTGATCTAGCTTTAAAACATATTGTATTTTTTGGCTTTAAGCTAACAATATTAAAAACATTAAATTCACTTGTCATTTTGTTACTAAATTACAGTATGCTACTATACTATGTAAGTCTGAAAAATATCATCATCATCATCATCTTAATAATTTTATTGAACAGTTCTATTAGGCAACTCTTTAAAAAATCATTCAATCGTTAACCTTCCTATTCATTGTGATGTGAAGGTAGTTTAAATTGGACTATAAATTGCAATCTAAATTGAAGTAGATACAAAAGATACTAGAAGTAGTTTTTTTGGTGATACAAAAAAATAAGAGCAGTTACGGCATAATTTGTTGAAAACAAGTTGACTGTTCTTGAACCATTCGTAGTTGCTAAGAGAAGCATGATTGATTGTTTACTCGTTAGATCAGATTGGACTTCCAGTGTTAGATTGCTCTCCTTGATGATGATACTATGCTTTGGGAACGCAGTGGGAGGGTGTAAGGTAATATTTTTAAAAAAATTCAGACGAAGTAGCAAAATTTCAAAAATTATCTGATAAATTTGGATTCTAGGGGAGCTGTAGTGGCAATCCCTCCAGCAACTGCGCTGTATGTTTGATCTACATTAACATTATTTCCTTGTTGCAAATGCATTCTTATTATCCTTGCACTAGCCCTTTAAAAATTAAGCCTCTTTTTCAATAACAATAAAAGCTCCAGCCATAACTGCGCTCAAACCCACCTCCAATCATATGACATTTATCGAAGGCGTCTCTGTCTCGAACATCTAACAAAAGGTATGGCAGGCTTGCTGCGTCTGGTGCCTCCATTTCTCGTCCAGTTACTGGTGGTTGTTGTTCGTATTCAGTATCCTTGATGTCGACCTCGCCTATACCACTGATGACGCTGCAAAGGATACGAATGGTGCATTGGTTTCATAGAAAAATCAGACGAAAAATTGTCAAATGGTCATAATTAATAATCTTTCATAGAAAAGCGAGAAATGAAAAATTTCAAACAGTCCAATTTGATTACTTTTGGACAAATTAGTTAAAAAATTGTCAACTGGTCAAAAGTTATTGTTGTTAGTTTCAGAAAAGAAATTTTAACATTAATTTTCAGTTGTCTAAGTCAAAGAGTCACTAGTTCTCAATCCCTTCAAAGAGCTAATTAAAACGCACAAAAACTACTTTCATAAAACAATCAACGGACATTAGATTCTTAGCTGACTCAAGAGGAAGGATATCGAAATTAGTCCGGAAATACCCCTTCCATAAAGTATTGGCTTTTCAGCACACTTTCCCTTTTAATCAACAGTGAATTGTTGACAAAATCAACGAAAGGTCCAGCTTTAGCACGACGAGGTGCACATTTTATAAAGGCTTACCCTTGCAGAGTGGATCTGCTCGAATCTGGTGGATTGTTATTTTTCTCTTCAGCAGCCAGGTTTAAGTGTGGTATCTCGTCATTTTCGTCAAAATCTAAACAAAAACAGAAGGTTCCAAATACGATGAAATAAAACAAATTATTAATTTAAAAAATACTACAAGTTCTCAATAGCAGATCAGCAGACCATTGATCATTTAGCTTCTGTGTAAGAAGTAAGAACCACAGGATAGGCTGTCTACCGGATTCTGTGAATCTTGCAATGAGTATAAATACGAAGATGAAAGTCAGGAACAAAGCAAAACGGCGACGAGAATAAAATGTAATTGAAAAAAAATAAAGCGAATACTAATATTTTGCCCCGGCATACAGGGCTTCATTTTGCTTTTGTTTGCAGCTAGATTGCAAAATATGTTTCTTGCAGTATAAAACAAAAGCAAATGGAAATGAACTAAAACCCTAATATCTATCAATACCAAGGCATCAGTTTTTTAGGTTAAAATCTTTCTAGATACCTGATATTAAAAAATATAACACGAAATAAGTACTTTGAGCTTGAAATATTGTATTTTACTTCTTGTACCAACATTTTTTTCTTTCATTCAAACTAAGTTCCTATTTAAATATTTTTAATTGAGTTTAATAATTTGCTAATTTCGTTCATTATACAAGTAATAAAGCTTTGAAAATAAACACAAGTCTGTAACCGGAAACCAAATAGTAATGATTGATATTCCCTCGGACCAAAGAGAGATTACAATCACAATATACTATAATACAAGGGGATCAAAAGATCAGAAAATCCAGTTTTATCACCTTACTTCACATTGCATTACAAACAATTATATTTCTTTGTTTGTTAAGACAGCTTGTTCACGCATGATGTTTTACTCTTTCATGTAAAGGCTCTTGTTGAAAACTTTAGAAAACAAAAAGTTTTTTCAGGGTTAATAGGTCCCTTGTATTTGCCCCAAATTAAATCAATAACTACCTCTATTGGTTTGTACAGTTGAAAGCCTCTCTCTCTCAAGTTCTATTGTTACAACTTGGGCCACTTGCAAGACCTGCATAAAAAAAAGAATATACATTTTGTCTAAACTTCAACACTACTGCAAGAATACTAGATGCTAGGTAAAAGAAAATAGCCGGGAGGGCAACAAATTATCACAGGCAACTGCAAGACAAGACATAACTCAAATGAAATTTACTCAAAGGCAAATTAAATGCCAAAACACCCATATTTTGTGATAATTTGTGAATATGAAGTTTAAAATGCAAACCTTTTCAATATGTTTTTATTTTTCTTTATACTATACTTTTTTCATCTTTTTCAACTATAAAAACGTGACATACTCCAAAACAATTTGAATAGCGTTTTGCTCACATCTTCAATGAATAAAATTTTTAAGAAAAATATTTTCTATAGAATGCTATTACAACTTTAATCAACAAATTTGCTGATAAAAATTCATACCAATTGAGCATACGTTGATGGCTTCATTCGCTTGAAGATCTCATCTTTTCTCAATCTATAATCTGCAAAAAGAATCAATAATTACAAACTGACTAATAAAGGTCTTAGTGGAAAGATCTATTGCAAATTTGGAGTTGCAAATTTCAATTTTTTGTATTACAATAAAGCTACAAAAGTGTAATTTTTTTATAACTGTATAACTGCAAGATGAGCCTTCCCATCTTCCAGTAAGCACTGCATGATATATTTGAGCCCCATTAGTAATCAATTTATTATTTTAAGAATATATTTCAAATGGATTTCAAATGATTGTGAAAGGAAAAATAGTTTCATAATTCTTACCAGACCACAATTTTATAAGAAATGCCTCAGCTCATACAAGCACCCACTCAAAAATTTAAAAATCAATTAAGCACCATGGTATTTAATCAGGGTTCTGGTTTGCATGGTTTGTGCAGTTTAGAATCAAGGGTGGCTTACAATTTTTTTAAGAACTCCATTTACAGCAGCATAAAATCAAGGATTACTTAAAAACAAAGGCAGCTTATAAATATGGTATGTAATTAAATTTCACTTTTGGTAAATTCTACTATTGGTAAATTTGATGACCCTCCACCGCTCTGTCTGGAAGATTAAGCTATGGCACTCTGTTTATATGATTACACAACAAAGGCATTAAACAACATCAAACAATGTTACTGGAATAGACATACTCAAGCTTAAGTCAAATTAAAAGATAAATACTTTTTCTAAGGTCTTCTATCTTTTCTAAATACTTTGTGACACTTGCACCTAAAATGGAAACATACAGTTCTATTAAAATTTCCAGCCTGAATATGCATTGACAGCATCTCAAACTTATAAACCAGTTGACTATGTAGGCTTATTAACTCATCTATCAACAATAAGCAATTATTTCCAGTTTTATGCAGAATTCATAGGATGGCAAGGTTGGAGGGGGAGGGGGAGGAAGATGAGCAGCGAGAGCATAGTTGGTGGGTGCCATGGGAACTTTTCATAGGAATCATAGTGATCATCATTTGAAGCGTTTGAAAATGAACTTTTTGGAAAACACACTTAGAGAAGAAATATACTTTTGCTGATGGTTTTGCAACTTGTTGTCGACTTAAGCTGTTCTCATACAACAAATTTCTGATTATTGGGAAGTGGGCTGAGGGCTATTGTTCCCCCCTTGCCTTGCTACTGATTAGCCAAAAGTATAGAATGGTACAGAAGATTCATTTGGCACAAAATTTTCTAATAGTGCAAAGGGCAAAGATTATCTCTTGTTCTCCCCTGACCAATTTATATACATGCAAAATTACTTGATTATTAAACAGCTTCATGAAGAACCCACAACAAAAAATGAATTTGAAAGTAAGAAATCTTACCTGTGTCAACAGTTGCCTTCACACCTTTATACTTTGGATTCTCAGGAATTCTTTTGTTGAGGAACTAAAGAAAAAGCAACTAATCAAAACTAATCTTAGTAGGTCGATTTTACAGGGCAGGACAAATATTGAACCAGTGTACAAAATCAAAGTTGGTTTACATTAGACCAGGCGAGGAAGTGGGGGGTATCGTCACCCATCGAGGGAATTTGCAAGACCAACTACATTTGGTGAATTTCGATACGCTGATTACGAAAATCGATGTTATACGGAGAAATTTGGTACCAGGAAGCCTCTATTTCACGTTTAAACCTCGTTTTCGTCCAGATTTGAACGTTGAACGAAAGTTTGTAAATGAATCGATTTTTATCAATTTCGATGTGCTGATTTCAAAAAGTTATTCTATAAATGTAAATTCAGTACCAGGAAGCCTCTTTTTCATGTCCAAACCTCGTTTTCATCAAAATTTGAACGTTGAAAAAAAGTTTGTAAATTTTTTATTCTCATCAATTTCGATATACTGATTTCGAAGGTTGGTATCATACGGCGGAATTCTGAATGCACTGGTCCCTTTTTCATGCCGAAATCGTGTCTAGAGTAAAATCTGCTGCGCACATAGATTTGCTTTAAAAGCTTCAAAAAGATTATGTCAAAAGGCTTTATAATACGGCTAATAAACATTTAAAGTTGTAAACAATCTTTTGGTGGTACAAAACTTGAAAATGGCTTTGAAAAAAGCAAACATTTAGCAAACTAAAGCTTTTCATCTGACACTCTTCAGACTTTAAAACGTCAGAACATAGATCGAAAACTCTACGCTAGGAAATATATATACCCAGTTGTGGATCGAAATAGGCCAATCAGAAACAGGAGCACATGACTGTATAGGTTGACCAATCAGTGCCGCTTGCCGATTGAGAATGTTACCAATGGAGTCCTAAGGTGAAAACGGACTCCTTTTGTCTACACAGAAGCGGTTTTTTCGTGCTTATGTAGATAGATTCCAAAACTGCTAGGTAGAACGAAGATCGGGCTTTACCAATAATCTGAAACATGTCGCCATTATAGTTTTTGCACAATCTGGGTTTTCTAGTATATGCTGCCTGATAGCAGAATCGCAGGTTTTAGTTGTAATTTTAGATTTGCAAGACCGAGGTGGCTGTTCTCTTTGGGGATGGGTTTTGTTTCTAATATTAGACGGAACATGTTGTTTTATTCTATCCTCCAATCTTTGGGTAGTGCCTCTTACGTAGACAGAATCACACTGGTACGTAAATTCATATACAACGGAACTTTTTTGTGTGGCAGGAACACAGTCCTTTTGAATGGACGGAAGGGCCTTTTTCGTACTATAAACAACACGTGGGTTGACTGTAAAGAAACAATTTGCAATGGCCTGTTTTATTTGGCTTTTAAAACGTAGGGAACTGTCACCGATCCAGGGTAGTTTTAGATAGACCGGGCACTTTTGAGGACCAAATTTTACATCAGCCGAGAAATTTCCTATCTTCTCCTTAATGTAAACTGAAATAACATCCTCTGGATAGCCGTTCTCCAGAAAGATCTTAGTTAGATTTTTCACTGCGCTACTTAAATTGTCATACAGAAAATTTATTCAGTGGTCTTGCTTCATGCTGTCTATCATAACAACATTGTCTTCAATTAAAAGGGGAGCAATAGTTGGTCTTCACACATTCTCCGGCAACGATTATGTTTCCATGATTTCCAAAAAAAGGGAAAAAGTCATTCTGAAAAGCTTTCTAATAATGGGGCCATCAAAGACAGAAAAAACAGACCATTCTGGATATAATAGAGCTCGAAACCCAATACTGTTAAAAAGACTTGATAATTTTACTTTCTGAAAATCTCCCATCATAAGACCCGGGCAACAAAAATAAGTATTTCTTTTCTTTCTTTCCTGCAAATCCATGGGAATGTCTTGTTAACACTGTAAAGATCTTTATTAGAGAAGAGAAGTCTTTGGTAGGCCATTGTTTATAAGCGAAAAATTGTTCATGCATTAGACTTTTACCAGTTGAAATGACAGAACAAAATTTGAGACACCACATAGAGCACAGAACCAGTTTGAATTATGGTAGTTATTTTGTTTGCGATTTTGATTCCCCAAGTAAGCAGCCGATATCCCGGAATGTGTTATTAGAGAGAGGAGGCTAATAACATGCAAGTAAAATACAATGGCTTTATTCCCTGTTTTCTATGACCAGAATGACAAAGCTACCCTTTCCTTCTGGCATCAGAAAATACCTAATTTGTAGTTTAAACAAGTTCTGTTCTTGTCAGTTGAAACAAAGGCAGCAGGTAAAATCTCTTGATTAAGAGCATATTTTAAAACTAGGCTGCTGGAAGGTCCAGCTGCGTTTCATACGACTTTTTGACACCTAAAAGAATGCTATATACATTAATATTTTAAAGGATCTACCCTTGTTTTGCATAACAAGATCTTGTGTTCGAAACAATAATTATTTGTTTTGAGAATTCCAAACCATTTTGTCCATCCAGGTAAAGAAATAGGCAGGCGTGGTTTAACTTTTCCTCTTTTTAAAACTAAATTCAACCGCAAAAACTCAAATTCTATTGTAAGTGAAAGATGCAGCACAACAATGACAACTAGGAATCATCAATATGAAGGATAGGATGCCAAGACCGTTATTGACAGTATCATAATTTTAGGGAGGCAAAAATAGAATCAAATCCCAATACAAACAACATTAAATTGCACCCCAAGGTACACATATTCGTAACTTACATCATTTGGCTTCTTTGCTTTGTTGCTAGACGCCATAATACCTAGTAAATTATAAACCATTCATTGGATGAAAGCAACTACCAACAAATGCGAACTGTCTCCAAAGAAACTGAATAGTTTGAATTGGTCGAGGCTGTCATCGAACTGAGGCTGTTGTTTTCATGCTTGCTTCCCTGTGATCTCTTGACGTATCAGATTTCAAAATGGAGGATGAGGCATTTGTAGACGAACTTGCTTCGCTTTTGAAAGTACCTCCAAAAGATGAGATAATCCAATATGCAAAGACATTTCAAAATGAGAGAGACCTAGATACATATTTGAGAGATATTTTAGCTACTGAATATAATGCAAATCTGAGTGCAGTTAAAAGATGTTTGGCACTTTGGAAGCCTGCTATCCTTCCTGGTTTAACTTACGAGGTGTCAAAAGAAGATCCTTTTTCTTTTCAAAAGAACAAATCAGGTGCAAACAATAAGAATTCGAACAGTTCTGTAGGAAATCAAGTTAAAATGAAGAGAAAAGATGTTCCAAAAATGATTATCACAGAGAAATCATCAGCTGTGCCATACAAAGAACAAGATCTACCAGAGCAAGGTTTGTTGAGAGAGCAAAACCACAATGGAAGGAAAGACATGCCACACGATGTAAGAAAAAGAGAGATCAATGCAAAAACAAAGAAAAAGTCACCAAAGTTTGTATCATTGTACACATCTGAAGGAAAAAGCCGAGCTGAGGAGATAATGGTAGTGCCAGGCAGGCATGGATGTGAGTGTGCAGGACAGAAACATAAGTTGATTTCGAACTGCCTTGAGTGTGGAAGGATTGTTTGTGAACAAGAAGGCTCAGGACCATGCCATTTTTGTGGAAATTTAGTATGTACTGGTGAAGAACAAGAAATCTTAGCAAGAAACTCTAGGGCTAGTGAGAAGTTGTATGAAAAGCTAATGACTAAATCATTAGAAAAACGACAAGCAGATTTAGACCAAGCAAAGGCACTGAGAGACAAACTTGTTGAATTTGATAGGACAAGTGCAAGACGGACAAAAGTTATTGATGACCAGGCTGACTATTATTCTGCAGATAGCAAATGGTTGTCCAAAAGTCAAAGGGAGAAGGCCAAAAATAAGGAGCAGGAATTAGCCAATACTAAACACAGATCAAGGCTAGATAGGAGGTATGTTCTTGACTTTGCAGGCAGAGAGGTAAGAGAAGACAGTGTAGGAAATAGTTATTTTCCACCAGATGCAGAAGATGCTGAGATGCAAGATGTTTATCATCATAATGAACCAGATGTACCTAAGGCAGTTGATAATACTGATCCAAGGCTTAAAATGTCTGCACCTGTTTTTACTGGAGCTGGCAAGGTTTCTTCTTCAGCTGACAAAGAACAACCGATTGTTAAAAAAAATATCAGAAGTTCTCTCAGGTTACAGGATGATGAAATTCAGAAAATAAGTGACCAAGGCCTTTGTTTAAGCATGCATCAGCCATGGGCAAGTCTGTTAGTAATGGGGATCAAGACAGTGGAAGGAAGATCTTGGTATACTGCACACAGAGGGAGGCTCTGGATTGCATCAACAGCAAAGGCTCCAGACAGAGATCAAATTAAAATGGTAGAGGAACAATACAAGTCATTATATGGCCATTATGTTGAATTTCCAGAGAATTATCCTTCAGGGGCACTTTTAGGATGTGTAGATGTGACTGACTGTGTTAGTCAAGAAGAATACAAAAAGATGGATGGGGATACTACAGAATCTGGTTCGGAATTTGTATTCATTTGTGATAATCCTATTGAACTACTAATTAAAGTTCCAGTTAAAGGAAAACATAAGATTTGGAAATTAGATACCCAGATACACAAATTAGCAAAAAGTACTATAATGAATCAGTAGAAATTTCTAATCAATTAATTGAGTCAATGAAGATTATACTTTTTACATGAAATTTGTTTACCACATTCTAAATCTGCTCTCATCATTGAAAGTACTGTAGTGTGCTGTAAGTTTTTGCCTTCAATAAGGAAGAAATGTCACTCTTATAAGGAGAAGAACCTGTCAAATTCTCAGCCTTACACAAGTTTATATCTGGAGCTATACTGGCAAAAGTTTACTGAATTAATTACTTAGAATATCAGCAAAGTTCTTTTGACTAATGTTAGCTAATTTCTTTATAGATTGTGCTAATTGCTACCAATAGAGCTCATCTCATTTTATTTATATTGCATAGGAAATCTTAATTGCAACCAAATTTTTAAATTGTAAAACCTTAGGCCACTGATCATTTTAAGCCCACATTTTGGCAAAATAACAGGAAGTTGCATTACAAGAAGCGTAAAGATTCTTATGGTCCTCAAAGTTTTGTACCCTTTTTTTTCAAATCTGATAATGCCTTCGGAAAGAGCATGCAATTCTGAATAAGGTAGTTGTCATTTTTTAAGGTGGGTTAAAGAATTTTGGAGTAAAATGGTAAAGTTTTCTTACTCCGTTAACTAAATCCAATAAAACTGAAAACCAATTTCGAAAATATGAAAAAATTTAATACCCCAAAATTATTTCGTTTTCGTTATAGCATAGTCGGGTTTCAGCTGAAATGTAATTCAGTGAATTCTACCAGACTCGTAAAACGATTATCCATCTATTGGGGAAAAAGTTTGGGTACAACGACAGCAAGCTGTAGCCAACTTATGCTTTCAGTTATGCTATTAAGACATTGTGTTAATCTATATTTTTCTAATCTATTAAAATTTTAGTGCACCAAGGCAATTTCTGATTTTGTGATCAATGCTCTTTAGGAAGAATAACGCTGCATACCAATAATTATTGTTTTATGCAAGATATACAATTTAAACCTCGAGGAAATGTACTGAAAAAACTTAATACCTTATTAGGAACTAATGAACAAAATTTGATAACCCAATAAAACAAGGCTAAGCAATTACATACTCCTATAACAATTCTTCCACCCCGGTACACAGCATTAAAATGACAACTCCCTAAGCAAAAATTTATTGCTACCTAAACTTTTAGTTTTGTAGAAAAATCTTGCTTCTAAAGTTTAGAACCTTCACACGAGACCTGGACCAGATCGGATCCAACAGCATCACCTCTGAAGGCCATATTATCTTAAACTTGATTGGCTAGATACTATAAGGACTTGTCGTTTGTTTTTTCTAAATGAGCTGTGAACCGCTTGCCACTTTTTTAGGAGAGCTATAACGAGAAACACTTACAATGAACGAGAATGGGAAAGAAAATTGAAGGAAAATGCTGATAATCTACATATAAACTCTGCTGGGAGCTAAGCATTGGTCGATCATTTTGCATGTACCCGGCGCCAAAGATATTGTACCAAATTCAGAATAACAAACTTGGTTGTGCCCATGTTGACTTTTTTGATACAATACGGGGCGCGCTCCACCGACTCTAAAGTGGGGGGCCAAAAAGGGGGATTACCTATTTAATACTTAAGAGAGGGATTTAATACCTATAGTTAGCAAGAAAAGTGGGGGGTAGTTCCCTTGTCATTTTATTTACTGTTCAGGATTAGGACTTTGAAATATTAGCTGTAATTGTTTGTGAACACTCAAGAAGTGCATTGTCAACCTTTGCCAGATTTGGTTATATCGACAGATAATCTTTAACCCTCCATTATCATGTTGCTAAGAATTGAGCAGTATTCAACAAAAGTTAAATAGCAGTTTGGTTGGCATGATGGATATCTGGCTCTGGCGAGAAACTTGCCATAGATTAGAAAAGAATTGACGGAAGGGATGAAGCTTGTGGTAGCATTATCTATCCGATATAAACCAACATCTTTGAGAAATTGCTGCCGAAGGGACAAGAAAGACCTCAAGAAAGACAGATCGTGCTGCCGTACACAATAAAAATCAGTCTTGTTTCAGAGAATGTCGTGATTAGCAGAATCCACAGCCTGATTTAGATCAACGAATATTGAGCCAGAACCTAAATATTGAGCCAGTTCGTCCCAGCACAGATTTTGGTTCAATTTGTTCAAGATTTTCATTAAGGTTTAGTAGTGGATCGGCTGGCCCAAAGTTTTTGTTTTATGTGAGAAGAAGCTACTTACAGGCAAGAATGTGATGAATAAGTTTTATTCAAGTTCTCAGTCTACAAAAGAATTACAACGATGTTAAATGATAGTTAAGCTAAGCATTATCTTATCCAATTTTTTATCTAATAGAAATCACGAACGAGTGGTCTCTGCAAATTTCTATATAGACAGCTAATAGCAACAAAGTCAACTTTTAAGTCAAACGCATCAGCAAAAAGATAGTCTTGCCCAACCAGCCACCTTAAATCCTTGTAATTATAAATACAGAGATTCCCAGTATAAACACCACCACATTTGTGTGCATGTTGACTCTTCCAAAGCCTTGCTAGTAAGTCGTTTTCATTTGATGTCTGCACGTCTTCTTCTACATTCAACGGGCTTTCAGGATACTGGTCATCAGGCCTATATGGTGTACCACCCGGAGTTCCTGGTAAACGGTCGAGCGTGGCCCAGTAGAACTCTTCGGGATTTTTAGTACTCTTTGACCATCTTAATAACTTTTTAGCAATCGAGGAATTGATGACGAATTCTACGAATCCTCTTGTCGCTATGAAGGCGCTGTCACTGCGAAACAAAGTAATGTTCTCCGGAGCATGTGATTTTCTCCTTTTTGTCCTAGAAAAAATTTCATAACCGGCGGGGTGTTTTACTTTTTGGTGAACGAATTTGGTTCGTTTTATAAAGCTTTCACGAGTTCGATCTAGGAACGTGAGGCCATTTTTATAATGTCTCTTTTCCAAGTAATCTCCAATAAACGTATTGTTGCGTAAAGGAAACACCGAACCTGGTAGTGTTATCAAATACCTCCATGGTGTAGTTGTGTTCAGCAATGTTCTAAAACATGAGATATGGGCTTCGATTCTTTCGAATGTTGCTAAGCTTATTTTGAAACGCTCAGGCGATAGATATATGTTATCAACGCAATCTGAAATGCTTTTAATCAAATTGTAAAATCGTTTCGTTGCACCACTATGAACATGCAAGCAATATATATTTTTCGAATTGTAAACTGCTTTTAGAAACTGAAGTGTTTGATGTCCAGGCCTATTGAGTAACACCGAGTAGGCAATGGGTCTTCCTTGTTTATCAATTGGCTGCGAAGGCCCTTTAATAAAACTGGCTATTCTATCACAATCATTGAACATCATGGACAGATTCTTGTCACTAACGATCGATAGTTCTATTTTACGTAGCTTAATCTTTTGCATGGCTCTCCAGCGAATTTTGTCGTTTCCAGACACAAATGATTTGCATATATTTGACTTACTGTCTTTCCCAGACGTTCTTACACTCAGATTTCCAAACAGATCGCTCTCAGGTATTTTTGACAATTGCCTTTGATCCATTGATTCTTTCATAGTCAACGAAATCGTGCCGCCTATGCTGTCATTGAACGAGTCTATTTCTAGAAATCGTTTCAATTCAAGGTGAACGTCTTTTTTCAATTGCTTTGGAACAGGATTGCTGCTATTGGTTGTTCGTTTCACAAAGTTTTTGATATTTGATAATTTACTTTTCGTGGAATTTAGTTCATAGACATGGTATTTCACACGGTCAATAAATCTGTAAGCAAAATACGAGCTGATACCCAAGTATGTGATCAGAAACAAGGCTGTTGAGGCTAAACGAAGATGCATCCTCATAATATGTTTACAAAAACGCTTCAGTTGAAGGCCATCACATTTCAAGGTAATGCATGGCCAGAAAGATACCCAGCAGAGGCATCAACTTGAATATTCCTATTTAGTTTCTCTCTCATTCGAAATTGATCCATAAATTGGTATTTCATACTCAGAAACGTTCCAACTTGTAGTTTAAACAGTTTAGTTTGATGGCATCTCACAAATAAATATGATCCTCGAATGAAAAATGATCCTGATATTTAACACGCAGGAAAAGTCGTTGAAAGCTTTCTACCGGCAGATGCTCCATGTATTCCGAAGAAAACCATTCTTTACGTTTCTTTATGTTGAGATTGACGATAAATCATCTTGCTGCAGAACCCCGAGGCGTCAAATGTTAACTAAAAATCTTTTTATCAAATAGCGCTGAAAGCTGTAAAATGCACAAAAACTAGTCAGTTTTTGAGGTAATACACGGCTAAGTCTCTACGATCCAACAGCCGCCATATTTCAAGAATATTGCTAGTATCAGCAGGTTGGATGAGAAAACACAATTGTTTTGGGCAAACAAATGTGATCACATGTGATCGAATGATCTTGCAGCATGGTGCTTGACCAGTTGAAATCACAATTAACGTCATACACCGAACACCGTAGATAATTGGGCGTTGTTTGTTACAGATGCAAAGTCAGAAAGCTGCTAGGGCTTGGCAATCTCTGGAGGTGACCAAACACTGCCAGGGAAAGAAAAACAGTACACCGCAGTACATAAGGAACACCGCAACGCAACGAGAATAAACAACAACAAACACACAAATCAGTGATGGCTAATATTTCGCCCTGGCATACAGGGCTTCATCAGAGCAAAAAAAGCAGTCCATGAAACGAGCTGATACCAAATCGAGGGACTCGCCCATTGAACACGTCAAGTACGCTGACTATAATGAGAGGTCCCCAAAGCACTTCTGCTTAAAATACAATGGCTTTTTCGAACGCGCTTAAACCGAATATGGCCGCTGATTGGCTAACAGCGATTAGCCTTGGTTACCAATTTCTTTCTTGCATCTATGCACTTTGCAATCTAGCTAAGAAATTGCGTTAACTACATCAAAAAGGTAACCTGCACCCCACTCTAATGTAGCAGCATTCGTGGACTGGGACACAGGCTACAAAAAAGTTGTCTGCCGAAACTGTGTTCCTTAGAGTCAGAAAACATTATATCTCCACAGCTCTGAGCATACGGAAGTTTCGAGAAAGGCCAATCCATTAGTTAAAAACGTAAAGGCCGAGCCATATATCATTTTAGTTGAATTCCAATTATAAGATATTTAAGTATACAACGAAAGCCAAATAGGGCGAAATTTCATCAGGATGAAGGTTGAACCATGTTTGAACTCTGGTGTTTTTATAATAGTGGCTTATCTATCAAACAGGTTCTCGCAAGACCATATTAACTATCTTTGCTGTGGCTTTTCGGGCAGTCAAAGCTTTTGAATAGAAAAAAGCGTTATGTTCAAGTAATAGATCCTTTTTCTAATTTTTTCTATTTCACGCATTTGCTAAGGGAACATCTAGCCTTACTCCATTAGCCTCTGTTTCACTACTGCCTCTCACTTGACGGACGCTAGGTAACATCTAGCAGTAAAAGCAATAGTTTAATTTCAAGGTTTATAATAACGGTACTTCGCCCAGTTGTTTCTGAAGACTGTAAGCAAATTAAAAAAATGGGGTTTGGAAATTTTAAGGAGCTATACTATTGCGGAATTCACAAAATACAAAGTAAAGATCGTTTACGTCGACCGTCTCGAAGTTCGAATTTTCGCTGATTCTAAAAACTGCCCAGCCTCTCCGTAAAAAATTTATGGATACTTGGGTCAGGTCTTGTCTGCTCGATGTTCAACGTTCGACGTCTACTTCCTTTCAGTTGAATATTAACAAAACCATGGAATTCATTAAATTATAGAAAATAAACAAAATTTGCTTGACTTTTTTTGCAAGGGTTTTCCTTATAAAGGGTAACGAAAAATTGATGTCAACTCAAAAGGGAGAGGGGCCATCACTTTCCAAAAGTTAACAAAAGGGGGATCTGGGTTCAAAATGGTTAAAAAGACGCTGACGTAAATTGCGAACGCTCTAAAGCTAGAGCGCCTTGTAATCTGTGTATAAAACCAAAGAGTAATTAAGTGTGACGTCATAAAAAATGTTTTCAAGATTTTTAGATATCAACCAAGTCTTACTTTTGATGTTTGAGTGTAGCGTTTTTCGCATGAGGGTAAGGTTTGGCTACCACATGAAATAATGTATTTATGCCTTGCCTTGCCTTGGCAAGGCATAAATGCTCAATGCCTTGGCAAGGTTGACAATACCTAGCATCTTGAATTCTGAGAAAGGTTTACGAAAAGAAAATGAACAAAATCAGCTTTATATCTTACTAGATGTTACATAAGAGCAAAAACCTTTAAGGATTTAAAGATAATCAACGGATTAACTTCCTCAATACAGTCTCTTTCGCTTGTGACAAAGAAAAGATGAATATGAAATTCACTTGGAAAGAAAAAATAGCATTAACTACAGCAAAACAGGCTATCGAATTCATAACGTTAACGAGCATTCATAATTTAAATATAGAGAAAGAAAAAGCATTGGTTGATGCTCAGGGCAAGAGAAGGGGTGGCACAATTACTAGGTTTGTTTTATATCGGCGGCAGCGACGCACCGTCAGGAAAATGGATGATGTCAAGTACTCTTAAATTTCCATGTACTCTATTTTTGACATGTTTTCTATATTCCATACTCAGGTCCATGACAAAAGGACAGTTTATCGGACACGAGAGCAAGTTGGAAATCTTCTATTTAGCGCCCCTGTCTTGTAATGGCGTTGGGAACTGCCATGTGCCAAAAGCTTACCTCTACATAAATGTAGACCTGATAGTATTGTCATTACCATATTGGGCCTAGGGTCTCACAAACTTAGATATGACGTCATATTGGGCCTGGGGTCTCACAAACTGACGTAAATACACACCCCGAGAATGAAATTAAATACATGCATAACTACCGAAAAGAGCGAGACATACGGAAGAATAAAATGGCTATTCAACAGAAATTGAAACAGCAACTTTAATGGAATATCAGCTTTTTGGATAGTCAATGTGCTTGGGTAAACGGCTTAAAACTAAAAATGACTAACTAAATCGCATTTGATTAAAACACCCCAAACTTAGGATGGGAGGTAAAGTGCTTTTTACAATTAGCTTTTACAATAGTATACTTTCAAGCAAAGAAAAGCTATAAACACATTTCTCGCTGCCCCCTGGAAAGAGTATCTTAAACCGTCTGTAAATTCAATTGCATCGTTCATCCTCGAATGCTCAGCCGGGGGTAGGCTAACTTGCAACTAGTATAAGGTAACTGCGCGTATCGAAAAACATCCCCAGTTATATGCTCTTCTTTCTAAATAACTCTTACAAGTATTTACATATATGATTGTTCATCAAGACAGAAATAGCGAGTCTATACCTGTAAGCTTTGCATTAGCGCTTGGCTTATAACAGGTCTCTCGTTTGTGTTTTCTGATGAGTGGCTCACAGCGTGCATCTGTGACACGGTAACATTGATGGCATCTGACTGCATGATTGCTGATGCTTGTGCGATGGCCGCTGCCTCAACTGGATCTTCAGACGAGCACATCACTTGAGGTTGCTCAAGCATTTGTGATTGGGCAATGACCTGCGCTTGACTAATGATTTGCGATTGGTTAATGATCTGCGACTGATCGATCACTTGTCCCTGTGTGATTCTGTGATTCATGCTATGATGATCCATCTGTTCTGTATTTGCAAGTTGACTTTGACTAATAGGGTGCATTTCAGTTAGTATCTGTGCAGTTGCATGGGTCTGTGAATAATCGATGCCTTTTTCCATTTCTTGCGATTGAGTGATTATATGGGCGCCTTGCAGTCTTTGATGTTGGCTAATGATTTCTGATTGATCAGCTTCAACCTGGACAACTACTTGCTGTTGCTCAAGCCCTTGTTGATCCAGACTATGTCCCTCTTGAATGTGACCAGCGTCAGATATGACCTGACCTTCACTTATGACCTGACCTTCACTTATGACCTGACCTTCCCCCATGACTTGACCTTCAGCTATAGCCTGGCCGTCTACCATTTCTTGATTCTCATCAATCACGCTTTGTTCCATTGCCTGTTCCTGCTCAATCAACTGACTATGCTCAATAATCTGAGCATGTGCCATTATTTGACTTGAATCAATGATTTGACCCTGACTCACCATCACTTGGGCTGATCCAATCACTTGTGCATTGCTTACTGCCTGTAGCTGCTCCAACACCTGTGCGTGATTCAGCACATGGGCATGGTCAATGACAGCATCAGCTCCTGCTTGCAGTATTAGGTGTGTTGGTATCTCTCCTTCAACAGTAACGGTTATCATTGCCTTCCCAGCATGGATACGTCTGTGCCGAGCTAGGTCATTGGTACGTGCAAATACTTTCTCACACACTTCGCATGTGTATGGCTTCTCACCTGTGTGAGTGCGAATATGTCTAACAAGATCTCCAGAATGGGCAAATTTTCGACCACATGTTTCACACTCATGTGGTTTCTCACCAGTATGAATTCTCTTATGTCTTGCTAAATCATTTGATCGCGTACAACGCTTCCCACATACATCACAAGCGTACGGTTTCTCACCAGTATGGCTGCGTTTATGCGGTGTGAGATTACTTGCTCTGCTGAAACACTTACCACATATATCACACGCAAAAGGCTTCTCACCAGAATGAATACGGCGATGAGCAATTAGATGACTTGAACGCTTGAAGCTTCTTCCACATTCCTCACAAGAATGACTCCTTGGAATTCCTGGTTGCCGTCGTTTGGTTATTCGTCTTTCTCTAGGTTCTGTCGCTTCTCCTTCTTTCAACTCTTCCTGGTCTTCCTCTTCCTCTTCTTCAATCTTCGGTTCTTGAGGAGAAAACTCCTCTGTGTCATCACATCCATGCTCTTTTCTGTGTTCTGTCAATTCTTGTGGGTCATCAAACGTCTTCTCACAAATACCGCATGTTTTGATATCTTTGTGTAACTTTATATGCCGCGCGAGATCGTTCGTACGGACAAAAGCCTTATCGCATATCTTACAAGTATACGGGCGCTCTCCAGTGTGAGTACGCTCGTGTCTCACCATGTCACCTTTGTGCGCAAAAGACTTTCCACAGACTTCACATGCAAATGGTCTCTCGCCGCTGTGAATTCTTTTGTGTCTTGTCAAATCATTTGAACGGCTGCATTTTTTACCACATATGTCACATTCGAACGGCCGCTCACCAGAATGACTTCGCACGTGTGGCTTCAAATTACTTGCTCTACTGAAACATTTTCCGCATATATCACATTTGAAAGGCCTTTCCCCAGTATGAACGCGGTTATGAGCAATAAGATGGCTTGAACGCTTGAAGGATTTATCACAAGTTGCACATTGGAAAGTCTTTCTCTTGCCATCCTTACCATCCTTATCCTCGTTCTGACTCTGCACAGCGCCTGCCTGCTCCAATTTTTCAATATCTGCTTTTGATAACTCACCATCGACCTCCATAGCAAGTTCGTCGGTTTCTGTAATGGTAGGCACTGGACCATTTTCCAATCTTTCAACTTCACCAAGTTCATTAATCTTGAAGTAGCTAATCTCGTAACCATGTGCCGAGGCAGCGATCTTTACATCAGCTACTTCACCTGGAAACAAAAAGGGGCGTTTGACTATCTTTATTTGGGTTGTCTACGAATAAAGAAAGTCATTCATGAAGTTAACTAGAGTGAAAAAGCATCAATACAAACAACAGAAGATTTCAAGACTTAAGACAGAGAGCATGGGCCTTTTAAACTGCAGTTAAATCCTTTCAAGTTGTATCCCGGAACTAAATCAGTCTGGTTTCCAATTCCCGCAGGATTTTCTTAACTTATTTATGTCAAAAGTCGTACCCTGGAAAAGTAAGGAATTTGCTATTTCAGGCCATTTCCTTAACCCCCTCCCCCCTGAAGGTCTGGCTTGGCATAAAGACTATTTTTGGCATACGGTTAAGAAGCCAAATGTTTATTGGAAATAAAGCAGAATGTTTCCTAGAAATGAAGCAGAATGTTCTTGGAAACTAAACTGTGATACTATTGTATATTGGCAACCGCATACCTATCGGTAGATTTTCATTACATTTTATGCTAAAATCAATCATATAAAAGCAAAATACTTGTTTAATCATAGCATATAGTCATTTTATTCACAAAACACTGATAATACATGAGTTGGTTCCTGGAATTGCTCATTTCCATAATAGGACAAAAAGAGGCACATGTCAAGATATTGAATGTTTGTAATGGTAGAAATTGCCAGTGCATTTGCGTTTTAAAAATTACTCCCATTGATAAATCTCTGCCAAATTCATTTCTTCCCCTCAATGTTAGGATATTCAACTACCCCCGCAATGGTAGGATTGCAAAAATAGTCCCCTAAATGAATGTTTAACTCTATCATTTTATCACACAGCTCACAAAATATTATCTTCTGATTTGATAGGGTGCAAAGGGAGCACAACTCAACAAACCATGGCCTAAGCAACATACCATGACCTAAGTAATTACTTTTGCCCCTATACATGCCCCCTATTGCTAAAAGCTGATTGTCCTTCAAATCAATTACATTTATTTTCAATAACAAAAGTTTGGGATATCTCAAAACAAAAGTAACACACATAGATACATATTGAAAAGACATGTTTATAAATCTATATTTAAATCTGTTTATAAACCTGAATATATGTTTTGAATAAATAGACCAAAAAACTCTTAAAAGGACATTGTAGACAAATTTTACTGTTTCAGCTATTCGGAACAGGTGGTTTGTATCAATACAAAAACATATTGCTTTGGATAAAAACATCAAAGTTCCAGGTGCAGCTATGTGACATTATTAGTATCAGATTTTGTCGCTTTGACAAACATTTTGTTATCAAGGGCTCTTGGGAATGCCTTAAAACTGCCTTCAATGTGTAGAGAGGGTGATTGTAAAAATAAATTTATGGAAATAAATTAATTCAGGCCGCAACTGATTTCCTTCACAATAAGAATTTAACAGCTCTCTTATTTCCAGCAGCTCCTGTTATCAAAATGCATTTATACATTGAAATCATAAACTTTTGGACAAAATGTTATAAGAATTATAAGTTTCTCAAATGTGTTCCTAGGTGTTTCATGACAGTTGCTTGAAAATCTTGCTGCTTCAGTATTTACTTCTTTTCAAGACTAGACTTTTAACAGTTAACAGCAACTGCAATTTCCTTAGTCTGTTTCTCTTTTCCATGTGGTGCTAAGATATTTTCCATGTGGTGCAAGGAACGTCAATTTTTACGTCTATACCATAGAATTTCTCACAATGTCTTGTTGCATATGCTATGCATTTTAAAATCAACTTTGTTTGATTTGAAAACAAAACGAAGTCATTTTTCTGGCCAAACAAAGTTGGCAATTAACAATTAGTTATATCTCAGTTACAACTGGTGCTTCAAGGTAAATTTTACCTATTTGAAAAAACTAACTTTTAATTTACATCGTTGGCAATTTGAACTGACCAAATCATTGGAAAAAAAGCTATGTGTACAATGACAAAGCATGACAGATAACTTGCAAATAGAAACCAAATTAGATTCCAATGCTTAAAAATTCTGTTTGGACCACCAAGTATGTTAACGCAGGTATCTGTTGTCTGGTGATGACATTAAGGGTGAAACTCCGAGTAGCAACTTAGCACTGTCCTGTTCTATACATTAATAGCATATTTTCAAATGGAAATGGAGCAGTAGATGGGGAGACAACTAGCATTGTCATAAACAAGACAATTGAAATGTAATACATAAACAAACAATGGATACGAGAGCAAACAATTTCATAACTTTCTTGCGTAGATATGGATAGCAAAGATAAATTTAGAAAATTGATCACATAAAGGTGAATTATTTCTTTTTGAGGTGGGTTACTGTACTCACGAGAAACCCCTCACATGCTTTGACAATTAGTTGGTTTAAAGATGGCAACACCTTTAATGAAACTTGATGCAACACCAACAAAGAGCCATAATTGCTTCCAATTTCAAAATAATCAGCTGACAGATGCTTTAACAAATAAATTTGAATAACCTCTTGTGATCATTATAACATTTTAAGAATGATTGAGCACCTTTAAATCAGAGACCTGTTAACGGCCATTGTTAAGGAAAATAATGAAAAACATACTTAGGAACAGTGGCCCACCTTCACTAAGCTCTGCCACCTGAGCAGCTTCAAGTAAATGAGCTTTGATATGCTCAGCATGAGCCTCTTCGGATGGTAACAAAACATCACAATGGTCGCACTTATAACTTGTTTCCATACTAACATCTGAACAAGCATCTTTTGGCTCATGAACTTCAGCTACTAGCATAATAGCTTCACTAGCTCTTGATGCATCTTCTTTGGTAAATGTATCTCCACAATCCTTCTCAAAGGTAATATGCTCTTTTGGTGGCTCTGATACAGCTATTGGAATTTGCGGCTTGATTTCAGGTGACTGGGACCCTTCTGTACTCTCCATACTTGTGTCCCCAATAACTAAAATATAAATAATTGAAGGTATGTTTAACTATTCTTATAAATGGCAAGGTAACTAAGAGGGCTTCAGAGAAAAGATAAATGAAGAAAATATATAAATTTAGCTTTAGATCCAAGTTTCTAATGAAAAAGAGGAAATAGCTTCTTTTAACCTCTGGGGAAATTCAGAAAAAAATTATAAAGAATACAAAGACTGATAATATATTTAGAGATATATTATGTATGTCTTTTTTATTTAGCAAAGGAATCATAATGTGCACTGAGGCGGCTGTTGCAGATTTTAACTTACTGAAACTTATTTCATAATCTTTTGAAAGAGTTTTTAGTGTCAACTTCGATGAAAACTTTGAACAGATATCAAAACAGTGGTATATGTTATCCTGTGAAGTTTTATTGTCTGCTGATAACTATACAATAGGCATAGATTGTTTTTTGCTTAGTATTCCTTGCAAAAGGTTTTAAAAATATTTTGTTAAGAGTTTCCAGTTCAAGTCATATTTCAGTCTTCCAAATAAATTTTATTCTAGGAAATAATTATTGCAACTTTGGTTTCTAGTGTTTCAAGTGCAAATATTTATGAGAAATAAATAAACTGCAAATTTTTGATGCTCAAAAATTTGGTTACCTTGGGCTTTAATAGTCATTCTTGTCTTTTTAATATAAAAAAAATTCCAGTCCAAAATTGCTTTTCAATTTGGTAAAACAATTTGCTTTTATCAGGATATCTTAAACTTAAAGGGATATAAATCACTTTTCGCATGTTAAACTTAATGGAATATTAATCACTTTTCACATGTAATGACATCCAACACTACAACAGATCATAATCACCAAAAACCATAGAAAAGTTAGAGATCACAAGGACTGAAAGCACAAGTTATATCTCTCACAAAAACATTTGGCAAAGATCCTTTGCTTTTGAGAAAAATTTCCAGAAAACCCCTAAAAATCTTATTATTCTGAAAACATCTTGTACGCAGATTGGAAAAAAAATACACCCCTGGAAGAATTAAAATTACCCTAAAAAGTTCATTTCAGCTAAAACTGAGTTTTTGACTTATAATAATAATAATAATAATAATTTTGTGTAAAAGTAGGCTTGTAGCAAACACCAGACTGGCAACTTTGCTATATGCAATGGAATATATTGACATGCGATTTGACTAGATAAAGAAGCATTCATTTAATTTCCAAATTTCATTTCCTAAGCCTTTAGCATTTAATTTTTTGAGAGGAGGCCAGTTTATACGATTTTATTTCGACTTTGTTGATTTGATGATCGTTTGCCTCCTTTGTTGATCTATCTCGCCGTATTTAGATCGGAATTGATCATTTGGCATATTATCGAGTGAGATTGTTTTATCATCAGATATTGCTTGATTGAGAAAAATATTAATACCAAGAAAAGGTACGCAAAAAGTGTTGTCGTCTGCAACTACCCCCTAAGCCGCGATAGTTTCTGAAACAGGATGCTCTTGTTCCAGATAAAGATGCGACGACTATTCCAGAGCCTCAAAGTTGGTCAGAATAAACAAGGTCAAAATATTAGTGAAATCTAATATTGTATCGTCCTTTTTAATGTGTAAAACATGAAAAATGCCGGTAAAAACTACAACGGCGGGAAAATTGAGAAATAAATAAGGACACTGTGCAGGAGATGGCTAGACTGGCGGCAGGAAGGCAACAAACTACAACTGAATGTCGTTCAGGCCATCTTGATGCCGATCTCTGGAAAGTAGCGCCTAAAGCAAACCGCCAAAACAAAACAAAACGAGTCCTTCATAGCGAATAAGGGGATCAGCTTTCTTGCGAAAAATGTAACCTGAAAATCAACATTTTCACCAACCTCAAAAGTTTGCTATTGCGAATCCAGTTAGATGCAGATTTTTGCTATAAACTTCGGTTGTGAAGGAGCATCGAAGACGAAAGCGCAAAGGAAGAACTCCTCCGACGAAACGAAAACCAGCAGCATGGAGGAGGAGATACAATGCATTCTGGGAATAACTATGCATTATGGGACCTGTCGGGAACGCGCAGCTCCAGACCTCTTCGAAGGTGACTGAGTTCTTATATTTCGAAAATAACCCTCTCAAATATTGAAAAATAAAAAATTGTTGCCAAAGAATAATTTTCAGATCGCATTGATACAAAGAAAATAGTATTCTGACAAACATTAGCACGAGAATACGTCAAACAGAAACACTCTCTTCTGGAAAGGTTTCAATCGAGTTTTTCGTCAAATCTGAAATTAGAGGGGTAATTAACCCACAAGCTAAATTTAGCCTAGAAATAACATTTAAGTTGCCCCTCGGCCTACATTGACTTGTTACGATACCAAACATCATAAATCTGCCCTCGCCCTTCCCCACGGATGAAAATTGTTTGCAACATCGGACCTAGAGTAAAAGGACTAAAGGCTTACTCTTATTTGATATCATGTATCATATTTTGTAAAATAAATGCCCATTTTGAACATTTTTTCTGAAGTATGGTAAAAAAAGGGTCTCTTTTATTCAGGCATAAAATTATCCTAAATAAGATTAGCGTTAATTTGGTCATTGGACATTAAACATGTCGATTGTTATGATAATGTTTTGATAGCTTGTATGTTATGCCTTTGATTCATAGTGTAAGGAAAATAGCAGAAAGCAGATTCTGGTAATGTTCTACGTCTAGGCACGGTTTACGATTTCGATAACCCAGGAAAAACTTATTTTCTGGTATCCACTTGCTTTCTCTCCGCTCTGAGTCTCGTTCAAGAGCTCCATTTTAAAACATCATTTTTTCTTTTGCTTTACACATTAAAATTTTACCTCTATCAATAGTACCCAACAGCAGATAACTGCATTTCTGGCTACAAAAAGATCACATTGGGTAAAATAACATAGGCTCCGACACAAGTTGGAAATTGGGGAACCAAGTGAAAATTATCAAAAGCTCTATTGTTTTGGAAAAAACTTGGGGCCATGGCGCCCGCCCCACCCTCCTCTTCCTCGGGGGCCCTGAATCACTTATTTCAACACTTTTTACATGATAGAAAATGCTCCATTCTTAAGAGGATTTAATGACAAAATGTTGAAAAAGTATAAACTGAATGGTAGAAAATGCTCTTTAATCAAGACAGATTAAGTCAATCAAGGTAGAAAAATACAAAGTCTATTATTTTATAAATCAGTCTTGAGCGTTTTATTTTTCTGAGCTTTTTGTACAGGCCTGGAAAATTTTGGCCTAGCTTTCCTTCTCCCAATGGCATTAACACTTGAGCGGATGAACTCATTCTGCTCCTGGTAATTTGATGGCATGTCAAAAAACGAGAATGTAAAATTGCTCGTGAAATGCAACTTCTGCATTCCATAGATCTCAGTGTTGAGTGTCTTTTGAGATAACGAAAGCTGCGGTGAGATTCCTCTAAAAATCGAGGAACGGCGAAATCGCATCTGCTTTATTTCCTCTTTGAGTTGCGTTTTAGAATCTTTAACAGTTTTCTCTCTCTTTGGTTGAACTTCATTTCCACCAGCTGCCTGTCTTTTTTCTTCATGAATTGTCTGATTCTTCAAAGCACCTTCCTGGATACGTTGAAATCCCGTGTAGATACTATTCTGCTGCTGGCTTGCGTCTACTATCTCAAATGGTACTAATCGCGAATCCGGCATTACGTCATCTTCAGGTATACCCATGATACCAAGTCGTTTCTTCTTCTGGGCATGTTCGGTGATGTTTTGCAACATCGTCTCGTGGTTTTCGTTTATCATTTTTGGGAATCTTGTATAATCTTTGCGCAGCCCGTTATCCTTAGTGACGCTTTCTGCATTCGATTTCTCAGCTGCTACTAACTCAGGGAAAGCATCAAAATTTTGCACACCCTGTTGCTCGTCCGCCTTGTGTTGGACATCCAATACTCCATTGTTTGCTTGGAAGTCTTCGTGGATGTTTTCTAACTTACGTTCATTCCCTGATTGCTTCATGTATTTATCTCGCCCTTCGACAGTGCTCATGTCTTTGATGAGAGGAAGGTGTCCGCTGTATAAACCTCCTTCCCCATTCCCCGCACTGCCTCTTGATAAGTCTATCTTTTTATTTCCCTTGCCTTGGAAACCAAGCCCCAGTGGGTCATTTGCAATTTTTCCATGGGATCCTTCTTTTTTATGCTTTTCATTTCTATGTAAAAAAAAAATTTAATAGAGACAATACCGTGGCAAGGGTTTTCTTAGAAGGGGTCCTTTCTCTAGCAATTAGAGAATTTGTTTGACACTGTCAATTCAAATCTATCGTTACATTGTGCTTTTGTTTTCAAAGAGTGGTCGTTCTCATTTAATGCCAACCTCAGGCTTCGGGCGTAATTTCATATACAGAAATCGACGACTTAATTAAGACCTACACAGTTCTGTACATCGGTGTTTTATGAATGCGATATTCATCTTTACATATTTCCAGAAAGGCAAAAAAGATTAAACAGCCCTCGTTTAAATTGCCTGTCTGGAAAAAGGAGATCCCAGGAGACAACTAGGTGGGGACTAGGGGCTCGAGCAATCACTTCCGACAATATTTAGAGGGGGTCCAGTCACCCCTAATAACTTAAATTTTGAGCCAACCCAAGGAGAAAAAGTCGGTGCCAATGGCAAGCATAAAGAAAGACACTGAATTTGCCCATTGGTAATAACATTGTGTCAATTTCTGTATACTGTGGAAAATTGATCAAACTTCAAAAAGCACTAAGCTAAGGGCAGTGGCCAAGCAGAGAGCCCAAAAGATTAACTAAAATGCCTCGTAGGTTTAATTTCCTGTAAGAAACTTTGGCCTATACGCCTAAAGCTGTACGTAATAACCATATATTTGGTTAGTGTACATTAATAGTATGGACAGGTAGAGATAGTATAGACAGATTATTCGCTTTGTCGCCTCTACCTCTACCACTCAAAGCATTCCTCAAAAATCAAGAAGTAATTGAAGTGAAAATAGTAAAAGCTTTTGAAAAGGTTAGGTGTCCAATATTACCTATGACTATTCTATCTCCTATCAAAAAATGCTCTATATTAAGTTTGTAAGGAACCATTTCATAAAATATCACACAAATTTCTTACTTTGCTGTTGTTTGTTTCGGTTCCTGCCGACTTGTTGCCGTTTGTGTCTGGATGAATGCCTTTTCAGCATAGTGATCTGGTGATGGCCTTCCACCCAGACCTTGAACAGTGTTTGTCTCTTGATAATTTTGAGAAGCATTTCTTCCCAAGCTCCCCTTTCCTGTATCTGGTTGTCCTGTTTTCCTCCATACTGCGGGATTTTTCACTTCATGCCCACTAACCTTCCCTTGTTTTTGCATCACTCTTAGAAAAATCTAATTCTTTAACTCAAAATAACACCCGATGGCCTAGCTCTGCATCGCAAAAAAGAAGTTTCCTGCTTTTGGTTAATCGAATGCTAGATTCGATTTCGGATTCGACGCTTGCCGGAAATCCTTCTTCTCTTGAGGTGCATTCATACACATTTTACTACAAAACATGTTCTAACTTTTGGTAATAATTTTTTTCATTTATTATATTCAGTAGCATAGCCAGGGTTGGAAGATTGGAGGGGCAAAGAGGAGTCCGACAGCAAGGGATCCGGGGGCTTACCCCTAGGAAAAGATTTGCTGACCACGCCCTCATTAATTTGGGAAAACGCCCCATTTTGTAAATGCGTTTGGAAAATCTATGGTTTTTCTCACGTCGCAATGGTTGGCTAATCATGGGCTAATCAAACACAGTAACCGTCATATGTAGCCTTTTGTGGCTGACCCCATTCTACAACTGTCTATTTGAGGCTGTTTTGCCGATACTTTTAAAGAGCAATTTTTCATGGTTTCTTTCTAGCTGTTTCCTTTCCTTTGACGCCTATTATTCTTTCTTTCTGTAATGTATTTAAGAGTTTATCTGTTGAAAAGTAAACCTCATGAGCCAGCTTTAGGCCTTTTGTCATTTAGCTTTGGCACAAAGTTATTCTTTTTCGGGTTTTTCTCGATCTATGATAATGCATACATCCCACAGATCGTACAGGGGCTTATAGTAAGTGACTTTTGAAAAGCTGTTACTCGCACGGTGCAACATGTAACGCAAATCCTGAATAATGATTTGGTTTCTTCGATTAAATTCCCATGTTCTAGTTCCTTTTTGCCCTCTAATTGTGTAAATGCTAAAGACATAGTAAAGTACATTTCTTTTTGTTTTGCCAAAAGAAGTTTTTTGGCGCTGAAAGAAAACAGAGGCCATAGGTCCCGGTGATGCAGGCCCATACCTTTTGTCACAAGATGATCCAAGAGATTTTTTCAACAAAAAAAACAAAGAGGTAGCTGGGTTTATATATAGAAAGGGTAGGGTATGAATTTCTCTAGAAAATGCTTGAAAGTGACTGAGAGTGTTGTTTGAGCTAAAGGAAAAATTGGCGTTTGTAAAGGTTTGCGTAAAAGCAAGATATTTTTATGCAAACACTCTCTCTATGATAGCAATTCGGCTCTGGGAAAGATGAGAAGAAGAAAAAAAAATAGAAGAAAATGATAATTACATATTGCAAGTACCTTTATCTCTTAGTTGATATCAAAGAATTAAAAACTTCAATTTTTTATTTGGAAACAGGATGAGTTTTTTTAATAATTTTGAAATATTTGGCTTATTAATTTTGAAATATGAAATAATGTCAACCAGGTGAACACTCAGCTGAACACGTTCAATTCTTCTTTTATAAATTCGCTCTCTATCTTGACCAATTAACAATATCTGCGAACTACAAAATACACATGTCCCATTTACATAAGCAAATGTTCAATAGCGATTTATGACTTTGATAACTTTCATACACACTCAAACCTTAGTTGTGACAAGTACTGAAAGTCTGATCAATTCAGTTGCTATTTGGTAAAATAATAGTTTGGTTTTTAGTTCTCATATCTAGTATGATACCATAATATTAGAAATATAACGCAAATATTCATTTGAGTAGGTAGTGTGTACTGGACTAATGTTTCGTCTCTCGATAAAGGCAGGTTTCGTCACCTTTCTTAGCAATTAGAAGGGGCCCCCCACTATATTTCTGTTAAAAGTGGTCAGAATTGACTATTTTGTCATATGCAGGACAATTTTATAATGTTCTTACATATATTCATATGACATCATCACATATTTTTCCTTGCATATCAGCCCACTCTTCCCAATTATTCTTTTTAGTCCTATCAATAATCTCATATTTACCTCAGATGTCGGCTGGGCGCCATTTTTGATAAAAATAGCATTTGTTATTTTTTCTGTCCATTTAGTTATGGATATCGTTCCCCACTAAACCTTTGGATCTATGAAAGGGCTTCGCTGTGTTACTTTTTCTGGATTTAAGTAGCAAAACCACAGTAGACTGTTGTTTATTTATATATTCTATTTTTGAAAATTAGGAAGAAATTTATGGGAATAATCAGCGCGATAATAAAACCCCAGCAATGAATTCTAAGCAGAAGAAGCAAGAAAGTAAACACAGAGATCGTATGCAACATACAGCTCATTAACAAATTGAAATAAATACAAAAAACTGAGGAAATTCCATGCATTAATAAATTCGATTTTCATCATTTTCTGCTTACAGGAAGAGTATTATTAAAAGTATGAGAAAGGATCTGAGAGAACTCTTATCTATGGAAGGACTTTTTATACGAGTGAGACAGGTCCCCACTAGCCAGTTGATATTTTCTAAAAACGCAAAGAAATTGTTGGGGTTAAGGGTATGCATATTCATCACATTTTGAAGTCATTGAAAGGGGCTTGACTGCAATTAATATAAGTTAAGTTTCATATATTCACAAGGTGGTTGACCTCTTTCAGCGAATTTGTACGGCGTTGTTTCAGATAATTTTCCTAGGGCTCTGCCCTAAAGCTTCTGAGGTTTTGCAACGTATGCATGCCACTGGAGTGGGGACATACTTTACTATTAGTGGCGCTTTGGGGTTGGTAGAAAGAAAGAACTTAATGAGCAGTGTGATTGATAAAATGGAATTATTCTGGGCAATACGAATGGCATTTAAAGGTTTTAAGATGAGAAGCCCCTATAACAGACCTGAAACGCAGGGTTTGATACAGGGGCAAAGGCTTTAAAAGGGCATTGGGGTCCAATCTGTAGTATTTAAGATAGCTGAAAAAAGATCAGATTGAACAACATAAACTTCGTAAAAATCGAGAAATTCGACAGGGCTGTGGATAGGGGTGTGACATATTGAATGGGGATGTACCATGTTACTAGTTTCTTCAAACAACATTGGACTTGCCTTAATGTTCACATAGCCCAGCAAATTTAGCGTTGCAGTTATTAGGACCTTTTTTGATTCTTAAGGAAATGAGTGTAACATATCTCAAACGTTGGAAATTTTTAATAGCATTGGTTAATAGTTTCTGAAACCCTTTATGGAAACAATGTAGCCTATTTCCGTGACTTATAACATGTCGCTGCAAGTTAGGCACAAGAATAGCTATCTGATACTGAGGCTGTACACGTTAGCAACCTCGTTTCAAGTCAGCAGACATTGCAATAAAACAGAGGTGTATTCAACTACCACCGTTCCTAGTACCATTATAAAAAGCCATTAATGGGAACAGATGATGTAGCAGGGGGTTTGGTAGGGTGCACTGCATTCGCAGTCAGCTCAGTTTCCTAATTGCCTAAGCACGAGGGGGTGTTAACATTAATTCATATCAAATTACATATATAAGAATGAGCAAGCAGGATCATATTTTTATATCATTAAATACACTGGTGAATGTTGAAACATTAAAAACACCATACAACTAAGAAACAAGTCAGCAATCATTAAAACTAAAATGTTAGCTGTTTGTAACAAATTATTTTAGTGAGTGGAATAAAAGGAAAATTATTTTACGAAGCAGCGAACATTCAACCATACAGATTTGAAAATTTTAAATACTTTTCGCATCTACGCATATGTGTTTTTTTAAATAATTTACATTGATACATTTCAGATTGAGAAAAACTACACAATGATGCATTTAATTGATATTACAATGATGAAAATTCTAATTTTAAAAAGAACTTTGCAAAGAAATTAAACTAAGTCTTACAACTAAAATAAACTGGTTTTGTATTAAGTTCGCCACGCAATCATAACAAATTTCTAAGCGTGTTTGTCTATAAAATCCACGAAATTGTTAATTGGTGATAATCCTTTACTATTTAACTTTTATATGGCCCTTGGGTCTCTTTACTAAAATTAGGGAAAATTGTGTTTGTATTGAATAAAATTAGGAGCATCCTATCACGTGACCTTCTGACCGATGACTTAAATTTTCCTTTGACAAAACTTATGACTTACCTACTACCTTCAAAACTTTGAGATAATGGAAAATGGTGACAATTCTTCAAAATTAACTGTTTTTCACAAAATTTTGTAAACGAAACCAAAATTAAGCTGGACAACTGTTTTGACACAAATTACATAAAACACATCAGCTGAAGTAATAATATTTTTGACAAAAGGCTCGTTAAGCTTCAAAAAGACTAGAAAAAACTGTTTTCTTTTCTGAGCTGTATCTGTTTCCATTTAGGCAATTTATTGAACTCTTCTTTCGTCATTTTGAACATTCCCTGCAAAGAAAAGGGGAGTCGTGATCAATTGATTTAACCAGAGGATTTCTTGATTAACAAGGACAAACTCATTTTAGGAGATATTCGATATACTAAATCTTAATGACGTGCAGTGAAAACCTATAGGAGGGTACCAATAAAATACAATCCAACAAAAGTGTATTAATGATTCACAGATCATCATCAAAAGATTCTTTGTTTCAAAACTATTGATACCTTTACTGTACCTCGTACTTGAGAAAAATACTTTTACCACAACTACCCCATACTTAAGAAACTTTCTCTACAACTCTTTTGATCTACAGTTGCTTCATTCTGTTTTCAAAACTGCCTGATCTACCTTATCCATAATTCGTGCAAGAATCGAAACCCTTTTACAACTAAACTTCAAAGTTATATACCAAAAATCGTCCTTACAGACATACTCTTGTCTTACTCTTATTTTGTGGTTGATTTTCATTAAGGTTCAGAAACTGATAATGTGAACTGTTTTTTGGCAGTACAGAACTTGAAAATAGCTTTGAAAAAAGCAAACATTTCATAACATATTGGCTAAAAGCTTTATCGTATGTCAATCCTCAGAGCATAAAACTTCGAAATTAGGGTCTGGAAGAACAAGTGATAATGTTTTATACTGACAAAATGACATACATGCTTGCTAACTAATAATTCTGAGTTTTACTTACTCTTGTCTTACTCTTATTTTGTGGTTGATTTTCATTAAGGTTCAGAAACTGATAATGTGAACTGTTTTTTGGCAGTACAGAACTTGAAAATAGCTTTGAAAAAAGCAAACATTTCATAACATATTGGCTAAAAGCTTTATCGTATGTCAATCCTCAGAGCATAAAACTTCGAAATTAGGGTCTGGAAGAACAAGTGATAATGTTTTATACTGACAAAATGACATACATGCTTGCTAACTAATAATTCTGAGTTTTACTTACTCTTGTCTTACTCTTATTTTGTGGTTGATTTTCATTAAGGTTCAGAAACTGATAATGTGAACTGTTTTTTGGCAGTACAGAACTTGAAAATAGCTTTGAAAAAAGCAAACATTTCATAACATATTGGCTAAAAGCTTTATCGTATGTCAATCCTCAGAGCATAAAACTTCGAAATTAGGGTCTGGAAGAACAAGTGATAATGTTTTATACTGACAAAATGACATACATGCTTGCTAACTAATAATTCTGAGTTTTACTTACTCTTGTCTTACTCTTATTTTGTGGTTGATTTTCATTAAGGTTCAGAAACTGATAATGTGAACTGTTTTTTGGCAGTACAGAACTTGAAAATAGCTTTGAAAAAAGCAAACATTTCATAACATATTGGCTAAAAGCTTTATCGTATGTCAATCCTCAGAGCATAAAACTTCGAAATTAGGGTCTGGAAGAACAAGTGATAATGTTTTATACTGACAAAATGACATACATGCTTGCTAACTAATAATTCTGAGTTTTACTTACTCTTGTCTTACTCTTATTTTGTGGTTGATTTTCATTAAGGTTCAGAAACTGATAATGTGAACTGTTTTTTGGCAGTACAGAACTTGAAAATAGCTTTGAAAAAAGCAAACATTTCATAACATATTGGCTAAAAGCTTTATCGTATGTCAATCCTCAGAGCATAAAACTTCGAAATTAGGGTCTGGAAGAACAAGTGATAATGTTTTATACTGACAAAATGACATACATGCTTGCTAACTAATAATTCTGAGTTTTACTTACTCTTGTCTTACTCTTATTTTGTGGTTGATTTTCATTAAGGTTCAGAAACTGATAATGTGAACTGTTTTTTGGCAGTACAGAACTTGAAAATAGCTTTGAAAAAAGCAAACATTTCATAACATATTGGCTAAAAGCTTTATCGTATGTCAATCCTCAGAGCATAAAACTTCGAAATTAGGGTCTGGAAGAACAAGTGATAATGTTTTATACTGACAAAATGACATACATGCTTGCTAACTAATAATTCTGAGTTTTACTTACTCTTGTCTTACTCTTATTTTGTGGTTGATTTTCATTAAGGTTCAGAAACTGATAATGTGAACTGTTTTTTGGCAGTACAGAACTTGAAAATAGCTTTGAAAAAAGCAAACATTTCATAACATATTGGCTAAAAGCTTTATCGTATGTCAATCCTCAGAGCATAAAACTTCGAAATTAGGGTCTGGAAGAACAAGTGATAATGTTTTATACTGACAAAATGACATACATGCTTGCTAACTAATAATTCTGAGTTTTAGTTGTACCCATTAAACTGAAGGCAATGTTTAGAGACCCAGTACTTTCAGCACACTGATGATATTTATATGTAAATATGTTGATATAATTGTAGAGCATACAAAAGAAACAGCTTAAAACATTTTGACGAAAGAAAGTGAAAGGGATTTCTTACCACCTCTGTTAAGTCAGTAGCTGACTAAATCTTTCATTAGAGTAATGATAAATGGCGATTGCACTGATGCTGGTTCTCACCACGATGACTTACAATCGCAATTACAATGATTGGTGTGATTACAATAAAGACAACGATGTGAAATAGTGATTATGTTGACGATCGATGATTATATGATGTTGAATACCACGTTGACTGATTTTTGACTTAAGATGATTTATGATTACAACCATGATGATTATGATTCATGTTGGGCGACTGGGATCATGTTTGGTGATTGTTGATGATGATTAACATGGATTACGATAAAATGATGATGAAAATCGGTTGTGATCACGAACAAAACCTTATGACTGATTATGAAACTTGTGATAGCGATAATTGTGACGTTGATCCAGCTAAAGAGCATTAGACTGACAAAAATGACGGATTTGTAGATAATGATATGTTGAAATGGAAATACTCTCTTTCGAAAGCGCGAGGCATGTTTTTAGTGGCTAGGCTGGATTTAGCCGACTGTCGATGACCTTACCGTGAACTCGTCATTGTGTAAATATTGTTCAATTCTAGTTGGGTCTACTCCTTCTGGTAGTGGTCGCTCCATTAACTGCTCCAGAGTATAGGAATTCCTGTAATAGAACTTGGGTATAGTCTGAGGGAAAACGCAGGGAATGATTGGAAAGTCACTTGTGAGGTCGTGGTGGCGCGTGAGGGAGCTCAACCCGAATTCCAAGCTGCTTTTGGAAGCGGTTTTATAACAAAATACACACACCTTTTTAAAACATAGATTTTAGTCCACTCAGGTATAGAAGAAACACAGGGTAGTTTACAAGTTCACGCAGTCGTTTTAATTTAGAAAAATATCACACGTTTATCTAATTCCTTATGACACACCACCACAACCTTTAAAGTTATGTCAAAAATGGCAATTACTCAGAATTTACGGAATTATACAGAAAACTTTCATAATAACGTCATTCTTAATCAATTTAAAAATTTGAAGATTAATCAAGATTGGAAATCATGATTATACAAGCACACCACAACATTTGCATTAGAAGTAAAAATTCAAAATTAAAAAATTGATGTAAAATTCAGTATAAGCTGACATCTCTGAGTTTGGTTTCATCTCCATTTTTATATTTCATAAAAGAAATGCAGTTTTTAGCGTTTATTGTGGCTACTTGATTGATATTCAAAAATTAACAGATATGAAAAGGAAAACAAAGTATAAGTTATCTTCGATGATCATTTAAAAAAATTCAAAATAAAGGACCGTTAGGCAAAACCTGGAACACGCAATTAAACAAGAAGTTAAGCAAACCGTTAAACACACAACAAAACACGCTGGTTAAGTGGAACGCTGTTGAAAGTGTTTTTTAACACACTGTGAATCACGCAGCTTTAGGGGCTATTTTATTCATGAAACTTTCAAAGATATTTCCCGTTCAGAATTTGTTAGGAGATGAGAGCTCGAAGTCGATAGCGTCGCTGTCTCTCGGTGAAGTGGGGGACTCTCAGATGGCGTGGCTGTCTCTAACAGAGGGTCTACCTGGTTCTGCAGTCATAGTTTTGGCTATCAGTGTAAAGCTTTTGTATACAGAAACAATAGAGCTTGTTCCAACAAATGCTGTCACAATGACATACGCGTAAGGGCCCGCTACTTCTTCGTCTTTCACGCTAGTGTAAGATGAGACCCTTTAATATGAGTCCGCACCAAGACAGACTACTCTAAAAAGTTTTGCTTTTGACAGCCCTTCTTTTGATACGACCTGAAGATAAAATCAGAAAAACGTCACCAGAATCCATTTGTGCAAAACTCACTTTTGTAATTTAGCTAATTCATCCTCCAGCTTTAGACGACCACTCTTTCTCTTTCCAGCCTACAAAAATTGAACATGCATACGGTTTAATCGTTAACTAGTAACAAAAAAGGATATACCATAAAATATTACACCAACGGGGCTATGAAATAGTAGACCAACATAAATGTTCCTAGTTATCCATAAAAAAAACTGAAGTACGCGCATTCAAACCGCAATCTATACGTTAAGCGTTTAAACAGGATTACACCCTCAAATATTATTAGGGAGACGATCAAGAGGTTTTTTAATGAGTGGGGAACCCTCCGACCTGTAGTCAAAAATCACACGCATAAGTTATTATTAAGCATGCTCTCTGACTCCAGGACCGAAGGTTGCCTCACTTATTTGAAGAATTTTGCTTGCTCGTCTTCCCAATAAAAAAATTACCCATAGATATGAATTTCTTTACAAGTCGTCTCTATACCCATTATTCCACTGAACCTAATCATGCCTTCACGTTTAACATCAGCTATCAAATTTGAACTGTCTGAATTTCGAAAAACTTCGTTAACTTCATTAATAATAAAAGAGTTTTGCACTTAACAAAGCACATAGAAAGGGCGATAAGATATGTGACATACACAATATATACATGCATGCCAAAGTCACAGGCAAAGTAGATTTCCAAAATGACGAGGTCACAAAACATATATTTTTAGAATGTCTGAATTTTGACCTGAAAGATTATCATGAACTAACTCTTGAAGTGGAAAATCAGTTGCAAACTGCGGCAGATGGGCTAACATATGTACACATGAGCTCAGACTTTCACTCTTCAAAAACTCAGTTGTTCCATAAGTTATATCTCAGTCAACTGGCAAAAGCCGTTCCACTTCGATAAAAATTGATCTTTTGCTTTCCGAGGAAATTAATGATGTTCCATCAGACTGCATGGACAAAAGCCAAAAAACAGGTAAAAATGTTGATGACGTCATACTTTGGCTGTCTGTCATGCAGCAAATGCTTTTGCAAGGATGTTGGAACTTTAAACTTTCAGGCAGTCGAATTATCGGACTTAACATTTCACATATTTTCTTACCTTTCGCATAAGATCAGCTATTTCCTCCTCATCCTCCCAATGTGGGAACAGATTTTTGAATTCTAATGTTTCCAGGCCAGCGTATATAATATAGGCCTTTGAAATTGGACGTCCAACAGCTGAAAAAAAGTTCACAAGAATATCATTTTTGAATTACGATAAAAGGACATTCTAAAAGGTGCAACTGGTCTTAAGTCATATACTTCAACTCAAAGGGAACTGGAAACTTTCTTTAGGATATGGTTGGGAGAAATTTAAAGTAAATAACAAAATATCCTATGCCAATCAAAGGATATGCTTTATTCAAGAAATAAACTACTGTATGGAACTGTTGCGAACATGACTTTCTAACTTGATTAAAATTCTATCAATACCAATATTCCTGTTTACCCATATTATGATATTTGATATGTTTATCTGCACAACTATTAACATAAAACATTATACAAGGTTTGAAAGGCAATGTTTCCACCTTCGACAAAAATCTCCTGAAATCTTTTTAAAATGGTCAGTGACTTGGACAGAGAGAGTTTAATAAACGGTCTACTCTTTCCCGCCATTACACATACCATCTGCGTATGATGCAATCGTTTCCATAGCCAACCTCCTACTGACATCAAACCTGTGCTTTTCTGCAGCTGTTGTGGGGCCGACCTCCTCTTCATGTTCTTCGTCACTTATAGGCCACCATCCTTGCCATAAAAACATCTTGTATTTCGCATCGATGAGGAACAATGCTTTTGGGAAGGAATAAATCTTTTAGCTACATTGCATGTATAGCCTGTTTCAAGCGATTTTAGCCTAGGGACTTAAGCTCGAGCCTACAAAGCGAACAGTTGTCAATTGTTCAAAACAAAAACACGACGCCAGTTATTGAGGGGCCATTGCCTTTAGTTAGCATGTTAAAAGGTCTTACATCTACTGCGTCAATAGAACATCACCTTTGTGATCCTTTGCTAGACTTTGTTTAAGGGTTTTAAAGTAAAAATCGCCATATTTCGGAAAATTTTCATGTTCTAGATATCATGTTCTAGCACTTATCAAATAGTAACATACTTTTCTAAAAATACCGGTTCTTCATAATAAAAAAACAATCGCCTAACTGGCTGTTAGACCGACATCGTTGAACAGAGGCTATAAGTTGATCATTATGTTTCAGCCTCTTTTTAGAATAGTAACCGTCCAATGAACCGTACAATCCAATAAACTGCCAGACTGTTGTCATGTGACATGTACTCACCAGGCTGAGGTGCAGTAAACAACACTTCTTGCAGTAATGGGAATGGGGTGATGGCCGTTGGCAAGTGTGTTGAGCTCGTGATCTCAGTTGCAACGAATTGGTTGTGCATACTGGCGAAATTGAAGCATCTTGGCGTAAAATCGAACTCTTTCTTGACTAGCAACAGAATGTAAACAGAAGTGTAAGAATTAGCAAGAGAAAAATTGAATTCCAGATACTCTGTCTATTCGTGTTGAATTGTTTTCACGACAATTCTGAATTTTAAAAACAAACAGGCTAATCGGAGAGAAATTAATGTTGCCTAAAACGAAGAACATTTTTTTGGCCTGCTTCGGATACTTATAAAAAAATTTCTCTGAAAAACCATAAATTCTTAAAACCTGTTTATTCGGTCTTTTGGTACCGACGTTTATGGGGACTGAAACTCTTGTACCCCTGTGATATATTTTCCCGCCAACTGCGATGGCCAGCTGACGCAAGAAAACACGTGGCTAGTTCTTCCACAATATTGTTTTGAAGTTACAAAAATTCAAAAATAAAATTGAGCCTGTAATTGTGCAAAAGAATAGCTCGAAAAATCTTGCCAGTGCAGTGCAGATATTATGCAACTAAGCTTTAATGGGAAAAATTCTACAAAGACAATGTCTCCTTCGACAGCTGGTCTCACCACACAAAACAAAGGCCTTTGAAAATTAAAGTTGGCCATTAGAGAAAATAAAAGAATATAGATATAGACAACAAATCTAATTATGAAAGGTATGTTGAAATTTTCATATTTTATCGAGAAAAACATAGTTAGAGAAATCTTGACATGAGTGGTGGTGTTCTCATCCAAAAGAACATAAAAAATGGCGAAATAAATGAGCGATACTTTTTTCGGAGGCAAGGGCACTGTGCTGGCAGAGTGTATAATTCTTTATCGCATCTTGTGACAAAATATTCTCAATGACGTAACGGCAAACTTATTGCTAACATAAAAACGGCATAAATGTTACCTCCTAAATATGACACATAGTCTTCATCGTCACCAAGAGCGTCCCAGAAGGTGTCCTCTTCTTCACCTTCCAACATCTCTTTAATTTTAAATTTCTTTTGATATAAGGTTTTTATTCTGGAGAAAATAATGATGGTAGACATGTAAATGAGCAGTTGTCGATATTTAAATGAACAAGTAGAGGTTAATATTAATTTTAATGAACAGTATATTATGGAGTTTGTCTCTGGTATATAAAAGATGATAAAACATACAAAGCATTACAAAATTCCTTATTTAAGGGGTTTAAGGGGTAACATTACAAAAGAAACAAAACCGTTTTTAAAGAAATTGAACTCAAATCACATAATAAGCCCCATTTACACTCTGGACCAGTCTTTTACAGCTGGGCACGTGCAAACGATTGTGCAACAACGGTAACAACAACCAGGCCACGCCTTGCCTCTCTTCAGCCACCTTGAAACCACCTCGAGTTGAAAGTGGATGAAATTCGTTCGGATAAAACCGCGAGAATCGGTACCAAAACTTAAAAAAATCACTTTCTGCACCAGAACAAAGTTCATCTGAGTCTTACTTCGTAAGCGGATAAAATATATTTGGATAGAGTAGGTCTAGTGTAAATGCAAGGCCTATCAAAGCAGAATCCATCCGGATAAAATTAGTTTGGATCTAGTGTAAGAGAGGTCTAAGAAACCAAGCCTGTTTTACGCCAGAGGTTTCTATTCACAAAGGGAATATCCCTTCTCCGAGTTGGCGGGTGTTTGTTGGTTAATAAACCTTAAAAAAGGTTGAACTAAAAAATCACTAACCTGTCTCTGAAGCCTTTGGCACATTTGACGCCTCGATCTTGCATGTCTTCAGTAGCTTTGACACCATGCCATAGATATATCGTCTTTTCTGGTGGATCGCACAAAATAATAGACCCTCTTGATCTTAGATTGGCCGACCTAAAAAATCAAATTGGTTCCTCAAATCTTTGCTACAAAGATGCTGATAGAAATTGAAGATAGCTTGACCATGTGTTGGATAACAAGGAAAAGCAGCATATAGACGTAACATTAGAGGCAGTATGTTCCCCATTGCCCTCAGACTTTCTTTTTATAGCCACAATCGTCACGCACCGTTGGTTTAGTGCACAAATAACCAATCAGAAGGAAAAACTACCATCGCGTACTCTTCCTGAGCGAGTTGCTGTGGATTTTGTTTTGGTGTCAAATGCCTAAGTCAGTTTCGATGATAAGAAGATAAGACATTTTTTTCGTGTTCACTCTCAATAACTAATATAGAATGCTAAAAAGGAAGAGGAAGACCCTCTTTTTAAGGAGAGGCCTTCAAGTTAGGCGAGGTCTTCAAGTTAGGCGAGGCCTTCAAGTTAGGCGAGGCCTTCAAGTTAGGCGAGGCTTTCAAGAATTAACCATCATGGAGGAGACAGACTGCCTTTAGCAAAGTTCCTTATCCAAGAGGAATAGTATACGTTCAATTTTACAGCGTTATCTGCATTTAACATAAATGCGTTAAATGACGAGTAAAACCTTTAACAATCAATTATGTACTTCATACAATTAGCAGTGTAGAAATGACATGAAGCATTTAAAACAAAAAACAAGCAGAAAAGTAGTTCTTATTGTTCATGATTGTAAATGACAAGCGTTAAAAAACAAATCTACCTTTGCAAAAACCTTTTTCATAAAGAAATAACGTTACAAAATACAGATTTTGACATTGGCTTGAAAAGAATTTGACCCCAAAGATAAAAGGTAATTGCCTCGAAAGTTTTTTATTTTCTTCAACTTCTATTGTATTACGAGAGTCATTATCCAAGATGTTTTGTACTGTTTAAATAATTAACAAACTGGTCTGTTGATAAGGGGAAGCCAAAGAGACACTTACTACGTCACAAAATGCACAAAAAGAAAGACTTACGTCACAGGTATTTCGACCATGCATGCCTCCCCTTCATCGTCATTTCTGATGAAATACATCCTCGTGTTTTTGAATTTCGAATCTTCGGAATGTCTAGAGTAGAATTATGACATCAACTAAATTACAAGCTACACTCAGGCAATCTTCAAGCAAGTCAGGTCCTTGCGAGATATGACAACTTTGAGTGGGTTACAGTTTTACCGTGTGGTGACATTTGGGGGTCTGGGAGGGTGCGATTTAAAGAAATATATCATGCAGGAAATTTGGAGTCTGTGTCCAGAAAAATGCAGAAAAATACAGTCAAACCTGTAAACCCTTGAAAAAATCTCTATAATTCGAATTGCTAAAATATGAATTTTTCGTAATTCGGCCATACTTGTCAGTCCTCTGAGTAATCATTCCAGTTTGAACTTTCTGCGAATTGTAAAAACTAAGCTTGTGATATAAGCACTTTCCTTCATTAAACTCTGTTAAAATCGATGGTACTGCAATTTTTGGCTGTTATTAAAGGCATTTCCGTCATTTTTTGCTGCGGAAATGGGACGACTAAGTTCTTGGAATCTTGCCCCTCTCCGTGTCGTACAGTCAATAGGATACATACTAGTGACTATCGTTACGACTGCTGCGGAAGTTCTGATTATACGGATAAAGGCTAAAAAATGGTAATTGAGGGATATTTGTGGCAAAATCCAGGATTTTTTGTAAAGCTCGTATAAATTGAGCAATTTGAAATTTGAAAATTTTCACGAACCCTCAGAAATTTTGGATAACACAGGGTTAACCGTAATTGCATTTTTGGGAAATCCGTCACTACAAGAGTCATCACTCACAGTCTTAATTTGTCGCAATATATTTGCGTTTTACAATCTGGTAGAAACAGCAGCTTTTTTCTTTACTACAAATGCAAAATTTTTCTTTTGGTCCCTTCTATAGAAAGTCTCGGCCCCTTTAGAGAAAACCAAGCTTAAATTTTTAAAATCACTTAGCTTACGCTGATTCTTACTAAATCTACCAAAATACTTTCAAGGGTAAGGGTCAGGGCACCAAGACAAATGACAAATGAGGTTTGGACTACCTTCCAAGGTTTACAACCATGCCATCATCGAACAACTGAAAGAAAGCTGGAGGTTCTTGGCCCTGGGTCACCAGCATCTGAAAACAATGAAAATATTAAACAGTTATAGATTGTTTTAAAACCATTCATATAAAACCATGCAAAAGGATCAACATTCAAGATGCAGAATTTGAAATATAAAGATGACAAGAAGGTAGACAAAGACTCAATGAGAAAAAGTTATATTCTCCTGACATATAGTGATATTAGTTATCTTAAAAATGCTTAATTAAATTATCGTCATGTCTCAAAGAAAAAACACATGATTCTGTCTGAACACCTTCACGAGATACCCCAATGTGTGTTGATACCCCTAGTCTAGTCCTTGGTCTATTGCCCTTAGTCCTTTGTAATATTTCATGTGTTTTAACTTTCCCTTGGTCCTTCTATGACCTGAGAGAGTCTTTATCTCCGGCTATGTTCGCATATCATAGCAAAGCCGAGATTTGCAATGGGCTTGCATTAGTAGGATATGGCATCTCAATATTACAAAGACCACTACCTTCCAATCGTTGGAAATAGGGACGGAAACGGAAACAAATTAAAAGGGGGTATTAATGAAGTCATACGTACTTGAGGACCTTCATCTGAGTCTATCTCTGACATCATCAAAGCAGCTGTACCCTTATCAGCTACCGTGCAATCCTTTCCTTGCCAATAGAAATACAACAAACAGTCTCGTCCGATGTCGTCTTGCTTCGATTTTCCACCTTTTATATTGCGAATACCTGTTCTCATGTATTGGAAGCTCCAACGAACAATGTAAGCTATGGACAAAAACAGTAGGGGCTAAGAAGGACCTCAAACTGTTCTAGATAAGTGTTCTAATGAAATTTTGCAGAAGGACAGTAACCAAAAAAAGCATCAAAATCAGATATAGAGGAACTTTAAAACCAAAAACTTGTAATTCAAAGATTGCATCAAATGGCAGGCACTCATTAGGTCCTGAAAGACTTTGTCCCCATAAATGAAAGCAAAAATTGTAAACTCTGAAAGCTACCCTAAATTCAAATTTTAGCATATACCCGTAATGTATTTTTATTTGTTACTATCTAGCTTCCCGAAGGAGTTTTGTAGTTTTCAGAACACTGAGAAGCTGTGCTAATCGAGCAGTGTGCTAGCCCTTAGAATATAAAGAGCTGTTTTTCAACTGCTTTTCATTACTTCAGTTTTTATGGTAGTTACTAACGACCAAGTTAAGTTTAAATATCGTAAATCGTTAAAATTCACTCTTACATTCTGCAGCAAAGAAGAACCCGAATTCTTCTTCTGGCACTTTTGTTGAGATTTTCTCTACGATTCTCCAAACTTTTATCTCATTTGTCTGCACAGCATACTTGAAGAGTGTTTCCGGGTCTTTTCCGCCTTTGCCTCTTTCAATTAACATATCTATAAAAACCAAGGCAAAATTATACAACCATGAATATAATGGAAATTACTGTTTACAGGTCTGTCATAAAATGCTCGATGTCGTATAGGCTAAGCTGAACACGTTGTTTGTGTATAGACAATGAAAGTTCTGAGTTGCTACTCAAAGTTTCACGCTCTATTCCACCAGTACAAGATCTCTTAATGAGGTTAGTTTTATTGTGAAAACTAAGAAGAACTGATGTTTAGTCAAATCGAAGGTTTGGTTCATCAAAGGTTTGGTACCAACGCTGTCTGTGAAACCTCGAGAAAGGTCGTAAAGTACAGTCACCCTTTGAAATTTACAGCCATAAATTGAAAGACAAGAGGAATACTGAAGTTGATTGTAACAAGGCAGATTGTGGTAGATTGTGGTAGAGAAACACGATAGATGGTGAATGATAGAGAACAAGTAATGATAGAACGATACGGATAAGCAAACAATTTCTCTAACCATTAACAATCATAACAGGTCCATCAGCAACGTTCACCATCTTCTTGCCATCAATTGGTTCTAGTTCCACAGCGGGTTGATAGTCACTTAAATCTCTTGTAAGCTGCAAATAAGTAAAGAGTTGCATATTGTGTTAATTGAACCTAGTAGTGAGTAAAATACGGTTCAAAACATTGCAATTGGGTTTTATTGGAAGGTCCATTAATTTCCTGGGTTTGTAAAAACATCTACTGGAATTGAAAAAGTTACAAAAAATTGAAAATAATTCAGCAATTCTGTTTTAGATAGAATGCTGTAAACGTAGATTTTTAGAGATTTTCCATCCAAAAAATTTTAAAGCTTGCTAACCGGACTCTTTGACGAAAATATTTTCCTGATGAAAATATGTTTGCATACCAGGATATTTGCAAAATACAGTCACACCAAAACTCACCTTTAACAGTAAGGTTTTCTCATAAATGAATAAAATTTCATGTTTTCGATCACTGGCATTTTAAGCCAATGATTTAATGAGATCCCTTGTGTTGTAGGACAAAATATATTTAGGTAACTTGGCGCGTTAATTGAGTTTAAAAAAACCATAAGTAAAAACACACAAACACGTTTATAATTTGTTCATCCCAAATATAGAATAAAATTGCCTCATCAATAATACCCGAGCTCAAGAACTACATTAAGCATACCTGTTCGTGAACCTTGCTTTCAGCAGTTTTTGGCTTCAAGTCCACAGGATCAGGCCAATCGTAAAATTTCCTCCTAAATAAGACATTTTCAGATTTCTCAGTCATCTTTCCAAACACAGCCCATTCTGGCCTAGGCACACTTCTCCTCATCTTTGGGTTTTCTTCATTCGGGAATAATGGACTGACTGATGATGAGGTTTTGAACCCCTCTTCAAAAACTTCAAGACCTAAATCGATTGGCTTTTTCCTCATACTGCCTTTGCATTCTCTTCCAATCCATGTGTACACTTCTGTACCAAAGTCCAGAACATAGGCCTAGAGATTAAGGTTAGATATGTTCTTAGGAGTATTTAGATAAAATATATTTTAGGCTGACACGTTTTTTTCTTCGAAAAGTTGAGATTTTTATCATTATCAATGGAAATGAAACTTGCAGAAGTTAATCAAAATTAAAAAACAAAATTTGGGTAAAGTGCAAAAAACAACCTAAAAAAGCACCACAATAACATATTCCAAAAAACAATTGAAAAAGTTGATTGACAATTTTCCTGTTAACTTTCTATCCAGTTACACTTCATGAACTTGAAAAATCTAACAGTCCAGAGGTTTTATTATCTCGACGCAATTTACAATAGCACGCTTTAACTGACCTTAAAGTAGGCAAAGGCCTCAAGAACAATTTCCTTTTAAAGTCAAGGAGTTATAGGACTGTCTGGAACCGTAAATGACAAGGATACTGAAGATGATTTATTGAGCTGATCATTATGGCAAGAGTGTTGTAATTTATGGCGATTGTTGTTGGCGATATCTGTGACGAAAACTATTATAATATACCTACATACAGCGAGAGATGGAAGCAAAGGCGCCGTTGTGACGTTACAACTGGAAAGATGTAAAGAGAGCCTTGAATACCTTAACATATGTCAATGAATACCTTTTCACTGGACAACCATTTCTTAGAAGGAACTTTCCCACTATACTCATCAAGTAATACTAATTCTGCATTTTCATCTTCATCTAATTCCACTTCATAAATTTTTGTTGATTCCAGAATGCCTTTCTCGTAATCAGCATCATCAAGAACATCATCCTTGCCTGAAGTAGTAAGATAGAAATTCAAAAAATTGAGCATCAATCAAGCTATCCAGCTGAATTGCTAAACAGCTTTCTTTTTTCTTTATCAGTAACGCAGATTCCTTCTCTTCAAGAGACATTTTACACGAGTCCTATTTCTCATGCACATTGCGTACATGTATTTTAACCGGTCTGCCAGTTAATTTTCAAATTGAAATTTTTACACCATGCACACATCATTTATTCACAAAACAACAATTTTAAGACTATCCTCTAAAAGTAGTTAGCTTCCTGTTGTGTTCATGGTATATAGCTCTAAAGACAGAAAGTTGCCTCTTTAGAAGAAGTTTACTAAATGTTTCTACATCACTGAATATCATAAAAAACCTTCAGCTCTGCTAAAATCAATATTGCATATATTCTTTCAGAAAAGTCAAGAAAATTTGAATATTCATCTATTTCAATTCGAAAATCGCGTACTGAGAATTTGAAAAATTTGTTGTCATATTTAAAATAACTTTCTCTGAGTGAGTTTCTTTGTGAAATGTCAATATCCCTCTAAAAATGTCCAAAATGCACTCAAAACTATATTCTGAATCTTGCTTTTGATTTTAACACAACAACTTTTAGCCCTCTCAAACCCCTCCCAAAATCTGTAAAGTGCTCTTTGGGTCCCTACAAAGATGGTATACGGTATTAGAGGGACCCTTTTAGGCCTATCGTTAAAACATCTTGAAAAATTGTCCCCTTATAGTCATTGTGAGTGCGCGATAACGGAATCGCTGATATCTGGAAACATGAATAGAAAGTCCATGGTTTCCCCCTGTGGGTCAGGGCAATTTCTGACAAAGCCACAGCAAAATAGCCTGTGTAACTTACTTTGAATCTTATCTTTTCCTCCAAGGGCATTCCAGAAAGCTCTTGTTGTCCTACTGTCTCGCTCTTTTGATTGATCCATTACATTTATCGTATCTGCCTCACAGTTCATTTCTTTCCACTGTTGGATAACACTTGTTATTTCGGTGCCCTAAATCAAAGAACAAAGAGTTTTAAAAATATACTAATGAATTCATACGAAATAGGCTCTAGTGCTGTTTTATAAACATTTGAAACTACTTAACTGATTATGCCTACTGTTAAATGGTGGTTTATAATGATAGTCTAGATATAATATTTGTACAAATTCAAGAGCAACTATTCTAAACTTGTCTCAAATAGTCTTCAAATGTGTTTTTATTATCAGATTTGTTAAAAATGAGATTATTATCCACGAAAAACATTCTATAAAACGATTTCTCGATCCTAAGACACCAAGCAAGAGTGTGAATTTTTGAACAAATGAATATTTTTTGTCCAGTAAAAATTTTCCGAGATCAACAAAACCGCCATCAGCGTAAAATGGATCAATAACGCCGCACTTTACATCAACCTCTAACTTGTCAAAAGCAGCACGTTTTTGTGTAGGCAGAATTTGATTATTTCAGTCTCTAGATTAGCCCTTACTTCTCTAAAAAATCTATGCAAATGTTTTTCGGATCCTCTGATAGACATTTTAGAATCAGGAAAAATAATTTTGTATAGAAATGGTGCCGGTTGATAAATAAGAAAATACAGAAATTGCGTTTTAGATCAACCCTGATTCTCTTTGATCCAGCCAGATACTAACATATTTGGCTCAAAAGTCGCTTCTTGTGAGTATAAAGTGCACATGACGACTAATGATCTTCCGATCGAAATTGTATCCACAAATACGCTACATATGGAGAGATAACACTTGGATTACATTTAATTAAACATAAATCAAGGTATATTATGAAAACATCATATAACACTAAGCTTACAAGTAGTTTTTCCTGGAAGCGTCAATTCAAATAACACACACAGTCTGTCATATTGTATTTGAGACACCTCGAATTTGATTGCATGCAAAATATGCAAAATAATTTATTGCATGTAAGAAGCTTTATTCCTAGATAAGACTTAAAAGTTATGAGAAGGAGGGAAGCTCGTCACGTGACGTAAAGGCTATCAGGTTAATTTTACAAATGTATAAAATCTATTCCGAATAACTGAATATAAATAAATATCTCATATCACAAAATGTGAGAATATTAACTTCATAGGGAATTTTAGCGCAAAATAATTGATTGTACATCGATTCCACAACCAACCTGCTCTTTACCTGTGATACTAAAACAACTAAGTCGATTAGAAATGTCTTACGCCGACAAAATAGAGGTTACCAGGTCAATTTATGCTTTCTTTATTGTTATGCTATCAAAACGCTTTAGATATTATCCCCTGATACGATAAAAGCCCCAGCTTTGTAACTCATCAGGAGACCAGTTATGATATAATTGAACCAAGCTAATGTATAACTCTATCAGCTTTAAGCCATGTGTGGTTATTGGTTTCGTTGTTTAGTGTTGTTAAGGAGAAATCGTTATTAGATTAAAGTGTTCAGCAAAATCGCAAAAGCTGCTTCCGATGATTATGAATTAACAGCCAGTGAACGTGCAGTTACATATGACTGAACGTGGCTGAGCTTTGTACAAAGGAAGAAAAAGGATATCAAAGGAAAAAGGGAGAGAAATATTGCCTGAACTTCAACTTTGCTTGAAAAAGGGTTGAAATTATCCATTGCAGTACATACCCTTGCTTTCTCCATAATGCTGCAAAACTTTCCATTCCATTGGTGAACCAGTTGTGGCGTGACCAAAATAAATACGTCACCGCTATTCATAGACGCAACACTCGGTTCCACCAACCTGGTTTGTACATTTCTTGCACCTGGACAAAGACAAGGGACGATAAAAGTATTCCGCATTGAAAAACATATAAACAGATACAAGAAAAGGAATGAAATGATTTTTAAACGAACTTTGACCCGATACAATCGTGAGAAACATAAAAACTAAAAAGGCTAATAGGTAGCGGAATTAGAAATTCGTGTGTTTTACGAAGAAAAGGGGGCTTAAAACATAAGCAAGCCTTACAAGAAATCTTCTCAGCACCTATAAGCATGTCTTTCTTTAAATAAGTTGCAAGTTACAATTGCAGTTACAAAGTAAACTTGTCATTTATCATCATGTTATTCATCACCATCAACTAAAAGTGCTTGATCGAAATTTAATGTAAAGGTTACTGTGATCATTAAATATCACAAATCATGTGTACATGCCTTAACTGAAGTCTTGTAAGGTAGTTTGTTCCTACAAGAAGCATGATTCTAAGGTCCAGAAGCTTTAGTAGTCGTTGGCTTTAGTAGCCGTTGGCTTTAGTAGCCGTTGGTTTTAGTAGCCGTTGGCTTAGCAAAAGTCAGTTATATGTAATCGGTACCCTCTACTTTGTAATATGGTAACATCTTTAGACTGCACAACATAAAACTAGTACCTGAATCAAAAAATCGAAAACCTTTATTTTTCAGGAGGACTCTAAGCAGGTGCAAACAGTTATTATATAGAGTGGAAATACCATTTTTGAAAATCTCACATTATAACGGCATGCGCTTCAAACACAGGAAGACAACCGTAACAACGACAAAATTCATTTGTGTATTGCATCGATATACGCAAAATTATCCATCAATCCTATTTCAAATGGCACCCAACGTGTAACACAACTTCATTACTGGCAATTTCATTTAAGCTAGTCAAGAAAATTTCCAAAGATGACCTTTCAATGACATCGGAAAGCAAAGTAACGCAGTTTTAACTACGGTTAGACCAATTAATAAGATATCCGGCATGGTGGAATCTTAGTCTCATTGTACAGATATCAGCAAAAAGCAAATAAAAAGATTCCAGTAACACACCCTTGACTTGCAGAAGCATAACCGGTTTTACACCATCATACGGATTTATCCTCTCCTTACTAATCCCTGATTTGTCTTTTGATGTTCGCTTGAGTCCTTTCGAAGCTCCTTTGAGGTCTTCTTTACTTTCCAAGCCCTTCCTTGCATCATCCGCCAAATCATCTCTTTCTGCGGTGCCAAGAAAAAACACTTACAAAATACAGCGACAATAAATTTTAATTAAAGAATAACCAGCATTTGAGTTATTGCCACAAAGACTGAAGAACCTTGACTAGCAGCACTACCTCCTTAGATTTTCTACTACCATCCACAACAATGCTATATCATGAAAGGAAGAGTTATAAACTGAAAGTTCTTCTCTGCACTAGAACTTAATGCATGCATCAATCAAATATTTTCAATTTGGTAGAAAACATTGGTCAAGGGTAATTGAATTCATGGCTTGACAATCTTCTCCATCCTTGCCACTGTTTAAAATGTGATTAAATGAAAAAAATCTATGCTCAGTTGCTCCAGAAAACTTGAAGTTTCTAACACTTTAAAGGTCGGCAATCCCAGATACATCTTTGATGTTAAGCATTTAAACCGTTGCCCCTTCCAGGTCACTGCTCCCCGGACGCAAACAAAATTTTTGATGAATTATTCAAAAAGACCCGAATATGGTAGCATTCAACTTGATGCTTCAGCGTATCCTTTGATTTCGACGCTCAATACTGGAGACTACAGGTTAGAAACTGAATTCAGAACAAACTCCTTGATTCACGGTTACATAAGTATGATTTCCGCAGCCTCGCTTCTAAGTAACATCTAGTTACAAAGACAAAAAGAAGGGCCTATAAATCATTCAAAAACTCAAAGTATTCCTTAAAATCCAAAGTAACGGGGATGTTCCAATAAAGCCCTCAAATTTCCCAAAAAATTACGTCTATTTTCCTTTACAGTGAGAAACATTTTGTCAATTCTAAACTCAAGATTCACGGAATCCCTGTCACATGAACAGCCAATTCTGCTAATTCCTTAAAATGGCCTCTGCGGCCATTTTACGGCGTTCCATTGTGGATTCCACCCAGAAGAAAACGTTAAAAGACGTCCCGTTGGCAGCTGTACAATTACCTTGCCTCTTGCCAGTTGCTATGATCTGATTCCTTCCAACCAGCTTAACCTCATGATGTGAACTTGTTGATCCAACTGACAAATACTAAAAACAAAGAAAATAACTCTCAGAACCGAAAGCTTTCTCGCCTTTCTATAAACAAAATATAAAAAATTGACCTAAAGCTGTTTGTGTCGTAAAGCTCACTGATGGCATGAAGCTGGTACATGTCACAAGCTCGTACATGTTAAGTGGGTAGCGACTTTTTTAAACTATATATATATATTACAATCTTATTTAAATCTCTTCAAAAACACAATACAGCGCCCTCTCTACCTTTACTGAAAATCAATCTCCTTAAACCGTACAAGTCCCCCCTCGCCCCCAAACAATTCTGGGTGGCACGTTTTCAGTATTTGTATTTGATGGCAGCACAACTAGACACATATATACCATGCTGATAAAGAATACTCAATACTGCTGGAGGTTAGGGGAGGGCTGTGTGCAATGTTTAGAAAAGTTTTCCAGTGCTTTGGCAAAGATTGTAGAAAATTGACGTTGTTCCTTGACCACTTCCATAATAATATGATGCAATTTTCTATAAGAATGTACACATCACTGATCGATATAACCACATGTATGTGCGAGAAAATTAACAATAACAAATATAGTTAAGAAGCTGGTTACTAGTATCCAAGTCTTTGGCGGTTTATGGACGCTAAAGTAAGCTATACTTAAAAACATAACAAAAATTTTCGATCTTTATCGTGGATAATTTGGCCTTAGATTCCATGCAATAGTTATATGCTCAATCAATACTGGCTCGTTACCAGCCCCTTCTTCCTCTCCCTAGTATTGTACTTAACTTCATATTTTCCGAACAAAATAAATTACTCTGTAAGATATAACAAGCAGATAGAATCTTCATAGTTTCAGCAAATAATTTTTGACCAAGATTCATTCGTTTTAGTTAAACAAAAGCTTCAATTTCACAGTCACCAAATTCTAGTTTGCAAACATTTTTCCATTCAAGAAACTTTATGCTATCAAATTTCAGTCAAAAACCATACTGCTCCCATAAAAAACCTAACTAAGAGCTTACACCGTTGATCCTCCAGTCTCAGACGACTTTAGGTTCTTAAAGTGGGATTTTCTTTCCAGACACATACTATTGACAAATTACTCTTAGGTGCCTAATTGCCGGGGGGAGGTCAGAATAAACAGGGGGGGTCGGATTTTATGTCCAAAATTAATTGCGGGGGGGGGGGTGCTCAAATTACCGGGGGGGCTCAAATACGGGGGGTCCAAATTATGAAGTTACAGATACTGAATACTCAAAATGCACTTAAAATCATTATGCTTATTTTACTATTATATAGCTATTATTATCATCGACAATATTTAGCTTATGTTACGCTGATTTCACTACAAAAGTGCCAAAATCAATTGGTGGGGGGTCCTAATAAGAGCGGGTGTTGGAAAAATTTTCAAAAGTTAATTAGTAGGGGGGGGCAGCAATTAGGCACCTAAGCACCTAAGCACCTAAGAGTAAGAAGTTTCATGATTGAAGCAGGAAAACAAAGTTTCCTGCACAAAACCGGCGAGAGCATCAATTCTTTGTTGCGTTAGAAGAAGTAATCTTCGAGTAAAGATATGAAAAAATATTGAGCCAAGTAATAGTAGGGTGCAAACAACTCTGCCCAGCATTCCAGCACTGTTTCATGATCTAAGAACATCGACTGTTGGGGTCTAAACCCCCAAGGCAGCTGACTCGCAAATAACAATGACCAGGCACATTGGTTCCCTGACCACTTCTACAGGCTTTGCTTCTTTATGCAAGGCATTTACACAAATAGAAAAATCTTTGAAGTGAAAAAAGGCATAAAAGGGTACATGCTTGTTCCCAAAAAAGATTCCCAATAGCTTTCAGACATCAGACATCAACAGTGAACGTACCTCATCGGTATCCGACCTGAGGTCTCCGCGATCTTGAAGTTGCTTGACAGGGTTTCTAGTTGCAGCATGACGGCCTTTCGCTTTTACCCTGATTCTCTGATCGGCAAAATTTTTTACCCTGTTAAAAAAAGGCACAAATTACTATGTGCAAGAATACCTGAAAATCGCAAAAAACATGTTACTCGAGACCTTAGATAAATTTGAGAAACTTGTTTATGTTTAATCTAGATAAAATGGATGTTCATCACGACCGCTTTTTTCACGAGATATGCCATGCTTCAGCGAAAGGAAAGCGTGTCAGGAAGCGATCAGATAAAACCAGGGGCTACCTCCTATCTTTTGACTAAAGGGGGGGGGGGGTTGTTAGAGTGGCATGACTCACTGTGGAATATGTCATAAAGAGGGGTCGGATTCTGAAGCACTACCAGCCATTTACATTAGTAATATTGGTAGCTGAAATGGTGACAATGTCTAAAGGACTTCGGTCTAAGATACCCTGCTAACTTGTGTGTTCATCAGAAGCATTTTTAGGACTGCTAAGAAAGCTTTGGGGCAGCTGACCCCGTTCACCAATCCATGTCCTCCATGTCTTTGGGCTCTGCGCTATTTGTCTGGTTTGGTATTGGTCTGGTATTGGTCTGGTATTGGTCTGGTATTGGTCTGGTATTGGTCTGGTATTGGTCTGGTATTGGTCTGGTTTCCCCTAACAGCAGTCGAAAGTTGAAGTCGAAGTCAAAGCAACGTGTCTCTTTCAACGAATTTTCAGATGGGCGTTAAATCCTTTAAGTATCTTTGCTCAAAATCGTATGATGTAATTCTTTGGATTTCCGTCTTTTGAAATACTTAAAGCATGTATATGAATAAAAGACTCCTAACAGAAACACTGATAAAGTATAAAATTGAATCTGCTGTTCATTTAAGTACGTAAATCAACCAGAAAAATTGCAATAAAGCTTCAAAGTTTATCAAAAATAGGCTTAACGGCTTGTTTCAAGCGATCCACTTGGGCTGGCTTTCATTTGAAGCTTTGCGCCTTTCAGATGAAAATTTTGAGAGAAAAGAAGTACTAACACGATTTTAAGTTGAAAGTGGTTAAGGGTGTGGTTGGATAACTATGACAATGCCCAAACTACATTAAATAAGTACAAAGTTATCTGACTACAGTTAAAAACAAATAGTTTGTCAAGGGAACGTGATTGCGTGGAGTAATAACACCGAGGTTTACTGAATAACAATTTAGAGGTTGAATATGTAGCTTTAAGGACCAAGAATGGTCTATGGCTTGCTACTGACGTCATCGGCTTATTGGTGCTGTATTGCATATTGATGTTACGCGAAGGAAAATGTTTGTGAAGGGCATGACCCGTCGTGCAAACATTCTATGGAATCCAGCACGTGGAACTGGTAAAAAGCCGAGCCAGAAAATGAAGAAACAGATGCCCCTTTTGCTAAATTTTCTAAAATGATATTTGCTAGAGAACGAGCAGAAACCGCAAGACAGCGGTACCTGCTAGCAACAATTTTGAAAAATCCCAACAATTATCCTAAAAGATCCCAACTTATCCTAAAAAGAATATTTGGACGAAAACCTCTCTTGGAGTTTTCTACCAGAAATCTCACAGGAAAGCAAAAAGCAGTCACAATTGTGTCTAGTGTTAATTATCAGTAAGTAACTCTCTCAGTAAAAAATTATCCTTAAACAGGTTCTCCAGCCTTTCTACATATTCTTTCCACAAAATTGAAACTGTAGGAAGCAAACGATATTGATGCCTGTGTTAAGTAGCGGCGGGAAAGAGGTTTGAGGGGCATGGGGTTTGAAGCCCATTTTTCGGCTTTGAACCCCTCAGTATCTTACCCATTCAAATGACATTACGCTAATAAAAAAACCGGCGAAGTAAGTCTTTTCTTTGTGTCCCTAAAACTAGGGTTGGTGGGTTGCTGAACTCAAGGCAGCTGAAATTTGCAAAACACTGTTGATCAGCTTTGGAGGAGCAAACAGCCGTCATATCGCTGTATTTAACTACTTAAAGTTTCTCTGCACAAACCGATTAAGATTTCTATGTTTGGACAACATTCAACAGTTAAATAAAAGATAAACATATATTTAAAATACTTGATTACAAACTATTTATGGTAGGTACCAATGTTTATCCATACAACCCTAAAAACGCTTTGTTACTTAGCAGTACTTTCTTGAATGTTTTGCCTTGAGACTCAAAAAGTGGCCATCCGGAGAAAAACATCACAACAGCAACTTTTGTTTGTTTGAAAAGTACCGAGTTTGTCTGAATGATTTATCATCCAGCGTCGCTCACATAGATACTTGTTGGCACGATGAAGCAGAAAAAAAATTGTCGGAAAGAGGGGCGTGGCATGGACAAAGGTTTGTTCAAAGGCAAGTGTAGTTCAGCAGCGCGTAAAAACATTGCCAGTCATTATGCAACGGTTAAAAAAACAAGTAACTATGCTGTGTTCCTGCTAAATAATGCTAGAAAAATTGTTGCAAAAGTCCCTTTTTTAAATTTGCCATCACGACATCAAAAGTAGATGCACAAAGTCCTGTATAATTAGTGTCGACTATACGTAAAACCGTGATCAGAAGGCAAACTGAACTGCCTATCCCCCAATGTGTACTGGCTTTCGCCCCCCCCCCCACATCTATGATTATTCGCAATATCTACAAGGTTATTAGAGATGAAAACCCGAATAGGAGGGGGACTGGGGGACACTTCCCTTGCATTACCCGTAAAGGACTTTCCTAACGGATAGGATGTTTTCACCCAGCTCCCGTTACATGACCCAAACAGTATTTAGGCACTTCAAACTCCGTGAATCTACGTCAACGAAGACAACAACTCAACCGACAGGAAAAAATAATCGGAAAATAAAAATTAATGAAATTTCAGTTAAAATTTGGCAACTGTGTCAAATTCTTGTGGTAACTGGACCTTTTGACCGGAATAGCCAACTTAAATCAAAACACAGGATTGTTTATGTCTCGGAATTCCTTAGTTGAGCGACTCTCGACCATAAAAACATACCAGTCTGTCTAACGGTTAATTTTGAGTGCCAGAAAAATTAAAATCTCGTTCACAGAATTGTCACAATATTGGCACGATAGTTGAAACAAATATTTAGTTCAAACGCTTTGTGTCACAGCTTTATGGAGCCCATGCACAGGCGCACAGTTGACTTGGGGTAGTTCAAGATTCGAAGTGAAAGTATTGTTATAAAAATGGGGTTAAAATAGAAAATATTTTATAATAAAAGAAGTAGTTTAAGAATCGAAAAGTCATAAAGCCTATGAAGCGCTATTATGCTCTACTTTTGATTTTACCTAAATGTATGAGAAATTAAAAAGGGTTTTATAAATCTAGAAAATATAATATTGAGACTGTTAAGCATCAAAAGTTGTCAGGGGTGCCGTAGCCCCACTATAAAACTTTCCAGGTGGATTTAAAAGCTCAAGATTCTAGCAGTTAAACTGCCAATGTCTTTGGACTTGATTACCAGCTGCCGTCATAAATTACTAAGCTAGTATTTGTTCAAGCAAAATGGTTCTAATCTTGATACAATAAGGTGTGTCCAGACCAAAGTCAATAATTCACACATGGAATATTCATATCCTCTTTGAAAGGCAGCATGTGATCTGTAATGTCAACTTCTTTGATGCAAAATCAGTAATTTAACGGGGTCTTCTATGAAGGTCATTCTGCTCTGGGTGAGGTCTAAGAAATACCTTTTCAAGACAAAGTATAAAATTGGAAAAGATTACAAAAATTCTATATAAGGCAACTAAACCAGATAAGACAGACTGAGGTTTTGAGTAAATAGGATTATCAAATGAAATAATTATCAAATTTTGTACAAGGTTATGTAAAATAATAAAACAGCCTGTGAAATGGTCTCAAGCACATGGTTTTAAACTGAAAGTGATAAACCTTATAGGTAATGACCTACAATTAGAGGAGTTCAACAGATTGTTTGTTTTCTGAAATTTTTGTGCATTTTCAAGCATTCATTAAAAGCATTTTTTGAAGGGTGACATGTGAAAAGAGTATAAAATCAAACCTAGGGTGCTGGAAGGGATGAAAGTTGTAAACAAGAAAAGGGGATGGTATGAACTATAAAATTCATTAGATGAGCATAGCAGCTTTTTGACCAGACTTTGTTGCATTGGTGTCATAAATTGACTGACTCATTAAAAAAAGATCTTCCAGCAATAAGGTTAGAAATAGTTTAAATGTTGATGTCAGGAGTGCTGAAAGAGATTGGCTGCCAATGAGGAGGGTGGCTAGTTGAAATTTTTGGGCCAGGGGCGGATCCAGAGAAAATTTGAAGAAGGGGCGGTTGGTTGTGGGGGCACTGGAAAATTTCAGGTTCTTTTGTCATAATAAACAACATCACTTTGAGGTAATCCTGGAAGCAAATTAACCTACTGGTCTCAGAAACTTTTTCACTTGATTCTCATTCTTCAAAAGGGGCACACAATTTCCAAAAAGGGGTGCCAGTCTTGCCTAAACTCATTAAGGGAGGGGCAACTGCCCCTAGTTGCCCCCCTTAAATCCGCCACTGTCTTTTGCAGTATTAAGCCCCCTTTTACACACTTTGCCGCCATTCCTAGTTGCTGCCTTCAAGCAAAATACAGGATTATTGCAACCAGTGCCTAAATGGCTCAGAATTCTTGAAGGGTTGTGGGGTGCATCTCATTTTTCATAAAAAATTTTACTTGAATTCTAAACATAGGGCTTATTTTGTTTGGAAATTGGTAGTTTTACTGCATAGTGAATTTTTGCAGAGATCTGAACTCTGCTCAACAAAGTTTGCAGTCATGTACCCGAGTTGAGCAGATAATATAACATTTATCAGATTCTATGTTTATAAATATTTTAACACCATTCGTATTCATTTCTTTATTTATTTATTTATTAATTCTTATTAATTCATTTAATAATTCATTTATCTTTAACTGATAAGACAATTATTGCCTTAGACAAAACAGAAAATACCAATTTCTCTTTTATTTGAAAACTCAGCTTGGGCAAATTTCCATAACAATATACATTGTATCAATTTTTAAAAATCTTGCCAATTTTTACCTACCACACAAGCAGAAGA